TACTTCAGCTGTTTTATCCGATTGTAGTTTCATATCCCGGAAGTTGATAGAATAGTTTTGTTTGGTGTAACGCCTATGGCGGGTATCATAACATAAATACTGAAAAATAGTAAATTGGTTGCGATTGTAATTGGTATGACAAATCTGTTATAATTTCATCATAGGCTGTGATGACCTCAATTCAAATGCAGAATCTTTCACCCGCTCGAGCACAATGCAATGTCAAGACAAGGATAATTCCGTGCAGTGTGAAGTCACATGTAAAAGTGGATATAATGCAGTTTTCAACGATTTCTTGAAGTTACAATGTTATGAGAAGCAGTGGATAAGAGGAAACAACGCTGGGACATATGTCACACTTGCTGACGTGAATAGTCCTCCGACATGCTACAGTAAGTTCTTGACTGTCTTATTTTCTTGAACTTATTTGAAAATATGGATGAAAATGGAATACTGATCATAAAAACATGCATCAATAATTTTGAGTGTACCGCGTTGGGTAACTCGCAAAACGTATCCTTTAACGTTTTAACTTATTATAATTAAAAACTTTTTAGAACCGACGCCAAAACAATCCGATTCTCCGTATTGTCCTTCTGGTTCGGCGATATACAAAGATGTCTGCGGTAAATGCTTATTGCATGAATACTAAACTTTCGTCTGTAAAACTATGTCATCTGCCTCTTTTCTACACATTCCCTTTCTTCCAAATTTTTCTTCGCCTGTTTTTTTTTTATAATAAATTTTCTAATATTATACTCTTCAGTGGAATGTCCACGAGGCAGTTATCTCGATCAAAACAAAACGAAGTGTGAACCATGTCCAGTGACTGAGTATCAAGATTCCGCAGGACAAACTTCTTGCAAGAAATGTGAATCCCCCAAGACGTCAACTACAACAGGAGCTGAGAATTGTTTCTTTGATTATAGTATGCTTTATAACATGATAATGTTTTGATAATTGGAAAACGACTGCATATTTCATGTCAAATAATTATATAAATACAGCCACTGCTAGAGCCTTAGGACAGGTTTTTGAGATTAATCAAACATGCAATTGCTCAATTTTTTGTTGTTGGACAACGCCTGAACACTGAGGTTTTAGGAGCCAGTTTTGCACGATCGAGTTTCCAATTCCTTAATTCTTCTAACGGAAAAATAAACCGCTGCCATTTTAACTTGTTGTTGTCTGTTTTAGGTAACTCTGTTGTTCAAATAGTGTTCAACATGAAACTATCACAAGTATGTAAAAAATTGATGTAATTGAATATATAATGTGATTATTTAAGAACTTTTTTGTGAGAGTTTATCTGCTCATCATAAATACCCGCAGTTAACGCCGGCTACCTAGCGGTGTAGGGCAATTCTTGGCAATCTCGGGAAATCAATAGTCTCGTTTAATGAAGTATTGGGGGTAACTGCATGTATATATACGTCAAAAACCAGGAGTTTTTTGTTTCTTTTAAAGACTAACTTTTAAATATCTAAATCTAGGTTTCAGAGGATAAGATTCGAAGTAGTATCGCGAAAGCTTTGACAAACGTTTGTGAAAATGAAACATGTTCTTTTGATAAAAGCACCACAAGGTATGTAGCTGTATTATACACTTCATATTCCGTCAATATGCGTTGGACTTGGGTTATAACTTATAAGACAAAGTTAACATGCAAGGGTTCAGCCATGACGCGCAAACATGCATCTCGCGGGTTGCTGGGCTCGCCAAGGACCTGCTGTTCCCGGCATGCATGGCTGTTATAGATATCTACTTTAGAAATCACAGTTAAACGTCGCGTATCTCATTGTGTGAAATTCCTTAGTTCTGTTGCGGAATATTCGCGAAAGAAAGGAGATCTTATGTATTGATGTATATAGAATCATTTAGTTGTTTTTCTACCCTATTTAAAGTAGTTATTTCTTGATTGTTTGATGAGTGAATCTCTATAAACTCGATAACTATTGCGGTACTAAAACAAAGTTAGACGAAAAAAAACACTCTCCATGCTCAACTGATATTTACAGGCCCCAACACTTTAAATATTAAATAAATTAAACTATTATTGTAATATGAACTACAGGAATTTTTTTCGCCTTCAGTCGTAAAAAACGCGAGAGTGACACGTACGAATTTAAAGCTGACCATGTTATTATTGTGAACATGAAAGAAGAAGGCCAAAACACAAAAGTCGATTTCCTAGTCCTCGATCCAAAATCAAGCTCACTTGTACCAGATCTAGCTTTCTCGTCAGCCAATCTCAACAACCTGACAGAAAAAGTAATACAAAAGGGAGATCTCCCATATCCAGTCAGTGGTACTGAAACAGTTCCGCCAACGACTCTGACATCTACTTTTACGCCGACATCTTCACCATCATCGCCGTCTATTAATAACGTCGATAACGAAGCCTCTACAGGAGAAAAGTCAACATCAAAAGCACCAGTTATAGCTGGTGTTGTTGTGGCTGTTGTTGTTCTCATTTTCCTTGTGTTTGCATTCTGGATGTATAGACGTCGCAAGAATAAGGGGTGAATATGTTTTTGGTCAAATTTAAAAAGAAGCATTTGGGAAGGATGTGAGTAAATTTTTTTACTTGCTAATGGAAGTGCATTTCTATTTTATTTTTTCTTCCCCGACAGCTCCTTCCCGCCAGTACAGTTCAACTCTACTGATGGAGAAAGAACGATAACTGGTCAGCATTCAACACAAAATCTATCAAACGATTTCTATGAAACACCTTGCGCAGATAAAGGTATTCAACTCAGCTTCGTTAATCAAGGTAAGCGATTCTCTAAGTTCCAAAATATTGAAGGAGGTGTTCCACAGGTCGCCTTTTCAAATAATTATATAGTAACACGAATAAAACCTGTTGATGTAAAGATACTAACTTCTTCTTTTACCATGTCGCATGAGGTTTGGCTTTTCTTTAGAGTACAAAAATAAATATTTTAGAAATTTGTAAACCCAACCAGACAAAAAATCCTCTCGAAATAGGAGAGAAGCTCAACCTAACTACTTGATGTACACTGCCCTTATGTGGTTAGTATTTACAAACTAAACCAGTATTTACAAACATATCTTTTACAGTATTCAGCGATATTAATGCCCCCCCTCCTTCCTACTATGAAAGATCTCCAGTAGGCCAATCCAGCAGCAATGATCCCTCTCATCCTCATGTGTATGAATATCCTGATGATGACCAGGCTGATCCATTACCCGCAAAGGAGAAACTGCCTGAAGATGCAGTGGTTGATATGATACCTGGGAAGCGAGATAAGACGGCTGTGTACCTCCCTAAACAAACAGCAGTTTCAAATGTCTACGAAGTACCTATCACAGGATCATTACAGCGTACTCCGGATGTCCAACACCCGTTGAGGTGAGTAAATTTAGTTATGGTTCTGGTTGTAGCGGTTAGTTGGCTGTAACTGTACGTCCATCGAAATATTCGCTTCTAGTATTATTCATTCACTTCGTTTGGGAAAATCCAAACCTTATCAGTTCCACTGATCCTAGTTAGCTTTTTCTTGCAATTTTGTTTAATAAAACCTCTAAGAATAAACAGTTTAAACTTTTGCAAAAAACCTACGCTAAAAACATTGGCCCCGTATCCGGATGAAAAAAGTAGGAATTTCATTATAAAAGTTGTTTGTTCGTCAAAATCGCATCACACCCGCCGACTCTTGGCTCGTTCTCCACGCCACTTTCTGTGATATCCGATGTTAAACTATCATTTGAACTTCTCCCAGATTGCAGCCTCCACCACAATCAGATTATGCTCGGGATACAATTTCCTCCATCTTGCCAAACGCCCCTCGGAAATCGAAAAGGAATGTTGCCCAAACAGATGCAAACGACAACGCTGACCACCAAGGTCGCTCTGTGTACCAAAATGTTGGTGACGTCACAAGAGAGCAAAGCGAAACCTAGGCCGGTCATGTGACACATCCCTGCATGCGAACTGGCTGGATATAGTTGGGACAATGCAGCTTGTATGTAATTGATTATTTTTACATATGAAGCGTATATGATTAGCCCATGCATTTAATTAGTACATGTATTTTTATAAAACTTCATAAACAATGGACAATGCATAAGTCCTGGTTGATATTGACATCAAGAAAAAAAATTTCAGGAGCAGTTACATGGAACACTTCATATATTCACATTCATTTTGCACATTTCATTGCTAAGGCAAAACTGATTGTTTCTAAATAACACTTCAATTTTTTAGGCGATTATCAGGAACAACATATATCAATTAGTTCACTGTATTTTTTATGAATTTATGCCAGTGTAGTCGACATGTATTCTTTTACATCACCTTTTTTAAATATATCAAATAAATATACTTCTCTAGATAACTGCTAATGGTGAAAGGGTCTTAATTTTTAGTGGTAATCACTCAAATTCAAGCTCGGCGCTATGTGATAAGACGCCTATTTCCGGGGATATAGAGCAATCAAATTTTAAAACATTTCTCGCTTGCCGCCAACTACGCTGCCACTCCTGGAACCAAGGCCCCCAACCCTGACCAGCATATTCTACGCCCTTAAATTAAAATTGTAAGAACGGGACCTTGGCATTAATTAACCGAACCTTGTTCTTTCATCGGCTCACCGAACCGGGCAATTTTAACGATAATAAACAGTGTCATAGAAATATTTGCAGCCCAGAATTATAAAAATTCCCGCAACTTTCCCAACTTTTCGGTGCTTGTAAAATATTTACGCTGGCTTCTCCAATGAAATACAAACATATCGGAAGTCGTTCCCTGAACGCAGGACACGTACCCCAGATATTTTTTGACGCTTGCCCGTTACAAAACAAGATTGATTATAAACCAATCAGTGTAGTTTACTACGACTACAAAATGAAACAAGAAGCAACAACACTACGGCTACTGCATTACGTGACCTTAATGCCCTGAATGTCAATTACGAGAGATCAATTTTTTTTAATAAAGCTCAATGTAAATAATACAACATTGACATTGCGTAGTTCCTTTTTGCTAACTTCCTTGTTGGGATCTTGGGCTTGGCATTAGCCAGTGACACATAACTCTGTTGGACGAACTATATTGAAAGACTTAAGACAAAATATTAAAAAGGTATAGTATATATTTCAAAATGGTTATCACTTAGCCTATATTATCACCGCCCTTCACGCGAGCCTCACAGTAGCTGTTGTTACAAGTGAATATTAGTGATAATTTAGGATGACGCAGAAATTAAAATCAACTTAAGCTTCTTCAGTATGTTTTACTAGTGATGTAAGTGGAGTCGTAACAAGCAATTGAGTTCACAGGAGAATAACTATTATTTTCCATTGGTCATTTCAATAGTAAATACCGCCAAAGATAGACGTTTTCAAATCTTCCGGGTATTTCAATCAAGAGGTTCCAATGAATTTTCTTAGCATGAGAAACAGACATGCATTCGTGCGTGGATATTAAGTATATATTACGGGGTATCGGGTGTCTTCTGATGAGGCTTTATATTCCACACAATCTAGAAAGTTATCGTGGAGATCATCCGTCACATAATGTTGTGTTTGGTCGTCTTTTTAGCATGGTTTTCCGTCTATTCTGGTAAGAGAATTAATAGTGTTTTAATTATGTCTTCTAACGTGTCATGATGTCATCGCTTTGTACTTTTTGTGTTTTATTCACAATATTTCCATTGGTCTTTTCAGCTGATTATGTAGCTATACTCAATTACAATCATTTCTTTTTTTTTCGTTTGGTTCAGCTATAATATACCTTTTCCGCTTATTCAACAATAGGAACTGTAATAAGCTGTGATAACGTGGGGGGAAGTGCAAGTGTAATGTTTGCCGAGAAAATAGTGTGTCGTCTGAAATGTGTTGAGGAAAAAGGCACAGCCCTTGCGGGTCGATATACTGAGTTTTCTAAAGTACAAAACTAAATATCCTCACAAAATTGGAGATTGAGCGCCATCAGAATGTGCAGTCTGATTGAAGTTTGAAAGATAAACGTGTCACATGCAGTGATTGTAACATGCAGTTGCTTTACAATACACACAGAAAGCCATCTCCAATGTATACATAGAATTCCAAAGCCAATGTACAAATTTGTCTTTTGTATAACGATATAACTCTTGTCTACCGGAGAAATATTTTCGCTAATTTGGATTAGGCAGAATTAAAAGCTTAGATGTTGCTAGGCAATTGAATTGAAAAGATATTCATACACAGGTACACGTCAATTTTTTTAATCTATTCACTGTTCCCGAAGATTTGAAGATTTGTATTCCCCATGTCATTACCTGACACAAACAAACAAATTTCACATATCAGTGTTTGTGCTGTCTCTTTATACACGGTTTATATCATGCACTGCTTTAAAATTTATTCAACTTCTGTTCTTCGATCCGGAATGAAAACACAGCGCCATATTAAAGGATTAAGTTTAAAGACGTGTCAGGGCATGAATTCAGTACTCGTGCATTGGTAAATGGATCAGTTCGTTAATTTAACTGATAACTGATAAGCTCGTGTGTTCAAAGTATAAATGTTCTTCACAATATAGTGAAGGTTTTTCAGTCTTGATTTTCCAGTAAGGAATACATAGACCTCGCTAGCAGTTTGAAACTATGTTTTTTTTTACCGCGTGGGAAGTACGAGGCTGGATCTTCGCTCCCTCACGAAGTAGCCAAACATGCAAAGGCACGTTTACACTTGCGATTTTTGTTGTTATATTATGTGCGATTTTTTCCCTTGAAAAGTTACGGATGTTTGCAGCTGAATATAAGGAGACTTCTACATTAGCTGGTTTCAGTCTGTCGTTAAGGGGCACTAATTTCAGCTTTTGCAAACGAGAACAAGGCTTATCATTCTCATCTCTATGTAAACATCCTAGAAGCAGCCTTTCGTTTGTTTCGTAGCTTTCCATTCCGCCGCTTTCTTAGCCAACGATCTTATTTTAGTAGCTGAATACAATGGTTTATTTTAGTATATGAACGACCCTTCCAGATCAATTGAAGTATAATGGTCGAAAGTGTGTATAGTATTACACCGGCAATATGAATTTACGAGGCACGTTGAGGCATGCAGGATTAGCTATAATTTAGCTGTTTGAACAATTTGTATCGAAACCGGATTTGATTGCATTTTTTAAAGCTCTGAAAGACGTCCAAGATTCCGAAAAGTTCTTAAAAGCGCCGCCTTTTAATTAAATTAAATATCAGAAAAACGAAAAAACAATTGAATCGAACGAATTTATCTAAAAGTAAAAGAACAAAATTACGCGTATCAAACTAGTAGCTACTAGTATTCAATTGCCTTCTTGAAATTTGTCTTTTACTGTAGGAACACACCGGCACTCATTCTCTTTGTGTATGCGTATGTGTTCCTTCGTATTTCTATCTCTTTCGCGAATTGACTTATCTTCTCCTGGATAACTTTTTTTTCTCTGTTTAATTACAGATGCCCTACCCTCGGAACCTTATCTCGTTTATTCTAACATCACCAACCTTCTTGTTTTGGATCTAAACACTTTGGCACGGACCAATGTGTTGGGAGGACTGGACAGAGCTGTACCTATAGGTATAGACACAAAGCAAAAGCACATCTACTTTGGTGAGCACACCCTGGGCCTTATTTATCGCGTAAATTACGATGGGACGAGCAAAACACTGATAATGAAGGATGTTGTGAATGTTGAGGGTGTTGCAATAGATTGGATCGGACGTAAGATGTACTGGACCACTTATAAATCAGGGACGATCGAGGTCGCAACGCTTGATGGGAAGTTTAGAAAAGTTTTGCTAAATACTGGTCTTGAATACCCTCGTGGCATGGCAGTTGATCCAATTGCAGGGTGTGTATGAAAGATGCCTTTACATATGAATTATACTTTATGAAACGTTAATTCAATGCATTCGCTAGATAATAAATATTTTTTAATATCTAGATATCTCTTTTGGTCTGACTGGGGAGCCAAAGCAGCTGTTGAAAGATGTGATTTAGACGGTACTAACCGTGTTGCTTTGGTCAAAGATAACATCACGTGGCCAAACGGTGTTACCCTGGATACCTCTGCAAGACTTGTCTTTTGGATCGACGCGTTTCATGATAAAATAAGTTCTATTGACTATGACGGAAATAACAGAAGAATTATCTTTGAAGACAAATCATTGGCTCTTTCACAGTTCCATGGATTTGACTTGGATATCACAGGAGATTCAATCTATTATACAGACTGGTTGACTAATTCCATCAATGGCATTAATATAAACACTGGAGTGATGTTCGTAAACATAACTGTACCAACTACAAACTTAATTAAGGGGGCTATGGGACTGCGTGTGATTGACTCTTCGAAACAGAAAGATGGTTAGTAAAAATGTTCCTGCCCTAGGTTAAAACGTTTTTACATCCATATCTAGTTTTCTCTATATTTGCCCTGTTTAACCGGAAAGCCGAAGTTTCCGCCGTTTACTCACAGTTTTTGCACAGAAGTGGGAGTTTTTTGTTTCTCACTTAGTGCCAATATTTAATAATAGAGGGTGAAGTCAGTAAAACACGGAATGGATATAAACACACACCTCTTTATAAACACATCTCGTCTTTAGCGAGTAATAACTGTGCCGCTGTCTGTTGTAACACAGTGGTGTCAATATTGAGCAAGCATGATATATATTAGCCTCGTATAAAGACCGTGACAGAAGATATGAGCCTAAAATAGTCAGTCTTCGTTTAACATAGATTTTCCTTCAGGAACTACTAATTGTGGAAGTAATAATGGTGGATGTGAAGAGTTATGTTTCCATAAGGTTGCATCTGGAACATCATGCGCATGTCAGCTAGGCCAGAAACTGGCGAATGATAAGAAAACATGCGAGGATCCCTTTAAAGAAGGTAAGTTTGAAATTAGAAGTCAAAGCTCGTCAATATTCTCAATGCAGGATCAATTGAAGAAAAGAATGTATATAGCTAGTTAATCGTATCTTGACACTGAACGGCAGTTCCCTTGGTATATAATTATACTCTTGTTGATAAAGTGGACACATGAGGGAAGTTTGATAAGGATTATGCATTGAGGTGGATCCTTACTAAGGATGGATTATAAAGAACATAGTTTTATGCAATTGTAAAAGCCAATGGTTCCCAATTTAATTTCCTTTCTTTTCAAAAGAGTTCATAATGTTTGCGGACGCTGATGCTGGCAAAATCTACCAAATGCAGCTGGACAACGTGAATGTAAAACCAATTGCAATTCCATTTGATAAAACCGCAAATATCACCCGCCCCGTGGCGTTGGAATATGACTGGGTTGAAGATCGTGTGTACTGGACGGATGTTACCCTTAGAATCATCTGTAGAGCATTCAGAAACGGAACAGGATTCGAGGTGTTGTTCAATGATATTGGTGTGGCAGATGGACTGACCATAGATCTTGCTGGTCGCCAGTTATATTGGACCAGCACAACAAACAATACTGTTGAAACTTCTAAGCTGGATGGGTCATTTAGGAAGACTTTGGTCAATTCGAATTTGGACGAACCAAGAGATATCATTGTGGATCCAATTGATGGGTGAGTTCTAGTTAAACCTATTAACCTAACGTTTGTTCATTCAAAATAACTTTGTCATTAACATAGCCGTATTCTACTGCAACTTAAATAAAGAAGAAAAAATCAGTAAAAACTGTTACTATACATCTTTCCGTTAACCTACACACTTGTATAAAGTACAATATAGCATTAATTTTGTAAAAAGGAATGTCTACCGTTCTGTGCTTGGTTTAATACTGAGCAGCTTCCAACACTAACGATTTCTTTAGTTATATGTACTGGACTGATTGGGGAAGCTTCTCGAGAATCGAGCGTGCCTACATGAACGGAGAAAACAGAATGGACCTGGTAAACCGCACTCTTCACTGGCCAAATGGTCTCACCATTGATCATGTTTATAATAAGTTGTATTGGGTCGATGCTGGTGAAGATAATATTGAAGCAATGGACCTCGACACGCTCAAACGAAAGGTTGTGTTGAACCAGAAAATCCTTCTCTGTAAGTGGTGGTGAATACATTTGATGATCGTCACATCTTTACCAGTAGTGATGGAGGGGCAATTTCTTATCTAATTTTCGTATAGATCTCGTTCTCTTTCACCTCAAAAATAATCCTCATTATCCTACCTCAAACTGACCAATACAGGAAATACCTAGAAAAATATATTCATGTTATTTTTAAGTTGGCTTCTTGTTTCGTCTTACAACCGAAGTGAACCACCCCTATGGCTTGACAGCGTTAAATGATCATCTGTACTGGACAGACTGGAATACTGACTCTGTATATCGTGGTGACGTAAATACTGCGGCAAACATAAAAGTAATGGCGACTAACCTGGGCAAACCAATGGATATACATGCATATAGTTCCATACCAAAACAACGTAAGTGGTCTGTGGGACAAAATAAAGCACAATAACTAAAGGCAATGGCAAAAATAATTTACATTGAATATTATATTTCAGAAAAACGACTACACTACACATTTTCGTTCCCACAACATGGCAGCAATTTCACCTGCATCTTGTTTCAATCATGTCCTGTTATCAATGCACCTCCATCATGTCCGTCAGGATACTCACACGTCAGGGAGAACTCAACTTGTGGGTTGAATTGTCGAGATATCGTGGGTTACACGTGGCGATGCCCGTGCAATGACTGGATGTCGTGTGCTGTGAAAGAAAGATACTTGTGGGGCTGTGCTTATGGTTATTACAGCAGTTTCAGGGTTCGAGAGTGTGTCCAAGGTTTGTTCACCAGATATTTTCAAAGTATTTCATCTTTTCTCCCCAGGGAGCTGTTTAAACGCTCCTGTTCATCCCTTCCTATCCAAAATTTCATTCTTCGCTTTTCCTCGGGGAAACGCATTAAATATTTTACAGATGGGATTTCTTGTGAAGTCGTGTGGGCAGCCGCGTAGCTAGCAAATAATTTTTGGACTTTTGGATAGCCAATAGCATTATACTTTATTAAGGATATTACTGTTTGCGGTATATTCCCACTATGTAAAGTTGATATTTTTTCTTGTTTATCAGATGTAAAAGCTGGACGCTGTCCTTATGGTGGAGGCAAAGGAACGTCGTGCGTCAGTGACTCAGATTGCCCGAGTAATGATAAATGTTGTGACTCGAAGTGTGCAACACCAGCAACAATAGGTATGTGTCCATTGTCTGGCTCTATTTTCATCTCCGAAATTTACCGCGATGTTTATAGCCTTCGCGAGGATGCTAGTTTCGCTTAGACTTTTAAAACGCATGCAAAAAACTGTCAAAAAGGTAAAGGTGTAATTAATTTTGTCAAACTGATATAACAAAACAAAGCGTACGTCATAATTGCACGCAGATATACTTGTCAGTCATTTTAAACTAAAGTGAGAGTAAAACCCAAATGAATTCACGGGAAGTGACGCTTGCATGTGATAATCTCTATATGGCCATGCACCCACAACGAATTTGGGAAAGAGCTCGATTCAGGTGTTCACACGGGAAAAATGTTTAGATACGATAAATAATAAAAGAATATGAGGGAAATATGCTCTAAGGGGAAAGTGGTTTCAAGGAAGATTTTGCCCCGGGGCCCCAAATCTCTCTGAGAGGCCGCGGAGTTCAGCTTCATATTCAGCTTCATGATCCACTCAGTGACAAAATATTTATGTTGTTAACCCAGAGGCTGCTAAGTGGCTTGCATTTGGTTTAGATAAGGATGAAGGTTTAATGATGACTAAATTGTGGATGGCAATTTTTTCAATGTATTTTGGGTTTTACATCTAAATAGCAACATGACTGAATCAAAATACGGATGTTCCCATGTGATGTTCAGAGGCTATGGATTTAGTTTTTTTATCTCGGAAGGGGATCTTAAATTAACCCAGCGAGTGAAGATTGAAGAATCATAATGATTTTAATATTTTGAATTATCCAGCCGCTCATCCATGCCAGACAAACAACGGTGGCTGTGACCAGCTGTGTTTCGGGATTCCTGGTGGACACAAATGTGGTTGTAAAAATGGTTATAGCTATGACAAAACTCAATCTAAATGTGTTCACTCTACAAGACCTGCAAATGTAACTGTAAAACCGCCGCCCGGAAAAAGTGAGTAGAAGTTCTATGTTTTTATTTGCAATATTCTTTTAGGTCTTTACACCCTGGTTTTTACAGTCCTTTCGGTATAGACGTGATGTGCGCTCAGCAAAGACCTCGTTTACACTTCATCCATTGTATAAGGTGCACAGTCTAAATTATATTTTCCATTACAATATTACCATGTTGTAGGAACCAGAAACCTATCTCTTACTAATTAGCCTGCATGATAAGTTAAGCCCGTTTTCCACTATGAACAGATAAAAAGTTGGAAGCGTTTCTACTTTTTCGCAAACCAATCACATCACCGGATTTCAGATATCGCTTCGCGTCGCGCGAATAAATTCGCCAAGTGGAAAACCGGCCTTGGGGGACGAAAGTTGTTATAGTATATCTGTTTGATATTGAACAATACAATAATTTTAAATTGTGAAATAATTCAATAAAATATGAATAAAACTGCAACTTCGTACAAACATCTTGAAGATGGCAATGAATGCCTGAGTAGATTGGAAAACAGTTAAAATAGAAATCAGTTAAAAATTAAAATAGGAGAAAGATAGTGTTGTCATTCAAATGTTCTTTTAATATAAATTTCGTTTAGGTTGCAAGCCACATCCAGCCCCAAAACATGGCTCAGTGACCTGTGACACCGTGGGTGGTTATGTTCCTGAATATAAAGGATGTAAGTTCTCGTGTGACTCAGGATATCGTTTAATTGGCTGGAGTTGGGATCTTTGCATTAATGGAGTATGGATTGTCTACGCACCAACCTGCAAAAGTAAGTTTACTAAACTAACATTACATGTGGACAGACCTTGCAAATCTAACGTTAGTGGTATACTGACGATTTGTGTTTTTTGTTGCCTTTATAGTTTAACTGTCAGGTGACTTTCATGTTGTGCACGATAACCCACGATGATGAATCGTATCTAATTATAGCCTTTCTCCCGATGACGTTTTGCGGTAATTTCAATTTTCTGAAATGGGTTTAAAAATTATGTTTAAACATCAAAAGCAATTTGAAGAATAAATTCAGCCTAAAATTAAAGACAGTCGCCGTTACCAAGTCTTACGCTCACGGTTTTTGAAAAAAGTACCCCAAAAATGGCGGCATATTCCTCATCGTGAGAAAGGCTAATATGATCATATGGATCATCTTATCTATCCTGCAATTATAGATGCAGAAGCTACGAATTAATGCGATTTATTGATCCATACATCTACTGGATAACTCTGTCGCTTCCTAAAGGCCCGTTTACACTTGCAATTTTTGCTGTGATTTTATATGCGATTTTCTTCTCTTTGGTAGATGTGAACAAGTGACTAGTTTCGAATGCTTTAATGTATAAGAGCTCGTATTTGAATATCAGTAACTATACTAACTAATTTCACTCGTTCACATTTATCAAAAGAGGAAAATCGCACATACTGAAATCCCGTTAGAAATTGCAAGTGTAAATGGGTCTTAACAGCGCTAATCCTAAGAGATCAAGTCCTAAGAAACTCTTATCAATGTTGATCGCAATCTCATGATGAAACTAGACAATACATAAATTCCAAATTCATTTATATATACGGGATGGCTATATCTATCTGTTTTAAAATCATGACAAAGTTTTCGATCGCGGACTATTTGCCGTGTTGTATACTCTTCGACTTCTTGGTTTTCTTAATGTACAACTTGAATCAGTAAAATTGTGTCTAAGTGTTAAGGTCAAATTATTTTTTCTTCACAAATTTCTTTAAAAATATTTTCTATTTCAGTCGATACAAGGCCTAAACTATCACATTGTCCGAATGATACAACAATTCCTACGGACCCAGGAAAAAGTTATGCAACTTTTCATTGGGTCGTTCCCACGGCAACAGACTATAATGGAACAAATCTACCAGTCAACATATATCCATATGGCTACTCCTCTCCTGTTAATCTGAGTATTGGATGGCATCGGATCGACGTTAGTGCGACAAACAAGAATGGAGAATACGTTCGTTGTTATTTTTCTGTATCAGTCGAAGGTTAGTTGAGAGGATATTTTGTTTAAATAAGAGCAAACTTCCTGTGTCTATCTATTCCTTCGGAAGTTATTAAGATTTTTTGAATCATTAAACCAATTTCGACGTAACTGACGTAGTATTGTTTCCTGGATTGATTATGCACTTTTTATTAGTTGTGCGTGAAAGGCAGGAAAAATATCTTGTGAATCATGAGACAATATGAATACATGACGCAAATTTGGTTAAATTTGCTGATTATAATTGAATTGTGTGTTGACAGCGCCTTGATTAGTACAATCACGTTCAGCCTTATCCCAAGTGAACAGAATTTATAGTAATAATTTTTTTGTCAAAATTTTACTAAATGTTCTTTTATAGATCGTGAACCCCCATCATTTGGCTCAACCTGTCCGTCCAACATTCAACTCTACACAGATAAAAACGACAGCATCCGACTACCTTCCTCCTTCAAAAAACCAACAGCTACAGATAATGTCAAACCACCTTCTGTTCACAGTTCAGGCTTTCCCTCTGACTCATTCTTTCCTATTGGTACAACAGTGGTCAAATATACTGCAACAGACGACGCTGGATTAAATGCAACTTGTATTTTTAGTGTTACTGTCGTTAGTAAGTATATTTTCTTGGGTCACTTCAGGTTTAATATTCAGATGAAATATACAATGGTATGCATCAGGTGTTAAAGCATTGATTTTTATAAAATAGGTCTTCTAGTGGAAAAATGTTTCTTTTTTATGTGGTTGCAACTACCTGGAAAGGCTGGAATTGCAAAGAATATCTCGCATTAACAGAGTTATCCATATAGTATTATTAACTCATCAAGACTATTTCACTCTTTTTTTTATCTTCAGACGTATGCAACGGCGCAACTTGTACTCACGGCTCGAAATGTGTCTTGAATCCGGCGACTAAATCCTCATACATGTGTTCCTGCAAGTTTTTCTGCTCCCAACATTACGACCCTGTTTGTGGGTCGGACGGCCGGGACTACAACAATGAATGTCTTCTAAATGCCACCGTTTGCACGTCAAGAAAAACAGTCACAGTCGTGAAAAAGGGAAAGTGTGCAGATGGTACTTTTTACTTTTTTACTTCCATTGTCCATATATACTTGATCTTAACACCTCATCCCATTGAACCCAACATCAATCCCCGCCCTAGGATCCGTTGTATAAAACGTTTGACTAGATTTTGGGTAGTTAAATCGTATCTAATTAAATATCTACATATAATTAAAAATCCAAAAGAAAAAAAAATGCGTATCAAACTAGTACTAGTATTCAACTGCCTTCTCGAAATTTGTGTTTTACTGTAGGAACACACCGGCACTCATTGCCTCTTTGTATGCGTCTTAATGCGTCTTAAACGTGTTTGTTTTTATAAATTATGTGTTCTTTCGTATTTCTTCTATCTCTTTAGAGAATTAGCTTATCTTCTCCGGATAACTTTTTTTTTCTCTGTTTACTTACAGATGCCCTACCCTCGGAACCTTATCTCGTTTATTCTAACATCACCAACCTTCATATTTTGGATCTAAACACTTTAGCACGGACCAATGTGTTGGGGGGGCTAGACAGAGCTATACCTATAGGTATAGACACAAAGCAAAAGCACATCTACTTTGGTGAGAACACCCTGGGCCTTATCTATCGCGTAAATTACGATGGGACGAACAAAACACTGATAATGAAGGATGTTGTTAATGTCGAGGGTGTTGCAATAGATTGGATCGGACGTAAGATATACTGGACCACTTATAAATCAGGGACGATCGAGGTCGCAACGCTTGATGGGAAATTTAGAAAAGTTTTGCTAAATACTGGTCTTGAATACCCTCGTGGCATGGCAGTTGATCCAATTGCAGGGTGTGTACGAAATATGCCTTTACAAATGAATTATATTTTATAAAACGTTAATTCAATGCATTCGCTAGATAATAAATATTTTTTTACTATCTAGACATCTCTTTTGGTCTGACTGGGGAGCCAAAGCAGCTGTTGAAAGATGTGATTTAGACGGTACTAACCGTGTTGCTTTGGTCAAAGACAACATCACATGGCCAAACGGTGTCACCCTGGATACCTCTGCAAGACTTGTCTATTGGATCGACGCGTTTCATGATAAAATCAGTTCCATTGACTATGACGGAAATAATAGAAGAATTACCTTTGAAGATAAATCCTTGGCTCTCTCACAGTTCCATGGATTTGACTTGGATATCACAGGAGATTCAATCTATTATACAGACTGGTTGACTAATTCCATCAATGGCATTAACATAAACACTGGAGTCATGTTCGTAAACATAACAATACCAACTACAAACTTGTTTAAGGGGGCTATGGGACTGCGTGTGATTGACTCTTCGAAACAGAAAGATGGTTAGTAAAAATGTTCCTGCCCTAGGTTAAAACGTTTTTATATCAATATCTAGTTTTCTCTATATTTGCCCTGTTTAACCGGAAAGCCGAAGTTTCTGCCCTTTATTCACAGTTTTTGCACAGAAGTGGGAGTTTTTTGTTTCTCACTTAGTGCCAATATTTAATAATAGAGAGAGAAGTCAGTAAAACACGGAATGGATATAAACACACGCCTCGTTTATAAACACATCTCGTCTTTAGCGAGTAATAACTGTGCCGCTGTCTGTTGTAACACAGTGGTGTCAATATTGAGAAAGCATGATATATATTAGACCCCGTATAAAGATCGTGACAGAAGATATGGGCCTACAATAGTCAGTCTTCGTTTAACATGGATTTTTCTTCAGGAACTACTAATTGTGGAAGCAGTAATGGTGGATGTGAAGAGTTATGTTTCCATAAGGTTCCATCTGGAACATCATGCGCATGTCAGCTAGGCCAAAAACTGGCGAATGATAAGAAAACATGCGAGGATCCCTTTAAAGAAGGTAAGTTTGAAATAAGAAGTCAAAGCTCGTCAATGTTCTCCATGCAGCATCAATTGAAGAAAAGAATGTATATAGCTATATTTAATTGTATCTTGACACTGAGCGGCAGTTCCCGTGGTATATAATTATACTCTTGTAGATAAAGTGGACACATGAAGGAAGTTTGATAAGGAGTATGCATTGAGGTGGATCCTTACTATAGATTATAAAGAATATAGTTTTATGCAATTGTAAAAGCTAATGGTTCCCAAATTAATTTCCTTTCTCCTCAAAAGAGTTCATAATGTTTGCGGACGCTGATGCTGGCAAAATCTACGAAATGCAGCTGGACAGCGTGAATGTAAAACCAATTGCAATTCCATTTGATGAAAACACCAATATTACCCGCCCCGTTGCGTTGGAATATGACTGGGTTGAAGATCGTGTGTACTGGACGGATGTTACCCTTAGAATCATCTGTAGAGCATTCAGAAATGGAACAGGATTCGAGGTGTTGTTCAATGATATTGGTGTGGCAGATGGACTGACCATAGATCTTGCTGGTCGCCAGTTATATTGGACCAGCACAACAAACAATACTGTTGAAACTTCTAAGCTGGATGGGTCATTTAGGAAGACTTTGGTAAAATCAAATCTGGACGAACCAAGAGATATCATTGTGGATCCAATTGATGGGTGAGCTCTAGTTAAACCTAACGTTTGTTCATTCAAAATAACTTTGTCACTAACATAGCCGTATTCTACTGCAACCTAAATAAAGAAGAAAAAATCAGTAAAAACTGTGACTATACATCTTTCCGTTAACCTAAACTCTTGTATAAAGTACAAAATAACATTTGTAAAAAGGAATATCTACTGTTCTGTGCTTGGTTTAGTACTGAGCAGCTTCCAACACTACCCATTTCTCTTCAGTTATATGTACTGGACTGATTGGGGAAGCTTCTCGAGAATCGAGCGTGCCTACATGAACGGAGAAAACAGAATGGACCTGGTAAACCGCACTCTTCACTGGCCAAATGGTCTCACCATTGATCATGTTTATAATAAGTTGTATTGGGTCGATGCTGGTGAAGATAATATTGAAGCAATGGACCTCGACACATACGAACGAAAGGTTGTGTTGAACAAAAAATTCCTTCTCTGTAAGTGGTGGTGAATACATTTGATGGGTATATGAGTGTCGTCACATCTTTACCAGTAGTGATAGAGGGGCACTTTCTTATCTAATTTCGTATAGATCTCGTACTCTTTCACCTCAAAAATAACAATTCATTATCCTAGCTCAAACTGACCAATACAGGAAATACCTAAAAAAATATATTCATGTTATTTTTAAGTTGGCATCTTGTTTCGTCTTACAACCGAAGTGAACCACCCCTATGGCTTGACATCGTTATACGATCATCTGTACTGGACAGACTGGAATACTGACTCGGTATATCGTGGTGACGTAAATACTGCGGCAAACATAAGAGTAATGGCGACTAACCTGGGCAAACCAATGGATATACATGCATATAGTTCCATACCAAAACAACGTAAGTGGTCTGTGGGACAAAATAAAGAACAATAACTAAAGACAGGGGCAAATATAATTTACATTGAGTATTTATTTTTCAGAAAAACGACTACACTACACATTTTCGTTCCCAAAACGTGGCAGCAATTTCACCTGCATCTCATCTCGATCATGTCCTGTTATCAATGCACCTCCATCATGTCCGCCAGGATACTCACACGTCAGGGAGAACTCAACTTGTGGGTTGTATTGTCGAGATATCGTGGGTTACACATGGCGATGCCCGTGCAATGACTGGATGTCGTGTGCTGTGAAAGAAAGATACTTGTGGGGCTGTGCTTATGGTTATTACAGCAGTTTCAGGGTTCGAGAGTGTGTCCAAGGTTTGATCACCAGATATTTTCAAAATATTTCGTCTTTTCTCCACAGGGGGCTGTTTATACGCCCCTGTTTATCCCTTCCTGTCCAAACTTTCATTCTTCGCTTTTCCTCGGGGAAACGAATTAAATATTTTACAGATGGGATTTGTTGTGAAGTCGTGTGGGCAGCCGCGTAGCTAGGAAATAATTTTTAGACTTTTGGACAACTGCAACCAACAGCATTATACTTTATTAGAGATATTACTGTTTGCGGTATATTCCCAGTAATTATGTAAAATCAATATTTTTCTTCTTTATAAGATGTAAAAGCTGGACGCTGTCCTTATGGTGGAGGCAAAGGAACGTCATGTGTCAGTGACTCAGATTGCCCGAGTAATGATAAATGTTGTGACTCGAAGTGTGCAACACCAGCAACAATAGGTATGTACACTTTGTCTGGTTGTGTTCTCATCTCCGAAATTTACCGCGATGTTTATCGCCTTCGCGAGGATGCTAATTTTGCTTAGACTTTTAAAACGCATGCAAAAAACTATCAAAAAAGTAAAGGTGTAATTAATTTTGTCAAACTAATATAACAAAACAAAGCGTACGTCATAATTGCACGCAAATACACTTGTCAGTCATTTTAAACGTCTAGTTCAGTTAAGTGAGAACGAGTAAAAACCGAGCAAGCGAGGTTAATAAAAAGTTAATTATATATGGCATAAGGCATGTATAATGTATTTGCACTTGAAACAAACAAGAAATGCATGAATTCGTATTAGTAGCCTGGTACGCATTTGATAAAAACAAGATATTGAATTCTTGAGTTTACCTAACTGTCTCGGTGGAGACGTCTTATTGAATTTCAAAGGCAATTAAATTTTCTCTTGAGTATTTATTTGTGCCTTTTGCATTCAGAATTTCTCTCTTTTTCTGTCAGGGCATTTTTTAAGGAATTTTGACTAGTGGGGTAAAGTGTGTATTAGGGCCCATGCGCAAGACAAATATGTAATAGACGATTCCCCTTACTAAGAATTAGTAGCGCTTTGCATTATGGTTATGGTGTTATCACTGACATTCAAGACAGTTTGAATGAAAATATTGAATGTTTTCCTCACGATTTTGCTGTTGGTCATTCCTTATACACCTGCCCCAACTTTCCCAAACGCTCTTGCACAGGTGAAGACAAAAAATTTAGATGTGGCTTGACAATCAAAGATACCACTATAACCATGATGCAAAGCGCTACTAAATCTCAATAAAGGGAATCGTCTATTACATACAGATGTCAGGGGCGGCGGAACATAATATATTTTGGGGGGCTAATTTCACGAGGCGCCACCATGGTTGGCGCCGAGCGAATTTTTTTTTGAATTTCAATGCTCTAGATCTTCGGAAATGGCCATTTCAGAGTCTTACTTGCTGCTTTCATCATAGTTTTTCATGGGTAAACACCGCAAACTGAAACGGCACAACGCGTGTTGTGATATCTTCTGCATTTGAAAAATCATCTCTCAAATTCTCAAAATAATTTCCAAACAAAATGGCGGTCCGAAAATAATAACAATAATTATACAACCACGAATAATCTGCTGTTAAAGACAACTATGAAAGATCAAAGAAAGTCAATTTACATTCACTTGATCCGTATCACAATATAGGATATCTTATTAGCATTTGATACGCCAGCGAGCTTTAATTTGACGATTTCGTGGTAACGTAATATGTATGTATATTTAATCTCCCATTCTGGCATTCTTCATGAAATTTTTGAGGGGGCTAAAGCCCCCCCCCCCTAGCCCCCCTGTTCCTCCGCCCCTGACAGACGTCTCACGTAAATGCCGTAATTACATACGTATTTATTTCTTCGAAAAAATTTTAAGACGCATATGTTAAAACTGATAAATTACCAACCCTTTACAGTGAAAAAAGGGCCCATTCTATCAGGAAATCAAGGTTCACTACTGGGGCAGGCACAGGGCCTACTGGGGTAAATGCCCCAGTAGTTATACAGTTAAAAAATGCCCTGCTTTTTCATCTCATAATGGATCGCTGGTAACGCCAGTCCATTACGCGAAAGTGCCGGTTCAGTTGACTGAATCAAAATACGGATGTTTCCATGTGATGTTCTGAGGCGATGGATTTATTTTTTATCTCAGAAGGGGATCTAAAATTAACCCAGCGAGTGAAGAATCATAATGATTTTAATATTTTGAATTATCCAGCCGCTCATCCATGCCAGACAAACAACGGTGGTTGTGACCAGCTGTGTTTCGGGATTCCTGGTGGACACAAATGTGGTTGTAAAAATGGTTATAGCTATGACAAAACTCAATCTAAGTGTGTTCACTCTACAAGACCTGCAAATGTAACTGTAAAACCGCCGCCCGGAAAAAGTGAGTAGAAGTTCTATGTTTTTATTTGCAATATTCTTTTAGGTCTTTACACCCTGGTTTTTACAGTCCTTTCGGTATAGACGTGATGTGCGCTCAGCAAAGACCTCGTTTACACTTCATCCATTGTATAAGGTGCACAGTCTAAATCTTATTTTCTATTACAAGATTACTATGTTGTAGGAATCGGAAACCTATCCCTTACTAATTAGCCTGATAAGTTAAGCCCGTTTTCCACTATGAACAGATTAAAAGTAGGAAGCGTTTCTACTTTTTCGCGGCGAATTTTTTCGCAAACCAATGACATCACCGGATTTCAGATATCGCTTCGCGTCGCGCGAATAAATTCGCCAAGTGGAAAACCGGCTTTAGGAGCCTGTTATACGAAAGTTGTTATCGTATGTCAGTTTGATATTGAACAATACAATAATTTTAAATTGTGAAACAATTCAGTAAAATATGAATACAACTGCAACTTCGTACAAACATCTCGGAAATGGCAATAAATGCCTGAGTAGATTGGGAAACAGTTAAAATAGAAGTTTAAAAATTAAAATAGGAGGAAGATAGTGTTGTCATTCAAATGTTCTTTTAATATAAATTTCGTTTAGGTTGCAAGCCACATCCAGCCCCAAAACATGGCTCAGTGACCTGTGACACCGTGGGTGGTTATGTTCCTGAACATAAAAAATGTAATTTCTCGTGTGACTCAGGATATCGGTTAATTGGTCGGGGTTGGGATATTTGCATTAAAGGAGTATGGATTGACGATACACCAACCTGCATAAGTAAGTTTAACGAAGTTTAACGTACGAACTTCAACAGACGATGTTTTGCACACATTCCGTATTATTCGCCGCTACAGAAGTGCTACTAAAATCTTCCCTTCTCTGCCCTCACATCCTTCCGACGTCCCTGACTTCATTCATTCGAAACAGCTATCTATCTGTGCGAAACTGTTTTTCCAAAGTTCCAGTACAATTGTCACTTTTATCATTTCAATGCTGATTTTTGGCCCAAAGCTGCTGTGATAGTCTTGGCCTAATATACAACCAGAGCTAGTCAGGAAGTCAGGCCCTGATTTTGTACTTAGTCTTCGTGCCAAATTCGAATTATATTTCTTCTTGCCGGCATTATTAACAGATTTCTTATAATTTATTTTCAATTTTAGTCGATACAAGGCCTAAACTATCGCATTGTCCGAATGACGTAACAGTTCCCACAAACCCCGGCGAAAGTTTTACGACTGTTTATTGGGACATTCCCACGGCAACAGACTATAATGGAACAAGTCTACCAGTCGACATATATCCATTTGGCTACTCCCCCCCTGTTAATCTGAGTATTGGATGGCATTCGATCTACCTTACTGCGACAGACAAGAATGGAGAAAGCACTTATTGTTATTTTTCTGTAACAGTCGAAGGTTAAGAGCTAACTTCCTTTAAAAATAGTGGCCGCCAATTATCTAAGTTTTAGGGGTTTTTTTATAGATATGGAACCCCCGTCATTTGGCTCAACTTGTCCATCCAACATTCAACTATACACAGATAAAAACGACAGTATCCACCTGCCTTCTTCCTTCAAAAAACCAACAGCTACAGATAATGCCAAACCACCTTCTGTTCACAGTTCAGGCTTTCCAGCTAATTCATTCTTTCCTATTGGTACAACAGTGGTCAAATATACTGCAACAGACGATGCTGGATTAAATGCAACGTGTATTTTTAGTGTTACTGTTGTTAGTAAGTATATTTTCTTGGGTCACTTCAGGTTTAATATTCAGATAAAATGTACAATGATATGCATCAGGTATTAAAGCATTTATAAAATAGGTCTTCTAGTGGAAAAACGTTTCTTTTTTATGTGGTTGCAACTACCTGGAATTGCAAAGGATATTTCGCATTAACAAATCGTGCAGTATTGATTAACAATCATGTTTTCGTATAATCAAGACTATTTCACTCTCTTTTTTATCTTCAGACGTATGCAACGGCGCAACTTGTACTCACGGCTCGAAATGTGTCTTGAATCCGGCGACTAAATCCTCATACATGTGTTCCTGCACGTTTTTCTGCCCGCAGCATTACGACCCTGTTTGCGGGTCGGACGGCCGGGACTACAACAATGAATGTCTCTTAAATGCCACCGTTTGCACGTTAAGAAAAACAGTCACAGTCGTAAAGAAGGGAAAATGTGAAGATGGTACTTTTTACTTTTTTACTTCCATTGTCCATATATACTTGATCTTAACACCTCATGCCAACATCAATCCCAGCTTTGCCCTCATCTTCTTCTGGGTTATATCCCAGGCCCTGGGGTCCGTTGTATACTGAAACGTTTGACTAGTTTTGAGGTAGTTAAATCGTATTGTTAATTAACTCGATGATAACATTTTAATTGGCCAATTCTGGCACTAGTTAAAAGTTAAGTGCATTTTTATACCGACAACCAAACCCTGATCGACATTCTTACTTCTTCATAGCTGTACCACCAAGTATTTCCAAGATCTTATTCTCATCAGATTAATAATCGCGCGTTTTTTTTTCATTTCAAGCATGCGACAAGAAGAAGTGTACTCACGGAGCAATATGCAGAGTAAGAAACGGAAAAGCGGAGTGCTCTTGTGATTTGTCATGCAGTGATACTTTAGATCCTGTTTGTGGTTCTGATGGAAAGAACTATGAAAACAGATGCAAGATGAATGAAACTGCGTGCAATGAAAAAAATATTATTACTATGCTAAAAAGGGGAAAATGTGGTATGTTCATTTGTTTTGTAGTTTACTTAATAATCAGACTTTTCAAGGAACGCCGCTAGCACACGAACATCTGTGTTTTTTTTTTTGTTTCAAAATTTTCCTAATATTTACCACATGCATTAAAAAAATTTATTTCTCGTTCCTGTCTTTTAGTTGACTGCAGCACAGTGAAGTGTGGTTTTGGAGCACAGTGCGTAGTTGAGGGTGGTAAAGCAAAATGTGAATGCAACTTTACCTGCGCAGATAGTAACAATCCTGTTTGTGGCTCAGATGGACGGACGTACAAAAATAAATGCGAATTACAAAATAAACAATGCGCTGGACGGAGAAATATCACGGTTATTAAAAACGAACCTTGTGGTAAGCAAAATATATATGCACGTACCTTCAAGAATCTCGTATTAATTTTGTTACTAACATGCGTTTTGACAACGCAGGTAAAATATTAATTGTTGACAAAACTGTTACAATTTCATCATATATAGGCTGTGATGACCTCAATTCAACTGATGCAGAATCTTTCACCAACTCGAGCACAATGCAATGTCAAGACAAGGATAATTCCGTGCAGTGTGAAGTCAAATGTAAAAGTGGATATAATGCAGTTTTCAATAATTTCTTGAAGTTACAATGTTATGAGAAGCAGTGGATAAGAGGAAACAACGCTGGGGCATATGTCGTACTTGCGGACGTGAATAGTCCTCCGACATGCTACGGTAAGATTTGTTTGTCGATTTGTCGTTTCTCAGTATAAAATTCACATCAAAAAACTAAACAATATGATTAGGAAGTCTTATACAATGGTCCATTCAGTTCTGCTAAACTTAGGCACCTATAGTTATATAGTTATTCTAGATCATGCAACCTATTTCTGTACTTAATTCGACACCGGCTTGTCGCCTGTTTGTGACGAAAATGAACTATGTCTATGTAGTGAGGTTGAGAAAACTCATCTTACAGACCAACGCGAAAGGGTTCGTTGCTTTAGGCTCATGGAGTTACATGACAACAGCTGACTCTGACACGAAGAAAATTAGTTTTCTTTTCAGAAACACGAGGGAGTAACCGGAGTACTGAACAGAGCTATTCAACAAAAATAATGCTTGTCTATAATTACATTAAAAGATCTTCAATTCCTCTTGTAGTAACACTGTTCAGGAGGAAGAATTGTTTAGAAAAGATGAAGTTATTAACTTGAGCTATTATTACTTTGTCTACCATACATGTATTAACTGATAGTAATAAATTACTTTTCAGAACCGACGCCAAAACAATCCCATTCTCCGTATTGTCCTTCTGGTTCGGCAATATACAAAGATGTCTGCGGTAAATGCTTATTGAATACTAATCTTTCGTCTGTAAAAGTAAACCTAACTATGTCATCCGCCTCTTTTCTACACATTTCCATTCTTCCAAATCTTTCTTCGCCTGTCTCTTTTATAATAAATTTTCTAATATAATACTCTTCAGTGGAATGTCCACGAGGCAGTTATCTCGATCAAAACAAAACAAAGTGTGAACCATGTCCAGTGACTGAGTATCAAGATTCAGCAGGACAAACTTCTTGCAAGAAATGTAAATCCACGAAAACTTCAACTGCAACAGGAGCTGAGAATTGTTTCTTTGATCACAGTATGTTTTATAATATGATAATGTCTCAATAATTGGGAAACGACTGCATAATATAGCTAGGGCAGCTTCGATAGTTGTTTTTTTGAGACTAAATAATCAAACATGCCGTTGTCGCGACTCTTTAGTCTCATTACCTCGCGACTTTTAGTAGGGTTTTCATAAGTAATTCTCTTCGCACGATCAAGTTTTCAGTCATTTTTTCTATCAACCGTTAGGTAACTCTGTTGTCGAAATGGTTTTTGCCGTGAAACCATCAAAAGTATGTAAAAAAATTTGTTAAATATGTGAATATTTAAGAGCTTTCGTGAGTTTTGTCATATGAAGTTGTCTGCTCCTGCAAATGCATCATAAATACTTGAATATATGCATATCTAAATCTAGGTTTCAAAGGATAAAGTTCAAAGTGGTATCGCGAAAGCTTTGACGAACGTTTGTAAAACTGAAACATGTTCTTTTAATAAAAGCACAACAGGGTATGTAAATATACACTTTACATCCCGTTATAATATGCGTTGGGTTATAAGATCATGTAAACACGGGACCAGAAACACGCATTTTTCCAGGTTCTTGACTGTTGAAGTCATGAGAATCATAATTTAGCGTCACTGACTTCAACTTCAACCAAATGAACGGTCCCTATATAACAATTAACAGATGGAAGCGTTCCAGTTATGTATATTCATTTCAGTGTTCATGGCCATCAAAAGCCACTAGCTCCAACTTCTCGGGAGACAAAGGAATATTTAGTAAATACGGATGAATTTAAAAACAAAAATAAATATAACACATTGTGTGAAAAAACGAATTAAAATCTCGTGTATTGATGTTACAGTGTTTAGTTGTTTTTCCACAACTAGTATTATTAAATAATGATTTCTTGATTTTCGGCTGACATTAACAGGCCCTAGTATTTTCATTACTGCAAATAGTAACTAAAAGAATATATTTTCTCTTTCAGTCGTAATAAACGTGCCAGTGACACGTACAAATTTGAAGCTAAGCATGTTATCATTATGAGTCAGAAGCCGAAGGCGAAGGAAGAAGGCCAAAACACAGCAGTCTATTTCCTAGTCCTTGATCCAAAATCAACTTCACTTCTACCAGATCAAGCTTTCTCGTCGAAAAATCTCAAGTATTTGATAGAAAAAATACAAAAGGGAGATCTCCCATATCCAGTCAGTGGTACTGAAACAGTTCCGCCAACGACTCTGACATCTATCAGTGACACACCGACAACAGTACGATCTGCCGTTAGGCCGACGGCTGCATCTTCACAACCGTCGCCGTCTATTAATAACGTCGATAACGAAGCCTCTACAGGAGAAAAGTCAACATCAAAAGTACCAGTTATAGCTGGTGTTGTTGTGGCTGTTGTTGTACTCATTTTCCTTGTGTTTGCATTCTGGATGTATAGACGACGCAAGAATAAAAGGTGACGTTTTTTTCTTTCAAATTTACTGATTGAATGGAAGGATGTGAGTAGTTTAACTTTATAGCGGGAATATTTATATTTTTTCTTCCCGGCAGCACTATCCCTCCAGTACAGTTTAATTCTGCTAATGAAGACAGAACGCAGATTGGTGATGGTCGTCAGTCAGAACAAAATCAATCAAATACCTATGATACCCCTGCCATTCAACTAAGCTTTCTAAATAAAGGTAAGCTATCGTACGTTCTCAGCTGCGATACATTTTAGGAGGTCGGAAAAGGTCGCCTTACAATAGCATGTCCTACTGATATAAACATACTAACTTCACTTCTGTTAGTATTTACAATAACATGTATAGTATATACTAAGGTTTGGAAATTTGTAGACAAAAAAAGTTCAACCTAGCTACTTGTTGTACATGCTCTTAGTATTTACAAACATATTTTCTACAGTATTCAGTGATATTCATGGACCCCCTCCTTCCTACTCTGAAAGATCCTCTGAAGACCAATCCACCAGCAATGGTCTCGCTCGTCCTCATGTGTATAAAATTCCTGATGATGACCAGGCTGATCCATTACCCGCAAAGGAGAAACTGCCTGGGGATGCAGTGGTTGATATGATTCCTGAGCAGCAAGATGAGATAAAAAACCAGAAATCACCCGAGGTCGTGTCTTTCCCTAAGCGAACAGCAGTTTCAAATATCTACGAAGTACCTAACATGCGATCATTTCAGCGTACTCCGGATGCCCAACCCCAGTTGAGGTGAGTAAATGCATGTTTTATGCATGGTTCTGGCTGTAGCGGTTATCAGTTCAGTTGTCAGCTATGAACCATTGATATATTCGGTCATTCGCTTTTTACTCCGCCTACGTAGAAGCGGTGTCTGGAAATGCCTGTCGCAGGGCGCTTCTGGCACGGCGTCAGTGAAACGCACTACTTGATAACTAGATACATGTAGGTGCATTTGGGGATAAGTTGACGTCGGAACCTTTACAAATATGGCGGTAATAAAAATGTAATAAAAATATTGTCAAACTTCCATCCTATGCTTTTCTATGCTTGTATCTATCAATTCAAATGCGTAATTGTTGCTCTTCTATTGTGGATGTCAGAAATTTTCAGAGCGATCTAAGGAAAGTGATAATAATAATTGTGATAGTAATATGAAAGTGATAATAATAATTGTGATAGTAATATGAATTTATGAAAGTGATAGTAATATGTGTTTTAGTATATAAAATTAATAGAGCGTACCTCCGATGATTGCGATTTATAAACTGAGAACTATGCTTTTGAGAACTTTTAACTTCTTAATTTTTAGAGGCAGCATTCTCCCTAACTGCATTATATTTCGCTGCAGTCGGAGTAAACGCCGAAACGGCGTCTTGTTAACAATAATACTAGAGTTTTAAGAATAAACACTGGTCACTGGGGTCAGTTGTTCAAAGCGAGGTTAGCACTAACCCTGGGTTAAATTTTAATGCAGTGTTTTAGTTTATGTGCTTCTGGCTTTTGAACAACCAGCCCTGGACTGTTATTTTCAATATAAACTATCATTTGAACTAAAGTTTGGTAACATTCCCCAGATTGCAGCCTCCTCCAAAATCAGATTATGCTTTTCGGGATCAAGCAGCTTCCTCCATTTTACCAAACGTCCCTCGGAAATCAAAAGCGAATGTCGCCCTAACAGATGCAAACGAGAACACAAACCACCAGGGTCGCTCTGTGTACCAAAATGTTGGTGACGTCACAAGAGAGCAAAGCGAAACCTAGGCTGGTCATATGACACATTCCTGCAATCTGGTTAGATATTTTACATATTTGATTGTGACAAAATCCATCTACTTAACTTTTCATTTTCTTACATAAACAGCATGTGATTAGCACATGCACAAAATGTCATAAACGCATTGCATTTTGTAAAAAACTTTGTTAACAATGGACTATACATAAGTCTTGCTGTAGATATTGACATCTTGTGAAAATTTTTAGGAGCAAGGTCACACAAAACATATTTACACTTACTTTGTAAAGACAACTCTCTGTTGAGTAAAACAACATAAAACTTAGCACAATGTTTTTACAAATTTCAAAAGAATGATCAGTATCGACGTATACCAATAGACTGTTTGAGTAAATACTTCCCGACTTCATCGTTTTCAATTTAGAACCAGCTTATATAGATGAAATGGTGCAAAACATAATTATTCAACACAAGCATGTAGTTAGGCCATATTATTTTGGAAACTGTTCTTTTGCCTCACCTGTCCAGATATTGCGGCCGAAGAGTTCTATCGTGCTTCATCTATGCGCAATTTCGGAGTTCTTACCGTTCAGTTTGTATCACGGCCTGCACGGGTCAATTTTTGTCCTTTGTAAAGGTTGACTAAGACCCCATTCACACACAATACCAGACAACCGTCTTAAAATATGTTCTCTCTTCCGTTTGCACGAGAATCAACGGAACCAGGCAAGTTCCTTTTTTTACCGAAGAGTCCTTTTTAATAGAATAAATTAGCGCATTTGCGATCCATGGAAACATACATGTACAAGAAAAGGAGAATTTCGGCCTATCCCAATCCGCCCATTTCACCATTGGACTAGAGTCAGCGAGCAGACTACCACTGGACTGAAAAGACCATGAGCTCAAATTTTTAAAGACCATTCCAAATCATTACAATGACCATATATAGCCTGCTTCATTACCGCGGTCATTGGATGCAGATTATTATGTCAATGTTTATTAGCGGTTCATTGAACTTCATTATACCGCGCATCGTCACCTTAAACCCCTGAATGTCAACTGCAATCATGAGTTATTAAAATCCCCATTAACTTTTTTTTTGTAATGAAGCTCTGTCTAAATATTAAGTGTGGTGCACAATTAGGATTAGTGTCATTGCGTAGTTCCTTTTATACTTCCTTGTTGGAAATTTTGGCACCGGAGATCATTTGTTGGACGAGAAATCTATAAAAAGGATATACTGACAGATTTTGGAAACAAATCTTAAAAGGTATAGTATATCTGGCGTTATTGAAAACGAATTTCGTTTCTAAAAAGTGAATATAAGCTAAACACAAGCTCTTCAACAGTTTCTTCCGCGCATGCAGTTGAATTTATGTATTTCCAGGAAGCATTATAAGCACACCTTGGGGTTTTTAAACCAGTTAATGTACGCACAAGCACAACACGCGATTCAGTGCACAGGCTTCATTTGTAATTTGCCTTTGGGTGTTTAAATATTTAAAAATTTCGAATTTTAAACCTACCAGATGGTTTGTTTATAAAAAATCTTGGCGTCCAATGGGTATGCCGCCAAGGCTCACACATCCTATACAAACTAGCAGACTGTCTGGGCTGGGTTAGCTTAACTGAATCTCGCCCATCCGGTCGGCAGTGTAAGTGGAAAATACATTTCGATTATAATATTGCTAGCCAATAAACACAACTAAATGGATTTTGTAGTTTGTAAAAAAAGTAATAGCGTGACTTCGGTAGCCATCGTCGGCTTATTAGAAACAGAAATGTATGGAATTCTACGTATAAAGAGTATCGAATGTCTTTTTATGTAACTCTAGGCAAGAAATTGGTCATAAATTCTTCGCAAGATTATACCCGTTTCAAAATGCTGTGTTTTGTCGTCTGTTTGACAATCTTTAGCATCTGTGCAGGTGAGGAAAAAGTGTTTATGTTATCTAACATTTGTTGCTGCAAATGACGTTCTATACCAGATGAAATGTACAAAAATATCTGCCATTCAGTAGAAATTTACGCTATTTGGCCAGCTGTGGACTGAACAACGGTTAAACATATTGCCGCAAATCAGCGATTCTTTCTCTAGTTTGACGGTATATTTCGCTTAGCCAACAATACGGAATGTCTAAGGACTACTGAGTCTGAGAGCTAAAGCCTAGAGACGTGTAGTTATAATCACCAGTTGGTCGTCACCTGTCGTCTGCACTGACAACTCATAGACATGTGAGAAGGCTACTAAAATTTATCTTCTTACGACATTAATCATTATAGAAAGTACGTTATATACGACGTAATAACGACATTACTCATTATATAAAGTGGGTTTGAAAAGAGAAATTGATGATCGTAGTCGAGTGTTGGAAGCAACACTAGAGTAGTCTACTGGCGAAATATTTCTTCATCCTTTGATTAGGAAAAATATTTTACGTCGAAGATTAACGGCAACAACACAACAAAAGATGAAGGCTCAGAATTATAGTTTGCCGTGTTGCTAGGCAATTGAATCTATAATGATGATATAAAACACGGCTATATATACACGCCATTTTTTTATGAATTTATTCATAATATTCCTTCGATTCGCCGCAATGTTCTCAGATTTCGCCGCGACCAATACTACGATTGATTATTAAAATATCCCAGCTTTCTCATTCTAATCCCATAAAGATTAACACTGCATGGGACATGTTAAGAAAAATTCGCGTTTGCGTGACTATAAAAAAAGTCTATATGTAAAATAGTTCTCTGCCTGTTCTCCTGTCATAACCTGCTAAGACCAGATTAGAACCTCATCCGTCCCGTCGGTCACCTTGAGTGGCCATCTCCTATATAGGCTAGCTTGCTATTATTCCTCATGCATATTACTGTGTTATATTTTACTGAAATCAACAAAGGGTGGTGATGCTGCGTGTGTAGTTACCAATCTTGGACACTGATTTTCGAACGCGTGTTTATTACAACATATACGCCTAACCTGAAACTCGAGTCCTAATTATACACACTGCCTAAATTTCAACGATAATGTTAAAATATTCAAGAAGTATTCAAGAATAAATTTCAAGAAGCTTAATCCTGGCTTAACGCAGATCTACGACTACGAAAACGATTCAAAAGCTGTGAAAAGTATATAGACATGCAACTGTCTGCACTGAAATACAACAGGACCGGGGTCTGAATGTTTCTACCGTATAAAGGAAGCGCCCTGGAGTATATTCATGATTCAACTTGTGTGTCTGAGATTAACCATAACTATGGATTAACATTACGCAGACATGCATGTTTAAGGGTTAAATTTAAAATATGCCGGGGCATGTTCTGGCGTTATCTCCGGCGTGCCGTGCACTTGCCAGTCTTCAGTATCTAAACCTAAACAATACAGTTCATACTCATGCCTTGCAAACCTAAATGTTGTTCGATCGCGAAATTCAGAAGCACACCGTACTTTAAAAAGCATAAAGTTCAATTGTTCAAAAATTTAAGTAAACCGCATGATACGTTCACTTTGTCTTACACTTTGCCTTTGGAATTCGCTTGTATAGTTATATTAAATCTTCAATCCTGTGCAAACTACGACGTGTCAACGCGCCCATACACGACGACATCTTGTTAAACGGCAAAATAGCAGCGATATTATTAAAATAGGACCAGAATCTACATGTGTTAGATATATTCTTACGCCAATTAAATCTAAACTTAATCGAACAGCATGAAAAGAACGGTTTATTTGTTCCTCTTGGAGGAATTGTCGTATCATGCGAGCGAAATCAAATCGCGCATCGGAAAATTAGCCAAAGCTGTGCACCACAACTCTTGGGAGACAAAACTGTGACGTAGATAAATACGGTCACATACATATTTCAAAAACTTGTATGATTTCGCGCTAAAACACACTTGCGAAAACAAAGCCCAGGCGAATTTTCAACTGCGTCGCTCACGTCGTAGTAATTATAGAAGATTCCTCAGTTTTCACTGGGTCATTCCCAGTGCTCTCACTTTTGGGGAAATTTCCCCAGAAAGGGGAAATTGGTAGATTTTTGGGGAGCATTCTGGGGAACTCCTTTTTTTGGGGAAATTTTTGGGGAATTTTTTAAATGTTGTTGAAACACATGTTTTAATTGTTTTTGCCTTGTTTTGTTTGTTAAATATGATTATTTTGATTACATTATATATGTTATATGATTTATTCGCAAATTTGACGCAAAGATACTTTTCGTTATTTCGTAATTTTTGTTTAAAAAATAAAAAGATATATCACATGCAAAAAGTGATCCATGCGTGACGGTAAAGCCTAAAGTAAAATGCCTATTTGCTTGTTTGTGTCACAAAAAAAAACAATATCAAACATCTAAGCAATCCGAGGCAATGCGCTTCGTCAGCTTATGGAGTTATCAGTTATGGTTTCAAAAGTTGTTCCAGGATTAGTTCAGTGGCTTCTGAATCAGTTGCATTGCTCTTGACGTTTTTAAGATGAGTGGAAAGCTTTCCACTCACCTTCAAATTATGTGCTGAAAGCGAGTGCGCATTAAGACCATCTTTAGTGTGTAGAAGACCAACGAGACTTTCTCTTTTCAAAGAGTTTCGAGTGGATGATTTCACAAGCTTTAGTTCACTAAACAATCTCTCGACTGCGGCATTAGAAGAAGGAAGCGACATCATACAGCTGACTATTTTCTTCAAATTGGGATATTTCTTTCTTCCGTCCAAAGTATGCGCTTCAAGCCTTCGCTTCCAGAATTGCAATGACGATTCATCAGGATCAATCACGTTTGACTCTTCAAGGGCTTGCTTTCTCCATTCAGAATCAACAAATTCTTTGTCTGCAACGTTGGATAGGTACGGGAACGTATTAAACAGCCGCAGTAGTGTAGGCGGGTGACAGTTAACAGCATTTTGCGGTATTAGGAATTCGAGAAGGGTGTATGCAGGATCCTGCAGATTGAAACGTTGCCTTATTTGTCTTACGAGTTCCAGCATGAACGCTAAACAGTTTTTCCTGATATCTTGACAACGGTGTACGGCTTCTGGATCATTTTCAATTAACTCGTATAGTGTCGCTGTTGCCTTGATTCCAAGGTACACTTTATCGACAGGCACCATTAGATTCGGGTCATCTATGGAGATGGTAAATGGATCACAATTTCTGGCGACATCTAACTTTATGAAATCGGACAAAATTGATCTTAGCAGTCTGCAAACTTCACCATGGAGATGATGCAGGACAGGACCCGATGTTTGAAACATCGTGTTGAATTCGTTTAATTTATGCAGTTGAGCGCTCAAAAACTCGAGTTGGACTTTTAGATACTTGTTGTTAAGGGCACGAAGAATACTTTCTGTGGTATGCGAAGGGTCTCTCTTCTCTGCAACAAAGGAAATGAAGTAGAGTTGTAGAGCATTCCATTGCTCTAGAAGCCGTGAAACACATGATTCCAAGGACAACCATCTGGTTTGGGATAATCCTAACAACTTGTGGGGCTCAGCTTCTACAAAATCTTGAAACTGTTCGTATTCCTTTTGTCTCATGCTTGATCTGCTAAAATGCGAGTATACATTTCTGCATAGATCTTCTAGCGATGTAGACAACATTTGGCAGGCATATGATGAACATAAGTGGATCAAGTGGCAACTGCATTTGACGGTAAGAATATGTGGAAACTGCTGCTTTAAAAGGGACACGACGCTATGCCTTTCGCCGAACATGACATTAGTCGTATCTGAGGAATATCCAATGATGTTTTCCATTGGAATTGCTTTTTCACTAAAAACATCTTTGATTGCTTGATAGAGCCCGTTTGCAGTCGAGTCTACTACAGGTACCATGTCGAAAAATCTGGTAACAATATTCAAATCATGTTCTTCACAATAAACCACGCATATCCCTAATTGTTTTTCGGTAGAAACGTCTGTGGTTTCATCTGGAATTATGCTGAAGTAAGATTTCCGTAAAATTTCTACTAGCTCCTTCTGAAAATATAGTCCAACACCTTGCCTCATAATGTTAGTGCATCGGGTGGCTGACAAGTGGATTCCGTTGAGAACCTCGACTTCTTTCCCGTTTTTAGGTGCGATTGACTTGAACAAACTCATCAAACTATTTATCAAATTCAAAGGCAGGTTATGCTGTGCAATAAAGGAACACATTCGAGCCTCTGTTGTTTCTTTATAGGTGGTGCTTTCTTGTTGACGTTGTAAACATTCAACAAGGTTTCCTTGTTTTTGCCCTGTTGCCGTTATCTCAGAAATTGCCCTTTTGTGTTGTGCACATTGACTGTGCCGTCGAAGAGCAGTCTTCCTGCACGATACTGACTTGTTACACACTTTGCAGAAGCAAGCATTTTCTCCAGGGCGTGGACGCACCAACCAATCTTTAAATTCTGGCTCCTCTAACCATTGATGTCTGAATTGTTGCACGTATACCCTTCTTGCTGTTTTCTCGGGCGGTCCTTTGTCGACGGACACTGATTCAGACTCGGATTCGGATTCTTCGGTGTCTTCACCTTCTTCGAAAAACGTATTAAAATCACCCATGTCACAACTCACCACATGGCATGAATAATAATTACTGAAATTTGTAAATTACGCAAGAACTATACTTCATGTTACAACGTAATTTTGTATCTAAGGAATTCTTCGGAAATCTGGGGAAATTTAAGAAATTTTATGGGGAATTCATCAATTTCGTTGTGAGAGCACTGGTCATTCCGTTAATTCAAAGAACTTGTGTTTAAGAATATTTACTACTATGAATATTTACTTCATGTGAGCGTTTTACAATCCCAATACATATGGAGATCTGTGGCTGAATGAAGAACAAGCACACTACTATAAAAACATTATATTATAGCAACGATATAAAAGAATAGTCTCATTGTCGTGAAGCCTGTACGGTTTTTTGTGTTCACAGTCTGCACCACCTTGACAAGTTAACGACACTTGCGACTAAATGGAACCAGGCTGATAAAACGAGGCTGATAAACGATAGCATTCCGTAAATTGAAGTAAATTAATCATGAAGTACATCATGATGAAGTGGCCAAACATGTGACATTAATTGAAACGACCATGCATTATTATCAGTATTAATATTAGTCAGTATTGAATGCATCGTCTTCATCATTTGAATGAATTTTAAAAAACGCGAAATAGAAATATAAACTATTTATAATAACCTCACGTAAAGGTTTAAAATCATTTAAATGATACTTATGAAATCAACGATTGAATAGATGCATAGGGTTGGATTCTGTTGATGATTTCGTGTGTTTTTTCCGGCATAAAATTAATTATACAACAACAACTTAAGGCTGTTTTCCACTTACGCGTTTTTCATACGCACGTACACGCACGTGAAAGTCTAAATCCTTATACATCTTACCTTTGAAAAAAGTAAGTGAATAAATCGAAGGAACTTAGTTTTCTGCATATTTTAGTATGCATTAGTTGACCTAGATGTTAAATAATAAAAATTTAAAAGCATTTAAAATTTTCCGTACGTGTACGTGCGTATAAAAAACGCGTAGGTGGAAAGCAGCCTTTAGAAGGTTTTAATATTTTACGTTCGTGCACGTACGTGCAAAAAAAACTCGACAATGGAAAGCAGCCCTAACCAATCAATTAACGTATTGGTATTGTCTTAGGGGCATAGAATGTTACACAACCCCCCAAACTGACTCCCCCTCATTATTTAGCAGATTCAACAATTTCTAAAAAAGAAGATGAAGATTCCAAAGATATATTGAAAGTTTCGCCCTTGAGTTTTGCCGACTGAGATTGCTTCGCGGTCCCTGCATAATACAACAGTTAGAACCTCTCACTGCGCATCCAACTGCGGCGTGTTGCGACGGAAAGAAATAGCATCATGACATAAGGCTGAAACTAGACGAATTGAATTATGCACGCATGTCAAAATATTCAGGTTTCTTTTCGATATTTGTGTCTCACTGATGTGAAACACTTGTCTAGCATACACTTTGGTGAATATATGTACGTTTACCTAAGGCCCGTTTACACTTGCAATTCAGTTTGCTGGGATTTTATGTGCGATTTACTTCTTTTCGTAGATGTGAACGAGTGAATTAGTTACTGATGTTTAAATAAGAGCTCTTATACATCAGAGCATCCGTAACTAGTCACTCGTTCACATCTACCGAAAGAAGAAAATCGCACCTAAAATTGCAAGTGTAAACAGGTGTTAATTCAAAATAACGGGCATAATTTTAGTTTTAAATGCGATTCTTTAAAAGAACTTGACTACTGGGTAACTTACATTTTCTCTGTTCACTTATACAGATGCCCTCCCCCAGGAACCTTATGTCATTTATTCCAACATCACCAACCTTCATGTTTTGGATCTGAAAACTTTGGTGTTTACCAATGTGTTGGGAGGACTGGACAGAGCTGTACCTATAGGATTTGACACAAAGCAACAGCACATCTACTTTGGTGAGCACACCCTGGGCCTTATCTATCGTGTAAATTACGATGGATCGAGCAAAACACTGATAATGAAGGATGTTGTGTATGTCGAGGGTGTTGCAATAGATTGGATCGGACGTAAGATATACTGGACCACTTATAAATCAGGGACGATCGAGGTCGCAACGCTTGATGGGAAATTTAGAAAAGTTTTGCTAAATACTGGTCTTGAATACCCTCGTGGCATGGCAGTTGATCCAATTGCAGGGTGTGTATGAAATATGCCTTTACATATGAATTATATTTTATAAAGGGTGAATTCAATGCATTCGCTAGATAATGAATATTTTTTTAATATCTAGATATCTCTTTTGGTCTGACTGGGGAGTCAAAGCAGCTGTTGAAAGATGTGATTTAGACGGTACTAACCGTGTTGCTTTGGTCAAAGATAACATCACGTGGCCAAACGGTGTTACCCTGGATACCTCTGCACGACTTGTCTATTGGATCGACGCGTATCATGATAAGATCAGTTCTATTGACTATGACGGAAATAACAGAAGAATTATCTTTGAAGATAAATCATTGGCTCTTTCCCAGTTCCATGGATTTGACTTGGATATCACAGGAGATTCAATCTATTATACAGACTGGTTGACTAATTCCATCAATGGCATTAACATAAACACTGGAGTCATGTTCGTAAACATAACTGTACCAACTACAAACTTAATTAAGGGGGCTATGGGACTGCGTGTGATTGACTCTTCGAAACAGAAAGATGGTTAGTATTTGAACCTTTGTTATGTTAGTCCTGGACTTAAACGAAGAATGTCGCGCTAACATATTTATGCCTGAAGTTAAAGTACACTAGTGGGGTAGGACATGATGATCGATACTACATAACAATCTATCTATACTACATGACAATCCATGTACACTACATAACAATCTACATAACAATCTATCTATACTACATGACAATCCATGTACACTACATGACAATCCATGTACACTACATAACAATCTATCTATACTACATGACAATCCATGTACACTACATAACAATCTACATAACAATCTATCTATACTACATGACAATCCATGTACACTACATGACAATCCATGTACACTACATGACAATCCATGTACACTACATGACAATCCATGTATACTACATGACAATCCATGTACACTACATGACAATCCATGTACACTACATGACAATCCATGTACACTACATGACAATCCATGTACACTACATGGCAATCCATTTATACTTCATGATGATCCATTTATATCACATGACTATCCATCTATACTACACGATGATCCATTTATATCACATGACAATCCATCTATTCTACTACATGATGATCCATACTACAAGACAATCATCTTATACTACATGACAATACTACAAAGAGCTCCACTTTCAAATTGAGAAATTGCTTCATATGTTTCTAGGAAAAAGTAATTGTGGAAATAATGCTGGAGGGTGTGAACATTTATGTTTTAATAAGTTTCCTTCTGAAACTTCGTGTGGATGTCAGTTAGGTTTTAAACTAGCGAATGACAACAAGTCGTGCGAGGACGCTTTTAAAGATGGTATGTTTTTTCGTGTAAATAAGTTTCTTTTGCGGCGTTCATAATTCAATTCCATACTTATCACTCTGTGCATGGCATCACTTTTGAAAGACGGGATTTCGCATTCTAAGATTTCCCCACGCTAATGGCTAAGGAAAAAGTCATGATTTTGGATAAATAACCGCGAAGTTTGTTTCATATTATTTCACTTTTGCACTATATTGGGCATATGGGACAACTGTATAACCGTACGGGCGTAAACTCCTGTAAAGGCGGCATACCTTAATTTCTCACCTGAAACACCCGGGTTTTGCGACAACCGTGACGGGGATTTTTAGTTGCAACATTAGAACAACCCGTTTTTTTATTTTGCCCAAATTTTCAAAGGCTTATGCCCGAATACCTCCCTCCTTGCCCCTAAGACGCGATTGCCCGTGGTTCCTCAATTGATACATCATTCAACCTGACTAGCGCAACTGTCAATCGTTCTCCTGCTTTCAGATAAACCTCGTAATTGGTTACATTTGTCTGTTCGTTCTCCAATTCCTTAGAAATTACTGGGGCGTTAAAATACTGTCTAAGAATTAATACATGCTTATCCTAATCTTTTCATCTAAAGAATTCCTAATGTTCGCTGACGCTGATGCTGGCAAAATCTACCAAATGCAGCTGGACAGCGTGAATGTAAAACCAATTGCAATTCCATTTGATGAAAACACCAAAATTACCCGCCCCGTGGCGTTGGAATATGACTGGGTTGAAGATCGTGTGTACTGGACGGATGTTACCCTTAGAATCATCTGTAGAGCATTCAGAAATGGAACAGGATTCGAGGTGTTGTTCAATGATATTGGTGTGGCAGATGGACTGACCATAGATTTTGCTGGTCGCCAGTTATATTGGACCAGCACAACAAACAATACTGTTGAAACTTCTAAGCTGGATGGGTCATTTAGGAAGACTTTAGTCCGGTGGGATTTAGACGAACCGCGGGATATTATTGTGGATCCAATTGATGGGTGAGTATAACACAGACCTTTCCAAGTACATATTTAACTTAATTACCATGATTCCTATATTATTTCAGGAACTAAAGAACTAATATCCTTTCGAAAATTGCATGCTCCTAAACCCAGCTCTGTTGGCAACATGGTACCAATTTCTTTTTAGTTATATGTACTGGACTGATTGGGGAAGCTTCTCGAGAATCGAGCGTGCCTACATGAACGGAAAAAACAGAATGGATCTGGTAAACCGCACTCTTCACTGGCCAAATGGTCTCACCATTGATCATGTTTATAATAAGTTGTATTGGGTCGATGCTGGTGAAGATAATATTGAAGCAATGGACCTCGACACGCTCGAACGAAAGGTTGTGTTGAACCAGAAATTCCTTCTCTGTAAGTATGCACACAGTACACACTGAGACATTCAGTCTTGAAGATCAGAAAAGTGAAAATAAAGTTTGCATTATCGACTAAAAACATCACCGACTACTGAAAATTATGGTTACTAATGGAAAAGTGATCAAACAAATTACTGCAATGTTTCAAACTGAAGTCTTTATAGACTTTTAAACAATTTTTTGTCCCTTTGAATTGTTTAAGGCGTCTGCCAATGTCTAGGAAATAGAAATAGAAATAGAATAGGTGGGTGACGCTGCAACCTGGCTTGTGATGCTAAATTGAAGATAAACACACTTCTATGTATCAAAGCACTGTTATTGTTTAGTTGGCTACTTGTTTGGTCTTACAACCGAAGTGAACCATCCCTATGGCTTAACATCGTTAAATGATCATCTGTACTGGACAGACTGGAATACTGACTCTGTATATCGTGGTGACGTAAATACTGCAGCAAACATAAGAGTAATGGCGACTAACCTGGGCAAACCAATGGATATACATGCATATAGTTCCATACCAAAACAACGTAAGTGGTCTGTAGCACAAAGTAAAGAACAATAACTAAAGACAGGGGCAAATATAATTTACCTTGGATATTTATATTTCAGAAAAACGACTACACTACACATTTTCGTTCCCAAAACGTGGCAGCAATTTCACTTGCATCTCATCTCGATCATGTCCTGTTATCAATGCACCTCCATCATGTCCGCCAGGATACTCACACGTCAGGGAGAACTCAACTTGTGGGTTGTATTGTCGAGATATCGTGGGTTACACGTGGCGATGCCCGTGCAATGACTGGATGTCGTGTGCTGTGAAAGAAAGATACTTGTGGGGCTGTGCTTATGGTTATTACAGCAGTTTCAGGGTTCGAGAGTGTGTCCAAGGTTTGTTCACCAGATATATTCAAAGTATTTCATTCTTTCTCCCCAGGGGGCTGTTTATACGCCCGTATTTATCCCTCTCTATTCCTTTCTTCCTTTTCCTCGGGGAAACGCATTAAATATTTTACAGATGGGATTTGTTGTGAAGTCGTGTGGGCAGCCGCGTAGCTAGCAAATAATTTTTGGACTTTTGAATAACTGCAATCAATAGCATTATTTTAAGTAATTATGTAAATGGTCAATATTTTTCTTCTTTATAAGATGTAAAAGCTGGACGCTGTCCTTATGGTGGAGGCAAAGGAACGTCGTGTGTCAGTGACTCAGATTGCCCGAGTAATGATAAATGTTGTGACTCGAAGTGTGCAACACCAGCAACAATAGGTATGTGCCCATTGTCTGGCTGTGTTCTAAAAAGAATTGAGGAAAGCTAAATACGAAACACGCGTAATTCTATAAACATCATGCATGTGCCACTGTTCATGTTCAATGATTCATCTGTACATGATATCTGAATTATCTCAATTTTGTGGGTGGGTTTTAACCCACAAAACGTCTCGAGAGCCGTTTGTCAAGAGAGTTTGTAGTGACTTTCTTGACGAAGGTCCTGAGGTTGAAATGTTAAAAAATTTGTTTAGTTTGGGCAGTTGTTACATCACATTTTGATGTATAACGTGTAAAGAATTTAAAAAACTTTTAATATGTATTTTAATTTATCCAGCCGCTCATCCATGCCAGACAAACAACGGTGGTTGTGACCAGCTGTGTTTCGGGATTCCTGGTGGACACAAATGTGGTTGTAAAAATGGTTATTATTACGACAAAACTCAATCTAAGTGTGTAGTCGATACAAGACCTACAGTAATACCAACACCGCCGCCCAACAAAGGTGACTAGTGGTTTTATGGACTATAATAATTTTAAATGCGTGTTTAAACAGTCCTTTTTGTAGACGTGCTGTGCAGCGAAAACCTCGTCTTCACTTTATTAAACAATTAATCGCCGAAGGAGAGATGATTGCAAGCCTATATTCACTTAGCTGAAGGCGTCTAATTGTTTTAGTGTAGATTTCGAGGTTTACAAATAAGAATCAATACAATTTCATAAAAATTTACAATTACTTCAAATTTCTTATTTAAAAAAAAGCAGTAGTCATGTACTGACCAGTGACTATCACTTCAGAGACAGCAAATTTTGACCAATCAGAATGCAGGAAAATCAATAGTCACCTCGAAATTTATACTAACAAATGTTAGTGTAATTTAATTACACCTAAGTAAACGGAAACATAAATACACTGGATGGTTCATTACCTAACTGATCGCGATCTGCCAGTACAAGATTACCACGTTATAGGAACCAGGATGATATCGGAAACATGACCCTTACTGATTAATCTTTTAGGATAGTTGTTAATCTTTTAGATAGATACTTGTTATACACGAAACTTGTTTGTGTTAAATACTCTTTGAATTGTGAAACAATTCGGTAAAATATGAATAGAACTTCAACTTTGTACAAACATCTAATATTTAGTTATCATTCAAATGTTCTTTTAATATAAATTTCGTTTAGGTTGCAAGCCACATCCAGCCCCAAAACATGGCTCAGTGACCTGTGAGGTCGTGGGTGGTTATGTTCCTGAATATAAAGAATGTAATTTCTCGTGTGACTCAGGATATCGGTTAATTGGTTGGGGTTGGGATCTTTGCATTAAAGGAGTATGGATTGACGACACACCAACCTGCATAAGTAAGTTTAACGAAGTTTAACGTACGAACTTCAACAGACGATGTTTTGCACATATTCCGTATCATTCGCCGCTACAGTCGTACAGAAGTGCTACTAAAATCTTCCCTTCTTTGCCCTCACATCCTTCCGACGTCCGTGACTTCATTCATTCGAAACAGCTATCTATCTGTGCGAAACTGTTTTTCCAAAGTTCCAGTATTATTGTCACTAATCATTTCAATGTTGATTTTTGTATCGCCCAAAGTTCACTTTTAACATTGTGAATGCGGAATGATTGCCGTAGTCTTGGCCTAATATACCACCAGATTGAGCGAAATCAGGCCCTGATTTTGTACTTAGTCTTAGTGCCAAATTCGAATTATATTTCTTCTTGCCGGCATCATTAACAGATTTCTTATAATTATTTTCAATTTTAGTCGATACAAGGCCTAAACTATCGCATTGTCCGAATGACGTAACAGTTCCCACAAACACCGGCGAAAGTTTTACGACTGTTTATTGGGACGTTCCCACGGCAACAGACTATAATGGAACAAGTCTACCAGTCGACATATATCCATTTGGCTACTCCCCTCCTGTTAATCTGAGTATTGGATGGCATTGGATCGACCTGATTGCGACAGACAAGAATGGAGAAAGCACTTATTGTTATTTTTCTGTAACAGTCGAAGGTTAAGAGCTTACTTCCTTTAAGAATAGTTGTCGCCAATAATCTAAGTTTCACTTATTTTTTTATAGATATGGAACCCCCGTCATTTGGCTCAACTTGTCCACCCAGCATTCAACTATACACAGATAATGACGACAGCGTCCACCTGCCTTCTTCCTTCAAAGAACCAACAGCTACAGATAATGCCAAACCACCTTCTGTTTACAGTTCAGGCTTTCCAGCTAATTTATTCTTCCCTATTGGTACAACAGTGGTCAAATATACTGCAACAGACGATGCTGGATTAAATGCAACGTGTATTTTTAATGTTACTGTTGTTAGTAAGTATATTTTCTTGGGTTACTTCTACCTTCAGATAACAAAAAATTTCATATGTAACTGAAACTACCTGAAAAATATATCTATAGGGTATATATAGGGTTACATAGGGTTAACAGAGCTATCCAGTAATCAGTGCCTTTTTTAATCTGCTCTTTCTAGACGTGTGCAGCGGTGTTACGTGTACTCGCGGCTCGAAATGCCACTTGAATCCGGTGACGAAATCCTCTTACATGTGTTCCTGCAAGTTTTTGTGCCCGCAACTTTATGACCCGGTTTGCGGGTCGGACGGTCAGGATTATTATAATGAATGTCTCCTAGATGTCACCGCTTGTTTGACGAAAAAAGCAATCACGGTTGCCAAAAGAGAAAAGTGTGAAAATGGTATTTTGATTATTTGTAGTTTAAATTCATTTCCTCCGTTTTAAATCTATGAAAATCTTTCGGCAGTGTTCGCGTTGTTCACTCGCGAAACATCAATGCATAAAGCAAAAGTAAATTTTTTTTCCAGTAGGTTGTGGTGATAAACTTAAGATATCCCAGGAAACGAGCACAATAAAATGTCAAAATAAGAGGTTCCTGCAGTGTCAAGTCGCATGTAAAAGTGGATATAATGCAGTTTTCAACGATTTCTTGAAGTTACAATGTTATGAGCAGCAGTGGATAAGAGGAAACAACGCTGGGACATATGTCAGACTTGCGGACGTGAATAGTCCTCCGACATGCTACAGTAAGTTCTTGATACAAAACAAATGCTTGCTAACCAACTGGACAGTCCACTACATGCAGTCCGGCTGTATATATATAGGGATAGAACAGACTGTAGTGGATGACTTTTGATAAATATTTATTGCTACAGTACATGACGTCCATTTTTATTTCCAGAACCGACGAAGAAGCAAGTTGAACCTCCTTACTGTCCAGATGGTTCTGCATCGTTGAAAGACATTTGTGGTAAAATAACTTATGAGATTCGGGAGGGGGGGGCAGCCACATCGAATTTAGCACCCCACGTTACGAGTATACATGCAGCAAAACAGTTAAAATCAACAAGTCATTTATAATAAATATCTCCAGACTTTTCTCATTTTTTTTTGAGTTTAGAAAATCTTCAGTTTAGAAAACATCCGCGTTTATAGCTACTGTGAATTTGTGGCATAATATGATTATCTTGGTATTTCATTTGTTTTACCTCTAGTAAAATGTCCACGAGGCAGTTATCTCGATCAAAACAAAACGAAGTGTGAACCATGTCCAGTGACTGAGTATCAAAACTCAGCAGGACAAACTTCTTGCAAGAAGTGTGGATCCACGAAAACTTCGACTACAACAGGAGCTGAGAGTTGCTTCTTTGATCATAGTATGTTTTATCACTATATGTACAGCTGGGCATTCAGATATCATGGGTTTAGAAGATTTTCATCTTAGAAAACATCTCCTAAACATCTCGCTAGTCGTGTCAAATCAATTTATAATTTTAATTGAAAGTTGATACCAGACTTTGCACAAAAACGTGTATAGCTAGTCCTAAAGATATCTAATAGATTGAGTCATGCCTGCCTGGGGTTAATTATGACAATCTTCACGACAATATATAAACTTTGAATTTTATTCCCAAACAATTTCAAACAGTTATGACTTAAAACGTATCATTTATATCGACTGTTGCAGGTAACAGTGTTGTCCAGATGTTATTTGAAGAGCAAAAGAAGGAGAAAGTATGGGAATGAGTATATAATAAACTCCTACTGTATCAATTTTAATACCATGATAGTTTGCTAATGTTATATTTTCCTAAACTCAGTTTACCAAAGAAACGATTCGCAGTGATATTGCCAAAGCTCTGACGAATGTTTGTAAGACAATAAAATGCACTTTTGAAGAAAATGTAGCAAGGTATAATCAAATTAAGGTTTTATTTCTATATTTTAGTTTCTATATTTAGTTTCCGAGTGGAACTAAACAGATCTGAAAACAACCTAAACCGTTTTTTTTGTAGTCGTAAAAAGCGGGAGAGTGAAACATACCAGTTTCTGGCAAAGCATGTCATTGTACTCAGCATTAAAAGAGAAGACGATAACACAGCAGTTGATTTATTTGTCCTTGATCCAAAATCAACTTCACCACTACCGGATAAAGCTTTGTCGTCCAAATATCTAAAATATTTAGCAGATCGTATTAAAAAAGAAGATTTGAAATATCCTATCAAACACACCAGTAAAGTGTCACCCTTTTCAGGAGGAGATTCTGATGGCAATAAAGACTCCTCAAATTCTGGTGTTGTCGCTGGGATTGTCGTTACTATTGTCGTTCTTGTTGCGGCCATTGCGTTTGCTGCCTGGATGTATAAACGTCATATCAAGAGAAAGAAGTATAATATTTTTTCATGCAAAAACCTATACCAACAAATTATAACAACTTTCGCGGGCATTACGGTGTATTTTACGGGCTAAAATTGAGATTTTCACACAAGAATTGAAATAAATTCTCTTTTGCTTGGTTTAGAATTCTAAAAGCCCTCCACCAAAGTTATAATAGGTGTTATAATGCTCACTACTTCTTGTGTTTCAGCGCCGTCCCTCCAGTACAGTTCAATTCCTTAGATGAAGGAAGAATGAGAATTGGTCAGCCAGCAGCGACAATTTCCAACCAACTTCATGAAAATCCAGAACGAATCAACGATGGCATTAGACACGGCTTTGTTAACCAAGGTAATTAAGCGATATATTATCATCGTTTAAGGCCATGTTACACGGTGCAATTTTCCTTGCAACTTGCAATGCAATTCTACTTTAAAGAGATGTAAATTAGTGAAGAGTCTTTAAAATGTAAGCGCCATAGAGCGTTATAAAGACAAAAGTTCGATAGTTGCCAAATTTACATCTCTCAAAAGAAGAATTGTATTGCACGTTGCAAGAAAAATTGCACCGTGTAACAGGGCCTTTACTGACGAAACAAGATTGATATCTTGTGCTATTAAGGCCCGGTCTTCATATATCCGCCGCCATTCATCACGGATGTCCATTGTCGTTGGTGAACATATATAGCCAATGAACCAGGCTTAACAAAGACAGATACCTATGGCTTAGTTTACTGTATCAGGCCATCCAGCAATATTTAACATAGTTTTATGTTTTCCAGTTTACAACGATGTTAATGGCCCCCCTCCCGTTAATACCCCCCCTCCCTCTTACTTTGAAAGTTCCACCGTACCCCAAGCCACGGGCCATGGTCCCCTTCGCTCCGACTCCTTCGGTAATGACCAGGCTAGTGCGTTGCCCACAAAGCAGAACGTGTCTGATGCTGCGGTTGTGGATATGGTCCCACCAAAACAAGTGGAAGTTACAAACGAAAAATCGCTCAAGGCTGAGTCCCCTGTCAAATTCTTTCATAAACGAACAACCCCGAATGTCTACGAAGTACCTAAATTTCCCTCGTCACAACATGCCCCGGATGCTGAGGCAGTGAGGTGAATAATTTTGTTGTCAAATAGTTTGCATTTGTAGTTTGTACATGTTCCTCTTTATATATCCGTGACCAAGTTGGCAAAGTCCGGTCCTTTGAGGAGATTTAAGACTGATAATTCAAAATTTACACGGTTATCCAGTAAGAAAAATATTCTTGTATGTTTGCATGGTGACAGTCAATAAGTAATTTAGTTTGTAGGTAAACCACGTTAGTATTTAATACTGCAAAGCTTTCGGTCCGTAAATAATGAGTATTGCACTGATGAAAGCCCGGGTTAACGGACCGAAAGCTTTGCAGTATTAAATACTTACGTGGTGTACCTACAAGCTGAATTACTTTAAGAAAAATATACTTAAACGATAATATCATGGGAACATTTCTAGACTGGAGCCTCCTCCAAAATTTGGTGATTCTAAACTGCAAATTATGAGAGATAATGCGGCCTCTTCTACATTACCAAATGTCCCTCGAAAATCTAAAAAGAAGATCGACACAGTAGATTTGAATGCGAACGAGGAGAAAGGACAAGACCACGCCCAAGGGCACAGCGAAACTTAAGTAGGTCATACGAAAGGTTCCTGCAATCTGATTGATTAGAAAACATATACATATAATGTGATTTAACTTTCAATTCATTTCGACTAATGTGTGATTAGTTTTTTAGTCTCATGAAATGTAACTGTCAGTGGCATAACAGGAGGGAGAGATGAGAGAAAAAATTGACATGACAGCACATTTCTGAGGGCCAGTGGTTCATCAGTTTTTACTAACTGTTATCTGTTACCCTCTTGAAATAAAGTTTTCAATCAATCAATCAATTTCTAGGAAATCAAATACGAGACAAATAAGCGGCTACTTATTGTTGATTGTCAATGTCATCTCACGCTCCGTTAAATCTCGGATGAGCGGGAACATGTAAGACTTCAACGATTAGTCAAACTTTATTCGCCGATAAAATAAAGTATTTTGCCTTTGGCGCAAAGTAGAAAAGTGCCAATTGACAGCGTTCTCCAGCAGTTGCGTTACGCCACTGATCTTACATTCGTAATTACACTCTAATATTTACCAATGCAAACAGTATGAAAATTCTCTTGATTTATACTTTTAAAAAGACTTTTACTATAAGATTATCATTCATATATTTACAGTTTACCGTTACTGTATCATTCCTTTGTGATTTCAACGGTTATTTAAATGATTTAGTGATAAAAATTATCTTTATTTTAATCTAATATTTTATGATTGTGCTTTTAAAAATTTGTAGATTGAAGATCTTAATTTAATAAAAAAATGTAATTTACTATACTATTCTACAGTCGTTCTCGCAATATATATTCTCTTCAACACTCGAAATAAATTCTATATTTCCGCGCCACCATATAATATTCTCTATGTATTCGACCTTGGTAAGGTCATGTCATGTTTTATTTTATGATGTGATGGATGTGGATTATGATGGATGTTTTTTTTACTGCTTACTTTTTATATCATCGCCGACTTGTAAGTCGGTTATTGACCCATGAACACAAGATAAAGCATGGTGTGTATTTTAGTTTTTACGGCTTTTTCCATTGAGAAGAGGAAATTACATTGTCGCACACTGAAAACAAATACCTCTTTTCCCGTAGGTATCCCCTACCCCCTACAAGAAGCAATAATTCCCCGCCGTAGGGAAAATCCCTTACGCGTGCAGGCTTGCCAAGGTCCTTATAACCAATAAGTGATTAAGCTTGAAGGTGGTACACCACGTAAGTATATAATACTGCAAAGCTTTCGGTCCGTTTAACCCGGGCCTTCATCAGTGCAATAAAGAACATCTGTGTGATGAAAGCCCGGGTTAACGGACCGAAATCTTTGCAGTGGTGTGCCTACAAGCTTAATATTACTTTTCGATTGTCACCATGCAAACGTACATACAACCACTTATGACGTAATACATGACGTCTTTAAGAAAATAAAACTAGTTCTCAGATTCTTTCTTGCGCCACCTAATGCAAAATGGCGGACCAAGAACAAGAAGTCGATATTCTTTCTTTAAGACAACGTCTTCGCGACGAATATGCCTTTGTCAACAAACAAAAACACGACCTACAGAAAGAGCACACAAATATTGTGTCCACAGGCGATTCTCTTCTGCGTGGGTTATGGATTGCTGGACAGCAATGGCGGAATTTCAATCGGTTAAAGGGTGGCCCAAAATTCGCGTCTGAATGCACGTATACGTCAAACTTACTCGATTCTATTACGTTTAAGGATGGCTACGCTACAGTTGGGTTCAAAGAAGTAAAATATGGCAACTTCTTGAGAGACTTGCGTGAAAATAGTGATTTATTAAAGTCAATTTTAATCTTTGCAGATCATATGAACTTAGATACTTCCGCGTTCCTAAGAACTATTATTACATCAATATATGGTTCTTGTTTATTTCCGCGTGACGAGAAATCACTATTGATCATTATCAGGGATATCATCCAATATCACTTGGTATATTCAGAAAAGCCACTCAACATCTACAACAACAATCAAAACTCGTTCATTAACATATTAAATGTTATTTTGCATACATCATTACCCTGTACGGCCTTCCTTGGCCTTGCGTGTAGAGAGGTTGTCTTTGATATTCTACTTGATAGCACATTGTATTGGACAGTAGAGGAACAAGAGCTATTGTCTGTCATGGATGTAACAGAGGTACGAAAAAGATTTGGTGAACCTGGTAGCGCTGGCACCACAGAAAGGATCAGAGATCACATGATGAGATGCTGGTTAGCCCTTGCAGACACGTTATATGACTTATTTAAAAAGATTAAAAACAGTCTAATTTGTATGCCAGACATATTGATATGGATTATATCATGCTTTTACAACTCTTCATTAGAGCGAGGTTTTAATGATGGAAAGGCTCGGCAAATGGTAATGAGATTCTTTTTTAACCAAGTAATTGTTCCATTGTTGGAAAGTCCACAGCCTTTTATAATTGATACTGAAATACGAGCACCCAGAGTTGCCATGTTTAATCTTAAGAAGGTGACTTTGATTATTCAAACACTGGTGTCTATTGAAGCTGGTGATGATATTTCCTTTTTAAGTCTTGAAGCAAGACAGTTTTATCAAAATTTGGACAAGGTGAGTCAAGGTGTAATTTATTAAGTAGTGTGTCTACATGAATAGCACTAAAATATAGTTAAAAACTTCCCTAAACAACTGTCATGGTTTAAGCAATTGCTTTTGAGAGTTTTTTCAATAAAATTCCTCTCTATGAAGGCTATTAATTATCTATGTAGATTTTATGCTTGGTATTTTTTTTATTTGCTGTCTGATTAGGATCTATTTTTTTAGGGGCCACTTCATGAGATTGTTAACATCTTGGTGGAACAACTGCCGAAGGACAGTGATGCATTACTGTCTGATAGAGATAGCATGCCTGGTATAGCTAGGACATCTGTCCTTATCACAAAGACCAATTTAGATTCTTTGGTAAGTTAATTTGTGACATAGTATAATACATTATGTTGTGCTACCAAGATATGGTATGGTATCGTATTGTATGGTATTGTATGGTATCGTATCGTATGGTATTGTATCGTTTGGTATAGTATGGTGTCATATGGTATCGTATGGTATTGTATGGTATCTTATGGTATTGTATGGTATCGTATGGTACTACAGTATGTGGTACTTGGTAGGGTAGTGTAATGCTACAGGTATAGTATTTTATGATCCTGAAAGTCAGAACCTCTACATGCTTAATCGACATGGTCCTTTATAAATAATTTATTACTGATAGAGATGATGTGGGATGCTATTGGTTAATTAATATATGATTGCAGCATAGTAAAATATGTGCTGGTATTTCTATCAACCAGAGTGAATCACTTCTTCTATCCTAAATGTGCAAATAAATTTTTAGGTCAGCCTTTTCTGCCAACTCAAACACTTCCACAGTCCTTCCAATGCAGGAAAAAATCAATTTCCAGCTAAACAACTGATTAACCACACCAGTTTGGAGAAACTTTTGAGCCATCTTGAAGGCATCCACTCAGTGACATCAAACCTAGCAAAGATGTCTTTTTCAACTGAAACCACTGATATTCGAAATAATCTGCATAAGGCTTTGCAGGCATTTAATAAACCCATAAATGAAGATGACATTGTCCTGATTATTTCATTGGGTGTTACAATCATTGAGTGTCCTGGAATGCTCTCAGAGGAAAAGGTAAGTCAATTAAAAGGACCCAAATTACAATAATTTAAAAAGAATGATTTCAAAACATGTGTATTTGTTGGAAAAACATTGAGAAGTTGATCCAGTTCAATATTTAGGTGCTTGGCATACCAACCCCAAAACCAAGACGTAAAAGTACCATGCAGGAGGAGATTAGCAACCCTATGGATGACATCAGCGAAAACTCATCAAACAGTGACTCAAAGTATGTATGAACTAACTGCAAGTGCAAGCAGGAGTTAATGTAATAACTGCAGTGTTTCCAAAGCAAAGTGACACTGTGATTCTAGGTACATTTTAGGTCTGAAAAACCTTTTCCTCTGTATTATTTTGAATATGATCTTGGAAGGGTATGGTTAAGAGTAAGACTGGGTAATCTTAGAAGATTAAGTAAGACTTGACCTCTATATCCGTTTCTGGTAACGTCTATTTAACTGAGATTTCTGGGTTTAAACTTAATACCGGTGATGAAGCAGTATTATAAAGTGTAGTTTATCATTTTTGTTTTGTTTTTGAAATTCTCAGGAGCACCAGGTTTGTGTAAGGCCTGTTTCAAACGTCGCATTTTGCATGTGTCGAATACAATTGTTTGAATTATCTGCATGCGAGATGCGACGTATGAAACAATTGAATTCGCTGTTTTTAATTGCGGTCGACCGTGATGCTAAATTCGACTGTTCCGGTCGCATTATGCGAGCTCGATGCGACGTGGTTTCATAGGTCGCATTTTGCATGTGTCGAATTTAATTCGCTTGAAGAAAAAGGCAAAGAACGTCATGCATGTTATGATTTTGAAAGGCCCAAGTAAGGAAATATGGAGGCCGTAGACAAAAGATATGAACCAGAAAAATCGTATTGTATTACGTGTGCATAAAGTTGAGAAAATTCATTTGCCTACCGCGTCTCTTTGTAATGGTTGCGCAGTACACGAATAAAACGAAGAATCCCAAGGCTGGCTGGCTTGCTAGAAGCGGCTGGGAAGCAATTGGATATTGCATAAAGTGCAATATATTTACGCAAGAGTATTAGGAAAATAATAGCAAGAAAAGGATTTCTAGAAATATTACATTTTTTATTTACTCCCAAGCGGACTGTCGCTGGTCATAAGGAATAGAGCCCGCCGAACCGCCGAACTATTTGAATTCAGCACATGCGAAATGCGACGTTTGAAATGACGGTCGGATTATTGTTTTAGGGTCGAATCTAATTAGAATTGTATTCGACACATGCAAAATGCGACGTTTGAAACAGGCCTAAGTTACTTTGGCTGTTGATCACTGTGACTGAGCGTGTACAAGTGTTTCCACTACAGCATTATCCTTTTTCTCCAATTTCAGTGATTCATCTGATGAAAAACCACCAGAACATGGAAAATCCGATGATGTTGATTCAGCTGAAGACTGCGTCAAGGAGGACATGGGTTTTGATGATTCATTTGTTGAGTTTTCATCCACCAACCCCTTCGCGGAAAATGTAGATGAAACAAACCCTAATAAACTCATAGAGACAATCCCTTCTGCCCATAATGTGGATCCGTTTGCAGGATTTGATTCAGAGTTTCCAGTTTTGAGTAAGGATGATCCTTTCACAAGTGTGGTTACCCGTTTACCAGAACAACCCGCACATATTTATCAACCACCAGCGTCTTTGATAAACCATTTAGAACAAGCACCTTCTAAGATACCAACTAACATAGGAACGCTCTCAACCTCATCTTCTAACCCCTCGTCCCAATCTCAAAACTCCTTATCACCAAACTCATCATCTCCATTCCCAAACTCGTCATCCCTATCGTCTGAGGCATTATCACCACAAAACAATCAAGCTCCTCTTATTGATCTCGGAGACTCTGAGTCTTGGTCCACAGATGCTGTCACGAGCAGTATGGCGACGGAGGTATTACAATTCAGCTCTGGAAGTCAAAGCAGCAATGAAAGTGGAAAGAGATTTAGCAGCTCTGCTAGTTCCAGTAGTGATAGCGGTGTGAAACTACCTTCTCTCAAAAAGGAACCAAACATAATGAACTCTAAAAAAGGTAAGCAAACTTGGTTGTACAGTAAAGGTGATGAAAACAAACGCTTCGGTTTATGATACAATTAATGATCATTGAATTACCAGTGTGAAACGTCACAATTTCAAAGCCGTATAAAAAGAACGTCCAAAAACAACAGTTTTTCGATGAATTAATTTCCCAGAAAAGAAAGGCGGTGAAGTTCATAGAAAGAAATCGTTGAGGGATATTCAACATGCGATTACAAGCAGAGTTACGTCACCGAAGAACGAGAGAAGCAAATTCAAAGGTTCGACTTTGGTGAGAAAAATAGGAGGAAGGAAAAAGAAAGCCACCTCTGAACGATTGCTTAATGAGCCCACAGATGTTGCAACCAGTATTATACACGCCGATACGACAAAAACGGCAAAAGGTACGATAGTTTTTCCACGTGGCATTCTTTTGGAGTCTGTCTGAACGATGTCTGGTATAACGGAACTTAATTGTACTTAAACATGCTTATCATTTCTAACAAAGCCGTCCACAGCTATGTAGTCAATCCGAGAACAGAGAAGAAACCCTGCGACGTTCTTTTTGTGATGGACCGCTCGATATAATTCAAGTTAATTATATTTAGATCTCTGGTGACTATCGTGGGATATGGGTGACTATCGTGGGATAGCGCTCTACAAAAATCTGATATATATGTTATACATGGATTTAATTATCACCTCTTTAAAAGGATTATTGGAAATACAAGACGAGCTATTTAAATTATTCGTCTTTGTTTCAAAACATTTCTTATAATTTTATGGGTAAACAGTTATTAGTTAGTTTGTTATAATGTTTAATCGCCTTGTATTTAACCGTTTAAAGTTTCTTTGATAGAAATATGTGATGAGATTATGCAGAGATATGCCACGCCCAGGAACGATCGACCCCATAAAGTTCATTCCAATGTTACTGTAGAAACTACTCAAGTGTCACGTGACGAGGAAGAGATTATGGAAGATGCAAAAAATAAACTGCGACTAATTTTAAGTAATGGTTCTGCTCCAGTGTTCCCAGTCAGTGCCTCCCACAGAATGAGGTTTGTTTTCTTTCAAGTAGTTACTGACGCCAAACTTATTGTGCACGTTATCTACCCTGAACACTGTTGTTGCATGGAGGCGCACACTTCCCTTCTTCCTGATAGTCATGGCACTAGTTCTGTATAATTATTTCATAGTGTGAATAAAGAAGATGCATTGATGACTTATCTGAAGCAAGATCTAGCTGATGCCATTGCTTGTCAGGATTGTACGATGATAGCAAGAATTTCAGAAACTTTAAGTACTTTTGAAAAACTGCCAACTACAAGGTATGACTTTGCCATTTCACTTTTGTATTCACCCCAAAACACTTTCGATTACGATAAAAGTTCAAACTATTCCAATATATTGCAAAAATTTTCACTTGGACTTTAGGGAACGGCTCTGTTCAATCATAGTCGATCCTTCGATAAACATTCCTAGCTAAAGTTTTTTCAAACAAATCCTTTAAGATATCCTGAAGTGTTAAAGAAACTGCAGCAAGATTATTTATCCAGAAAAGCCTATCTGTCGTATCTTGTTCGTGCTCACCAAGGCTTGGTTGGTACTCGACAGTTTTTCCAGAAAGCTTTGGAGCGAGTTGACAGGTGATTCAGAATATTTCGATCCTTATCCATATTTTTAGTGAAAATATTCATGACCACAAATCACACCGTGTGATTGAAAAAGCAATTTCTTTTTCAAATCTGGCCGGATTCCATAGGTTTTTGACAATAAAATACACCTATACCACTACGCCCATGCAGGGTTGAGGATTCGCCTCTTAAAAAAGCCCTAATATAGATTTTCTTACATGTAGCTAGGCCTCTAGGAAATCATTTAAATGCTATTTAGTACAAAGCAAAATTTATATTTGTAGGGAACGAGAAATATGTCGACGATATTTGATGATGCAATGTGTTAGTATGTTTATGCAAGGGAGAAAAGACAAGTTGGATGTCTTTGTCAGAAAATTCGAGAGGCTGTCGCTGACAGATGAAAAAGTATAACAATGCTGTATTTTATATATCATAGCAATAACTTAGCATACTTTTATGAAGTATTGTTATCTCATATAATGTACTTTCACTATTTTCGCTGTCAGAGTGAAGAAATGAAAGTCTTTATACAAATGATTAAGCAAGAGTTTCAACAAGACCCTTTGTGGTTTGGTAAGTCGACAAACTGCTGAATGCTTTACCAGTTTTAAACTATTCTTCCTAAAGGTCCAGTAAAGGTCGTCTCTTATATTGATCCATACTACATGAGGAAACCTAAACGAAACTAGCTCTTTTTACACCGGATATTACCCGGTCTGTTTAGTTTTATTAGTTGTAAACTATTCTTCCTAGGATAATTTCTTATTTTATCCAATGATCCGGGAGTCCTCTTCCAATCTCATCGTTTGGTACCTTATCGTAATCGTATCCGTAAAAAATGCACGTTTCAGGTTCAAACGATGAGCAGAGAGTTGAAGCTTTTGATGCAATCGAGAGATACTCGATAAGTCGTGTTTATTGGGCTGCGATATATGCTTATGGAGAGACTGATAAATGTCGTGATGAGTAAGTCAACCTTCGTTGTACATACTGTATGTTTAATAATGAAACTAACCGTACAGGCACGATTTATATGCTGCATTTATTTTAGTTGCTTTAAAAATCTCTTTTTTTTTCTTGTAATATCTTTCTTGGTATCCATTGTTTATTTTTTTATTAGCGTTTTTCACCAGACTGTAAATTCCATGTGTAAAACCATCGGTAAAGACTTTGCGCTGTTAGAAATAAAAGAGGTATAATCAATCTGATTATTTTAATCTCGCAGTCTGTGAGTTTGATTTAATTATATATCCTTGTGCTTTACAGGAATTTCAAAACGAGGCTCCATGGTTACCAGCGCAAAATGAGCTTCGCCCTCTTTCAGCTTATAAAGTATGTAAAAACTGTTTTCAATTTCTCTATTGTGGCGGAAGAAACTTAAACTTTTTCGTGTTTTTATTGCATAGCTATTACATAAGGATTGTGTGTGTGTGACTATGGTGAATTGAACTTGTGATTGTTAAGATAAGCTAAGAATTTGACCACGGTGGGAATCGAAACCTTTGGTTACTAATCCAATCCTCTTCCAACTGAGCTACTAGATCTAGACGCTTCGTTTTTGTTAAGAGATGTTTGAAAAATATATCTGGAATTGGAGTTTAGGATATCCAAAGGTTTCGTGGAATGATTGCTATTAAAATTATAATTGCCGATTAATCGTTCTAAAATAAGTGTTCTGTAATAATCACTAGCCATATTCTTTAAACATTTATTTTCTACTGTCGATCACTTCCCCCCTCTCCAACGGTAAAAAGACTGTTTGGACTTCATAGTAAATGATCTATTATTTATTACAGACCCCAAAAGACAAGCTAAAATGCATTCAACGTTGTTGTACCACGATTATGAGCCTGTTAGGTATGTCCAGCGGTGATGCTGTAGGTGCTGATGCATTCACCCCAGTCCTAATATACGTCGTGATGCACGCGAACCCCAGAGGCCTGTTGACCACTGTAGATTTCATAAATAACTATTTATACGAGACGCTGACTGGAGAACAATATTATTGCTGGATGCAGTTTTGTTCCGCTATTCAGTTTATCAAGATACTGTTAGAGGAAAACAATTCCAGAAAATTATAGCATTAAGGAGAAATCAAATCAGAATTGGCAAGCAATAAGGCGTATGTTAATTTAGCTTCAGTTTGCAAAGGTAATAATAGATGATCCAGGAATTTGATCCGAGTGATCTGAAATGGCGGGAAAGGACTGAGACTAGTTGTCAGAACTTTATTCGATTTCAGATTTATATCGAAACTATAGTTCTTATAACTAATCATAATCACAAAATTTCGATTAGTCTCATAAAGAATGACAAAAAAATAATCGATAAGATACAGCAGAATGGATTTCTATTTTGGCATTGCGAATTAAGCATAGCCCGCCACAGGTGCTCTTGATAAATCAGGTTGAAAGAGTTTAAGATTTGAAATTACGATTAGCCTTGAAAAAATATGGTTTTATCACATGACAGTGGTAATATACCTCTCATCTGTCTTTTTCTACCGAAAAGTGTACTTTTTATCGTCTCACGTCTTAACAGCAAAGATTGACAAAAAATGACCTTTTTCATCATGTTAAATAACGACGCATTTCAGCTACAAACATAGTCTTATTTTTTCGGAAAAATGTAGAAGTATCGTACTTATTTAGAAAATAATTCATGCAATGAAAAAGGGTATGGTTTTAGTGCAGTCGAAGAGAAATACACAAGACGAAAGATGAACTTGCCCTAAATTTTAGTCTCCAAATTCGGAATTTTCCAAGTTTTAGAATTGCCGGAACTGTCAACTGGTTCTAATTAGACTTGATAAAAAAATGGTTGTTGTCAAAATCTGTATGTCGTATTTTTAAGTCAATAAATAAATATTGTCAACCTAATCTCACACCAATTCTTGTTGGGAGGAGGCGTTATGAGGTGGTAAAATGCGCTTACCTAGAATAGAATACCGGAATAACGGAATACCTTACAGCAAAACATTAAATGAACCTACAGCACTAAAATGACTAATACGGAATGCAACGGTGGGCCACAAGGGGAAATAAATAAATCGGAGAAGCTGATTCATGATGGCTTGTGGGGTTTGAACAAATATGTAAGTTGATAATTAGCCTTCTACAGGTATTCTATAACTAACCTTCTGCAGGTGAGGGTAAATCAATTGGGATTTTTGGCACTTCACTCGATGCACGTAAATTCTAGGGTTTAAAGGTCCTTTACGAGAGGTATAGCAACTGTTCTTTAGTATTTTTGTAAAATGTTGCCGCAAAGCAGTGTCACAGAAATCAAAGCCTTTCTTTCATAGTGTAAACCGGGCGTTGGCCGCTCTGAGAATTGCTCAAAGGTTACAATAAATATTACGGAAATACGGAACAATACAGTAACCAATCATCACTTAGTTCTCAGATTACGCAAACCTGATTGGCTCGCATCCCAGAAAACAATGGCTCGTGTCACAAAATTTAAATCATATGTACATTTTCATCTCAAGTGTTGAATTTCACTTTTCCAGTAACCCGCTCATTTGAGTCATTTCACAACGGTTTTAAGCGATTTTCCTAGAGTTTGCAGAAGAATAAAAAGTATAGCAACATCACCAAACAATGGACGGAAGATTAGACAAAATTTTGAAACGATTTTGGGAATGGAGGCTCGATGAAGCTCCCGAATTTGGAACAATGGTTGGTGATCATAAACGTGATGGGGAACTCGATGATTTGAGCTTAGCGGCTTATGCCAAGAGATTAGTAAGTGCTTTGACGATTTCCAACGTTCCGAGTTTGCAACGATCTTAAAACTTCTTGATCTCAGTTTTTTGTCTTAAAAGGTTTATTAGGAAATTATATTTATGGTAAGGATGGTTCTGCAGAAGAAATGAATGATAAGGTTTTGTAAAAAAGCAGCTACAACAGTAATTATATTTGTACCCATCATCCTCAAAGATGACCCTTTAAAGGACTAGTCGATCTCCGCGCATATTGCGTTTATTTCACGTGATATACTCCAAGTTGTTTAAATCTAATGTCAACTTGCTCCCTTTGTTTGTTGTAAAATCAATGCACTAGTTCTACCAATTAATGTATGCAATCAGCTATTGTAATTTGTAACTATCACTGGTTTTAATTCATAGCAAGGTGCCAAAAACTTTATTGCTGAACTGGAAAAACTTGATGTTGAGAAACTAAGCAAGGTATAATTATGCTTTTTACACTGTAATGGGCATTAATTAAAACATTTGTTACATTTGCCATGGAATGATAGTGATAAAAAATTATTGCCTGTTTGAATGGGTGCTTGCATTCAAAATATTGTTTAAACTCATATAGCTCTCATATAAACTCATAAATATAGCTATGAATCACATTTTATTTAACTCTTGCAGTCAATTGGGCAATGTATTTATTGTCACCTTTAAACTGCAACAATCTTTATTGTCACAATTTGGTTCTTATCATATAGGATAACAAGCTCAATTATGAACTGTTGCATCTTGAGTTGACAACATACATTGATGGTATGAAGTTTAAATGGTATGAGCACAGAATTAGAAATATTAGAAACGTATCATCATGGTTTGAATTCTCCAAAACAAGCCCAACGAAAATGGCAGCTATCAATAGTTTTTAATATTTTATAAAATTATTTAGTTACCTCTTTCCAATCAGCGGACTGGAGGGACCACAGGTGGACTTTCGTAAAACTGTGTCCTGGATGAAGAACGAAACTGATGATGATTGTGAAAAGATTCTCCATCGTTATCACAAGTTCTCCAAACAAGTAAGTTTTATTATATTCTTGTATGTTTGCATGCTGATATGTATCAAATAAGTAAATTAGCTAGCTTATAGGTACACCACATACTATTAATACTTACATTGTGTACCTACAAGCTAATTTACTTAAGTAAGTTTTAATTTCTTTCATTTAATTTTTGCAATGTTGTGATGATTCAAGTGTTGTGCCACAAGTCTAGTGGCGATCTAATAATGTTCAAGGCACACAGCAATTACTACTTAAACGCTGACATTAATGCCAAGCATCTACCCCATCAATACCGGTTTATATTGAAGAAATAGAACAATTTATGTAATTATATAGCCACATATAGACCTGTGAACTTTAATTTTTATTTTTGTCATATTGTTATTGTGATTCTAGGTGTAGGCGTTTTTGTAACTGTAAACCATAGGTATTTTTCGCCAATCATTGTAATTTTTAACTACCTGTTGAGGGCTGCAAAGCTGAAAGCTTGCATTAATAAGTATTCACAACCAGAGAACGTCAAAAAAAACTTCATTATGTTCAATCCTAGTTGCACTTCCTGCATCTTTAGAATTACTAATGGCGCAAGCTTACTAAAAAGTAAGAGTTACCAATTACCATGCATTGAATTATGTTTATAATTATTCTGTATTATTCTAGGCTGAGCAAATTATTGAACTTTTAAAAAAGGGTGCAGAGACTGGTTATGTGAATGCCAAAATTTCAATGGTAATTCTGATGTGAAAATGAATTTGTTTCTAAAAACTAATTGATTATTAACACTTTATGTTTGCAACATTGAAGCCATTAATGGTGTATGTATGATTGCATGTGCTGTGCAAGTAAATTTAGCCTATTAGAACAATTGCAATTAAATATTTTACAATTAAACAAAAACTTTTTCTCATTTGTGTTTTACCCTGAGGTCAATTGTTTTCAAACCATATGCGTATGTCGAAAGATGGGCTTAGTACTCTTTTGTGATGTACCTACTCTGTACAATCTATTGCACATATACTTCTAATGCAAGTACCCTGCATGTGCTAGGATCAGTGGCTAGGATTAATACAATATATTCTACTTTTGCACGAGGTAAAATAAAGGAATTATTGCTCAGTGGTTTTTTTCTAGGAAAAAGTACCAGATCAGTTTAAAACAATCATTGAAACACCAGCCAAACAATCTGCATTCTATGAGCCTTTCAAAGACATTTCAGACTGTATAACTGAGAAGAAAAGGTAGTTTCAAAAAAGACTTTCAATACTGATCTACACCGAAATACATCTCCGAACCCATGGTCATGGAAATTTTATGATCATCCTTACGTTCTAGGACCGCCTTCATTAGGACGGTCTGCAAGAAATCGTTTGACTTGAAAACCTTGCTGTCAAATAGAGGACCCGGCTGCAATCGAGTGAGGGCGGCCAGGTTCCTAGACCAAAATCGTATTACTCACAATTATTCCCCACGTTATTCTCGAAATATTTGCAAAACCAGAGCATCAACCTGTATATAATTAATGAATGTTTAGTAACTGAGTGTATAAGTCTTGTAAATTTTGCTTTTTTCATCTTCCACACGTAGGAATTCTTTGCAGGAAAGAGCTCTGGCTGCAATTAATGAAGAACTCTATCCGGCTTACACGAAAATTAAGGAACACCTTGAAAAGGTAAAACACGAAACTGTTTATGTGTTTATACAATACCAATAGCGTCACTGAATGTACTAGCTGTACTGTGGGAGGGAAAATAAAAAAGAGTTAAGTTATAAAACACCGTTGTAACGAAGCGAGTTTATTTAGACTAGAATATCCTGGAAGGTTTGCAGGTTCTTCAGAAAACAATTGTTTCGTAATTACTATAGTTTAACTATAGGTCCACCACGAATATTTTTTGCTGGAAGTCTTTCTGTTCGTTAACTCGAACCTACATCAGAACTCAAAGATGTACATGGGCATACATAGCCTGCATAAAAAATCTCATGTAGGGAGGTCTAAATCTTTGATTTAGGCTGACTTGCTTTCCACGGGAATTCATGCTGTTTGCTTCTGTAGAATTTCGTGACGATAACTGAAGTGAAGCTACGAATATTTCACATTGAACCACGAGTAGCAAAAAAAATTGTATTCTTTTGTAATTTAGGAATACATACCAGCTTGCCGTGACGATATTGCTTGCATATCTTTGCCTTCAGGAATACCGTTTTATGAAGCGGTATGTATTATCTCGTCAAGGCCTTGATTAATATAAATTATTTATGAGGATGGAGGTGATAATGCCTGCTCTCATTTATAAAGGCATTGAAATTTCATCTCAGTACTGACATGTCAGCTGACGACGTCCATCAAACAGGTTTGGATGAAGTTGAAAGAATCAAAGGAAGAATGCACGTGGTAAAAAATATTCATCAATATAGTGGTCTATATACCTACCATATTATGACCAGTTTCAGCGTACCAGTATACGCTTGTGTACTAGTGAGTTTCCTTACCTGCTTAGGTGATGGAGCAGGTTGGTTTTGAAGGAACACTGGAAGAATTTTTGGAGCATTTGAAAAATGATTCTCAGTTCTATATGGATAACAAAGTAAGTATTTGATGGTTACTATGAAATTATATGGTAAATAGTCTAACGAGGTGAAAAGTGTGTAAATAAATATCGGTCTGGGGGCACCTCTGCTAATCAAAGAAAATAAAAAGTAACACTCGATTTTATTCGAAAACGTTTTCTAGCTTAGGGTTTACGAAACCGTTGAAACAAAATGACTCTAAAGTCATTGCAATTGAGTGTTTTTAATCTTTTAGGATGAGTTTATGGCGCTTTACAACAACACTTGTGCAGAAATAGACAAGCTTATGCCGACGTACTTCAAAACTTTGCCAAAAATGAAATATGAGTAAGCTGACTAATTGTGGAGTACTAATTACTAGTTTATAAGAGCTATTCTTCATCAGTATGTTTGTAGACTGGTTGGGTCAATTGGTTTGTTTCATTTATGTTTTTCAGGATTAAAGAGATGCCCCCTGAAGTCGCAATAACTGCACCTGGAGCCTTTTATAATGCTGGATCTTTAGAAGGACGACCTGGAATATTTTACATCAATACCTATCAGTTTGAAAAGAAGTAGGTTGTGGTATCTGCGGGTTCATTTTCCTGTGAAAAGTGTTTATTTCCAACACATGTAAATTTGTCTTCAAGGCCAACCTACAACTGTCCTTCCTTGTGTCTTCATGAGGCTGTTCCAGGACATCATCACCAGGTTCGTGAGATCATCTCCTGTACTGTGCCACAGTCTTTAAAAACCTTTATCATGTATTTTTTTATCTATCAGGGCAGCCTTGGCATAGAGCAGACAGATCTCCCAGCTTTCAGAAGATATGTTGAAGATCGACATTATTATGAAGTTCCTTCAAGATTTGCTTTATATGGAGCCTATATGGAGGTTAGTCGTGGTCTAAACATGTTGTGATTGTATTGTTTAGTGTGATATCCCACGACATTCGCCTACGTGACTCTGGAAATGCAAGACGAATCCTTTCTTTATCTCATGCATTTCATTGCAAGTTCTACACTGAATAGTTTTCTCTGTTAAAAATTCCTCTGTTCTTCCGAAGGACGTTCAGTATAGTGATCATTGCTACTACCATATAATCATACTGGAATTCTCACATGTCAATTTCCAATCTTGTCTTTAATTGAAAAATTATAGATGGTTAAATTTACCACTTTTACTTGGCCTTTTAGGGCTGGGGCCTGTACTCAGAATATCTTGGGGAAGAGATGAAAGTTTATAAAACCCCCTACGATTTGTGAGTTTATTCTATGTCTATAGTTTATTAAATATATGCCTATAAATTTATATATGTCTATATAAGTTTATATTTTGTTAAAACATTAGCTCATTGCACAACTATTTAATACTATTTCAATTTGTGTAGGTTTGGAAGGCTCTCAGCGGAAATGTTCCGTGCTTGTCGTTGCGTTGTGGATACTGGGATGCACATGAAAGGGTTGGTGATGGTTTTCGGTTCTAAAATTCCCTTTCAATGTAATTGCATATAGTGTAACAGCGCCTTGATATGCGGAAATGCAAGAGATAAATTGAGATAAATGCTATATACAGAAATGAACTCGTCCACTTGAGTACGAACAGAATGAGCTGTGATATAACCTGATATTTTTAATCTTTAGTTGGACTCGCCAAGAGGCAGTTGATTACATGGCTAAGAACGCGGGATTGCCTGATCACGAGATTCAAGCGGAGATTGACCGTTACATTACTTGGCCTGGTCAGGTTAGCTTTTAGCTATCGTGATGGCATCAGTTTTACCAAATACGAAAATCCACCGAACGTTCAACGCTGCCTTTGCTGTTGCTTTCTAATTATTTCATTGTAATAAACCAAACCAAACGTTTTCTAGGCATGCAGTTACAAGATTGGTGAAATGAAGATCGTAAAACTCCGGGAAAACGCTGAAAGTAAACTTGGTAATAGAAAACTCTCGCAACTTTTTGAAAAAATGCTGTTTCAAATGCCATCAAAGTTTAACATGCACGCAGACTGACTTTTACTATAAGGTTCTAAGCCATTTGTTTTTGTAAAAAAAATATTTTCAGGTGACAAGTTTGATTTAAGGGAGTTCCACGATGCTGTCTTGCTGGAGAGTGCAATACCCATGTCAATTTTGGAGGAACTTATCGAGGAGTATATAAACAGCCACAAGTAGAGAAAACATTATTAAACCATCGTTTCTTATTCTGATACATATAATCATTATAATGAACCTTAGTCGATCTTAGAGCATGAGATACTAAATATGATTTAGATCATTCAGACTTGTTAGACAAGTGGACAATAAAGGATTATAGTTGGGTTGACGTGAGCACTGTCCTATATGCGAGTAAAATGTACAAGTTGCTCCAGATAAGTAAAAACAACTTGATAACAACCATTTTCATATGGTGCAGCACAATATCATTCAGTTTGTTATTGTTGATTTGCTGCCCTATAAATTGCAATTCGACAGACTATAAAACGCCCATCATGCAGAAGTGATTTGATCCAACAAAATTGAAACATGTGAACAGACGTTGGCAGGTAAATAAACGCAATTAGAATATTTTTTGGAAGATTTAACAAACAATGTCTACAGTTACATACACACCGTGAATAAATAGTTCAGTAGTTCGCAATTACTTATAACGTTAAAAATTTTTTCACTCTAGGATAAAAATGTCAATGATTTGCCATAACGGGCTTTACAGTCAAGCTGTGATCCAGACGAGAGCGCGGGTCTCCAACATTCATCACCCTCCAAACAAACAACTTTGTTCAACGTTTTCAGTTGAATGGCACAACACAAATATGAACATTTTGAATATTTTGCATGCAACTGATACTCGGACATTGTTCTTCGCCCTAAATGTAAGCATAATATCTTGCATGTTCAGTGATGGTAGCATCAGCTTCGTTTGTGTCGTTAGGCTTCTTATGTGGTTCATCTGTCACCGGATCTAACAATGCAAAGTCTGATTCTTCGTTGTTTCTTGTGTTAGATAACTCTACAGTCCAAAATGGGGTAGATGGCTTCCGTTTTGAACGTAGACACCAGCATCCGACTGCAATTGCCACAGCGAGGATTACAATCACACCAACACAGGTAAGGACTATCACCACAACGTCCGGACCATCGTCTGGAAAAAACATTTAAAAAAAGAGGTCAAGTCCGTTCATGCACATTGTAGGAATCTTTTAATGTAAGATAAAAAACGAAATCGCATTCGGACATTAGATTGCTGTTTAGACCCTATTGTACATATGCTGTTAGTTCTAAAACGTTTTCCTAAGGAGTCTAATTAGCACTACTGTTAATTGATCAGCTTCTTCGATTAATGATTTTTATCTATTTCCCGTTCATTCATCAAATTTTACGCACCTTTAGCAGGCATTTTTGTATGGTGTACTTGAGTTGTTGGTTTTTCACTTGATGATATGTCTGTTTGTGTTCTTGGTTTGGTAGGTTCATGACCAGTGGTTGGGACTTTGTCTGTTCTTGTTCTGGGAGTTTTGGTTGTAACTAGTGGTGGATTCACTGCTGGTGAGGATGGTATTGATGCTGATGATAACACTGATGGTGATAATGTTGATGATGATGACAGTGAAGGAATTAATGATAGTGATGAAGTCTTAGCTGTTGATGATAGTATTTGCAAATTTGTCAATTTTTTGGTGGCTAATGATCTGGTGTTTGATGGTAAAGGTGTGGTTAGTGGTGATGAATTAAGAGCTGGAACAAGATAAGTTGATGGTATCTTCCAGGTTGATTGTATGCTAGTTGACATAATGGTTAACACTGTTGTACTTGTTATTCTGGAATTCAACATTTTATCTGTTGGTGGTATTGGTATATCATAAGAGCTGGAAATCAATACATTTGTGGAAGACATTGAAATTGTGGAGTTTTCTTTGACACATTCATTTCTTGCTGCTTTTTTGAAACCCTTCTGGCATGGTTTAAGGCAATTGAAAAGTTCTCCAGAATTTGTATAATTTGCTGTAAAATTTGTAGCACAAGCTCTGCAATGTTGCCCTGTGACATGTTCCTGGCAAGCACATTGCCCTGTTTTGTTGCTGCAATTATTGTTCAAACTTGTATGTACATTACAACTACAGTTTTCACATTTGTGACTTGAAGTTGACAAAAATTGTCCTGGGAGGCATGTGAGCTTGTTTTCTGGCTCAGATCCAGACGAACAATTACAGTCGGTTTGCATTTTTGTAGAATTGCAAACACACTTGACGCAAGTTCCATTCACAAAATCAAATCCAGTTGTACAGTTATTTGTGCCCTCTGTACAGTTACAACCAGTTATTGAAGAGTTACAATGACATTCGGATACTACAAAAAATAGTAATGCTTATTTTAATAAGGTTACATGCCTTGGGCTATGAGTACTCAGATGGGTTTAGAAATCTCCAAATAAATTGACTGGTGGTGCCTTTGTTGATTGCAAGAGACAGAGGAGTTCCTTTTTTAACCTAGCTATTAATATTGACCTTGTAAATCTCTTCCAAACAAATTTACATACGGTCAACTCTAATCCAGAGCCAACACAATGGAATATGATATAAGTTATAACAGGAAACATTAATTTATCAACTTTAAAAGGAAGCTAGAAGGGGACATTTTGACTGGTAATTCACGACATCACGACTCCTATGGGAACATTAGTGAAAACTAAACAAATACTGCGACTTTGTGAATGACACGCACATATAAACACTCATCCTGAATGTTTACAAACGTTACCTAAATTATTACAACAAATTCTTCACACCAAAAATTGATGATACAAATGGCTTTGACAGTTTTATAAAATGTTGCCAATCACAACGTTTATTAATAAATATTGTAAATTATGTAACATTTTAGATTTTTATTAATATCAATTAGAATAAATCTCGACCTTTGCTGGCGGTTACAAATCGCAATTGGATTAATTGAAGAATTCGCGACAATCGGAACTGTAGTAAATAATTGGAGCCAATCGAATAACCATAAAAAACGCCATTTAATATATACATTTCATAACCTATACGAATTCCCTGTGATATTCCGTGTAAACTACCATTTACCACAGTTTATGTTTGATTTGACTTTATGCATAAGCAAATAGCAACAAAAAAATCGCCAAAACGCTATAATAACATAAAGGACAATTTGTTATTCCAAAGAACCAAAGACTTTAACCTTTACCTATATTATCCACAAGATAGATTTAACAATATAAATCTAAAGCAAAGATCAGCGAATATATTAACTATTGCAGCTGCAAATATATTTAATCGCTACAATATTTGTGCAAGGTCGAATGCGGAAATTTCTAGCGGCTTCTAAATTATCGCATGTAAATTGAAATATAAATATAACATTATCCACAGTGCAGTTAGATAACTTTGACGTTATTGTTGTTCGTACTTGCCTGTTGAGTTCTTGCCGCTATAAACAAGCGGACAGGTATTCAATACGAGTACAATAAAACAAAATAAGCACGATAAGTTGTAATTGGACCACAGAGATAACGATCGTAGCATTTCCATGATGTTTTTTCTGTTTATATTTTGTTCCCCACTGATTTTAGCCGGGTGTTTTTGACATGTTGAAGTACAAGACCGACGATCCGTGTCTACTCAGTCTTTGCGTCTACGAAAGCACAACTCTACGTCGTCTTCGCAAAGATAGATATTAATTATTCATCACAATGCAATTATTGAGAATGATATACCTGAACTTTGTTTCATTTCCTAAATTTAAATAAAACTATGCGACCTGGCCTGCACGTTGCCTGGAAATAGTCACGTTTCATTGACCACTGCTGATATGGTATCCTTGATGGTGTTTTTTAGTAGAACAGAGGTAGAAACATAAATTATACCCAAAAACGTAACGTCTCGAGAATGGGTGAAGAGTGGCGGGGTGTACCCTCAATAATTTATGTTAGGAGTAAGTTTTATGTTCTAAACACTTATTGCCTTTTGACCAACAGAACTGGATTACCAGCAATTTCCTATTCAGTTTTAAGGTGCTTTAGTTTCAAGCTGCATTTTTGTCTTTTATGCGTCTACAAAACACACAGATATCTATCCAAATATTTTTGTCTAAATTTCTAATTGCGATGTTGATAGGGCATCTACCACACTTGCCCTCGCTGGTAACGGGCAACATAGCAATTAGAAACTGCTCCTCCATTCTCTGCTTGTTTGTTTTTCAGGCTTTTCTTGTTGCGACACGCATCTCAGGTAGAACATGTCAAATCTGACAACCGGTGAGATATACAACGACAGCCACTCGTCTAGTTCTTACTATAATACCTGCCATTTCTACAGCATCGGAATCACGATATATAGTGTAAAGATTTAACAATCAATTTAACTTACGGCAAAGCTTTTACCGAGCTGTTGAAATGTAGGAATTTTAATGAGTAAACATGTATCAAATTACAAAAATTTAATGAAATGGTCACTTGATCAATAAACAAGTGATTAAACTATAGCAAAAACTGTGCTTAACTTTCAGAAGTCACTCTAATTTTCACCAGTTTTTCTTTAAAAAATACAATAGCTCTGCTATGGATGCATTTCGTTTAATTTAACTTCCTTTCAATGAGGAGTAGGCAAATATTATTGTAAAATATGCGTCTCTATAGAGATAGCACCGCGCGTTATGCACCTGCCTTATGCTAAAATCAGCCATTTTCACCTGATAGTTTTCGTGAATATGCACTGAAAACTCTTAAAAGTAATGTAGTGTACTCTTTACGGCTGCCCGTCAAAATAAACGGTTAATTTAGAGTACAAAGAGCTGTTATATCACAAAATTATCGCCGATCAAAACACGTGACGTCACTACATTGTTCACCTGTCATTCATCGATGACTTATAGACAGAAATTGACAAGAACTCAGTGTTCGTGGTTTTGAGTGGCGTGTCCGAATTAAGCGGGCAATAGAGCATATAGTTTTGATTTCACACAGTTTGAAAACAATTTACGGGAAATTGTATACGCTGGTTGCCCGTGTAAAGCTGTTAAAAGAAGATTAAAGGATCGAGTAGAGTCAACCGAAGGGTTTTACGGCCCGGCGCTCGGGCGCCATTAAATTTGCAACCGCGTGTATTCTAGTAAATAACACATAAATCGAACATTCGAAGGAATAAAATGCAACAAGCTACCAGTGTTGCAAATTCACCTGGTCTAAATATTGCTAATATGTTACAAAATGCCGGGCAAACACCGCAACAACAACAGCAACAACAACCGAATGCTTCGCTTGTTGAATCGCTTGCCGTAGCTGAAGGCTTGGATGGACGAAAGCAAGATATAGGAGATGTCCTTCAACAAATAATGAATATCACGGACCAATCTTTGGACGAAGCACAGTCAAGGTAAACTCTATACTCTTCCTAGAGACTTTTTATGCCCAAATTGTTCCGAAATTAATTAGAACGAAAATAACAAAACACAAAGTAGCATTTCGTTCCCTTCGAATATATTTCGAACACCTTTGCTTCGGCACCGAATGTCTAACACATCATTTTCTGTCTTATGTAGAAAGCACTCCTTGAATTGTCACAGAATGAAGCCAGCTTTATTTAGCGTCCTTTGTGAAATAAAAGAGAAAACAGGTAAGAATTGAACACTTCATTCTCTTGAGAATTTTGCTTTAAACGTGTGTAGTTGTCGACCTTGTTTGCGGAGTCGTGTGAATAGCGCGACCAAACACATCTTTATATATGGAGTTCCGTATGTCATATAAGCTCTCCAAACTGTTGAAAAGCCTTTCTATCAACGTCTAGAAGCGATATTGACTTCCAACTCAAAATGTAGACGCTCAACGCGGACGTTAAATGACAATAAATGATGATTATAAGTCGCCTAGGTTGTAATTATGTTTTCCGATAATTATTGTCAAAAATAACATGACACCTAACAGGCCATTGGGACGCTGTAGCGCTCTACGTTTAGCTTCAAAGAACGCTTATTTTTCGTAAGGGGGAGGTGTTTAGTTTATGCATTTGATTGAAAATTGTATACAAAATCTTCTGTGTGACATGTACTTTTTAAACAAATGTAACCGGTTCGTCTTGTGTCTAATCGCTAACCACAAATCTAAGTGTTCTTTATGTATTTTAGAGTCAATATCACAGCCTTTGTCTTAGCATAAACGAGATACGACAGGCGAACAATGACCTTATGATAGATGACTACAGGTTTATCTAAAAACACTCAACAATCGAGTTTTGCACTTTCTTTGACAGTGTGAAAAAATAATTGAAATTGTTTCGAACAGAAGTTTCGAATCTCTAAAGAATTATAAATCATACCTCGACGGATATTGCTTGCATGGTGCTTTGGCATAGATTATGCATAAATTTTCTAAAATGAAACATCTTACCACAAAGAGATTTCCAAAATCCTAATATTCTATCAATATATTCTTGAGTTCATATAACAAATAAGAATAAAGAATTTATTGGTGTTTTTTAATGCATAAGCCTTTTGAATTTTTGTGTATGAGGTTGGTTGATATTTTCCTTTCCAAAACCATTGAAGTGCATCTATTCTAGCCCCTTCAAAATAGAGGGAATGTGTGGCTGTATGCAACCACATATAACAAGTTTTATAAGAGCTTTCTAGTTGTAAGCAAGCTCTTCCCATATGAAATAGACACATATAACCAGCAAATTTGACATAGATTTGATTAGATTTTGCTTAGGTAAGCATGTAGGTATTTTTTTGGTAATCTTTAACCTTTTTTACTGCAGCCATGTTTATATTTCAACCTCTGGTCACGGCCTGATGCAGAAACTGAGGGATTAGTTAATTAATAGATTGCAAACAAGTAAATTTCATATAAATAAAGGTTTCACATTATGGGAAACTATTTTTCAGTTCTAAGCATCCGTGGTGCCCAAGAAGAGGAGCCCCCAGACCCACAACTTATGCGCCTTGATAACATGCTCTTGGCCGAGGGTGTAGCTGGACCAGAGAAGGGAGGCGGAAGTGCTGCTGCCGCCGCGGCTGCTGCTGGTGTTCATGACAACCAGATAGAACACTCTGAGTACCGTGCAAAACTTGCTCAAATACGACAAATATATCACACAGAGTTGGAAAAATATGAACAAGTAAGATGGTTATTTAAAGTCAAAAATCATTGCATCATATTCTAATAATATCTATAAAGGTATTATTCAATGTTCAAGTAACTAGATTCAGCCAGCACCATAGCGCTAACAAGTGGTAATCATAACACATTACTTGTCTGATGTACTTGTTTTTTAGGCATGTCATGAGTTTACGACACATGTTATGAATCTGTTGAGAGAGCAGTCACGTGCTAGACCCATAACTCCAAAAGAAATTGACAGGATGGTGAATATTATTCATCGAAAGTTCAGTGCAATTCAAATGCAACTGAAACAAAGCACGTGTGAAGCAGTCATGATTTTGAGGTCTCGTTTTCTTGATGCAAGGTAAGGATACTTTCTATTTGGAAAATATGTATAATCTAAGTTTGATGAAAATTTTCTAGCCCCCAACTCATACATATAAACATACATGCTCTGTTATGCCTGCTATATATGTTTCTTTTAATAGTCCCTCCATACAAGACTGATTCTTCCCTGTTTCTTGCTTTCATTAAGTATGAATTATTAAACTTGGTTTTCAGGAGAAAAAGAAGGAATTTTAGTAAACAGGCAACTGAGGTTCTCAATGAATATTTCTATTCACACTTGAGTAACCCATACCCGAGCGAAGAAGCTAAGGAGGAGCTTGCAAGGAAATGTAATATCACTGTCTCACAGGTATAATATAAAACCTAAAAGAATTTTCAAAAGTCATATTTTCAACTAGCAATTCCATTGTTTTTGTTACATCTGGTGTTCAGTTGTTAAAAAGCTGGTGAAGGTTTTTGTATTATGTCTTTTCAAAGTGATTTCATGCACTTTAGGTTTCAAATTGGTTTGGTAACAAAAGAATTAGATACAAGAAGAATATTGGCAAGGCACAAGAAGAAGCAAGCTTGTACACAGCAAAGGCAGCTGCGGCTGCACAAAGCATGCCACCTGGTGATCCTAACTCACCAAGTGAACAAGGTAATAATATTAATTTTGCTTTTGGGAGATTGTTTCTCAATAAATCAAATTTTTTGTTTGCCAAGATAGACAGGTGATCATGACATTTTAATATTACATAGGTTATGGTCACATGAGCCAGGCCACACCCACTATGATTCAGGTGTCACAAGGTCAGATGATGAGTCCATCCCGACACAGTGATGTCATGATCAGTGGCATGCAGATGAATGGTGTTCATGGTGAATATCCTCCTGTATCTATGGTTGGAAATAATGTACAGTCACAGGTACGAATTTTTGGATAGTAAACAATCTTTAAGTGCCAAACACCTCTTCTTAAGCTTTCTTTGCTTTTCTAAGGTTGGTCCGGAGTAGCCAATATGATGTAAAGTCCAGATGTTAATAGATTATAATAGTCCCAGCTTGAAGAAGGTATTTGTTGTGAAGAGAAGTCTACTTTATAACTTCAAGAGTTGTAATTATAGGATCTGTTTAATTATAACAAAACCAAATATCATTCCAGAGCTAAAATAGGTGATTGTGAAATTATATATTGAATTAATTATTGGTGATTTATTTTAGTGATTAGACAAATATAATAAAAGTCTTTTAAAGTATTGTTTTTCAACATGTTCTCTACCTTGCTATGAACATATTTTAAAGGTAAATGGGGATTATGAATTATATGCCCTGAAATGCTTCAGACTTAGCTACAGATTAATTGAAATGTCTACGCAATAAGTCAATAACAATCCAGTTGTGTCTTTTGATCATTTTCAAACCTTGTTACATTGCATGTTACCATAATGATATTTTGTTCTGTTGAAAGCGAAACATATTTAAATTCAAATTGTGTGCTAGTCAAAGAACCATTTTAGGACAAGTACAATAAAGATTAAACAAACATTATTAATATTAAATTTATTTCGCCAGCAAAGTTAAAGCAATTTTTATTACACACAGAAAACAGTTTTTTCTTAAATGGAGAGGAAATGTAAAACTTCATTCGTTCATATGCCTGTGCCAATAGAAATAATAATATTTCTAGGACCGTAAATATTTGCTTAAAAAAGGATGTTTTTACTTTGCCAATAATATAGGCCTTCAGAAGTTAACATCTTTTGTAGTTTCTTTTTCCAAGTATGCAATTAAATCTGGGAAAAAAAGGTTTGTAGTTGAGTCAGCAAAGGGTTACAATAACTATAGTAGTGAAAAATACTGACAGGTAAGAAAACAGCTGATATAGATGTACCAGCTTTGACACAAAGAAAAACTGCATAAATTTGCCAAAAGGTAGGTTAGTTTTGTCATTCAACAGACTTTCCTTATAATGATGTCAAACACAGTCTGATGTTACACAAAGTTTGATTGGCTCAATAGTTCTGTGGAACCAATCAAATTATGGTAGTACACTATTTTAGTGTTTAACATCATTATGAAAGAGGTCTATTGTTTAGAGTGAGGCTCACTCACTAGCCGGTCAATCACCTGAGTGCCTCCTAAATATATCTTACCTGATAAATAAAATTATCTTACCTGCACGCTCTCCTTTTTTTTTAATGCCAGCAAACACCATTTTGGTTCCTAAATAGAAATAATGAACTGTTACTATACGGGATCAAGAAATATCTTTTCAAATGTTACACACAGCAGTATGTCATCATTCTTCAACAGAACCTCACCTGGAATATACTTTTTAGGATCAGCTAAGTAGATCCACAATGTTTCTCGCTTCCAAGTAATTCCTTTATTCTGATTAGCTTGGGTATATGAAAATCCTTGTGCTTGACCAGTCTTACGTCCAAATAGTCCAAAAAGATTTGGCCCAGTTTTATGTGCTCCACCCTGTAAAAAAGCATCAGGCATCTTGTGATATTGTATCAGCTATGCTCAGCTAAATGCAAGTTCCTTTAGTTCTGTAACAAGTGTATCTTTCACAATCAGGCTCTCACCTTATTCACAGTATGACATTGAGAACATTTCTGTTTAAATACTTTAGCACCTTTCTCTGCATTTCCCTCTGGTATAGTCTCGTCTTTACCCATTGCTAAGGTAACTGGAAACAAGTGGAGAATGATCACACAATTTTTTATGGAAATCCTACACCAATACTCTAATTTTGAAAACTGTTGTAAACCTTGGTATACAGGTGGGGTACAGTCAATTTTCATTTTGAATTGCCATATTTTTTACAGTAGCATTAACTGTCAGGATTTTTAGTATCATTTTGCTTTGATAAAATCTTAAAATTTAAATGCAATACCAACATGGTATTTGCCCAGTGTAAGGAATGAAGTCCTTACCACCCCAACTATTTAAACAACAACCCTCAGAAATATGGTATTTAGTATTGTAAATATTGTATGGTGACTGCAAGAACTCATGCAACAGTAATTTTGGAACCATTCCACAGCTATAGGAACAAATATGAAGAGGCTCTTGTGAGAACAATCATGTTCCCTGAGGAGACAAACACAGCAAGTAATCTTATTAATTATTATCCAAACTTCCCTTTTCATGAAATTTAATACAATAAAAATATTTAACCAAATTCACCACCGTAATCACTGGCAATGTTAAATTTGATCTTTTTAATAAAATATCATTGATATTAAATTTCAAAAAGATTACTCTATATCAATATTTCATACGTATTGGCATAAAGCCGGTAGCCTGGGGAAAATATACTTTCGCAACCGAATTTGAATTGAATTTGTTTCATTATAGAAAATTCACAATAAAACTGTAATATGTATCTAATAAAGACCAAGTAATTTCAATTATTTTAGAAATCCCTTGGGAGAAAATTCTCAAGAGAATCGCAGATGTAAATTTCAAACAACACATATAAATGTCATTTGTCTCTACACGTGAATGGGGTTTAAAATTTTCTTTCACTGCAAATTTTGAAAAAAATATTATAGATTTATTCTTGAAATAAAGCACATCCTATCTCCTTTATCTGATGTAGCAAGATACTGAATATCTAAGAAATTTCTTTCTCGAAATATTGAAAATCTTAAGCCAAAACTCACCTTTATAGATACCGACTTGAAAACACTTTGAACTTTTTCAGTCAGTCTGATTGTTCTGACGTAACGTATTGCGTCATTTTCAGACGTTTGAATTCCAGTGTTTCCATCTGAATGAACTTTGCATGTGCAACAGATTTGTTGTCAAGAATTTAAATGGACGAAATGCTCATCTATTTCCTTGTAGGTTCGCATGGTTACTACTTATTATCTTTCTATTTTCTATTCTTTTTATTTCTTTAAAATCCCGATTATCTAACTACTCTGTCACTATGATTCAGCGTATTGCTTTCTGACTACTCAGCAAATTTCTTTCTAAATTTTTCCTCTGTAATTTTCCCTAAACCGAAGGAAAATTTGTGTACAATGCAAAGGCAACATGGCCAAGGTTTATGGGGTATTGGAAAATATTGCAAGTTTAGAAGGTTGGAACTTTGAAGTTCGAAATATTAGATAGTTATTAAAGAAGAAATAGAAATTAATTATTATACAAAGAAGTTATTTGGTTGCAGCTTATTATCTGTATATCAGTCAAATTGGTAATTTAGATAAATTGAAGATGGTTATAGATGGTGTATTAAGGAGATTAGAATTATGAATGATATTATTTTAATTAATTTTTATATATATTAAACTTGTATATTTTTAAATATTAACTTCTTATTATTTAGACACATTAGTATACTGATATCAATGCTCATCGTTGATGGTTGATAAAGTATATTTATGTTTCATTCTGCCTGCTGCGTACGTAGACCACAGAGCAGTTTTTAATTGCGGTGCAAACAACCAAACCCCAAAGGCTTGCATCTTCTAGAAATGTCTGTTTCTTGAAATCTGAGGCCAGTCTGAGCACTAGAAAGCCAATCAAATTTATAAGATGTCATTGATGTGGGTTACTAAGGGCCTGTTCATATGAGACGGGCCAGCTCGGCAGTGCTAGGATTTCGCTTCACATATTATTTCACTATATTTGTAAAATTGCATTCATATGGAACCAGACAAGCCCAGCTTTGGCTAAACCGGGCTGGACCTTCTCATATGAACTGGCCCTAGGTAAGTAGCTTTACCCCCTGTAAGAGTCAGAATTTCATTACTTTATCAACTATAATTCTGGTAGTCAAAATTTAACACCTTGTCTTTAGGTCATGACGGCACTGTATGGTGTGTGGCTTGGAACCCATCTGGAACATTGTTAGCAAGCTGTAGTGTTGACAGAAAAATAAGGTATGAAATTGGATATGAAATGTAAGGTATGAAATGAAAATTAGCAATTAGTAGTGTAAATTTCACATTCAGTTTTAAAAAGACTTATCTTTGTTACCAATTGCATCAGGTTATGGGGTAAGGAAGATAAGAAGTGGGTCTGTAAAACCATTCTAGCTGATGCACATGAAAGAACCATAAGATCAGGTGAATGCAAATGCTGTTTATTCTGCAGTCTGCTATTCTAAATGCATATACATGTTCAATGATGTTTAATACTTGAAATATGATGATATTAGTGAGTTGGTCCCCATGTGGAAAATACATATCTTCTGCAAGTTTTGATGCAACAACCTGTATCTGGAGCAGAAAAGATAATCATGGTAATAATTGGTTATTTCAGCTTAGAGAGACTGAAAAGAAATTCTTTAACAAGTAATAATCAATCTTGGCAGAGTTTGAGTGCATTGCAACACTTGAAGGGCATGAAAATGAAGTCAAGTCTGTATCATGGTGTCCATCGGGGCAGCTGTTAGCAACTTGTGGGAGAGATAAGAGTGTTTGGATCTGGGAAGGTTAGCCTCACTTTGTTTTTCATCCAAGGAAATAATCTGTTATATATTAACATAATAACACTCTTTGAGAGTTGGAAACTGTTCTGAAAGTATGCAACTATATCATAACATTCCTTCAAAGTGGCTGAGTGACTAAAAGAATGTAATTTAACTAAGTTTTGATGTAATAAATTTAGTTCAAGAAGATGGTGAAGAGTATGAATGTGCAAGTGTTTTAAATTCTCATACACAGGATGTAAAACGAGTCCAGTGGCACCCTGATAAAGAGGTAAAGTAAAGTAATCTAAAAAATACTTTTTATTAACTACAGTACTAAGTGTACATTATTTTCATGATGTCAAAGTACATCTTTTTTCGAAAAACCAAATCAATAACTATGCTATATATGTTACTGATCCCAGTAACGTATCTGGCTATGGTTGTGCCATTGCATGTAATTCACTCGATCCTAGCTAGACACATAACCCTACGCAGCAAACTAGTGCTACATATTATATCTTTTAACAATTTTGAATGTAGGATGATTTGTTATATTCTTCTATCTTTGTTACAACAATCCAAACGTGAATATCCATCTAAATAGGACTCCTCAATGTAATTCACTATCACTTGTGAATGATTCATTTTATGGACAGTTAACAAACACAAGTTCATATTTTTCTAGATGTTAGCATCATGTAGTTACGATGATACAATCAAAATGTACAAAGAAGACGACGACGATTGGTGAGTGAACATAACTTAGCCTTATGTTTCTCTTTTCTTTGCTTTGTGTCTAAAAAGTCTACTAGTCTATGACAGCCATAACAATTAAGATTCTTTTGTTACACGTGAAAGTTATTTGTAGTCGCAATTGTAGTTCCGAAAGGCCATTCACAACACGTTTGATCATGTAACAAATGTTCGTGTTCCTGAAGTGGTGACTAAACAACGCTAGTTTTAATTTCTGCTGTTTAAATGTGGTAAAATCAGTTCAAGATTCTCTCATTTTTCACAGGGTGTGTTTTGATACGTTAGAAGGTCATCAGTCCACCGTCTGGGCCATTTGTTTCGATAAAACTGGCGATTTTCTAGTATCTTGCAGTGACGATAAAACCTGCAAAATATGGAAATCATATCTGCCAAATAATCAGGAAGGTAGGCAGACTTTCTTGCAAATTCGTCTTTGGTTTACTTGTGAATCAGAGAACTAAGACAATCATGAATTATCTCGCCTCCTCTCCTTACTCTTGTTTCTTTTCTGAAGAGCTCTAGGAAAAACATTATGGGATTGATAGATCTATCCGATATATGATATATAAAATTAAATTTAGGCTACCTCTTCTATAGTAACACAGGATCAGTAAAAGGTGATTCTTTCTGGATATACGTATAAAGCTTTTCAATATAAGTAAAATTTGTGTGTAGTATAGCCTCTTCTGCGGCAACGCTAGCTTAATAATGGGTGATACTTATTCAACATCCGGGCACAAGCAATATGTGAAACAGTTTGAAACTGACTATCCCAGTAGTGTTTCAGTTTTTTAAAGTTTTCCTTCTGTACTAGCAGTGGATGAATTATTTCCTGTAATGCGCCTGGTCACTTATCCCTATAGGTATAGCAACAAATGGTAGCGATCCAAAGTGGAAATGTGTTTGTACATTGAGTGGATATCATCGTAGGACAATCTATGACGTTGACTGGTATGTAACACTCAGAGGGAGTCACTTCTAGTTTACGATCACTTAAATCAAATAATGGGGCCTCAGATAACAGGCTATCTCAGACAGGTCAGGAAAGCGCTTCATCAGACAGGTCTTCTTTCAAATTAGTAAATAGAAAATTTTGTTAACACTTTCACCGTCAGTGGTCTAGACAGATCGATAAGTGATAATCGATCAAAAAACGAAAACCTTCGTCTTTGGCGGTCAAAGTGTTAAAAATCAAATTAAACTTTTTTAGGTCCCACGGTCCAAGAACTTTGATCGCAACCGCGTCTGGAGATGATTCAATTCATATCTTCGAGAAGGTACTGGAAATTAAGTTAGATCATAGATCTACTGGTGGTCGCGAAGCATGGACGTTTTTCGGAACGACTATTATGATGAATTGATGTGACACACCGTAAAAATAACTGAAAAAATTATCGTAAAAGAAGTTTTGAAAAATCTAGCCCGAATTGCACGTTATAGTGGGCATTTGATCATGGTCAACTCCAGAAAACTAAGAAAAACAATTGTTTCTTTTTGAGAAAACTTCACTGACCACTATGATTATGTGGGCATGACTCAGGCGAAGTAATATTGTCATAATTGTGATGGTAGCATCAGTTGTTTATTGATTGTGTTTATAGGATGAAAACATCACAGATGATAACCAACCAATATTCAACCTGGTGGCTAAACGGGAAAAGGCCCACGAGCAAGACGTGAACTGTATTTCATGGCACCCGAAAGGCAATATCCTGGCATCCGCTTCTGATGATGGAACCGTCAAACTATGGAGGGTAACGGAAGGATAGAATTGGATACTATATGTATCAATTGGAGAGATATGTATGTATGTACTCGTTTTTGTGCAGGGTCGCATAAGAAATTGTGCATTTGAGAATATGAATGACAAGCATGTGGATGGAGGAAATGATAAAATATTGTTGAGGGTATACATCACTTACTCCGTAATTCATCAGGAACTGGTTGTATGAAACTGAGTAAACTGTAATAATTTAATGACTGAAAGGATGCCTGTGTCTTGATGTAAAGTCCTGCGAATTTTGGCCTCACAATTTAAACAATGAGGACAATGGGGAGGACGCAGGAGGTGTCGTTCCAGTTATTTATTAGAGTTCACTGATAAAACTAGCTTTTAATGTTTCCACTTTGAGTACAGATCGATTCTGATTTATCTATCCTGTCACTAACGATAGTTAAAAGTTCTTGGATTGATTTGCAATTGGATTGCTTTCGAATTATCCTTTATTAGAGTATAGACTATTATAGAGTATAGACGATGTAATAAATCTTTGATCTGCCGTCACCATGTGTTAAATGAAGAGTATGTCCAGGACAAAACAGAAATTGAGTTTAAAGTTATTTCAACAAAACTCATGAACTAACAATGCTAACTTTCAAAAAACAGAGAAACAAAATGATTAAAATTTGAATGAACAGCCTATAATTTTGCCATTGTAGAAGGTGCCAAGGGTGCTGGCATGTTATACTTTAACTTGGCTGTGCAGTTGACTTTATACAGTGACTTCTCGAAATTGAATGCTATTCTGTTTGTCACACCTCTTGTTTCTGCCAATAATTCATGGGTGGTTTGTGGAACTTTCATGAATGGTAGCACATGTTTAAGATCTTTTGCTTGTGTGCTGTTCACTATGTTTTCATAGTGTTTATATGTGTCCCACTTCATTTTCTCATACATGTCATCTCCAGGAAGGAAAGACTAAAAAACAACAAATATCACTGTATAATGTATGTATGAAGAATGTTGAGTTAGAACAGTTAAAGAATACATATTCATAACACAATCAATAATATGTACAATAATGTCTCCTCCATCACTGCTTTCAACTATAACTGATTCAATGTTATCCACTCCTTCAAGTGACATGACAAATGATTTCAAATCATCAACTGTTGAAAACCTAGCAATAGTAATGATTTTAACTTTACCAGGTAAGATATTTACAAGTTCCAAGAGAACTGACTGTGAAATAGCATATTTACACTGGATTACAGGAGTTAATTCAAACATTTACCAACACAGAGTATAATTATACAATGATGACTGACCATATTTCAAGCACCAAAAAACTCGTACTCTATGAGTGGCATATTACCTGCATAATCTTGACATCTCATAAAACTGCGGTGGTGCAATTTGAAGCATGTTTGACAAACGATAGTCTACAGCATCTGAGGGAGTTACCCACTAAAAATGAAAATTTGATATAAATAAGAGGATAGGTTACTGCGCATTATCTGACATTTATTGAAACCAAACCTACTGTAGAGCACACAACTTCTGTCCCATCATGACTCATTTCTGGTTCATTGTTAAGAAATGCCAAATAAAACATTGTGTTGAACCGTCGTGCAATATTGCCGGCAGGTGTGGTCCAGTTGGACCACTCGTAGAGAGACCAAATATCAGGAACACATTGGATATGCCTGAAAGGGGTAAGCACTAATAATCAGTTTCTCGCTTTGTAGTTTGTTATAGAGTAAGCTACCCTGGCTACGAGTTCCCATGTGTTTGATTAGCAAAAATTGGATTAGCATATGCTTAGATCATGAAAGTACATATAGTTGATGTACTTTTAATATCTGGTTTGTCATTTGGGCTTTTTTGTGCATCATCAGGTCAGTCAGTTAGTTCAATCACCCAGTCATTATAATAACATGTATATTATGACACCTGCATAATTCTATAAATAATGATGAATTTGAATGAATTTTTCCTCTCCAGCTTTTGATCTCATCATCACTCAACATCTTCCTTACAAGTCCAGCTGATCTTCCACCTTCATCTTGATCTCTTAATGACCTCACCAACAAAACACCAGACTCTTCAAATGTCTCTCTGATGGCACAAATTCTAAACCCAACATGTGCAGGTAGACTGTCTTTGGTCAGCTGTTTACTGTAGGTTTCATAAAAAGGTGCACTGGTCATTGTTGGTCTCAGCTGTAATTCTTTGGAACCAATCAAATCCATCCATTCTGATGAGAAATCTGTAATTTCACTTACACCACCTGGGAAAACATATCTGTTTGGCTAACAAAGAAACAATATGACATAATTGTTTTCTAGTACTCCCAGTAGTAGCATTGATCTCATGCCTTTGTCTACTCACCATAAACTTCATGTTAGAGCTACGTTGTAGCATCAACAGTTTGTAACAAACTGGTGGGACTGACTGCTGGTGGTTGGTCAGTTGATTGCGAACTACTAACATTAGCGTTGTAGACGGCCTTGGAATCACCGGAAACATCACACTGGGATAGTAACTCTGGCATCAATAAAAATATAAATTTAGAAAATATAAAACAACCATACAAGCAATAATAGTTGATATGGGCTGTGATTTAATATTTAATGGGGCTTGGATACTATTGTGGAACAGAGCCTCCTTAAATAAAAATGTTGCTATTTATAATTTCTATGGAAACAAACATGGCGACTCGTTGGGCAAAGTAATTGAGTGACAATAGCTGTTTTTAACCTGTGTATTGTCTTCATTATTGAATGGATTTCTGTAAAAGCAAAGAACTTTTAAAATGTCTAAATCACAGTGTTTCTTAAATGAGCGAGAAGGGAAAACGCACTTTTACCGCGCAGGTTTTTGGCGAAAGTTTGGAATCACTAAGCAATGAGCCAGATGAGATTGTGGACAAAAATTCAGCTCGTAGCATGCCTATGGTGCTAGGCGCTAAAATGCTGGAAAAATCGACAGTGAATACGGAGAAGAACAATGCAGAATCCTTGGAAAAGACGACGTATTTTACACCTCACCCGCCGCCAGGAAAGGCCGGGAATTCAGATGATAGCCAAAAAAAGGTTAAGAACAAGAGGCGATTTGCGAGACGATCGAATCGAGTGGTCGGTGTGAACCAGAGTAATTCTCAAAGCTCAGACGATGAAAAGTTTATTCCAGAGGGTATATTAAACAACAGAACTACTGGATCAAAGCTACCATCTTTATCCAGAGATTTACACCATGAAAATAATACAAATATAGGCGTAGATAAAAACCTTAAACATTTAAATCCACCAATTTTAAATAAAAAGCCACTCTCTCCTATTAAAGACAACCAAAAACTAGCAGACAACTTTAAAGCAAAACAGTCATTGGAAAGAAATAAGTATGAATCTAGGGGCAAAGGATTGAAAGGACCATTAAAGCCATTGGATCTTTCTGAGCCAGTTTCTACCTTGCAATCAAATAAATCAGCTGCTGCAGTCAATGCAACGAACATAGATCCACATGAAGAAACACATGAAAATGATATTGATGTTAATAATGGTAATGATAGATCAGAGGATACATTAACAAGTGTCAGTAGTGATGACTCCAGTGATAGTGATCATGAATCCAGTTCAACAAGCAATTCAAATTTGAATCCTAAAGCACCTAGCAACCCTCCGCCATCTTACCGTGGTCGTCGTAGAACTTTTTCTCTAAATTCTGTCAAAGACACCCTGGCAGACACTCAAGCTGGCAGACACTCTGATACTGAAGCCATTAGACGTGAACGATTAGGAAATGAAGCTGCATTGCTTCCTCGAGTTACTGTTGCAATGGCCAGGGATCGAAACTCAAACTTTGTTAAGGAAGAATTAAATAAGTATTTGCCTGAAAGAAAATTGATAGTTTTTATTGGAACCTGGAACATGCATGGGGAGAAGGTAACTTGTTTTGGGCTGATTGTACCAACCTCACCCTGTTTTGTGTTTCTTTTGATATATATTAAATTTATCTCCATGATTTTCTTTAGCAAGTTCCAGTGTTTGTTGATGACTTTTTACTCCCAGAATGTTCACAGTTCACACAAGATCTATATGTTATAGGATCACAGGAGAGCACACCATTGAGGTGAAATATATTCTATTATTTATTAGTAAATTTTGGTAATTATATTAGAAATATTGTCTTGCTAACCTGCGTGGACATTTCTTTGGGACTGTATAACTATCCCTTTCTGATCGAATGATGGTCCTGGGTGTTGAAACCTGTTTGGAATGAAGCAGTAAAAAATTTAAGGCTTTGAAAACTGTTTCAATGGTGGTAGATGTGATCTGTGAAATGATCAAAAAATTAAAAGGTATATGGCCTGGTAGGGCAAATAAGGAACAGGCTCCCGAAGTTATTAATTTTTGCATTGGTGGTCAGTTCACTGTATGCAGGATTTCCTCCTTCCCACCTTGACGTGAATCCAAGTAATGTTGCAAATAATGTTAACCTAGCAAATTGCATGGCTAGCAATCTTGGAGATCCATGGTTCTGTGTTATTGCAGAGACCTGCTTATACTGGGTTTCAATTCTAAATCTTTAGGAAAGAATGGGAGATAAAATTACAAGAAACTCTTGGACCAACACATGTCCTCATTTATTCCAGTACATTTGGTGTACTTCATTTAGCCCTGTACTTACGTAGAGAACTAGTTTGGTTTTGCTCAGGTAGCTTGCTTTAATACTAGTAACTGTTTAAATACCATTATTTACACCAGACAACATTTTTACATATATTTTGTGTATTTAGCTGTGGAACAAGCAACAGTTGCAACAAGACCTGGTCACATGATTAAAACAAAGGTGCCATATTTTTATAAGAATTTTCTCTTTTTTCCTTAAAGTTAATGTCCTTAAAGTTATACTTAAATTTGAGATGATAATTCATTATAGGGAGCAATTGGCCTTTCATTGTCAATTTTTGGAACTTCCTTTCTCTTCATCAACTCTCATTTTACTGGTTAGTAGAATAACGCATCTCCCGTTACTCAAGACTTGCGTGTGGCGTACCTATTTTTATGATTTTTTGGCCGTCATTTTTCAGCGCATGAACAAAAATGGAAGGAGCGTATTAGTGATTATCGTATGATACGAAAAACCTTATCACTTCCTTTAAACTACCCAGAACCTTCAAATCAAGGTAATTCCATAATTACTCCATAAAATCTGGGTTCCACTATCATTCCTGCTTCCTACCAGAGCAGACATAAAAGTTTCTCTCTTTTTTCAACTAAAACTAATTGAAAAAATATTATTATTATAGAGTAATAAATATTATTTTTACAGAACTAATATAAGAATACTATAAGAATATTATTATAAAACTAATTGATTTAAACACAAAATAAGCTTCTCTCTCTGATCCGGTCCAACAGATAGTTTTCCTGAGTAGAAACCGGCCTAAGAATTCATATATATTTTTCTGAATTATTTTTGTTCCTGATTCTTGTGTAGCAACTGATGTAACAGCGAGGTTTGATCAGGTATTCTGGCTTGGTGATTTTAACTTCAGAGTAGAGGAGCGACATGGTGTTGTTGAGAAATTCCTCGAACAATGTGTGGACGATGAAGACCCAAATTATCAGGTTTGACCAGTCACTCCTTGTTCATACAGGTTTTCACTTGATATTGATTGCAATAACACGACTCTATTCTTTTGCTTCTTCCAATTCTGCAAGTTGGAATTTGTGCGTATAACCAACTCGTTTACCTCGTAGCTCAGTTGGTAGAGACTTGCGGCAACCAGGAGCCATGCAGTTGTTTAAAGCTGGGTTAACTTAGCGCTAACCGTCTTTTGAACAACTGGTCCCAGAACTAGAACTCCCAGTTCCTATCGCAGTTAAACTTGCGTTCTGTTTGTTAATTAAATGGATCAATGGTGGTATACCACCGTGGTATTTCTGTTTCGTAAATCGTGTCAGCTCGAATGATTCGTATTGTCGTTGCATTCGTTTCAGGAATTAATTGAAAAAGATCAAATGACAAGGCTTATGAAAAAAGGTATGGAAACTTATAAGAACGAAGCGCTGGCGTCGAGGTTTTTTAAATCGGTTAGTAACTGGTAGCTACTAAATATTAAACCTGTTTCTCATTTATGTAGATAAAGGTGTTTTCGAGCATTTCAAAGAAGCAAATATCAATTTTCCGCCAACATATAAATTTGATATTAACCCTGATGATCCGGGACATTACACAAATAGTCGGGTACCCTCATGGACGGTAAGTGACTGACTGTCAACTGAGAACAGGCTAGTTTACAATCGTAGCAAGCTGTTGCATGGTTCAATCTTGGTAACTAGGTTATACGAAACTATACCAGTGCAGTAAAATCTGCTTCTCTTCAATCGGGCCTTCGTTCTAAGGTAATTGTGACTGGTAATAAGGCTAGTCCAAACACAAGTAACTTACGAACATGCATGTAACATGGTACCTAAATATTTAACACAGCTAGTGTAACAGATCTTATCTTAACTGAACAGGATCGTATTGTGTATCGAAGTTCTGAAGAGAACGGAATTCGACCTCTGTACTATAACTGCTGTACGTCGATAAATATCTCGGATCATAGGCCAGTTTATGGTATTTTTGAAGCAAGTATAAAACCAGTTAAAGAAAAGTATGTGTCTGCTTATTTTACTCAATTACATTATTTTAGTGCATGTGTGCCCAATAACAGTAACCTCTACATCAGTAATAAATATAGAAAATTCAGTATTGGTTGCAAGTATTGTAGAAATCCAGACTTTCGGAAGGTCATATCTTCCTTATTTTACAAAATTTCGCCGTCAAATTATACAATTCTATTAATTTAATTATCCTCTTTCTAGCTGGGATTTTTTTATGTTCATTTTCCTCGTGTGATAAGAAATTAATCTAACAATAACATGCCTGCCAGAGATGTGTATCATTCCCACTCAAAATGAAGCCCCTTTAACGTTGCACAGTTATCCTACACGAGTGAAGTGCCACAAAATCTTTATTTGATTAAATCTATATCAACTCTTGTTGTCTTATTTAGAATTTCTTTTACTGGAGTTCATTTTGTTAGGGATGTTTATATTGAAGGTAAGATTGGAAATGAAATAAAATAGGAATAAACATCAATAAGGGTTTCGACCTTTCGACCAGTAATGGTTAGTTTTAATTAAGTGGCAATTCTATGCGACAATAGCGACATAAAGTGTATCATGCATAATTTTTATCCTGTTTTGTAGCAAATCGGCGCAGGGCGGCACCACCACGAAACCAACGTCAAACTGCAGTTTGCGTCATACTCTGATCCGACTAAACATTTACCATGTTTGTCAATGATTTTGTCATGGAAAACTGCTGGTTCATAACACTGCTGCATATGTAACTCGTATTTATGTGTCTCCCATGCTAATTGGTCTGTATCACAAAAATATGCATTCAATTCAGAAAATAGGTTGTAGGTGTAAGAAATGGTAAACTGAAAAACTTACAACCAAAATTGAATTAATGAATGTCCCTTATCACCAATCAACCAACAGCTTTTAAGGGATATACTAATTATTCTATATACGTTATACATAATTGCATACATCTAAAACATTATTTAAAAATATTTATTGTAATTTATAATATATTCAGATGATCAAATTAACTGTGAATTTATTATTCTCATCAGTCGTGTAAATCACTTCTTGCTACCCATGATTTACCAGGTAAAATTATATAATACAGGAAAATGTATTGCTTCAGCACTGTATTTTACTTTTATTAATGCAATATTTACTGTACAAAGTATAAAACTGCTATATACAAAGTGTAATGTAAAATATCAATTGATGTATTGTACAAAGAATCACTATATAAATACTTCCATAGTTGACTGTATGTATGTTCTGCATAATGGACATTGTGCTAATTGAATATGGCCTTCTATTATCTGTTGTAAACATTGTCGACACAGGCAAACATGTCGACACGGCATTAGTAAGATGTTTTTAAAATTGTCTTGACATATCACACACAATCGTTTGTCCTTTTCAAGTTCTAGTTCATATTTTAACTTAGTTTGGTTTTGTGGTATGTGTTTATCTGAAGATGGTCCTTGGGTGTTTGGAAATTCCCTTTCTTGAGCTTCAAATAGTTGTTCATTATGAAACAGCTGATCATTGTCAATATGGTGGTTTTCATTCATTCTTCTTAAACTTATCCAGGATGAAACTAAGAGAGATGCTATTTCTTCATGCCATAAGTAAATTATTATTGAAAGGGAGATGAATGTGATGCATCCAAAAACTCCACCTGGGATGTATTCATATATACCAACAATGCCTGAAACAAGAGTTGATATAGCACCTATGATGCTATAAACAATATCAGATAAATATCCACTAATACTGTAAATAATACTTGATAACCATCCAGTAATAGTGTAAACAAAGTTAGATGTACCAAATCCAATTGTCTTAAATGTTGAATGCACTATCTTTCGAATCCTTGTATCCAGATCACCAAGACAATTCACAAATGCTTCCAAAGAATAGTACAACATAAATGAGATATTTGATACTATATGAGCCAGGAAATAGACAGGCCAGATCACAGCATGGATAATCTGTGTTGAAACAAGGGTAACAGTGTCTCGTATAAAACATATACAAGTAAAAATGCATGCACCAATTGTTCCAAAGGTGCTACAAATGCAGTTCAAAATAAACAAATGTCCATCCCTGAGAAGCTCTCCAGTCAATTTAAGAGATTCATAAAAGAATTCCAACCCTGCAAGAACCATTGATACAGCCAAACTTGAATCCAAAGCTGATAGACCAAATGGTAGTGTGTTATTGAGACATGTTGTTACAACTGAGGAGACATGCCGAATGTTAACCAAAGTCTTATTGCATGCAGATACCAACAGGAACTGTATACCTTCTAATGCCATAGTGCTTGAATCATACACATTCTCAGTTTGGTTTGCTATCGTGATTCTAACCAAGATGAGACCATCTTTGAAATGATCCCTTATGCATCCAAATATATCAAATATATATGATAACACTGCATAGTTTAACTCAAGCAAGAATTTCACCCCAAAACCTAATGCTTCTAGCAGTTTCACAACATTGAAGAGTATACCAAAAATGCGGACACATAGTTCAGCACATGAGCTGACTGTTTCATTCATAACCCACAGAACCCCATTTAGAATTGTGTCCAGAATCCATAATCCAGCGAACAATACCTCACAAATTGCATGAAATAATTTTATGAGAGTTGGAGCATTTTCCTCAATTCTTTTGAAGGTTGAAGCTACTCCTGGTTGGTTCAGACTTATAGTTTGTTTCACTTTCACTTGAGTAGAAGATGGCTTAAATACTTTTTGAGCCAGAATTGGTGAGGTAGTAAATTCAAATAAAAATATAACAAGGACAATCCATTTTCTTGTTGCAGACATCTTTAAGGTCTATGCTACTGTATTATCCCATCGTATATAGTATAAAAGACAACGATGTTCTGGAAATGGAATGTACCAGGGTCTCTCAGGACTGTCTCTTCAGCTTTGCAAATTATTAATTTTTACATCCAACAACATTAACTGCCCGAAGCTGGAAGGGCTGACTTCCAAACCGTAACACGTAGCCAATTTCTACGTATTTATCATGTATGCAAACTATTGTTTAATCCTTCATTTCTTGCAGATGAAAGAATTATAAAAAAATATACATAAATTCGAATTCTTTTTGAAGCATTGTTTGTTGCTTGGAGCTGTTTAACTTCTTTAGCGTACGGGGGTAGGGTAGGGAACAGTATTTTAGTCCGTCTTTTGTAGTTTTCCAGTCTTAATCAGCAGGAATTAGACGGAATTGAATTCAATTTGGACATTTATTTCTGATATCTTGCATTAAAGTTTTGTAGCTTTCCACCTGTCCTACTGAGGGATAAGGGATTTATGTCATTTACCGTTTTACAATTTACAGCATGCGTTTTACAGTTAATCCAGTGACATGGATCTGTCATTGGGATCTGTGGATTTACCACTGAGCTATATATAATATGGATCTCACAGGGCCATAAAAAACGCAACCTTGATCATTGGTCAGTGGTAACTACCATGGCAAATAGGCAGCAAATCTGCTCACGATTTATGACAAACATTGCAAAATAGAACGAGGGAAGTACCATTTTATTTATACAGTATAAATAAATTTTATTTATTCTTCAGTGATAAGTATATCGGAGATATGGCTGAACTTGTTGTAGTCCGCGTGTCTTTGCAGTTAGCTTGGAGTTTACTTTCCAATAAACTTATAAAGCGTCTAAATACAGGAGTTCCCTCAGATGAAGCCCTGCGAAAACTGCTCTTGGATAAATTTCAAAGACTACATGAGGAGTTGAACTCTTTAAGAAGAAAAGAATTGGTTGCTGCTGTCTCGTTTATGGAAAATGGTTATGAATTGTTTCTTAAAGATCCCGTGGAGGCCAAAAAAGAATTCACAAAAGCTCGTGATGCCGCGCAAATGGCCTTTGGTGTTGTGGCAGAAACGAGCGATAAATTACTAGCCACAAAAATATTGATAGCATCAGCTATGCATGAATTTGAAGATAAAATTGATACAGCCATCTCGCTTTGTTTGAAGTATGTGTCCAGATTGAATGGCCTACCAGAAGTTGTAGATGTTTGCAATACATACTCAAAGAAAGGAGTTGGTAGTCGTTTAGGGGCAATAGGATCCTCAAAGAAGCTGGATCTACTGAAAGGGTTATCAGAAATCAATCGCAACGTTTGGGAGTATGTGAAACAAAATGATCCAGAGTTTGATGACACCAAATGGCCTAGTGTACAATGTTCTAATACGATTTTGCAGCCAGTATTTGGGTTGTTGCCTTTGCGAGATTGCCAAGAGTTAACCAAAGATAGTCCAGATATGGGCACACCTGTGGCAATGGCAGTGTGTGGAAAGAATTTGTTCATTTCTTGCACCAGTCCAAATGATCAGACTGACAATGCAAATTCCATTGAAGTAATTAATTTAGATTCCAGTGAGGTTAATATGTTATCTGGTCATTCTGCTGTTGTATTAGCATTAGTTGCAGTTGGCAAGAGAGTATTTTCAGGATCATATGATAGGTCAATCTTGGCCTGGGAAGGATTTAGTTTGAGTTTAATTCAAAAAGTAGGGGAACATAATGGTGCTGTTCGAAGCCTGGCTGCAAGCAAAAGTATGTTATTTTCAGCAGGTTCTGATAGGGTTATTAAATGTTGGGATTTGGCAACACTTGGCTGTGTCAAGGAGCTGAATGGTCATGAATTTCCAATATCTCATGTGGAATTTCAGCACCATCTCTTCTCGTATGCTCCAGGTGAGGGAATTCGGATTTGGAATGTTCAGAAATGGAGTGTGATCAGTGTGATTCCTGATTTGGGCAATGTTACTTCTTTACAATGTTCTATTCAGTCTAAATTGTTTGTCCACTGTGGAATGGATGTTAAGTTGTTCAACCTTGGAAGCGGTAAAGAAGAAACAACTCTGAAGAATATTGGCAAGGTTTCACTGCGATTCCCAGGGCGGAAAGTAATTGGTTTCTCTGGGGAAAACATGTATCTTTATGATCTTGAATCATCCAAATACCTTTTAAATCAGGCTCTCAAAATTGAAAAGAGTATTGATATTTCATTGGTGCATTTTAATTATGACTTAGGTTTGTTGTTCCTTGGTGGAGTAATGAAAAATACCAAGGAGGGAATTGTTTTGTGTCTTTAACATTTCATAAGTAATGTCTGAATATAATCATGATCTAAGACTTAGAATTTATAACAATATGCATATTCTGATTATGGAGTGTTACAATTTCAATTTCATCGCTGTAACAAACATGTCATTTCCACTTGATTTATCATTAAATCTAAGGTTACATTGTCTCTTATGAGGGCATCACTGCTATGAAAGCTATGAACTTTCTGTGTTGGGGTAAAGGAAAAATAGTTAATAACTGGAAGAAGATATCCATTATATGGAAGTTCAATTGAATTTCACAGCGAGTTTAGGCGTAGAAATTTCATGTTCAGTAAATCCTAAATACACGAATTTAATCCTTGAGATTAGGTTAGGGTTGGGATTAGGTCTTCGGATTAGGTTCAACCAGGGCGTCTATTGTTCAACCGGAAATTGATAAGGCTGGAAGGTTTTCCCGGAAGTAAACATGTGCTGGTGACGTCACGAAGCTAACGTGGCGTTATCAGGAGACAGTCGACATATTGTTTCAAAATTTTGGTCAAAAATCAACTTTATACTATTTTGATTCAAAGACTAAATTCTCGCGTTGAATATGGCTCGATCTCCGAACAGTTCGCCCTACCAAGACTACATCAATAAAGCCGAAGATTTCGCTGATCAGATTCTACGCCATTCCAAGCACGTGTTGCCTCATCTTGCTCGCTTTTGTCTGGTATCGACCTTTTTTGAAGATGGAATACGAATGTGGTTCCAGTGGGGTGAACAAAGAGATTATTTTAGCCAGACGTGGAACTGTTCCGTAGTATTTGGAGTCTTATTCGTCCTCTTCAACTTGTTTGGTCAACTGGGAGGTGTTGCAATGGTTTTAGCACGACAAAAGGTCGAGATTGCCGTAGCTATTCTGGGGACAGTCGTTGTCGTCCAGGCAAGTAAAATAAGCATTTTGGATGGGGTGGTCAGATTGCAGTTGTTGTCGAGGGAAATGTTGCTTTAAATTAAATTTTGCAAGCGATTGTATTTGGATGACTAGAAATGATATCAATAATCGTTATTTTCTTTCTGCATGCAAGTTGACCACCAAAAAATACAGTTTTTTTGCAGTGGTGCTTTGTAACTAACCAGCTGGTCAAAGTTGGAGCAATTATATTGATCAAGTTAGATATTAATGTGAAATATAAAACAACTTTGATAGAAATTTCCAATTGCTCACCTTATTCTCTTGTGCACCCAACCAAATTTAAAAGGGTAGATTCTTCAATTATGAATGGGTGTAATGATTATTGTAGGACATATAGATGCATGTCATAAATTTTAATTGTCTCTATGCACTCAGGTGTGTAGTCAGTTCACTGTTACTTTTTTCAATCTGTTCAAAATTTCTATAGAACTAAAATATTTGTGTTGTAATGAATACACCCTGTAAAGTATTTGTAATGACCTACAAATGATTAAATATAATTGTTCATTTTAGACTGTTGCGTATAGTATTTTATGGGATGTTAAATTCTTGATGAGGTATGTTTTCATACTTGTTTATGAGACTTTGAGTGTGTATAACTTTAATTGAGCTGTGAATATATTAAATAGTGAAGCATTAATGAATTGCTTAAATGTTTTAGGAATATGGCGTTAGCTGGTGGTCTCCTACTCCTCTTGGCTGAGAGTCAATCAGAGAAGAAAAGTCTGTTTGCAGGTGTTCCAAGTGCTGGTGGAAACACACCCAAAACCTACCTTCAATTAAGTGGTAGAATCCTGTTGGTGTTTATGTACTTGACCCTGCTTCGCTTTGACCTCTCCTTCTTCCGTACCATTGAGATCATAGTTGGCTCTATCCTTATGGTATTTGTTACCATTGGTTTCAAGACAAAGCTCTCAGCTTTAGTGTTATTAGGTTGGCTTACCATCCTAAATGTCTATTTTAATGCCTTCTGGATGGTCCCAAGCGATCGACCATTACGTGATTTTCTTAAGTACGACTTCTTCCAGACAACTTCTGTGATTGGTGGGTTGCTGCTTGTTGTTGCCCTTGGCCCCGGTGGCGTAAGTGTAGATGATTATAAGAAGAAATGGTAGATATGTTGATAATTGTTTCAAAAGTACATTAGGGATACCATGATGTGATATTGTGTTGAGAAGCAATAATTGATTGCATGCATATATGGAAATGGACATTTTACAGAATGAACTTATTCTCTGTTGGTAAATATCAATACAGGAAACTTCTCGTATTTTCTGGGTTGATATATTAGAGCGATTTATGGAAAAATCAATTCTTACTTATATAAGATTAAGATGCAAAAACATTTGGCACATAATTGATTGTAATTTGCCTGTGTTCTTGCTGCTTATGAAACTGCTAAATTGATTTGAAACTTATATTTGCCTGTTTAATGTGCTAAAGAAAATTGAATTTGAACATGCGTTTTCAGTATGTGTTACTAAGTCTTAAAAAAACAGGCATCAATAATACTATCATTAGACCAAACAAGCCTAAAAAGTATGGTTTAAGCCAGCATTTATGAAATAGTTTTGCCTTGCATGATCGCTAACATGGTTCTGATATCCATCAGGACAATGTTGGTGCATTGCCAATTTGCAAAAACTGACTTCAGCTAATGCTTTTTCTTACTGATGCTAAAGTTTCATATTTAGATACAGTAAATGATAGTTATACTGCTTATTGTACAACTTTATTTTAATAGACACATTAGACACACTTGTAAACTTTTGCTGAAATGTTAAGATCTTTATTAGGAAAGTAATACCAAAAGTAAAAGGACTGGCAAACATCACAAAGGATATTTTTGTTGTACAATACAGGCCCTCTTTGGCAATGGTAATGAATTCATAGACGAATAATTCAGTTGCCCCCTGAGAATCTGAGATTAATATTGTCACGCGAAGATAATATAAAATTTCTCATTAGCATGTCAATTCTTTGTTGTAAAGAAAATAAATGTATTTTCTTGATTCATAGTTTATTAAACTTTGCGCAAGTTGTTATGCAAAGGAGAGGGTTTGTTTCCGGGGATTTTTAGCGAGTAGTTTAGCTGCACTGCTTTACTCTCCCCATCTTCAGTAAGGTTTTGCCGGGTATGTTTATTAATTTGGATGTCAGCAGGAACAGGAGCTGGATGAGGATACAAAGCAAGGGGCCGCAGCACTGGAGGCAGCGGACGAATGATGAGGAGAATCCGAGAAGAAACAGCAGCAGGAAAAGTAAGAGCAAAAACTGGAAGAGCTTTCACGAAAAGTAACAAAACGAGGCAAATCACGCTAGGCCAAAGAAAAGGGCCAATTCTCTATTCCTAATAATGTCACTCGTAAGGCTATATACATTAGCATATTGTTTACGTTTCTACTACCGCTCTACCACGTTTCCAAATAAGATACGTTTTTGCAAACGTACACCGCATCTATAATTTTGGATAGAGTTTGGACTGCATTTTGCTCAGAAGACATATAGAAAGTGAAAGGTGGATCGTGTCACAGTAACTGACTAACTGTAGGTCAGTGTGGGTATGGTAACTATGGCAACGTTGCTTTTTCTTGTGATGTCAAATATGGTGGACAAGTCACTCGAAAAGTTTAAAGATTAAGACAGCTTTTGTTTAAGTTTGACAGGTTTTACGACACGGAAATGCTGGAAGACGTTATAGACGACAACATCTTGCTTTACTGCGGTTAAATTATGAGCGTTGCTGTGTCAGAAAGTTGGGCGGAAGGCTCGAATATAAATTTGAGCGAGCCACCGCGTAATCGCTCTTCACCAAAAACAATTGCTAGCGATGGAAACAAGCAAAAATCTAAGCCAAGTACAGCAACACCTTGTGCTTTAAGTTATATAGAAGGCACCAGCTGTTCCGAAAAGAAAGTTCTGCCAGCAATTCGCCCTAAAAACGATGATTTTTTTATGGGGGGAGATTTTGTCAAGAGTGGCGTGCAAAAAGACTTTATTCCTCTTGATATTTTAACAAGTTTGACCCAAATGCCTTCACCGCCATCCAAAGAGCAACTAGGACCACCTAGCAAATTTACAAAAAGCTCAGCATTCGAGGTAAGGTAACAATTAGAACTAGTGATGTATGGCACATATGCATAGCACCATGACTTCATGAGGTAGATTAAATTACTGCTGATTCCAAATTTTTACCAATAGATCTAAGATTTCTAAAATCTGTTCTTGGTGTACGATTGTACAAACTGTAAGGTATATATTTGGCCAGTTTATCACTGATGTGGATTAGAACCCAGCCAATTACACTCCAAAGTCCACCAAGATGAAATCATGCAGTTACAAAGTCTTGCCGCACCTGAGTTATGCTTGGCTCCGACAGCTATATCTACTGTACAGTACATCTACCTGCCTAGTGTTTTATTTAGTGCACTGTACTGTGCATCCATCAGCACCTGAGACCAATACCTGCCAAAATTTTGCACATCTGAACCCTAAATATCTACATGCTTTCAATCTGCTTCTGCACCTGAGATCCTATGCCTTACTCGGCAGCCTGCTCCTAACTATACTAGAATAGACTTGATTAAATTAGCTCTATGCAAATTTTTGGCTGGATTGTGTCTTAATTTTGATAAATAAACAATGTATAACCTCAAGTTGTTAATTTTTTAATGTAGAAGCCTGCAACCATAAGAAAGAGACCAGCAAATGTTTGGAACTATAATAAAAGAAGGGACAAGTTAAAACATCTTGTTGAAAACCCACCATGTTTATGTGGTGCAGGAAGGTATTAACATAAAGTAACTGTAATAAAAGCTAGCTAACAGTAATTTAATTAAGATAATATATATTGTGAAAGAATGTCAAAATTTAAACTTTGAAATTTCAAAGATGTAGGTACAGCTTTAATAATTCTTTCTTTAGAGATATATCCTTTCTTTATGATGCATTGGCTGACAAGAATGAGGAGAAATCTAAAGAAAAAAGTGAAGACGTTTCTGGTGCCAAGGAGCAGCAATCTGAAAGCAACACTTTGTCTGGATCACCGGTAAAATAATGTTTTTCATGTATTGGGTCATTGCATTGATGTAACCAGTAATCAATTTTTCTAAACTTTCCATTATCTGATTTTTTCAAGGATACAACCCAAGTACCTAACACGTTAGTTCCTGCAGAGTATCATCTGGTCAAAGACCCAGGTGTCCTTGGCTTGGAATTCTCAGATGAAACTCATACAACCCATCTGAAAGAACATCAAGACCACATGACGATATTTCCATCCATGAAACCCACTGGTCGTCAAGAAGTTTTGAAACTAAAACACGCTTTTGATGCGATGTTGTCCCGAGCTGGTGTTGACGATGAGTCTAAAGAGTTGACTGGACCTACCCAGATTCATAATTTGTTGGAAATTGTGCGAAAGGAACAGAATATATATAATATTGTGTTTAACGAGATTATCCGACAGTGTACTGTGGAATGTGCTGAGAGAGGGGAATTGTTGGCTAGTTTAAGAAAGAGATATGCTCAGCTTTTGGACAGAGTCCCTAGACAAGTCATGAGGTATTTTACCTTCTTTTTTCTTCCCATCTGGTGAGCATTGCCTCCAGCACAAACACAATAATTATTTTATGATTATTCTAATATCTCTGTAGTCTCCATCAAGAGGTGTTGGCCCAAAGGGCTCTAGACAGACGACTGACTGAAGAATTAATCAGGTTTAAAGCAAATGTCTCTGCATTAACGAGCGAACTGGATGCAGTAAAAGCCCATGACAGTGAAGTTACAAAACAAGCAATACAGGTAATGAACTGAATTCGTCATGATTCTTTATGTCGAATAACAGTTCACATGCACTGGTGATATTTCAAAGATTAAGGTTCGATTCTCTTCTTCTTTTGACGGATGCAAACGAACGAATAGTAGAAAATGGCACGCGTGTTCAAAACGACCTTAACCAAATCTATATCCAGGCTTGGCATTATGTAATCATATCTTGTCCATCAACTAGGTCCAACAAGATCTAAATGAAGCACTGGTAGAATCGGAAAAGAACGCAAACTTATTGGAAGAGTACCATGAACTTTACGAACTGCAGAGAAAACGTCTCGAGATATTTGTTCGTACTTTAACTGAAGAGAGAGACTTATGGAGCAGTGCAGCGTATATACTCGCTTTGAAAGTCACTGATCATCATAAATTAAATGTTGCTAAAAGATTGCATTTGCATGAGCGAGCCTGGTCAAAGTTGGCGAGACATTTCAGTTTGAATCTTAGTCAAAAAGATAGTGAACAGGTGAGACGTTGCATCATGCCACGAAAATTGGGTGGGGGTAGCATTAAGTACTTTCACTCTCCTGTAGTTTTGCACTTCAAAGAACACTAATTGCCTTACTTCTAGCTTCAAGATCTAGTGACAAGTTTCCATTCATGGAAGGATTTGGCAGAAAAATTTAACGTTCAACTGATGAAAAATGAAGCTAATTTAAAAACAAATCTCGAGGTGGCTGTACAACAATTACAACGTTGGAGGAATGAGTTTGAGAGAGTTGTCAGGTAGAAGGAAATATTACCTGACGTTATCTAGAGTACATCTTTGTAAACACGGTTGAAGTTTCAGTTATCGTCAATATGGTTCCAGTATATATAGTCCTATAGTTCTTTAGTGAAGTAAAGACCTTAGACCCGGTGGTTCTACACAAAATTAGGACTTATTTTGATTATTGGTTAGCTAACATTCCTCGCTCGACTTTCCTAAAAGCCCTTCTAGTCCCGTATATCTATAGTGTTACTGATATGTGGTGTGGCAGTGTTTAGTTAATTGGAAACGAAAGTCTGTTGTTTTTAATTGTGATGATGATTCTGATAACAATTCTGTTATGTTTCACAGTCCAGACCAAGGGAGAGTTGAAGCTCCTTGTAAGGAGCTGGTCGAGGAGTTACTTCGTGATATGAAAGCTTGGGAGGATTTGTGTAATACAGAAGCAGAGAAATTCGTAGGAGGCAATCTATTGTCTTGTCAAGATCAACTCTATCACTTATATAAGCTGGTGGAAGCCTGGACAGACGTCGCACATAAGGTACGTACAGGTTCCTTATGTGTGGTGACTGATAGAAACAACCTCATTAGGTCCAGCTTATCCCCTAGTCCGTTGCTGCAAGCAAGGTTTGGTTAACTAGCAGCGGAGTTAGTAAGTGGTTACTGGTTATGAAATGACCAAGGCTGACGGAACAAGGCTTCGTTATCTTGGATAAGATGAAGCTGTTGAACATGAGGTTTGGAGATGGAAGGTTGAAGGTTTGAACATGAGGTTTGGAGATGAAAGGGATGCCCATGGGTACGAATGTCTTACCTATGATATGACTAATAGTCTAGTTTATATTACATGGGAATATGTAATATAAACTTATTACATTCATTTTTTTCGAAAAAACTACTTTGTATTGTTAAGGTGTTCAGAAGGCATCAACAAGATGCCCGGGACGTTGTCTACAATAACGAAATGACCGCCATTAACCAGAGTGTTGAAAAACTGCATCAGCAGTTTCAGATTCGGGCAAGTGGAGAAAATGGCGTCGCAAAGGGATTGATTGATATGAGTAACCCCATGGAATCATGGTTAGTGTTATAGGTGTGAGACAAGCTGCAATGATCATTATCTTCAATCATTGAAGAACGCTGCACCAGAATCGCTGCAGAGCCGTATATTAATATAATATAAGTGTCTTCTTATCACCCTGGGTGCAGTAAACTATACTCGAAATGTGTACACTAGTGTCTTTATATCACCCTAGGTGCAGTAAACTGTACTCTAAATGTGTACACTAGTGTCGTCATATCACCGTAGGTGTAGTAAACTGTACTCCAAATGTGTACACTAGTGTCCTCATGTCACCCTAGGTGTAATAAATTGCACTCGGTTGTGAATGGCAGTGAAGAGTTGCTTGATCCAGAATGGATCCGATTGGCTGATCAAGTCGGGAACGAATGGCTTCAGAACATGAAAGAAATAATTCTTTTGATTGGCATCCCGATCAAGGATGGCGAGCGTCAGAATAATGAAAAAGAGAATAGTACAGTGAATTTTGATGAGTTTTGCAAGGCGGGAAAACTGTGGCTGACGAACATGACAAATTCCGTTGAGAATGAAGATGGAAAACTCATGCAAATTGTACGTAGCATTAGTTATTAACGGTGTAATTGGTTTTTCATCAATTTATTATTAATTGTTGTATTCCATATTCAGGTAAGCGATCTTCACTCGACGATGTTAAGGTGGATGATAACAGTACTACTCCGTCTCGCTCCGGATGTGGAAGATCATGACCTTGAGGAGATAAGTTCTGAAGACGATCTTAAAGGAGCTCTGGGCGGAGGTGAGATACTCCTGGAATCAACCTCGTTAGAGATAAAAACTCGGGCGGGTCGTTTGGCCGAGGACATAAGAAAATATTCAAAGGTGATTATTATTTCCATCAAGAGCTGTATTTTTCCGGAAACAAATCTGTATTAGACGATAACATTCGATAACGAAACAACTATATTTGATGTTGATAATGAAATGAATGATTCTGTTTTAAGGTTATCAAAGATTGTTGTGCGAGTATCGTTATGGAGACGATGATGGAGAAGAAAGACCGCTATGAAGAAGATGCTGAGGGGGAATATAATGATCTCAAGAGGATTGAGAAGGAATGTGAGGGATGGATTAGGACGTCCGAGCTCCTGATTAAGCAGGTAAGATGATGGTATTTGTTCATTGAAAAGATCATATCAAGAATCCGCCGTGTGTTGACTGTAGAAATTGAATCAGCATGAGAACATAAACAAACTAGTGTCACACCTATAACGATTGAAAAGACCATTTTTATGACTGAGTAGACTCACGTTACACGCGCGAGCGGCACAAGAGCGAAAGCATGTCTGAGCTGCCTATGAAATGACCGATTTTCATAATCCTTTTGAGTATTGGTTGGTCACTATGAAATAAATTATTTCTCTGCAATGGTACGACGATGTCATCTCTCGCTTTATAGGTTGTTGGAGAGCTACCACTAGAAGGTGTAAACATTGAGTCATTCCCGACCACACCCATGACAAGCTCAGAAGGGACAAAGAGTGGTCGCAAGGGATCTTTACAAGATTCTGAGGGAACATTAAGTACCGCTAGGAGTACTCCAGTAAAAAGTGTGGACTTTGAATCAAAGGAGGATACTCCTATTAATCTGGCGATATTATCTGTGCCAGGTCTGTGTTAGTCATTTCAAGCTCCGTTATTTTGAGACTATGATTTTAAAAGCTCAGTACTTGGAACTACACTTTAAATTTCAGAAAGAAAACTGTGGTTTCAGTAGATTTATTCTGTGTTTTTAGTGCTAAAAAAGGGGATTGTACTATATTGCGCTTCTATTTGCAAAGATAAAATGCAATTGTACATGGTTGTCGTTTCACTAGAGCGTTTCCAAAGATGTTTTTGTGTCTTCGACGCCTTGTTATTCTAAATTAAATCCTGACACTTGCATATTCTATGTTCATGGTTATATTTCACCTTCTTTACATTAGCAACTCCAAATGTGATTGAACCAGAGGACAGTTGTATAAATGATCAACCGGAAGAAACAACTCGAGCATCTTCTCAAGGCTCCAGACCTATCTCAAGTGGTGCAAATAAAATGAGAGTGTTGGCTGAAGATGAAACTGTAAGAACAAAAGTGTTGAAAAATGAAGAAAAACCTGAGGTACGTGATATCTTTATGATATTATTTCTGCGCTGAAGTATTCTGTAATTTAACAGTGAATACGTTTCCTCTTTAGGTTGAAAGTACGTCAGACGTATTAACAGATGGTATGCTCTGTTTGAATTCAATTTGCTGCGATTTTTTAAACTTAGCAACAGTCACTATTAAAGATCCAACTTCCATACTCAACTTCATATTGAATATCTATAAAAGGCATTTAAGGACTGATTAAACTATCCCGTATAAACTATATATAAAGCTACTCTAATTTAGGAAGACTATTTTCAAATGTTGGAATTCTAGAATAAATATGCCATAGTTAACTATTATACATCAAACAACTTCGCAAAAACACTCGACTTAAGGCATTTCGTCATTCTTCAGAGGAGTTAGTGTCATGCTAATCATATGATCCATATTTTGAGTTTACAAATGCCCATCTTCCAATTATGTTTTGTATTATAATATTTTAAATTATTGGTTTTTGATTTTGTTTAAATCTAGACCTAATGAAGCGTATTTTACTATTTCTTCTGCAGTAACGTTGGAAGAATAAAATTCATTTCATTTTCGTCCAAATATTTAGACACACCTTCGAATACCTTCAAACCTTTAGAAACCGTGGAAAAGTTACAGAGTGAATTATTGTGAGTTTTCTGTCCTGTTGCTTGGGTTTCTCTAGCTCATATTCTGTTGCTAGTCCCTAAGATATGATGGTTGTCATTACAGTTTTTTTATTTTTTGTGTATTTAAACAGAGAAGCGGAAGAACGTGCTCAGCGTGCGGAACAGCGTGCTTTAGATGCCGAAAGTGAGCTTAAAACAGCCTTGGAAAAAGTACGTGCTCTCGAACGAGCTGCCTCTCGTCCAAGCAGTTCCCAGTCTAGAGTCACCTCGGCCAAACCTGAATCCGGGCAGGCGACAACGCCAGGGACTCCAGTCAATCAACAGACTCTAACGACACCCTCCCCTCGGGCGTTGTCAAAGCAACCACAATCCCGTGCTTCCTCGGGGTCATCGTCGGGCAGAAAGAAAAAATAAGATATTTAATACTGTCGGACATTTCGTAAAATGTAAAGGTGGCTGTGACTGTACAGTATGTTGTATATAAATATTACAAAGTGTATATATTTTTACTTCAGGTGTTAAGTCAGATTCTGTAAACGTCAGTCGTCATGAGCAAGTCATGAGCAAGTTTTATCGCCAATTGGGTCAAAAAAGAAACTTTTGTCGGCTTACGAAAACACCAGGGACCCGCGGTTGTTCAAAAGCCGGTTAGCTTAGCCCTGGGTTGGGTTGAGAGCAAATCCCCTAAATTAATATTTTTAATCGCTTGTTGACAAAGTTAGTATATTTTTTCATAAATATTTTCTGGACCGATAGAACTAGAAGTAATTTTTTCTACAGTTTTAAAATGAAGAGTGGTTCAGAAGCACATTCTGAACTAAAACACTCTGACTGGATTAAAACGTATCCCAGGGTTAGCGCTAAGCCGCCAGCCTAGCTTTGAGCAACTGGCACCTGAGGGTAAAACGCCGTATACAGTCTAATAAAGAAAGATTTTTTGATCTGTCGAGCGCGATTTTATTTTGCGTACAGTAAAGTAATCCTTTCAGCCACGATCTGTTTTTGATTGGTTGTCATAAATCTCAAAAATTCATAAAATAGACTATGATTTATGATCTGCGTTTTATAATCCGTGTTCTTAAGGAATGAGCTATGTTATTAGTTGATTCAATAATTTGACGTAAATTTTCATGCTACACTGTTATTAGACACAGAAGTGGGAATATGTGATTCAGCTAAAAAGTGTTTAAAAATATAGTTTTTTACGTCCTAAAGGAAAATTACATATATCAGTGATAATATCGGTGTTGTTACAATTTACCTTCAATATACAAATACACGTGCAACTGTTCACAAGGGGCACAAGAGCCCGGTTACCAGAGATTCAATAGAATGAGATTCAATAGAGTGAGTTTTATTAAAATAAGTCTGCGACAGCAAAAACAATCATGCTTCTGTTGGGATGACTTCACGACTGCCAGGTTTATTTTACTTATTTCAATACCTTAAAGTTATCTCACGCTTCATGGCATTGTCACTGATAATCATCTGTTATTAACAAAAGAGTACTGCGTTGGTTTTAGTTACTTTTCCGCTTATATACATTGCAAGCGAACAGACTGAACAGACTTTTATATGGTATCGGCTGGCCACAGAATAGGGAAAAAACCAGGGTTGCCAGATTACTGAAAAAAGAAGCCAAACATTGTTATAGCTGTTGTTATGTATCTTTGTTTCAAACAAAGAAAACGACAAAATAATATGGTAATAATATTTGGCTAATTTATTCAGTAATCTGGCAAGCTGTTGAACACTCAAGTTAGAAGTTTTTGCCTCAGGCGTATGTTATTATGCAATGCCATTACCTTATTTGCAGCCAGTCAATTACATTTTCCAGCCAATCAGAGCTTTGAGCTGGTTAACGGCAGCGATTGACTCGGGTGGCATAACTGGGCTGCTAAGATTAACCTAAATATGGGTTTAGTGTCACATGACCTAACAATACTGGGTTCTTTGTAGTCCTTTCGCAAACCAGCGCCACAGCCGGCCCATCCCAATTTTCAAAATGGCAGGCGAGCCAAAGCGACCTAAGATGGAAATTACTAAGAATGGAAACCTTGAAATCACCACCGTAGAAATGCATACTGGCGGTGAATCACTGCGTATTATTACTTCGGGATATCCACAGATTAAAGGTGAAACCATTTTGGCAAAACGAAGATACGTGGCGGAAAATTTTGATAACATTCGCAAGCTATTAATGGGGGAGCCACGAGGACATTTGGAGATGTTTGGAGCACTGTTGGTCACCCCTGATGATGAGAAAGCAGATCTAGCTGTGTTGTTTATGCACAATGGTGGTTATAGTGTGATGTGTGGTCATGGCGTTATTGCATTAGCGCGATATGCGGTTGATTCAGGTAATTTTAAACTGTAAACAGGTTTGTCAACTCGCTGAACTCCATGGAAGGGAGCTTTTTCATTACGCGAAAAACCTGGGAACGAGGACGCCCGCGGCACTGCAGTGCATCCAAATATTTTCACGCAGTACGTCGTGTTGCGTAAACAAAACGTGCCAATACGGGCAGCGATGAATGAATGCTGTAACATGAAGTTCAACATTGTTTTTGTATCGCAAAAGTCTGATTATTGGATTTGTTTTTTGTCAAATTTCATCCTAATTCAATAACTTCTCTTCGCTCAAAATTTGTATGACAGAGAAGTGAGAGAACTAACCACTGATCTAATGATAGACTCTCAACCCCCACGCATTTGATACTGCGGAAATTGGTATAGACGTCGACCTAGCCACAATTCTCAATACTTAGACTTCAAACTGGGTGAGAAAAAAATATTTACAAATATTCAAGAAATATCTTGCACAAACGATTTGAGGCTTGGACATGGTAAAAACGAATCGTCTAAATTAATAACCTTGTGTATACTTTAAGCCTCAAAATGGCCATTTCACAGCGGTCAGATGAGTATGATGAGCTGTCAAAAGATTGCAGAATGCGTATTCAGATAAAAAATTAAACTTTTTAGGATATTCAACTGATGTTTCTCTTTGACAATGGCACAGAAATGCAGAATTGTGAACCAGCGATTAGATTTTCGGGTTGAAACGTCTTAAACACCAATTTCTCCCGTGTCCACGCATCTGGTATCAAAGTATTTGTTCGCGTAAAACAATTGAAAAATGTTGCGGCAAGCATTTTTTGTAGTATTATTTTTCCAGTATCAAGCGATTTTTACCTCAGCCTAAGGTCGCGTCATATGACACCAGTTCCACCCCAACCTTCCTCTTGGGGAAAAACCCTGGGTACGAGGTTAGTTCCACCCTGTCCACTAGGGTGTCGTCACGTATTTTGTGAACCGCCCCAAATAATTGTCGTTATACCTTTTAGTCATGTGCAAAGAACTCTTCAAATAAACGAAAGCCCATTCAAATAATCAATAATTCGCGGAAGAAAATTCGCCTTTGGAAAAACAAGGATTTGAGAGTGTCAAAATTCATTTCAGCTAGTGCCCCAGTCCTGTTGCCCAAGATCCGATACACCATGTTAAAGTGAAGCCACCATTAAGACATCTGGAGTACTAAGGGCGGTTGTTCGAAAGGAGTTTGTCTTAAAAGGTGGATAAGCCAAAGTTTAAAAACACTCTCATAGATTTTGTGAATGACTGAACCAACCTGCATCTTATGCATTAGATATGTACTGCCATTGAAAATTAAACTATTCACATCGAAATATATATTTCAGCTCAGTTGTTCAATAACTGATAGATCATTTTGTTTCCATTTTGAATTTATCCACCGTTTAAGCTAAACGCCATTCGAGCAACCGGTCTTTGTCAGAAACCTGGGAAATTCATTATTTTAATTGGCTAAACCAACGAAGCACTCTGTTTTTGTAATTAGGATTAAAATAACGTTTGCTATGATGCTACGCTTGACCATACAGGAACCAACTCATCAACCTTCCAGGGTTTTTTTACCGCAATACTAGTTAGGGTTACTAAAATATTTGTAATTTTAGGGTTAGTGAAGGTAGACCCTACAGGAATCAGCAATGTTGAAGTGAACATACAATGTCCTTGTGGCTTAATTAAAGCAATGGTTGAAGTATCAAATGGTATATCTGGCAAAGTTAAATTCACCAGTGTACCAGCATTTGCATTTGCTCTTGATATTAAATTATCAACTAAATCATTTGGTGAAGTGAGTGTTGACATTGGCTATGGTGGAACATTTTACGCGCTTGTCTCAGACAAGGAGTTAGGTTTGGATATCCAAAAAGCAAGTCATTCTGAGTTAAAAGCTGCGGCAAAGGAGATGCTCCAGATTTGCTGTGAAAAAATAAAGGTCAGTCATCCAGAGAAAGATGACCTGGCATTCATGTACGGTGTTATAATTACGGATGGAAAAGATCGGTTTTCAGAATTTAAAGATGAAACTGCATTCAATATGTGTTTCTTTGGTGATGCAGGTCAGGTAAGTGTGAAGCGTTGTTCAAATGGACCTAACATTGTTAGTCCAACATCATCCGACAACTTTTTAAACAATGTTTTTTGTTGTTTCAATTACAATTATTTGAAGGCTAGGATTCCAACTTATATATATTGCTGGAGTATGTTAGAATAAGGCAGTATAGCTGGAGTATGTTAGGATAAGGCAGTATAGCTTGAGCATGTTAGGATAAGGCAGTATATGAATGTTAATTCGGAATTGCAGTTGATATAGTATTACACAACCCCAGCCTCAGATCGCAGGGCACATGATCCAATGTCTCCAAACTATTGATTGCTACTTCGCTAATCTCGTATCCTCACCTGACCAGAATTTCAGTTGTGTTTGTGTTTTTGTAGGTTGACCGGTGCCCCTGTGGTTCAGGTGTGACTGCCCGTATTGCAGTGCAGTATCGTAAACTACAAATTTCTCTCAACCAATCTCGTGTGTTCAAGAGTATTGTTGGATCAAAGTTCACAGGCAGCCCAATTCAGGAGACAAAATGTGGTAACTTTCCTGCAGTGTTAGTTGAAGTTGGAGGTTTTGCTAATTATTGTGGTAAAGCTACATTTACGTTGGAGAAAAATGACCCATTTCAAGAAGGCTTTCTGATAAATTGAACAAACAGACCTTGATATCTCGTAGTTCATCGCCGCATGCCGTAGTTCATTGATGCATTTTTTAAGTAAAGAGAAGAAATTATTAAAATTCTAATAAAATTTTTTATTTTGTGTTTTGGGAACATAATTTCATATTTATTTGCGCATGGAGTGACTCATCTGGCTGGGCTGATCACAAAACTTATACTATCGCTGTGGCATATGTCTCTCAGTGAATTCTCAAGAGCGTGCACCTTGTGGCCCAGACGTCCCGAGCAACCTCGCAAGGCCGTGGAACGTAGGTAGAAGTAAAGTAAAAAGCAAATTCCGAACAAACAAGACATCTTGAGAATCAAAATATAATTCAAACAAGACACAGATTGAGACTGTAAATTTTCGACTTTGTTACAAAGTCATCTTCAGACAGAATGAAATACAATACTTTACAACGCATATATATACAACAGAGAGAGAGCGCACGTGTCAATCCAGCATGTAGGCGGAAGGCCGGTAAACCAAGCAGAGCAAAACATGATAAGGCTGTGAATAAAACTAAATATGTATGCTATATTTACAACAATATGTTAGATAGATTAATTTAAGGAAAGAAAAGAAAGACCCGACAATTAAAATATAGAGAGATTAAGTGAACAGTTGTAGTTCTTTGCTGGCTTTAAGTCCAGTGTTAAGGAAAGGTTTGTAATGTTTGATTAAGAGTGCTTCAAGAAAGGCAAGAATACGATAGTTACTCGATTCAGTGATGTGAAGAATTCTATAGTTACTGAAAACTAAGTTCTCAATACGAGAAGGGTTATTCAAAGATAATGGTATATCGTTGAGTAGTGAGAACTGGTTTTGTAGTGTGGCTAAGAATTGTGTGGATTAAAACGTATCCCAGGGTTAGCGCTAACCAAGGTTTGAACAACTGGCCTCTGCGGGTAAAACGCTATATACAATATAATAAAGAAAGATTTTTTGATCTGTCGAGCGCGATTTTATTTTGCGTATAGTAAAGTAATCCTTTCAGCCAAGAAGTGTTTAAAAATATAGTTTTGGGCTGCGACGATTAACCCAAATATGGGTTTAGTGTCACACGACCTAACAATACTGGATTCTTTGTAGTCCTTTCGCAAAGACGCAAACCAATCTCGTTCCCCGAGCCCGCCCACAGGCCGGCCCATCCACTGGTCTATATTATAATTCCAAGAATTATTATATAGCTCAGTAGGCCCATCCCGATTTTCAAGATGGCAGGCGAAGCAAAGCGACCTAAGATGGAAATTTCTAAGAATGGAAACCTTGAAATAACCACCGTAGAAATGCATACTGGCGGTGAATCACTGCGTATTATTACTTCGGGATATCCGCAGATTAAAGGTGAAACCATTTTGGCAAAACGAAGATACGTGGCGGAAAATTTTGACAACATTCGCAAGCTATTAATGGGGGAGCCACGAGGACATTCGGAGATGTTTGGAGCACTGTTGGTCACCCCTGATGATGAGAAAGCAGATCTAGCTGTGTTGTTTATGCATAATGGTGGTTATAGTGTGATGTGTGGTCATGCTGTTATTGCATTAGCGCGATATGCGGTTGATTCAGGTAATTTTAAACTGTAAACAGGTTTGTCAACTCGCTGAACTCCATGGAAGGGAGCTTTTTCATAGTGCTGGGCGATACCGAATACTCAGTATTCGATACCAGCGATACTTGGTATCGTTCGATACTTGCACCCCTTTTTCTAGGAAAAGTTAAATCAAATTCGATAAATCGTGAACAAAGTAAAAAAAAACCAATGCACCACTATGCGACTTTTTATTCTATCTAATTAAAGTACTGGGTCCGGTTTGCTTCTTCCGCTGTCACAAAATGCGCCTGGAAAGCCGCCATCCGTGTTGTCAAAACCGCAACCAAAATGTGCAACCAGCTTTATACATGTATAGATTTACAATAAGGCATTTGTTATTTGAGTTCACTTGTTATTTTTATGTTATGTTATTGTTATAATATAAATTTTACATGACTTAGAGGGGTACTATGGGTGTTTTTGCTGCTTGAGTTGCAAAATGCAAACTTCTATTGATGTTAATCTTGGTATCAAAACTGGTATTGAAACACAAGATTCTTAACAAATTTTGATATCGAAATTGGTATCGGTATCGAAAAAAAATTCCTGGTATCGCCAGCACTACAGTTTTTCATTACGCAAAAAACCTGGGAACGAAAACGCCCGCGGCACTGCAGTGCATCCAAGTGCAATTAGTGCAATTATTCCAAATTTTTCCACGCAGCACGTCGTGTTGCATAAACAAAACGTGCCTATACGGGCAGCGATGAATGAATGCTGTAACATGAAGTTCAACTTATAGTTATTGTTCTTGTATCGCAAAAGTCTGAATATTGGATTTGTTTTTGTCAAACTTCATCCTAATTCAATAACTTCTCTTCTCTCAAAATTTGTATGACAGAGAAGTGAGAGAACTAACCACTGATCTAATGATAGACTCTCACCCCACACGCATCTCGCATCTGGTATCAAAGTATTTGTTCGCATGAAACAATTGAAAAATGTTGTGACAAGCATTCTTTGTAGTATTATTTCTCCAGTATCAAGCGATTTTTACCTCAGCCTAAAGTCGCGTCATATGATACCAGTTCCACCCCAACTTTTTTCTTGGGGAAGAACCCTGGGTACGAGGTTGGTTCCACCCTATCCACCAGGAGCCACGTATTTTGTGAACCGCCCCAAATAATTGTCGTCATACCTCTCAATGTTAGTGCAAAGAACTCTTCAAATCAACGAAAGCCAATTCAAATAATTATTAATTCGCGGAAACAAATTCGCCTTTGGAAAAACATGGGTTACGATTTGAGGGTATCAAAATTCATTTCAGCTAGACCTAGTGCCCCAGTTCTGTCGCCCAAGATCCGATACTCTATAGCCCCGTTTACACTACACTCGATTTATTAGCACGGCACGGCTAAAATGGGTACCCGTGCCCATTTCATCTGTTCTCGGCCTTTGTTTTGGTAGCCTGAACACTTATAAACTTGGGTACGGGTACCAATTTTAGCCGTGCCGTGCCGATAAATTCAGTGTAGTGTAAACGGGGTTTATGTTAATGAAGCCACTATTAAGGCATCTAGAATGGCATCTAGAGTACTAGGGGCGGTTGTTCGAAAGGCGTTTATCTTAAACGGTGGATAAGCAAAGTTTAAAAACACTCTCATAGATATTGTGAATCACTGAACCAACCTGCATCTTATGCATTATATATGTACTTCCATTGAAAATTAAACTGTTTACATCGAATTATATATTTCATCTCAGTTGTTCAATAAATAGATCATTTTGTTTCCATTTTGAACTTATCCACCGTTTAAGCGAAACGCCATTCGAACAACCGGCCCCTGTTAGAAACCTGGAAAAATCATTATTTTAATTGGCTAAACCAACGAGGAAGACAGTCTAGATCTTTCGCACTCTGTTTTTGTAATTAGGATCAAAGTAGCGTTTGCTATGATGCTATGCTTGACCATACAGGAACCAACTCATCAACCTTCCAGGGTTTTTTTTACCGCAATACTAGTTAGGGTTACTAAAATATTTGTAATTTTAGGGTTAGTAAAGGTAGACCCTACAGTAACCAGCAATGTTGAAGTGAACATACAATGTCCTTGTGGCTTAGTTAAAGCAATGGTTGAAGTATCAAATGGTACATCTGGCAAAGTAAAATTCACCAGCGTACCAGCATTTGCATTTGCTCTTGATCTTAAATTATCAACTAAATCATTTGGGGAAGTTAGTGTTGACATTGGTTATGGTGGAACATTTTACGCGCTTGTCTCAGACAAGGAGTTAGGTTTGGATATCCGAAAAGCAAGTCATTCTGAGTTAAAAGCTGCGGCTAAGGAGATGCTCCAGACTTGCTGTGAAAAAATAAAGGTCAGTCATCCAGAGGAAGATGACCTGGCATTCATGTACGGTGTTATAATTACGGATGGAAAAGATCGGTTTTCAGAATTTAAAGATGAAACTGCATTCAATATGTGTTTCTTTGGTGATGCAGGTCAGGTAAGTGTGAAGCGTTATTCAAATGGACCTAACATTGTCAGTAGCGTAGCCAGCCTGTCGATTTGTCCCGCTATGCTAATATTTTCGTGTTCACTGACTGTGAAAACAATAGATTTCTAAAGACATGAATAATTATAATAACTCGAAATTTACATAGCGGGACAAAATCATCAGGCTGGCTACGCCACTGAACATTGTTAGTCCAACATCATCCGACAACTTTTTAAACAACGTTTTTTGCTGTTTCAATTACAATTATTTAAAGGCTGGGATTCCAACTTATATATATATTGATGGAGTATGTTGAAATAAGGCAGTATAGCTGGAATATGTTAGGATAAGGCAATATAGCTTGAGCATGTTAGGATAAAGCCTGGTTTCCATATGACGCCGACGTCGGTAAAGTATTATTGTCGGTGATTATTGATGAGTGAAATCTTTTGTCTTTCTGAAATCATTTTCTCCATGGATGATTACAGACAATGAGTCGGCGACAGGTCGGCGTCATATGGAAACCAGGCTTAAGGCAGTATATGAATGTTAATTCGGAATTGCAGTTGATAGTGGTATTACACAACCCCAGCCTCAGATCGCAGGGCACATGATCCAATGTCTCCAAACTATTGATTGCTACTTCGCTAATCTCGTATCCTCACCTGACCAGAATTTCAGTTGTGTTTGTGTTTTTGTAGGTTGACCGGTGCCCCTGTGGTTCAGGTGTGACTGCCCGTATTGCAGTGCAGTATCGTAAACTACAAATTTCTCTCAACCAATCTCGTGTGTTCAAGAGTATTGTTGGATCAAAGTTCACAGGCAGCCCAATTCAGGAGACAAAATGTGGTAACTTTCCTGCAGTGTTAGTTGAAGTTGGAGGTTTTGCTAATTATTGTGGTAAAGCTACATTTACGTTGGAGAAAAATGACCCATTTCAAGAAGGCTTTCTGATAAATTAAACAAACAGACCTTGATATCTCGTAGTTCATCGCCGATATGACGATGCATTTTTTAAGTAAAGGGAAGAAATTATTAAAATTGTAATAAATTTTTTTATCATAGTTTGTGTTTTGGGAAGATAATTTCATATTTATTTGCGCATGGAGTGACTCATCTGGCTGGCCTGATCACAACTTTTACTATCGCTGTGGCATATGTCTCTTTGAATTCTCAAGAGCGTGCACCTTGTGGCCCAAATGAATCGAGCAACCTCGCAAGGCCGTGGAGCATAGGTAAAAGAGCCTGGCTTGCGAGGTTGACGACTCGAGGCGGTTATTGGTCGACACTTATTTTAGAAAATGTCTGTTTTTTCTGAGAACTGCTCTATTCATTTTTCTCTCGCTTGTTCGGTGAATTCCTCATTCCACAGTGGTGCACGGTTTCTTGCCACTCCTAGGGAATACCTCTGTACGCCTATGTCTAGTTTCGCATATGTGTAAAAGTTGATTAGACTTCTAGGCGCTGTTACACTGATGCAACTTCCCTTACAACTTGCAATGCAATTCTACTCCTGAGGCATCTAAAGTTGTCAAATACGAACATTTCTTACGATCTGCTAACGTTTTCATAGCATTTCCATGACTCTTTACAAATTAAAATTCCTCAAAAGTATAATTTCATTGCAATACAAGTTGCAAAGAAAATTGCATATTAAATGTGACAGCGTTGTCACGTTCCTCAGCCCGGCTCACTTCGCGTCTCTCTCTTGAAGTTGATCCAGTGACTGGGTTTTAAATGCAAGACGTAAAGAAACCGAAAGTTTTAATTTTAAAATAATACAGACGTGCTATTGGCTTGCTACCTTTGCTACCCAATAAGTGCTCTGACCAATTGAAAACAACCTTTTTCAAGCTGCTACACTACTGGTTTAGTAGGTGTCTTCAGTGACTTCCCTTGAAGCACCCTGCAGCATAGACGCCAAATGCTGTCAATTACTACAAGTTGTTGTAGAGAAAGCAAAAAGATTTTAAATGTTTGCTGATTTGAAATATTTTTGCTTTTTTTGAAGAATTGCTTTGTACATTGGTAACGTTTACTTTACAATAGCAATAAAAAGCTCATAACATATATTGGGTGTGATTGGGCCACCTATGCCGCAACCTCTTTCAAGATCTGGATGGCAGGCGAAGCAAAGCGACCTAAGATGGAAATTTCTAAGAATGGAAACCTTGAAATCACAACCGTAGAAATGCATACTGGCGGTGAATCACTGCGTATTATTACTTCGGGATACCCACAGATTAAAGGTGAAACCATTTTGGCAAAACGAAGATACGTGGCGGAAAATTTTGATAACATTCGCAAGCTATTAATGGGGGAGCCACGAGGACATTCGGAGATGTATGGAGCACTGTTGGTCACCCCTGATAATAAGAAAGCAGATCTAGCTGTGTTGTTTATGCATAATGGTGGTTATAGTGTGATGTGTGGTCATGCTGTTATTGCATTAGGGCGATATGCTGTTGATTCAGGTAAAATTTACGCTCTTTTTTATAATAGGTAATTTGATAAGATTGGCCCAATAGACCTCTTCTGTAATTACGTCACAACGTTTTAATATCACAACGTTTTAATAAATTTAGAACCACCTTAAATGAAATGGATTTCAAGTTTTACTCTCACGAGCCACGTGCAAAGATGCAAAACATCCTTCTTCAATACACGCATGAAAAATATTTTTTATTTTGACCAATAAATGTGGAAATATGCCTTAACACGAGAAGAGGCTGAGGGGCCAAAACCGCGAGCCTCGTCCCCGCATTATGGCTTATTTCCATACATCAAAATAAAAAAAAAATTTTTCATGCACAGGGTGTAAAAGGATGTTGTTTAAAACAATAATGCTGAGACATAATTACCGAAAAGGCCTATTGCCAGGTATGGGAACACGGCTGGAACAAGGGCATAAGAACTGAGACTATGTCTTTGCCTGGAAGAGTTAATATTTATTAGTTCAAGTCACTAAAATGTTTATGATTTTAGGGTTAGTAAAGGTAGACCCGGCAGGAACCAGCAATGTTGAAGTGAACATACAATGTCCTTGTGGCTTAGTTAAAGCAATGGTTGAAGTAACAAATGGTATATCTGGCAAAGTAAAATTCACTAGCGTACCAGCATTTGCATTTGCTCTTGATATTAAACTATCAACTAAATCATTTGGTGAAGTGAGTGTTGATATTGGTTATGGTGGAACATTTTACGCCCTTGTCTCAGACAAGGAGTTGGGTTTGGATATCCAAAACTCAAGTCATTCTGAATTGGTGGTTGCAGGAAAGGAGATGCTCCAGATTTGTCGTGAAAGAATAAAGGTCAGTCATCCAGAGGAAGATGATCTTGCATTCATGTACGGTGTTATAATTACGGATGGAAAAGATCAGTTTTCAGATGAACCTTCACGCAATGTTTGTTTCTTTGGTGATGGTCAGGTAAGAGTAGTTAATTGGTGGGGATATGTTAGGATATGGCAATATTATTGGAATATATTAGGATAATGCAGTATGCTAGAAAAAGGTTAGGATAAAGGAGTATGCATATATGGTTTGATGTAATTGAAAGAGTCTAATGCAAATTATTGATTGCTAATTTCATGCTCATTTGACCAGGATTTCAGTCTTTATTGCATATTTTTAGATTGACCGCAGCCCCACTGGTTCAGGTGTGACTGCCCGTATTGCAGTGCAGTATCATAAACAACAAATTTCTCTCAACCAATCCCGAGAGTTTGTGAGTATTGTTGGATCAAAGTTCACAGGCAGCCCAATTCAGGAAACAAAATGTGGTAACTTTCCTGCAGTGTTAGTTGAAGTTGGAGGTTTTGCTAATTTTTGTGGTAAAGCTACATTTACGTTGGAGAAAAATGACCCATTTCAAGAAGGCTTTCTGATAAATTAAACCTTTTAGTGAAATCGTTTTAGAATTTAGAATAATTGTTTACAGCCCTTGTCTATATAAATCAAGCTAATTAGCTTTATCACAATTTATTTCATTGAACTAATCATAAAGTTAATTCCTTGAGAGATTTGCTTAACTAAATCCAAAATCTGTTCTTTGTCAACGTCCTTTAAGCGATGTCCACATCTCTGTGAAAACTTATCAGGATGCCACCTCACTCTTTGTACTTTCAAATAACTAATATCCTCACCAGCCCACTGAGATAGTTTATCAACAATATCTGCGGCACTTCCAGCACACGGCCAGGGGATTGCTTGAAAAGTTAGTTCATCCTTTGCACCACATTCAAACACATCAAGACAATTCTGTTCATACTTTGATTTTTCTCTTTTAATTCTCTTTAGTTTCACTATATCGATATACTCCTTATGTTCTTTTGCAAGCTTTTCAGTTAAGGATTCATCAACTGTAAAGTCTTTTTGCTTTTGGCTCCTTGAATTTGTAACTAAAACCTTTTGATGTTTTGTTCTATATTCACGTCTGATTCTATCGGCCCATTCATTATAACTTTCGCTTTGTTCTTCAGATAATGAATCATAAGTGTCCTGTTTGAAGTAGAAATCCTCACACGTTTCTTCAAAAGCCAATTTTTCATACCACTCCTGTTCCTGTCTTTGAGTGCTGAATTTCTCATTTTCCTCTTGTATCCAATTTTTGTCAGATAATTCATCCTTGTCCGACAACTCTCTCTTTAAAGCCTTTTTTAATCTGTGCAACATTTCATTTGGAGTTTCCCCAATTTTATTGGCTAAATTCATAACCCGTTTGGATTTTTTCTTTAAAGGCAAAACTAAATTTAAGAACACTGTCTCATTGTTGTATTCTAAGGCGTATTTTAAGGCTATATGCATGGGAGTATTCCCCTCGTTATCGATCATGCAAGGATCAGCTCCGTAACGTAGTAAAAATCTAGTCATTTTGCATTCTCCCAAATAGCAGGATAAGTGCAGCACTCCTCTGTTTTCGGAGTCACGAATTTCGTTTAAATTCACTTTGCTCCTCTTCAAAAAACTTCGCAATTTGGATATGCTTCCTCTCTTTATGTATTTAAGAACTTTTTTGGCCTCGGAATGACTCATTTTAGTGCGAAATGTGCACGAAATAAGTATGTTCTCACGTTTTCTTCTCGGCCATATTTGTTTTTTTGAAAGTTATATTTTATTGCCTTGAAATTACCATAATTAATTGGATACAATGGAAGCATATTGCTTAGAAATTGTTTTCTATAAATCTTACTAAATGTCGTCAGTATTTTGTAAGTCTATTCTTCAAAGAAATTCGGTTTTAATCGAGTGTTTTCAAGTATTACAAACGCAGTGAATAGTCAGAACCATTATTTTCAAAACGTTTTATTTTTATCCGAAGATGTTGCGAAGAGACGCAAGACCTTCTGAGCGATCCAATAAGCAGGTTATTAGTGATGTAATCATGTATTTGTTTTGTGTTTTTTGTGAGATAAGTAACGTCAGATTTTAAAACAAATCTTTGGAAAAGAGATACATTTGCTTGTCACAATGTAAGTTAGTTCCGTCATTTTTCACATAATAATTCGAATACTGACTTTTTGCCAAGTGTAAGAAGGGATTAGGATTGACTATTACAAAGGTTTTGTCCATATAGAATGTACTCATTTTATGCACTCGTACTGACGTACCTCCAGCTTCATGTTCTTCATTTAGTTTGATAGCGGACAAACGTTTAGATAGCAAGTTAGTATTGAAATATGTAGCACTGGTCATAGAAATAAAAAGTTAACGGAAGGACTATAATCACTATACATATGTGTATAAGAAATTTTACAGTTTTAACATAACGACAAAGATTTATTTTATGGGTTGGAGATGGCACTGATTACCGTGATGGATTAATTATATGTTGTTTTAGAAAATGACTACACATATTTGATCAAGGAATCATGGCTGTGTTGGAACAGAATGTCAGAACACTGATACCAAGTTTGCTTCAATCAACAGCAAGTGCATACACTACATTAGGAAACAGTATTCTTGCTCTTGGTCAACTACAGAAAGTTTCTGAGTTATTAGAAACTGTCATTTGTAGCTTGAAGGCTGAACATGGGAAATATGATGATTTACTTAAGGTAATATACCATACTTATCTTAATTATACACCTTCTGTAATCAGGGACAAATACTGCAATTTCATTGGTTAAGAGGAGTGCGATTAATCACTTTGAAATCGCACCCTTTCATGAGCTGTAATTTCCCCCTTCTCTTAGTCTGTAATTGCCCCCCTCTGACTCTAGCATTCAGGATTCAAAATATGAAGCTTGAAGCTAAAAGGGGAAAGGTCTATTGAAGCATGGGTTCATTTTTACATGTCCTAGCTGTGTGAATAGACAAATCAATCCATCAAGACTTGATTAGTTAACCAATTATATACTACTAGGTGTTATCAGCACTTGCAGCTCAATACAAAAAGCTTGATGTTGAAACTAAATCTCATATAAGAACAGTCAAAGAACAAGCACAGATAAACAGCAAAATTATTGATGAAGCAAAGAAACAACTGTTAAAGGGAAACAACATTGCAAAATATTTCACAGAGATTGAGCAAACCGTAAAGGACTCTCAAGTCAGTTCAGAGGAATTGAGGAGCAAATATGATGTTGTTATTTATAAAGTAAAAGATTGTTGCGCTCAAGCAAAGGCTGGCTATGAAAGAAATGAAAACAAGGCTGATTTAGCTGAAAAGGTAAAAAATTGTTTGCTCATGATGGATATGAACTAATTAAATTATCAGAAAGGTTGATGATGTATGCATTTAGGCACAATCTTTAGTGTGTCAGGTTTTTTAGTCATTTACCAAATTTGTGATTCAATCAGTTTCCTCATAGATATACAATATATCATGTCAAAATCTGTTTTTTATCCCCAAGGGTGCTAATGTTGGTCTTCTTGGAGGAATGGGTGTTGGTGGAACATTTGCTGCTTTTCAAGTTGCCACAAAAGCCCTGTGTGTGTTTGGTGTGCCAGGTGCAATAGCAGGGGGAGCCTTAGGCCTGATTGGTGGCTGTATGATTGGTGGTATGGCAGGAGGACTTCCATTTGCCACTGCTGAAGCTTTGTTCAGAAAATATGCAGAAAAGTTTAAAATATTGGATGAAACTCTGAGCCAAATTGATCAGATATTGTTGGAGAATTTTGAAGTTTTGACAGAAATCTGTCGACTTTTAGGCAAGTTGAAAGAAGCAACCTTAAATTGTCCCTCTATTGATGGGATGAAACCTGGGATGAGACCACAAGATACAAATGAACCCAAACATAATCATTCATGTGATGAAGCAGTTAGCTCCGGGGAAGCCTACGCCGTAAACTCATGTGATGATAACACAAACATTGATTTTTTGATCAGACTTAAGTTTGACACTTTTAAACAGGCATCCCAAGAATTAGAGAAAAATTGTGATTATTTGTTAGATGATATGCCATTGAAGACACTTGGTTTGCTGTCACTCGAGGAAAAAGAAGCAGAGAAGAAAAAGTTGAAGTAGAAATTCTAATCAATTTGATTTTTTGATATACGAAATAACAATATAATGATATCAGTTTCATATATACCAAAGGTAGTCATATCACATCTAAATCCTTGAAATATAAAGAATAGGATTAAGGTTAGGATTAAGTCTTAGATTAGGTTAACCATTGATTTTTAGGGTGAACCTAAATCTGATCTCCATGTCAGGCATCGCCTGTCAGAAGGACACAAGTTAAGAATACACAGATAGAAACATATTGTTGTCAGAAACTTGTTCGTAGCTTCCGTCACATCCGAGGGGCATTCATGATGAGCAGCTGAGCTCATCACTCATCAGTCTCATCTTTCGTTCCTGAGCCCGCGATATCTATGTGTTGATTTTCAAAAATGTTTTATTCTAATTGGTTTCTAATTAGTATATTCTAAAAAATTATATTCTAATTGTTTACATTCTATTCTAACTATCGTAAACAAGATGGCCGATCACGGGATGTGGTTTCTACCCTGTTGTTATTCTTCTTTATGGATTTATATCATATCGTTTTTCTTCTTAGCGTACATTTCGTCAACGTTTCGTTTTTATATAAAATGTTTATTTCTACTACTTTATTATATTATATTGATCGTAATCGTTATATTTCTATTTTTACTGTGGTCGCCGAGGTCAAATAACAATTTCCACAAAGTAAGCAATCTTTTGAAATGGACAGAATGGATTTGGGGAATTCAGTACAATGTAAAAGGATTGGAAAATTATAAAGACGGTTCAAATTATATTATTGTATCAAATCATCAAAGCTCATTTGACATGAATGTTGTGAGCAATTTTATTCCACCCAAAACAACATTTTTGGCCAAAAAAGATGTGTTGTATGTACCGTTCATTGGAATGTTCGTTTGGCTTTGTGGTGTGTTTTTAATCGATCGAAATAATCATGGTAAAGCTATCAATACTATGAAGAAGGCCGCAGATCAAATTAAGAAAGACAAGGTACTTTGATATTTTAACTCATCAACTCTACCTTGCATCATTCACCACGACCACGCTCAATCGCTCATATGTTGTTATTATTTATAGGTTTTTATTATATAAGCTCCAGTGTCGTTCAAAGTGACTGAAACATTTTGCAGAGTGTTAGACTAGTATGACATAGACCAGTATGAGATGCTTGTAAAACTAATTTTTTTTCTTAACAAATCACCTTGATTTCAGTTCAATTTGTGGATATTTCCTGAGGGTACAAGACACATGGGCAACAAGTTGCTTCCATTCAAAAAAGGTGCCTTCCATTTAGCCCAACAGACCCAGGTAAAACATTGAATTGAATAAGTTGTATTCGAGCTTACTGGTACAATGCAATTATTTTTTTTTTCTAGCTTCCCATTCTACCTGTGGTGATCTCAAATTATGAAAATATAGTTAACTTTAGTAGAAGAAAGTTCAATACAGGTATACACAAGATTTAATGAAATATTTCTCTATTCATTCAATTCATAAATGAATTGCTTTTACCTTTCTACCATAGGCACAATAGAAATAACAATCCTACCTGAAGTCCCGACAGAAGGCCTGGAATCAAATGATGTAGAAAATTTAACCAATAAAGTTTATTTGATGATGAGTAAAGAATATGAGAAATGAATTGGTATGGTATTCAATATTAGTAGTAATCTCATAGGCTGCTCAACGGCAAATAGTTAAAAATACAATACTTTTTAGTAATTATTCTTATTGATTAGAATGCAACATTGTGTAAATTATACTTACACATCATGATAAACATAGGCTTACAGGCCAGGTGTGACAGCTGCATCCCTTTGAATCTATGAAAGTTGGAGTGAATAATCCTTGAATCATACTAAAAGTTAAGGCATTTTTTTCAAAAAATAGTGATAAGTCTAGTAATTTTTGTCTGTGCCTCCTGTATGCCTATGATGATAAGAAATTTTAAAATGGGGATTAAATTTTTATCAGCAATTTTATGCCAAAAGTAATTGGTAAGATATTTAAAGTCTCTACTGCACCAGTGCACAACATCACTGTGGAGAAACACCGTAAATTTAAGGATGATCAAATATTTTTGAACTTCAACAATAATATATTTATACCAAGTGAACATAATATACATAACGTAATTCTTGACTTGCATACCTAAATATTGTTTTATGTTAGATAATAGCAAATAAATTTGAAACACAAAAAAGCGACCCTTGGCCTAGCATGAATCTAGAAGAGCCAAAACTTCATTGAAAGAACTTTGAATGTTTGTCTTTTCTTCTATTAAACTTCCATGAACTAACAGTTCATGTAAGTAGAAAAAATCTCGTTCATGTTCTTCACTTTTGTTACGCTGGTAGTTTTCAAGTTGTTTGACATGCTCTTTTAACTTCAACTTTTCTGCTTTGGTCATGATATCTGGGATGTTCTTAATGACCTTGGAAAAGAAATTTGGTAATGCTGACAAATACAAATCTGGCATAAGAGTAACCTCGGTTCCCTGGTCACAATCAGATTCTTTCAGTACTGCTTTAATAACATCTTTGATGAAAACCTCAACATCCAACAATTGTGTATGATGAAGAAATAATGAGTACAGTCTCATGGTAAAGCCTAAGCTCCATAGAGAGTTCACGTCTTTACATTCACGGAGCATGATAACATTCCACGGATCTTCAATCAAATCTTGAGCGTTTGCCTTTAAGGAGAACAATGCTTCCAAACATTTCAGAGCAGTCAACTTGATAGACATGTTCACATGGAGCAGCGAATTCTGGAGGTAGGCTAGAACCATTCTCAAATGAACCATAGCTATCTTTCTCAAAGGTCTGCTATCCACTGCATTGATCTCCCCGTCCTGCATTCCAAAGTCACATGGTGCAGACTCTTGGAAGAGTAGAATCACATTTGCATCGAGAAACCTGGCAGTTCCCGAACACCGCAACACACTCTCCCAGAAAACATTTGCAGCAAATTGAAGCAAGGGGCATGAATTATGACACAGCATAGGTAAAACTGCCTCGATTTTTACCCGTACCCAATTCGTCGTGGAAATGCCAAAAGAGCTCTGCAAATGGAGTAGATGACCGATGGACACCATGACTGCAGCGATGATTGCGCTCCGTTGGGCACGCTCGATTTCTGTGGCCTCGTGAAATGACTGTATAGCTTTCTCAAGAAAACTTTTGTACTCTTGATGGTTAAGCAGGAAAGAGAGGACTTTGTCTGAACCATGTTGAGTGTCCAGGATTATACACGCATGTAGAAAATTTAGGCATTTCACACAAAGCATAGATAATGTCGCGTGGTAGGTAAGAAAATTGACGACGTGGTACACCAGCTTGACATAGTCGTCGTCAAGTGCTTCTGTTACACAAGTTGTCACCATCATACACATTAGCTTTAAAATACTTTCCATGCTTTGCTTCTGTAAAGGTTCAACTGCAAGATTAAGAAATACTTTTTGTAAAGCTTCCTTTAGTCCTGGAAGAACTTGCCTTATGGCCCCAACTTTACAGTTTTGTAGCACGTGTTGAATTACTTTAAGGAGGACATCTTGGGCGTGTACATCAGATGTATTTATATCCGACACCAACATGAATAATGTTCTGGGATTGTTATTTACCATATTTATCCAAAGGGATATCTCTTTGTCAGTGATAGCCGTTTCACATCCTTGATGAATAAACCACAGCTTGATAATTTCCTTTCGTAGATTGGTGTCGATGCCTTCAAATACCACTGCCCATTCAAGCAGCGCAAAATCATGAAAATACAAGGCAGTTAAGTTTTCTATATTTTCAAGAAGTCCTTTAGCAAGAATTCGTTGTGCATTGAGACAAAGTGGTGAACTGTCTGATTCCATACACCCTCGACGAAGTTCTGTGATATAAAGTCGGGTGTAACAACGTGAAGCAACTATCGAACTGTCACAGTAATATGAAGGGTTAAGTACCACGTATGTACTTAAAGCATGGAGTAATTGAGCTCTTGAAATTAGACGGTCACCATTGTTGTAGGCTGTTTGGAAAAGGATTTGAATGCATTCTTGGGTGTTTTTAAGTGTCTCATCTTGCGAGTTATTCTGTTTTAAGACTTGCACAATTTCCTGAGGGGTCCCGGTTATTCTAGGAAGAGAAGAACTTAATAAATCCCTTGTGTATTCTTGCCTTTCGTCTGGAAGGAGATAGAGACAAATTGTTGTCAGAAACTCGTTTGTAGCTTCCGCCACATCTGAGGATCCATTCCGAAGATGTGCTTTTACTTCTAACGCAATTCGGATAAAACAAGAGGACGCAAACTTCTTGGCCATATCATGTTTTGCGTTTTTTGAACATGTCTGCAGAAGCTTATTTAGAACAATGAAGAACGTTTTTGGAACTGCCGTATCGTAAAGAGGTCGTAGATTTGAAATAATATTAGGAATACAGATTTGATCGCATAGCTTCAGGATGGTGTTAAAGAACTCTTCCAGCTCCTGCATGACGGATTCTTCTGTAGATGCCAGTAAGACCTCAATAGATGGTGGTTTACTTCTTTCACATAAGATCAAGTCCAAACATTTATTCACCACTTCCATTATTGCTGCAATCATGGAAGACTTCAGACCTAAAGAGATCAGAAAAAACGGTTGAATGAAATTATCCTTCCTTCTTTTCTTCTCATTTCCGTGCAGTCAAGATATAGCTACTAACCTTTATTTTCAACACGGCTCCAGTGTTCAGAACTGTTGCAAACCTTATCTAGTTGTCTGACAACCAATTCTACCAATCCACTAAACACGCCGTACGGAACATCGCTTTCAAAATGTCGTCTATCCAAGACCACACCCAAACAACAAGTCGCTTGCAGAAAGACATTATCGTCACAAACAGAAAGCGCAAGTCTGATAACCTCCAAACATTTCCTGAACGTATCCTGACTGGAAATCAACACTAACTCTTGAGGGCAGTTTTCAAATATCTTTCTTAAGAGTACAAACCCTTGTCTTAGAATCCTGATACTTTTGTTACCAGTTGCTACATGCAGAACCGAAAGCACGGAGTCAAAGCCATAAACCACGTGTCCTTTTGTGTACATCTGTTTACAATCCAAGCATCTGGAGACATTTTGTAAGCCAAGGGAAAGTAATGTGTCGCTTTTGGAATTGAAAACTTCAAAGACAAACCCTGGTAGATCAGAACTGATGATACTTTCATCAAATGCTATCAAATTGTTGAGACAACCAACTGCAAGAGTTTGCACGAGTTCGACAGTTGACAGAAACGCTTTCTTTAAACTTGTAATCATTTTCTCCATGTTGGAGCTGATTGCTTTGGTGGTACTACTCAAGTTTTCTCCTGTAGTCAGGGTTTGTAGCAAGGCGATAGAGTTAATTTGGAGCTCTTTTGCAGTTGCTGTGGTTAGGACTTCACAACACTCACGAAAAACCAAATGCGTGATCTCAAATGATATTCCAGAACAGCATTCTGGATGACGGTAAAAATGTGTCAGAATAAAGAAAAGTGCGCTTCTTGTGTCTTCATCAGGGTAGGAAGTCCACTTTCCCAGATAACTTACAAAATTGCTGCGATTTCTTATTAAATTTCCAGTTAAAGTTGGAATATTCTGAACGAGTTTTCCTAAAAGGTTTAACTGAGGCAAAACCTTCCTAACATTCTCCGTCACGACTAGCTTTGATGTGAGCTTCTCCAATACTTTTTCTACAAACAAATCTGATTTTAATCCACAGCAAAGTTGACAAATAATTTCAGCAACTGTAGTGTATTGCGTTACTTTATTGTCCTCATATTCCATCAGTTTCCAAAGGCATTTCAATAAATGCAATAAGACGTTCTCACTCGTATTCAAAAGGGCCAACACAGTTCCGTTTGAAGCAAGTTTTAACAATTCGTGAAGACTTTTTGTTTTTCTTATGAAAGGTTCATTTTTATCGTCGATGATTTCCACTAAACAAGCAAAACAAACCAGTGTGTATTGGCTGCCTTTTTGTAACCACTGTTCAGCATGACTTGAATGATTTGAAGTAAAGAACGATAAGCATCCACTGTTTATCGAGGTGGCCATTTTCAACTGAAAAATATTTCTAGGCCATCATCATCCACAAAAAATATTTTCGAATCCTTGGTTATGCACGATGTATCCAGGAGTTTTACAGCAAATTTATTGGCAACTTTTTTCCTAAAATCACAGGTGAAATAAAAACCCGATAATTAATAGATTTCTGTAGAATAAAGCAAGAACTCCCCGCAAATTGGGTTTATTTTTATTATTAAAATTGCAAAAAAATTTGAACCTTTGAGTTTGACGCTAGTCAACTTCCCGCGAAAATATCTTTTTGTAACTGAACCGCAATAATATTGTTGGAGTCTTAATCCTTTATTATACATTTCTATCCATTTTAACACTTCAACTTACCAGAAACTGTAGAATTTTAGATAATTTTTCTCTCAAAAAAACTACAAAAAATATCAAAACTTTTTTATCTGACAACGAGGAGCCCGCAATTTTATATCCGCGGACTTTCGTGCATGTCATAGTCTAGCGCTTTTTCTTTCATTTTTGTTTGTATTTTAGTTTTTTTTGTTTTAATATATTTGCTGGTTGAAACTCCTATTTCTTGTCTTGTAAAGATTTAATAAACGCCGTGGGTAATTTAAGAATGAGTGAAGCGTTTCGTTGTGTGTTCGGTCCTCGCTTGTGTAGAATTTACACCGATAATGGACGGCAGGTGAATTATTTTAATAATCAAATTATTTGCAAAATTTGAAGAAAAGAAAAGTGTACAGTGTTAGAGTGTAGTGTAGTGGACTCGTGTTAAAGTGTGGGAGGAGAAATTGAAAGAAAGGATAACAGCAAAAAAAAGTGTGGGAAGAGGATTTGTGCCACCAAACTGTGAAAATTATATACGTCTGTTTCTTTTAAAAGAATTAAGTTACTATGATACTATCTTATTAAGTTAAACAACAAACATTATGAAACATATAACTGCTGTATTTCTGCAATGGTCTTAGACGTTTTGCAGATTAAAATAATACCTGTGTGTTGCTATCCAGGTTGTGGATATGATTATTATGTGAATGGCCAAGTTTAATTAGATACATTCTGTTATAATTTAGCACCAATTATACCAGCCGAGTATGCCAGAAAGAGTTGGTGACAAAATCATTAATGTGGTAAATACGCATCATTAGATATTATTTATATTTATTAGTGATGAATTAATATTCTTAAGTAATTATTCTGCTTTTTTTCTAGGCTTCCTATATGTATTCCTTGTCTTTTGTGGCTTCTCCAATCATAGGATATTTCATGATCAAAAGAGGTTTAGTATACATATAACATTGAGGTTCACATTTGACTTCCACTATTGTGCATGCTCTAATCAAGAAACATAAACCAATCAAATGTGAAAAATCTATCAGATTACCTAATCACTAGTGTAATTAATTTAGGTGAAGAATGTGAGGATGGGTGGTGAGAGTCAACTCTAAACTTACAGTAGTTATATACTTCCCTTCTTTTTTCCTGCAGGTTTTTTTACAATGTCTGGTATTTTTAGTCTTGCTCATTTTGGAATGACTTGTTTTTTTATTTTGGCTGGGTCATATTGCATAAGAGGTACATATTTCCTTTTTCCCTACTATTCATGATACAATATTTATACCAATTAATCAACCACTGTACCATATTGATCGAATTTTGTATACTGTTTGAACAGACACTCTCATATATATCCCATATATCGAGAATTTATGCCAAATTTGAATATGTATAGGCTATGGACGTCTTACAAACATTCAATACAGGAAATTTATGAAAGTATTAATGGAAGTACAAAAGCCTAACCACCAACACACTGCACGGGTAAGATACCTCCCTGCTTATACATAGTTGTCTGTTCCACAAAGTTTCATTAGAAGGAAGGTACTTGAAACAACATATTTTTTCAACAGCAAAATCTAGCACAATATGATTTCCAGTTCAGTTCATGGCCAATTGATTTTTACTGGAATGAGTCTGAAGATAGTTTGGATAGAAAGAAATTTGCCAAAATATATGATAGAACCAAGTCATCCACCAGTTTCATAGGACGTGCTCTTTCATTTCCTGGTAGAATTGCAAGGTATGATGGGGTTATCAGAGTCTAGTTAAGTGAGCTACTATCAATTGTTAGGCTACTTGTTAATCTAAAGTGTGTATTATTTATTATTAGACTACCTTTGCTACAGCATTTTCTTGATTGTTTTAGATATATTGTAGCTCATTATTTTGCTCGACCATTGATGTATCCAGGATCAGTGAGACTGTTACAAAATATAATGAGTGAGTTGTTTTGAATATTTCTTGGTTATATTATTTAAATACCATTAGGATTTCAACAATGCATACTTCCTTATTTGAAGGTCAAGCATTAAATGATGGCCGCTCCAGCTTAGTAGCCAAGGTACATCATGACTTTGAGATATTCAAGTTGTTTTCTTTGAAGCTGGCCAGTGGAATTGAAATTTATTTTCCTTCAGGATGGTTGGAGAGCAAAATTACAAGCAAGAGATAATAATGAAATAGACACAATGTTTATTGATAGGAGAACATCAGATAATGAAAATGGACAAATTTTGGTAAAAAGCTCAGCATAATTATTCCTTATTGTATTTCTGACCAGCATTCTGTAATACATATTCCATAATTCATCATGGAGAAATTGTCAAGTGACCATCCAGTTACATGCACGTATAGATCTGTAATCATCTTGTGTAGGTCATAGGATGTGAAGGAAATGCAGCATTTTATGAAGTTGGAACAATTCATACACCTCTAAATGGTATAAATGAAACATTATACTGACTACTAACTTGCCTAAGTTAGACGAAGGATTTAGAAACGTCGACATAAATTCTTACCAACTATACAACGCAACGTATTAAGAAAAGAAACATGGCTAACGTTCTTTCTCAATTTTTCAGCTGGTTATTCTGTTCTGGGCTGGAATCATCCAGGATTTGCTGGCAGCAGTGGTTTACCTTACCCTGATGCAGAACAGAACGCTATCGACGTCGTCATAAAATACGCGATGGACAGACTTGGTTTTCCCATTGAAAATATTGTCCTATTCTCGTGGTCAATAGGTACTGTGTATGAGTACACAAAGTTATGTGATGTTCATACGTTTTAAGGTGGTAGAGAAATCTTTGTTACAGAGAATTTTACTTTCCAGGTGGTTACAGTGCTACATGGGCAGCAATGATGTACCCAGATATCAGAGGCTTGGTTAGTAATAATACATTTTACTACTGTATGTATGTACATCATAGTGAGAATAGGAGAGAATCAGGGTGATCCTGATTCGTGTTTTTATTCTTCCAGATTCTGGATGCTACCTTTGATACCATAACGCCTTTGGCTGTCGAAAGAATGCCTGAAATAATGTGTAAGATAAATTTAAGCCGCGATTATACGTTACATCTGATAACGAATTGCAAGATTACTTTAAGCCCCGATTACGTTACACCTGATAACGAATTCTAAGATTTAAGCCCCGATTAGGTTTTATTGGATTACGGATTATTGGAGCGGGCTGTAAAACCAATAGGCAATAAGAATTTGCTGCTAACCATTTCATCTTATCGAAAACGAAGCTCTCGAAATTATTAACAAATTCGTTGTAGTGTATTCAGGAGACTTGTTTTGTAGAATTATTCGACATTCAAATAGTATCATAATTTATTTCAGCATCATTCACAGAGGAGGTCGTCAACGACTATTTTCCGTTGTTTAATCATGAACATTTGACCAGGTAAATAATGAAAGTAGAAATTGATGGGGTCTTTATGGTACGATACATGTAGTCGTTGAACACTGCTAGAGTTAGTAAAAGTCGTAAATTTGGTCTAATCAAACGCGCACCTGCAATCTCTTGTTGTTATGAATGTAAGGTACGTATACAACAACTGTTCCTTGGGAAACGAAGCTCAGACATCATACATACCCGCTGTATTTCTGACAAATATCGACGGTCACTCAATCTGTTTTCTAGATACTCCGGACCTGTCCTTCTGTATAGACGAACAAAGGACGAAATGATTAGTGTTAAGTACGTTTGCCAGAAATTACGATTCTCCTAAAATATGTAAGAATTCTAACTGAATTAAGTTTATTTAATAGCATTTTCCCTTATCTAGTGCCAATGATATCACTACAAATCGTGGCAATTATTTATTAATAGAGTTGCTGAAGTCCAGGTTATTGAAGCATTGCATTACTAAAGCTTACAATTAAATAATTTTGTAGTAGAGAAAACGGTGTTTCCAAGGGTAGACTGATGGCTTTCATTATTCAAGAGAAGGCCTTTAGACTCTAGCTTTCAGATTGTAAAGTAATTTTTTTTATTTACTTCAGATATCCTAATCTCGAATCCACATTTGCGCTTCAAAACCTTAGAATATACCTGGCTGCTGAAGACACATTGAATAAAGGTAGACAGTAGACGTAATAATTTCGTTCCAAACCATTGAAAAATAGTTCCTGTATTAGCGGTGTGATTTTGTTCAACTGATAACAAGCCTGCCATGTGCAATTCTTCAATATTTTTAGAAGCATTCAAAAAAACACTCGACGTAGATGATGATAAATGTAAGAATTTGCTTCGAAAACATCAGGAAGAAAATGGAAGACATTTCCCTTGTGAAATAGGTAAAGTTTAGATTTTTAAATTTTAAAATTTAGTAGAGCTTTGCCGTATATACGATTCCCCCATGCAGGGGCTTGTTAGTAAAAAGGTGATAGAGTACTTGGATATACCACTGTATACCTGAACCACTATAGAAACAGTCGTAACTACACAAACTATAAACGCTTAAATTACCCCAGGGAATGATTTTGAAGACATTGACAAGGCGAAAATGTTGATCTACTTGGTACGTTTATACATATGGATATAATATCATATATAAACTAAATTATCAATGTATTCCGAAAGTACGACGTCAGTATGCAACCTATTCACAAAATGTGTCACTCTTTTGATCATTGCTTTTTTTCCGGCCTTCATGGCATGTATAATTTCTCAAATGTTTGTGTTATTTAGGTTTCTCAGTATCTTATTGACATTGAAACAACCCATTGTACTGCTCTACCTGCGAAAAAATTCCGAGTTCCACAGATTGTTTAATAATAACAATCTGCTTGTGTAGAAAATATGCAACTCCATAATATTACAAGCTGAAACATGCTCAAATTATAAGAAAAAGTGGCTAATTTTACCTGTAAGAATCAGCCAATGCACATTATAAATTGTTCTAGTTACTATACTATCATGCACGCTATTACTGGCTTATCTCTTCTCACAAGTTGCTGAAAATTTTAGAAAAAACTTCTATCGTTTTTTTGCGGGTTTGACGATTTATTCTTGATATCGATGTTTAAAAAATTGTAGTAATATGTAGGCCTATAGCGCTTTTATAACCAATTCAGTTAAACACATATATGTTAAAAAAAATTGTTTAAAAAATTAGAATAAAAAATTAAGTGATTCAGACGATAGTTAATGCATAAAAAATATTTGAAACATAAAACAGGCAATTGTTGAAAGAGCTTAATCTTCTTTCGTAATAATCTTTAGCAAGAGAAGCATGTAACAATATACGCCGTTTTCTCAAAATATGGGGACTTGTGACGTAAATTAAAACTATATATTAAAGTGTTGTTACTAGTCTTGTATATGACGTCACATTTCGTAGGATAATCATGCGCCTGCGCAGATCTGTTAACGTCACTCTTCATAATGCTCATATTAAATACTTCTTAAAAGTTTTCTGACTAACGTTTTCTGACTTCCAATCATCAAACGCACGTCATTGAATTCAACGATATGGTTCCACTATATTCATGCAAACCTTTCCCGTCTGCAACCAGCTAGCGCCCTGACAAAGGCAGGGGATCTATCTACTGTCCCTTGTTTATTAAATGTTTTCTTTATTTACGTCTACGCGCAAGCTAGGCTACTGTTTATAAATTATAAGCCAGGCTTTACGGAATGAAACTGGCTTTAATTGATACACCTGCGCCCCGTTCACACTATAGTCTATTAGTCTATACCGGATCCTCGCGGTCACGACATCAAAGTTAGCCTTATCAGAGCGAGTTTACTCCGAGAAGTATGTCAGCATGATTGCTTTAACATGATCTGAAGAATGATAAAGTTTGTTGAGAAAGATACCGTAAAACAATTTTTTGAAACAAAATTTCGTGACCATGTGAATCCGGTATGGTTACACCCGTGGTTGCCCTTGACCCTCGTCACGTCATGCGCACACCAGAGCTATGACTTTGTGTTTAGCCAAATGTCAGCTGTGCCCAATGGCGTAAGGAGATAAATTCTTGAGCAGGTTTTGTCATTCGTGCCACGTATGGTAAAGATCAAACATGTTTGATAGTTTCTGCCTCGCGTGCCAAAATCTTATCGTATGCGGTGAACGGAAGTTATCTCCTATCAACCTTCTGTGTGCGGTGAACGGAAGCTATCTGCAATCTGCTGTCTATTATTTTCCGCTCACAAAGGATTTTGGGTTCCGCGACAATCTTCAATATCATTTGATACGCTGCTAAATATAAGTGAAGAGAAACCAATCGTGTGTTGCTTTATAATCAATCAGTTTCTTTATGTTTACAGCGTCTATTGTTCAATGTTCATTGTGTCACAAGTAGAAATAATTGACTTGATCACAGTATCTTCTGTGGTAATTCAGCCTGGTGTTTGAGGTCCGTTGTTTGTCCCAGTTCTTCAGTATATGTCACAGACAGTCAGACACTCTGGTGATGTATTGTGATTGTAACTATTCAGTTGACAGGTAAACAGGACAAGAAAATTCATTCAAAATAACAACGTCAACGAACTTCATGATTTCGCTGCTAAGTAAGGCTGTGTGCCCTGGAGCGTCGTTTTCGAGCGTTTTTAAAATCGTTGTTGTCTATTTGATTGTTTAGACGCCCTGTCCACATGATCCAAGGAAAAATTTGTTTAATATGTTAAATTAGCTTCAACTTTCATTGTAAATTGACGGTGTTTGAAACCGTTTTGGCATGAAAACAAAAATGAAAAAGATCGAAAACGTTGCCGGGTGCACATTGCCTAGTAGAAAAATTTAGTTTGACGGGTTTTTCTTCAACCGCAAACCGCGGTTGTCAGTTGAAATTTTGCCGTTTGCCGTTTGCGGTTCATGTTTTCAATCGCTGGAGGTGTATTTTCACGTAGCTCATTTACCTCAGTGTTTTGTCATTGCAATAGTGTGTCGTGAGTATAAACACTCCTAGTAGACATATTGGATATCCAAATCTTCTTTGTGGTAATTTTCTAGCCTGTTTTCAATGAGTTTACCGATTTTCGTTAAGAAAGCGGCTAGCAGCCTAGCACTATTCAATAACACCATTGGCAATATGGGGATTATGGCGGTTTACCATGATATCGTAGGTCGATAGTCCATTATTAAGAGGGGGGTTCTTTTGAACTCAGTTTTCCAGGCGACATTTGATTTTCAAAAAATTGAGCCATTATATAGAAATAGATAGCAGCGATTTAACAGCGAAACTGTTTACTGGTAACTGGATGCCAATTTTGAATCGTTCTAACATAAGGTATAGGTAAATAACTGCTAACTAAATGTTAAATTTGAAACAACGGCAGCGTCAAACCGTTAACGTGAAACCGCAGTTTGCGGCTTGCCGTAAATGTCTAACTAAAACTCTCTATTAAATAGCTGAGACCGTGGTTATTGTTGACGTTCGTCGGTCAACAATCAACCGGATATTGTTGTTGTGTTACTTGTGTATATATCAGACAGAAACTCAAAATCTCAAATTATTCTTTCACTTGGCGCGATATAGGATTTAGGTTAATTTCAAGAACTTCAATCACTGTTCATAATGTCTGCTGAATATAGAAACCCAAGTGAAGTCGAGTTAAACAAAATTATATCTTCAGAAAATGTACAGCAACGTAACCAAGCGTTGCTCGCAGGCGACCTTCTTAAAGCCATGGACATAACTGCATGTCTGGCTGCAGAGAAACACGCTAAACTTCCTTGTGTTACCCTGATGATGGATGATCTCGTTGTGAACGAGAACTTGTTGCAAGGGCAAGTTCTGAATGTCAAAGCTAAGCTAACCAGAGCGTTTGGTTCAAGTATGGAAGTCGTGGTCGAAGCGTCGCTTGAAGATATGTTCAAACATGATCGAATCGAGATTTGCAAAGCTTATTTCGTATTCGTGGCAATTGCGAAAGTTGGAAAAGCGAGGCTAACACATTTAGATCCTGTAACGATGGAGGAACGTCTGGAGTACGCGTTAGCTTACGAGAGAAGAAAATTGCGGTTTACAGCCGATAAAGCAGCCAGGGAGAAATCAGCGAACAAAGCTAACACTCCAGACAGTTCAGTCGTTACTTCAGCCCCCAGTCAAACCACCAACTCCCAAGTGGCTATGAGTGAGACAGCCGTTGAAAGCTTTGAGCTGGTACTGCCTAGCCAGGCTAACCACCATCAAACCACGTTTGGTGGCCAGATCATGGCATGGTTAGTTTCAACATGTACCATTGCTGCCAGTAGACTCTGCCAGACACGACCAACAATTATTGAAGTGAATGGTGTTCATTTTATAAAGAAATCAAGTGTTGGTGAAAGATTGGTATTCAAGGCGATGGTGAATAAAACTTTTGATGATAATTCTTTCGAAGTCGGGTGTAGAGTAGAGTCGATTACCCTGGAGGGAAAAACTGCCCATGTCAATAGCGCGTATCTCACATTCGCAGTGTTTGATCAGCACCAAAAACGTCAGCAGGTGCCCGTTGTCGTGGCAACGACAGCTGTACAGGTGACAAGACAATCCAATGCAGAAACGCGTCGCAGTGGAAAGATCCAGAAAGAAAAGATTCTTGGTACTATTGGTCCAGCCTTGTCCGTACCCTGGACGAAAGAGCTTGGCGATGTGTTAGCTTTTCACAATGTTTCCGCTTTCAAGAAATTGTGCCATGTGGACACATGGAAACAAATTTCCCAAGACAATGGATGCGTCTTGCTCACATGCAAGCAGGATGATTTGACCTGTGTCAAAGTGGAAGCATATATTTCGAAACCAGCCGTGGATGTTTTTCAGGCCATACAGCTAAGCACCAGAGCATTATGGGATCCTATCATTGCTCAGTCAGAAGTTGTGCTTAAAGTTGATGATGACGACAGCATTGTTCATATTGTCATGACGACCGGCGATGACACTCCGGCAGAGAAAACCCCCTCAAAACCGAGTGATCTCTTGCTCCTGGAATCTACTCGTCCTTCTGCAGTGGAAAAAGAAGGCCACCTGGTTGCATACCGCTCAGTCACGATGAAGTCATATCCTGTATCTGAAAACTACGAGCGAAGGGAGAATTTAACATCAGGCTTCATGATTAGCCAATCTCAGAGTATCGATCCTAACCAGTCAACAGTAATTTACATCAATCAAGTAACCAATCAGGTTGCAGAATTCTTGTTTAAGGATCTGAAAGGTGGCTCGAAAATGTACGCCAAACGTATTCAGAAACTGCGCGAATTCTTGAAGTGTTAGTAAAAGAACAATCAATTTTTGGAACAATATTTATATCAATGGGACAGTTTGAAACAATATTTTAGTTTGCTATCATAAAAAAACATTTAGGTTAAAAGAAACTGTAGTCTGTAGCGCACGCGCGAATGCATTAAGTTAAGTGTAGGAAGATAATTCTAGTAAATATTACAAGCAGGATTATTATAGGGCTATTCTTTGAATGTTTTTCTTTAAATGTGTTTTGTAATCATTAATAGGATGCAGCTTTAACATTTGGTGATTTCAACAAAATATAATCGTAACTGCAAAAAGGTGTAAAGTTGTTCATTTCAGAATTACATTTGTTTTGTATTTTGAAAAAAAACCCCGCGATTCTCATGATTTTATGAATTGTCATGACATCATTGACCACTAAGACTATGATATTTCATACCTCATGGTAATCTTTTGGTAGGCTGCGATTTGCAGCCAGGGGCGCACATTAGGGGGGTGGGGGTGACACCTCCCCAGTAAGTCTAAAAAGTCGGTCCCAAAATGTGTATATGGGTACAAAAAAATTCGGGACATTACGAATAATTTACGATCTGAAAGATACCGACATTCTTGTCGAAAACGGGAAGAAAATTGGCATTTTTGCAATCGAAAATTGAGATATGACCGCGTAAGTAAAAATGCGTACCTATGCGAGATATCAAGTTTCAATCGTATTGTTGTCACACGCCATAAACCACAGTTTTATCCACTTCCCCATGCAACATCTCATTCTCCGCTAAGGTAATGCGATCAGATCTATGCTTGTATGTCTGAAAGGTCAGTGATAATCAATTTGACTTTATATAAATTGGACTGAACATTTTATATCCAGCGTCAACATCGCAGGCTAATTTTTTGGTGAATACCTGGATCCACCCAGTGACTGGGTACCACGAACGAGGTTGGGTACCACGGAACAAGATTCACCCAGGAAGCACTACGTTGTATATTACACAAAGTATTCGACATACAACTTAGTTAAAACGTGAAAAGAAGGGAGATTTTCTTAACAGTAAAACGTTCACCCTTAAAACATGCTTAGACGAAAACTAACGAGAATCCAGCTTAGTCGAGATGATATCGAAGAATATGAAGCTGTAAAGCGAGAAAAACTAGCAAAAAATAAGACAGAAATTCCAGTAAATTCGGGCAAAAATCTTCCAATCCAAGGCCGCCCCACACAAGAAGAGAGAGTTGCAGAGGTTCATAGAAGAATCGGGTATCAACCAGAGAATGTACCTGCTGATGGAACACAGAGAATTATGTGAAAAAATGCATTTATTTATATTGGATTTATATTGGTATGTATTCATGGAGGTAAATTGAACTACCTCTCCAGTGTCCAGTCTCTACCCTTCCTTTGGGTTTGAAGCGTTTGGGAGAGGTTGCATTGAACGCAAACATGCTGAAATCAATTAAATGGGAGGGGATAAACTGATATTGCGCAAAATCTGACAGCAAAAAATAAGAAGAAAGCCATCTATTATGATGCTCTCAAAGTGAAATGCTTTTGTAAACTGAGCGAGCTCTTCACAAGTGAAATACGTCCATTTTAATAGTTTCATCAATTCTAACAAGGAATGTTCTCACCACCATCATTTGCTTTGAATTGGAAGAGCACATAGAGGAAAAATAAAATACTTAAAAATAACAGTGTATTTCATTCACACCAGTTAAGGCCACCAGGATGGTGGTGAAAGTTTCCAGGACCAGAAGCATTATTTCCAGTGGGTGTTCTTGACTGAGATTCACATTTAGTACTAGAGAGTACAGTTTCAAGCTCTTGTTACTTCAAATTTCTCATTTTAACTTGCTTTAATTATCCTGACTAATGTGCTTGATAGACTGTTTGCTGGCTAGGTGCCTAGGTCCATCCATACATCATTTGTCATTATTTTAGTTCAGCAACTCTAAGAGAAATGGAATGATATTTCCATAAGCAAGGCTCTATGATTTTTTTTAATAAATATTAAATATTAATTATTAATAAATGTAGAAAGTTGTTAAAAAATAGATAAATTATTTTGTGGAGTAGTGACCTCAGGTGGAGGGAATCCTAGATTATTACTAAGGACAAGCGTGAACCAGGCTTGATGCAATAAATAGAATTACAAAAAAGGCTGCAGGATGTGAATGAACTTCATTGATGCAAGGATATATCAGGATTGTGGATTTTTGAATTTAGGGACAACAATTTTGTTCATGCAGACGAACAAGTAGACGTAAGAGCTTCGGAAATGCATTTAAATTTTACAGATGCAGTTGAAATTATTAAATAGAGATTGATTGAGAGGGGTGAAATTCCCAGACTCCTTTCCTCTTTGGATCCAGTATATTTTCTTAAGTGTAATCCAAAAATGTATATATTTTTATTTTAACTACTCCTTGTTTTAGGCCTTGTAAGGAAAATTAGTCAAAATCCATGCCATACATTACGTTTTTCCCATGAAGATAATATTACCTGGTGCTTTTTAGACTATTCCCTTGCTTATTAGTAATTCTGTTGAAACCAACACAGTCAGCATAATAAAATACTTTGTTTGAATTTACATATTTACAGTTAATATTTACTTTTACATCAATCTATAAAATACCATATCTTTTCATTTTTAATGTCTCTAGTATACCAGTCAAGACTAATGAATTTGCAACATTCTTGTGGTCAAACCAGTGTGTCAAACAAGCTCATTATTTAACCTTGTGTGTGAACAAATTAGATTGTTATTTTTGAGTTATTTAAGGTTATTGACATTTTAATCCCTTGTTTTGATGTGAAAGTTAATTTAGACAATATTTGTTCCCCATGTTTTCACTTTTACTTATTTTCGTAATTGTACTGCCCAAAATTTTTGAAGTGCTTTAGAGCTTGTTGACGTTGTGACCCTGCCAATTATTTTCTGTGTGCTTCTCCCTGGCTCTAAACACTTGTGGATTTGTGATTGATAATGATTTATAACACCATTTAGTCAGTATCAGTGATTTGTAAGTTTTATTTTAAAACTCAGTCGGACTTTGTCGTGATATAAGCCATAATCATCAATCTCCGGGCAATCTTGAATTGCTGACTTTTTGTCTATGATGCGACTTTCATTATTTCAGAGAGACGGTCACGAACAATTGAATTCCGCGTTAAACCCCGTTCTGTGTGTGTACTTTACCGACTTTGTTTGCTCAGATGTTCTTTCTCCCTTGAAGAATACACTTTCCTTCTGGCTCTAACCTTGTTCAACTTTCTCTCCAGAGCTCGGGAATGTAGCAACGACATCAACGAGATTCTTTGTTGGTTCTTCAAATGTGAATCCAACACAAGATCATTGTCATTTTCTTCGACACTTTCGCTATGTCGTGTCTGACTGCTTGTATCATTCATATCACTACTCGTACAGTAAAGTCCCTCATCATCTGCAAATCCACTGTCTTCACTGCTGTCGTGTATTTTTGTTTGTGTTTTTTCTTGAAACCATGACCCTGATCTTTCTGATAAGTCCCTTGTGTTTTGTCTCAATCCTTCGTTCCAAAACATACTCAACTTTCGCGCAATACCGTCCAACACTTGCCACATATTATGAACCAACTTTTAACCGTTCTGTAGATAGTGTTATGTATAAACCAGCACGTGAGAATATGCCAGAAGTGAAATAAGCACTCAATATTTCTAGAGCCTTCTTTGTTAACGTAACCTTACGATAATGTTATTGTATGTTAATGTCATAATATGACACTAATTTATGTTTCCAATAACATGCTGTTACATAATATATAAACCAATAAACGAATGGGTCAAGTTTCAAATTTGTCAGATGCGTTTCCGGGGGCTTTTTGGTGTGTGAGCCAAAAAAAAAAAAATATATATTATTAGTCGAAACTGTGGCCAAATTTTGCTTTATGAATGAATAGCTAATTTAGCTATGGGCTATTGTGTCTGGACCACTTGACAAGCGAAGATGAAAATGTTTCAGTTCACACAACTGACACAAGGTCCATGCAATATGGCTAATATAGAAGTTTTGTCTGTTTCAAACTTTGCACTTGAAAACAAAAATTTAAAATAAGCGACGATAATGAGGCATGTCAACTGATTATCTCTTGTATTGAAATCAGTCGCGGGTCTCATAAAGAAATCTTTGAACGGAAACTCGGAAAGAGGCCGGAACACCCACGAATATTCCACATCATGTCTGGAGTGTTCTGGACACGAGACACACAATATTTGAAACATCACGAAACACTTTGTTTGCGTTGATGTAGTCTAGCCATGAAAGAAGTTACCTCACGTAACCAATCTTGATGATACTCTATGTGTGTAAGGTTGTTTCCAGATCTTTCCTGATTGAGCTGCGATTTTCATCAAATTGCTTCAGCTTGTTACAATGATAATGGAGGAATGGGTTATAAGAAGTATTCAGTATTGTACAGGGTTATCGTATTTTGTATCTGAACTAAACAGAAACAAGACGCCTGTTCTGGCGTTAACCGCGACGTGTCAACGCGCCCATACACGACCACATCTTGTTAAACGGCGAAATAGCAGCGATATTATTAAAATAGGACCAGAATCTACATGTATTAATTATATTCTTACCCTAATTAAATCTAAACTTAATCGAATAGCATAAAAAAAACATTTATTTGTTCCTCTTGGAAGAATTGCCGTATCATGCGAGCGAAATCGAATCGCGCATCGGAAAATTAGCCAAAGCTGTGCACCACAACTCTTGGGGGACAAGACTGGGGCGTTAGATAAATGCGGTCACATACACATTTCAAATACTAGCATATTTCGCGCCAAAACACACTTGCGACGACGAAAAATAAAAAAAAACCGAGGCGAATTTTCAACTGCGTCGCTGACGCCGGAGTAATAGAACTAAATCGTAAGGCTGGCTACGCCACTGGCGTGGTACTGCGTGCATGGTGATTATTTGTTTATCGATATGCAGCAGTTGTATCTCCTTTGGATTCAATGTTGTCAGTTGGGGAAAGAGGTTTTTGTGGAAGTTCTTATCGTTTTACATCTTTTAACATTAATGTTAGACTTGTCCTTTGGTGTGTATGTATAAGTCACAACATTGTACTGTACTTGCTAGCTTTATTGCATTAAGACGCCGTTTACCAAGCACCGTGGATTGCTATCGAAACAGGTCAAATTTTGAATTCCGAGTAAAACGTGGTGAATATTTTTAATGCCCCCGAGGCAAGAAAAAATATTCAAAATCTATTTAATAAATCCGTTGCTCCATAACGGCAAACAAAGATGGCGTCACGAACGAGTCAGAATCATCTGCCTGCCCAGCCAGATTATTATCGACCCAGCTTGCGAACGTAGAGCGCGAGAAAGTGTAAGATGCCGATTGTAATAATTATTATACAGATATCAGATACCACCACCATATTCTCAGTGAATATTCCCTAAAGCTTCTCCATTAATTTACATCTCTTGCGTTGCAAGTTGCAAGGAATATTGCAACGGGCCTTATGTTAAAAGCTTTTTATCAATTAAGTGGCAATGATATCAGCAGAACTGATCAGCACGTCCGAAACCATTGTTGGAATCCTTACTAAAGGCCCTGTTACACAGTGCAATTTTTCCTGCAACTTGCAATGCAATTCTTTTGAGAGACGTAAATTTGGCAACTACCTTGTCTTTATTACAGTCCATGGCGTCTGAAATCATTTTCTCCTCGGATGATTACAGACAATGAGTCGGCGTCGTATGGAAACCAGGCTATACACTTGCATTTAAAATACTCTTCACTAATCTACATCTCTTTAAAGTAGAATTGCATTGCAAGTTGCAAGAAAAATTGCATCGTGTAACATGGCCTTAAGTAATCTGATAGTGTGTTATTTGTGTTTATACCACTGAGGCCAGTTGTTCGAAAAGCGTTTAGTTTAAACGGTGGATAAGCCATACATCTTATACATCTTAAGAAATATTGAACCTGCATTTTATGCATTAAATATGTACTTCCATTGAAAATTAAACTATTTACATTGAAATATTTCGTTTCAGTTGTATATCTTTTTCCCCATTTTGAACTTATGCACTATTTAGGCTAAACGCTTTTCGAACAACCCCGGCCCCTGATTGACAATCATGCAGCAACACAGTAGTTGTTGAACAACTTTTTTTATTTACCAATATAGAAACTGTAATCTAGACATTTTGAGTACTCTTTTTGTTAAACTGATATAGATCGGTTACATTCCATAACTTTAACATTAAAGATAACACACCCAAAGTAGAAAACGTTTTCCGGTTTAACCATATTCCGGCTTAGGACTGAAAAAAAAAGGTTTGCGTCAGAATAATTATCAGTATAATAATGTAGCCAACACTGAAAGAAAACAGTACTATAAAGCCCGCCGCACGCGAGAGCTACTAGCTGTGTTAAAGACCTCGCGAGGCTGTTAGCTCAGCAAGTTACTCTCGTGTGCGGATAGTTTTCGTGAGGAATTCACCTCGAGAAGACAGGTTTCTCACGTGTGTGGATGGTTTTCAGGTTGAGCTAACTGCCCCGTGATGTCGTTATAGCTCAGCTGGTAGATAGCTTTCGTGTACGTGCCGTGGGTATAAGAATCACTGTCGACTCTGTCGACTTTATATAGTTAATATATGCATGTGCATGATAAAACATATCCACTAATTTAGCTGATATGTGCTTACATTTTAGTACATGTTTGAAGCAATACATACCAACAGCATTTGAAGTGATTTATTCCGCAAAAAGTATAACATACTTCATAGTTTTGGGGACAATAATACGGTTCGCCGAATCTCTTCACCTCACCTATAGCTATAATATTTCGTAAAACACAAGTATATTTCAGTCAAAATTCTTCAGTGTCTATATGCTATCATACTATGTATGGAGCTACACTTGTCAAGGGCATTAATTGCTATTCACTCAAATGGTGTTCAATTGGCCATAAGGCATAACACCTGGTGTTATTTTACCCCATTTTCGGCGTACCGTGCATGACTCGAAATTTACAGTGTATAGGTACTACTGTTGAACAAAGATTTATTTTAGACCGTTTATAGACCGATACAGAACGAATGTTTGAATATATGAAGTTTCCTCCCTGAACACTTAAAATCAGAATATAAATATTACCTTTAATGCTGCGACCATCAACATTAGAAAATGCCACAAAAATAACCAGCAAGAGGAGAATATTTAGACGGAAATCCATTTTTACTAAATTCGAAATATAGTTATTCAGTAGAATTATATTGGACCTAAATACCTTTTAATGCAGAAAACAGCGCAACTGCTTGACGTCTGCATTAAGAATACGTGATTTAAATGTGGATTACCAGAACGTTTATACGTTGAAAAGGTTGCCTATTATAGGAGCCCCTGGAAAATTAAGGCAAAATGATGTGAAATCTGCCTTTTCCTCAAACTTTAATTTTGATTACTTTGCCCTATAAAGAGCGTCTTGTATAGGTTGAATAATAAAGCTGGTTTGATATAAGTTATAACCTAACGCCTATATATGCATGCATGTTCAGTTTAGAAATAACTGGTTATTTGTGCATGAATGAAACTTATAAAGAACTCAAGAGATGTTTTGTTAAAAAATAATACAGTTTTACATGTCTTGTAATTGTTAAAACTTTAGATCACAAAGTATGGAAGCCAAGTATATACCTTACTATCCAACTATCCAAGTAATGCCTTATTAGCCAACACAAAAATCCGGCTCATCTCGGTATAAGTATTCACTGATATATAGCTATAATAGTAAAGATTCCAAAACTTCATCACACGGAGAAACTTGAGTTAGTCAATGACTCTGACCTTCTTCACCCGGAATATATATCATATTCGTTGCTTTGAAAATAACTAGAATAATACTCAGTTAGCTTCCGACAATGTCATTGTCTTTTCGAATATGACCATCAACATTTCCGACACAAAAAACAGGTATATTTTTTGGTAATCTCAAAGCTTAGAATTTTTTCCCACAGATTGTATTGTATAGGAATGTAATATTCTAAGAGGTTCCTTTAACTGATATATATTTACATTACCTAAAATTTTCTATTTTCAGCGGCAAAAACTTAATTTATAACTTTGTAATATAATTCACTTTGTTGTACCAGTATAACGGATTAAGTATACCTGTATATGTCAGTGCAAGTGTACATCAATCTTTCTCATACTGTATACAGGTAACCTAAAGTAAAGTTCGTCCAAGCCACATTGGAGAAACCGCATGTGGACGCACTTTTACACAATTAAGGAGAGAGTGTTGTCGAAAATGGCCCTAGAAAATAGAACCGGTGAGCAGAGGCCGCTGTTATTTCTCTTTAATTTAGTGCGTAAATTTAATTATAAAGAACAGATCAAGAATGCATGCATACGGTCTTGAACGATTTATTTATTCACATAAAGAAATATTTCATCTGTCCCGTTTGACTATCTACTGTTTTTTCATTAGCACAACTTCTTACAACGCACTGATGAAAGTATATACGCATGAATCAACTCCACTTTAAATTCCAACTTTGCTGAAAGAGAAAGGTTTGCGTGAATTTCGTTGATCAAATTTTGACGACATTTAAGAATGGAATGTCACTCGTGACGTGCAAATCTTCGAAAATAATGCTTTAATTTCTCTCGACATTGCTGTGCGGTCATAAAAATTAAAAGAAGTTGACATTTAAAATATGCTTTAATCGGTGTTAAAGCACGATACCAAAGGCAACTCTTGCCTGGTCCACAATTGAGTTTTCCGCATTCGTAAAAGCCTTCTGGACGCAGGCAGATGACTTGATTATATAACAATTATATGACACCCATGGGATGACCCTCTCCGCATATTTCAAGAGGTGGAGTCAGATCATTTAAAATTTGACTGCAACAGCAACTGAACATTTACCAAACTAAACATCAATATTATCTTCTAACTTTGATCACATTTACTACCTTTGTGTAGCACTAAGCATGCATGAATTCATGCACTTCCTGATATGTGGTTTTGGTAATATTGTCTAATTTCCTAACGACTGAAGATTTTGAAATACAATCACGCACATGCAGCATTCGTTTCTACCAATGCAGAGTTCGGAAGAACCCGGAATGAAATCCGTGCAGGGGGATTCTGGTTTTTATTAATAATAAATTAATATTAAGTCCTGGTTAATCTTGGTGGTATTTTGTTTCATATACCATAACCAAAAGGTCCAAACCTCTTACTCTACACTTTATTTATGGCACTTTTCTATATGACAAACAGAATATAAAATACTACCCAGTTTACGGCTGTCAACATTAGAGGCTGCCAGAAATCTTGCAGTAAAGATTCTAACGTCCGTGAAAAATTTTATTTTATGAATCTGAGCTCCTTAGACCCAAGCACAGATATCGGTTGTGTTGCTTCTACTGATGACGACAACGGAATAATGCAGTCTAGTATTTCCAGTTCCGACAATGGTATATGCTTGCATAAAAAGCATTATATCGTTTACTTAGGAGTTTATAGATCTGTCCCAGAGGCTGCATTGAAAAATATTGAGAGAAACTGAGAAACGGCAATGATTGATACTATAGAAATACATGCATGCAGCAGCCCTCGATATTTCAGACCAGGCAAATAATTTCCTGAGCTGACGCCGGAGTAATCAATCAAATTACGTCTCAGTGGGGGTGTGGCTATTAATAAGATGGTCATCTATGACTCCACGATCTTCGAGACGTCCACATGTGAAGCAGTGAAGGATTGAGTCACCGGTCACGATCATTCTCATCAGTCACTTCAGCTCAGGGTGTTCTAACTCTTATGTGTATCAACTATTTTAAACTGGCCGTTAAGAAGCTCATGCAACGTTAGCAATTAGCATGGATTTCGACCATGTGAAACCAAGCTTCAGATTCGAATTCTGTCACATTTAAGTTCGTTGATAAAGGTTTAAGAGAAACCTCTAAGAAAGTTTTCTCGTGGATTCCCACCCCGAGGTAAAGAGCCCACCCCAAGGTAAAGGGGTGTTTCATCGTCAATTTGTTGTCAAACTAGACGTAAGAGGTTATCTAGTAATAGCGAGGTGGAAAGTTTGTCAATACAATAAAAAACTGTAGTAATTAATATTTGAAGGGGTGAAAATTGAATTTAAACTAGTCTATTCCCAAACAGAATTATGGACTGAAAACAATGTTTCTTAAAATCCCAAACATTCTTTGAACGCAAACCGGAAACCACATAAATTTATAATATGTTCAAAGTTATCGTGTGTCGATGATCAAATAACGTAAATGGTTTACTTCATAGCCTTAATTCGTATTGGGGAATGGAAAGTCGTCTGTAAAAAGATGAATGTACCAAAAAAGATCTCGTAAATATGTTAAGATAATCATTCTGTTACTCTGGTTCCATAGGTTTGTCGGAATCTCGATACTCGTGTGTTTGGACGGGAAAGTTCTATGGCAATGGATAAATAAATAGAAGGCGGTTTTGCTTATAATGCGGCGAGGGTCTTTTTATGTGTTTCAAGATGCCCCACACTCTCTACAATCGTTTTCTACAAAAATTATTAGATAACTTTAAACTTTAATATCGGTAATTCAAAGTTTCGAGTCAGTAAACCTTACAGTTTGCTATCTGCACGGTCTGTTCCTTGTCGCCATAAGGTGAAACGAGTGTATTTCGCTTTTTAAATCACTATAGACAGTAAACACTACCAATAAATTGCAGGTTTTAAGCACTAAGCGTAGACAAATAAGCGCAGCTGTTTGATTTATTCAATATTTAACTTTACGAACACTCGAAAAAACATAAACTTTGGTGAATTGCAAGTGGAACACATTGATTTAAAATATCTTACGTTTTGAAATTTAGAAAGAAGAAAACGACGAATCAGTGGACTATTTGACTAATTGTGAGCCAGTGGGTTGAACGTTTAAAATGAAAGACAAAGTCAAACTACCTAAAACATCGGTAAGAATTTAAAACATTCTACATACAGTACGGTTATGATAGATGGCGCGAAATATTCATATAGAAAACAAAGAGGGAACATTAACTTGGTTAGTTACTGCGTATTAATTAAAAAATGTTGTTTGTAATTCTACATTCAACCTGAGAGTTTTTCATGCACAGGTTATTCTGATACATGTTTAAGGCTAGTTTCCACTCAGGAAAAATCTCCTTTGGATCGGAACGGACAGGAAAATTTCCTTTGTCGGTGAGTTCTCAGGCGGCGTTTATACAAAGGAAACTTTCCTGTCCTGTCCGATCCAAAGGAGAATTTTCCTGAGTGGAAACTAGCCTTTACAAGGAAAGAAGGTTCAAGGAACCATTACGGGGAAACCAAACAGGCTCGACCCTGCTTCTGTCTTTTTCTCCCTTCAAAAAATCTTCTCAATACACACTACTTTTTTTTTTTGAAACAATATTATTTACAGAAATATTTCAAGATTTACAATATAATGCTTATCTTTTCCTAACACATTTCATTCTAGTTTTTCTGCCCCTACAATAAGCTACCATGTAACAGTAACTTTTTTTGCATGCACAATGCATGACAACCACAACTCACTATAGTATGAACTATAACGTCAACACAACAGGCAAAATTGTCAGCAGCGAAGCCAATAAAACTTGGCGTTTATATTACTCCCGGGATAACTAACAATATAAAGTAACAAATCGAAAACTATTTACCCCAACCTAAATATCAAACTACATCATCACGTTTTATGTTGCTTCCAAAATGGAATGCTCCTAAATTATGTGGACTTACGTCAACCTAAACAACAAGTACATTATCAGGCACATTTGTCTTTGCTTGAATAGCACTAAATACACGCGCTGTGTCTTCTAATAACATATTCAAAATGGCGTCTGCAACTTGAAATTTGACATTTGTTTCATCCTCTTGATAGTCGGTCCATAATGGTTCCTCCTGTCTCAGTTCTTCAATTAGAATAGCGTCCACATTATCCTTCTTATTCCCGCGAACAGGTGTCTTGCGCGGTAACGTCGCCATTGTTGCTCGTGGAGCTCCCAGTCCAATTATATTCGTGACTCGTTCAAGGACGGCCGCGCGTATGTCTTCATCGCTTTTCCACCGCTTAAAATTTCGTGATAATTTTTGCCCGCTTTTCCATTTCGTCTTAGCCCACGGAGGTTGCGTGGCTGGTTCATTTTGAGAAATAGTGTCGATAACAACTTCTTTTGTCAGATCAAAAACAAGATGTCGATATGATTGAATGCTGACACACTCTGAATCGTTTTCAGTTTCTCCTGATAGGAAATGAGCCGTCGGTATGCAGTCATTCAGCGGCATCCCCAATCGGCGTTGTTCAAGCAAAACATCAACAGTAGAGTTAACCATCGGTATTAGTTCTTCTATGTTATGTGGAACGGCAATCATGGGACTATACTCGGGTAGTTCATTATCAGACGTTGCATCAGCGCTGAAGTTTGTAACATTTACAGGAAATTCATCCTCATCATCAAGAGGTGTACCTAAAAGTCCTGCAATGTCATCATCTATACTTCTCAAAGCATCTTCGTTTAAAATTTGGTTTGTTTTCGCGATCATCAGGGCGTTATTTACCGCAGTTTCATCGGCAATCTGGGATTTAATCTCCGGAATATTCTCTGTGGACGTCGTTTTTTGAACAATTTCCTTACTTGGAGACAACTCAGGTAAAGTTCGCGCAGTTGCAGCTTCTGACGCTTTGTTTTCCACCGCTTCCGCCAATCTGGCATTTCTCTCATTTTTATATCGTTTTATTTCAATCATTTGCATGATTGCATCCGCCAGTAAGTCTTTGGTAATATTATCAATAGTGGTATTTCCTTGGTTCCTTGCCGTCTCTGTTTTACCACTTTTCACCCTATCTGTATCATCTTCGAGGGTGACCCCTGCAGTAGCGATAAATGTTCCTGGTTGCTCTTTCCTAACCTGACCTGTTTCACTCTTTGTATCTATTTGTCCATCTGTGATCGTATCTGTACGACTAACATATTTATCCACATATACCACCTCATCACCACTATCATCATCATGAATACCGACTTTGTTTGTTTTTGTATCCGGACTTTCAGTAATAACATCCGTACAAATATGTCCTCCGCTAGAACGTCTTGCATCACCACTTTCAACCATGTTTGCACCAATGGATCCTTCCCTATCGACGAGATTTTTGCTAAGTGTGGAAACTGCTTTAGTTAAAGTCTTTCTATTTTGTTGGTTCGTTTCACTTTGTTCTTGTCCATCCGATTGTTTGGTTAAGTTCTTCATTGTATTCAGAGAGTCAGCTACAATATTTTTATATAAGTCATTAGTGATGTTATCAAGCACATGTTGAGAATGTAACTTATTCGTGTTTTCATCATATTCACTTTCATGTTCACGTAACTCGTATCCAAGCCCCCGTGTGTCCTGATCATCCTCCGTGGTTTTGTTGTTGGTTATAAACTTTGCAGAGTCCTCATCGTTGCTGGCATCGTCTGCAAGTTCTTCATCAATTTCCGAGATTTCTTCAGGAATACTGGCATCATCGAAATCGTCAGAATATTGGATCTCATCCCCAGAGTCTTTGGAATACTCGATCTTGTTCGTGCCAAGTTGTGATGACCGCGAGCTGTGCGATCTGCTGTCTTCATTACGTTTGAGAACTGGCGAGACATCAGCGACACTTTCCGGCGATGAAAGGACTTTCTGGCCATCTTCACAAACGCCCTGTTTCACCTCATTTAAGCCATGTTTATCTGATGCTGCCTGATCCAATAATCCACTTTCGTCCACTCTAAATTCATTGTTTATTTCATCTAAAGTAATGTTTTTTACTCCAGTTTCTTCTAAATTTGGTTCTTGTCCAATTTTGTCCATCTCTTTAATTTCATCTTCTTTTCTCCCTTCAATCAACTCGTCTCTGAAACTTCCACCTTCCGACTCATCTTCATGATTACTAACAATATCTTCGGCGATCGACGGGGACTCTGAACGGCTTTCGGTCGAATCGACTCTTGGAGAGGATTGAGTTTCATCATGTTCATGAGATAACCTTCGTTGCTCCTCTATTCTTGTTGACTGCATTTTAGGAACTGTTGGTTTTACTGTCGTATCTTGTTCATAATTTCTTGATTTTTCAACCTTAGTTGTTGATCTAGATGACGTGATACTTCTTTCAGAAATCGTTATCTCGGAAGACAAACTATCGTCCGAATCTTCGCTACGCCCTCGGGTGTTTTTGGTTAGATTTTTCTCAGCGTCACTTTGAGACTGCTTCTTGAGACGGTCACTACTTGACAATCGGTCAGATTTGTCACTTTCAGGTTCCGTATAGGAACGTTCATTGGGAACGCTCGGACTTTCCTCGGCAGGGCCCGTCAAATGCTCTGAAATACTTCGTGACTTTTCAGGTGATGTTTTGATTTCGAGACCAATACTACCGCCTGGTTCAGTGTACTCGAAAGTATCATCTCCGTAAGAAAAGTTTGCAGTTTTTGAACTGATATCTTTGCTGCTTTTCGGTGAATGTGAAAAGCCAGATGCTTTTGAATGAGTATCTTTAGCGACTTTCGAGTATTCCTCCGAGATACTTTCATCACTTGGTATGGGTGTGTACGACCTCTCAGAAATTTCCTCTGGAATTTCGGAACTTTTACTCGCCTCATCTTCGGCAATGCTCGGCACTTGTTCGGGGACGCTTGTCGTACTCTGCGAATGTTCAGAAACGTCTTCCAGGATATCAGAGGAGTCGCCAGGAGGAGAAACCGGAGGTTCTGATTCAAACGTGGGTCGCTTTGCATCCGAAGGTGGTATTTTTGACGTCTTATTTGTTATTGTTTTTTCTGGGTCTGAATCATTTTGTGCACCTCTCATCTCTACATCAGGAATGGAAACATCTATGATTTCAACAATCGATTCTTCTTTCTCTTTAGATGGCAATTCTTCTGGAATGTCTGTTTCATCACTCTGTGCTGAGACTCTGGATATTTCTGACCAACTTCGTCTTTTCCCATCGTTTGTCTTTGAGCATTCATCATCATCAATAACCTCAATAAACGATTCCTCTACCTCATGCGATGATGAAGACTCACCCCACGACCTAACATTTCTTTCTTTACCATCACTCCACCTGTCAGACCTTGGTGAAGTTTGACTGGACAATGGCGTAGTATAACCAGTTGGCTTCTGTGATGTTTGTCCTTTTTTAGAGCGGATTGAGATATTCTCATTTGACACCGGGGATGTTTTCTGCGCACCGGCAGACGCGGTCTTGATCTCAGCTAATTTTCGATGAATATCATCTCTTGTATTCTAGAAGTACACGAAATATAATTTTTGAAAACAGCTTTACAGCTAGATATGACTCTCCATCTTCACTCTTTTTTAAAAAAAGGGGAGTTGCGATTTAAATTGACGGCACCTCAGATATGAATTATCTACATATATCTCAGACAATTTCTAAGTTTTTAGGAATATGGCTGGATTTGGATGAAACAAACCTTTATTTCTATCTCAAGTTTCAGGGCTTCTTTCTTCATGACACTTCGTTTAATTTTTTGCTTTTTTCTCTCGAGCAGCTCCGCTTTCTTTTTTTCTTTCTCTAATACCTCATTTAACCTTCTTACTCTTTCCTCAACGTCACTCTGGTCAGAAGTTTCTAAGAAAAGAGACATTGTTAATTACTGAATAGGTGAGGCTGAATTTTCTAGATTTTTTTCTAATGAGGACAATGACGATGTTGCTTAAAAGAACGGAACAGAGAATATCCCATTTGATGCATTAAGATTTTAAAGACGCGTGGCCTTGGTATTCAGGAATTCTTTCTATAATATGATATAACCTTACCAGTCAACGAAAGTATCTCGTCCTCAACATTCGCTTCACCATTTTGTGACGTCATATGCTGTGATGTCATAGATCGTCGTGATCGCGGCGTACTGTCATCGGATTCAAACGTAGCGTTATCGTAATCATTTGCCGTTCTTTCGGCACTCTCCGTCTTTGCTTCGTCCGTAACTGATTTTGCCGTGCGTGAAATCTCTTCCGGTATTGACTGCTCGCTCGGGCTTTTCCCACCCGTGTCGTTTGAGAGTTTTGATTCGCTGGCTTCCGAAATAGCAACCTTTGATCGGCCGCCAGTAGAAACAGAGCTTCCTGATTGGCCAGCGTTGGAAATAGCGGCTGCTGATTGGCTGAGATTCCTCTGATTCTTCAACATTTCCGTGACTTTCTGTAACATACTGTTGACGTCTGATTCATCTTTGACTAACTTCTGTTGTCTCTCTAATAACATCTTGTGGATCTTGACAAGTTCTTCACTTTGATTAGGGGCAACCTGACCATCAACGGTGCTGAACAAAACAAAAAAATTTATTTCAAACACGACGTTTCTTCCTTATGCTACAGGTTACTTTTTGAACGACATTTATTTCCGTTGACATAATCAAATGGTCGTTGTGTTATTCCACTGCTATTTAGATCAGTAAACAGCGTATTTCGTGACTAAAATCGTACAGTTGTTGTCTTAGTAATATTTTCCCCATCGTCAGTAATTTAGAAATTTGCATAACAAACGAACTGCTAATACAAGCAACAATTCTCTGATCCGTTGCGGAAAATAATTTTGTCTCCGCAATCGTATATTCCCACTATGACAAATATTTGCACGATATTTCTGCACTTATTCCTCCAAATCCCTTGTTATTAACGTAGATTATTTGAAATTAAAAATTTAGTAAAAATATAAAAACACGCTTGTACTTTGGCAAAACTACTGACAATGTAAAAGATTTATAAGCGGATATATGTGATAAAATTGTATTACGCTTCACTATTACCCCGACATTTGCATGACTATATTTTCAGTAGGCAAATGATGTTGACGATTTAACATTTATATTTACTAACAGATTGGCTATCATCATATGAATTTACTAATGCTTGTGTAATCGGTTATAGTTTAACACCCAATTTACACATTAATTTTTAAGGCTTTCGTAGGATTAAAATTTGGTGAACATTGCAAGTACTGTTGACGTAATGGAGTCTTAAAGGCTGTTTTACTAACAACGAAAGCTTACCTTCGGTATTGAGGAAAGTCTGAGCATGACATTTCAGACAGTAAAATATCAAATATTTAGTAGTTTTATCCAAATGTTACGCGTTTTCACTCCCAACTTCACAGAATAACGTATAAATTAACTTTAGTGTAATTGTAGCACAGAAACATGTGCTGAAACCATTTTGAGATCAAGCAACCGGGGCTATAGGCCACCGCGCAATAATTTCACAATATAGAATCTGTGGAATTTTACTCTCATTAGTATGCCAACTGACTATATTTAGCTGTGATTTTTGGCGAGAAAATTCAAAACCACGGTCCTTAAAAAACGACGGAGCAAAAATGATAAACTTATTTGTAAAATCACATCAAGCATACCGGCTAAAAAGTTTTGGTTTTTGTCAAGGTTAATACTAAATATTTGGACATTTGCTCAAGAACTTAAGTTTACGATTACGTAATGTTATTATCGATGTGCTTCATTAATTCCTCTTTGTGTAATTTGTTGTTGTTAAAAAGCAGTGGGTGGTTTGCGGCTTTACAAAGTGTCCAATTTTTTTATTCAAATATCTAGGAAGTGTGCGTGGCTAAAGCAAAGATCTGATATGGTTTCAAATTAAAATTGAATTGTAACTTTAGAGTTTTTCATCATTACCGCCGCGTGTAAAAATGTCACTTATATTGGTTCTACTAAGATCAAATTCCGCAAACGAAAGAGTTTTTCATTGCTCTTTACTTTTGGGTAAAAATAGTAATAACAATAGACAATCTGATATTAAATCCTATAATACAGAGATCTGAGTGCTGCGCTACCCTGGGTACCACTGATTTTAAGACCGTTTTCTGTTGATTTTTAGGACGATTTAGCACGAGAACGGAAACGTCAAAGACGACGTGAATGGCGAATAAATTACGTGATGCGGCCATGTATTGACCTGCACGCCATTTATTCGTCATTTTCATGTTGTCTTTGACGTTCCTAAACCTAAGTCAGGTTCTTATTGAATGAATGGTATAGACGGCGCTTTTATTTTTCTGGACTGACATAAAAAAACATACCTCAACAGTTGAAGAATACTGGAAGGTTCTTCTTCACCTCGCCCTGCGGCGCTTCGTCGTCCCTGGGTCTCATCCTCCGACTTTGGAGTGCTGTATGATGGAAAGGACGACGCAGTGTTATTAGGGGATATATGAGATGACCCATGATCACCACTGATATCCTCTGATATACTCTTGGCTGAGTGGTCAGGTTTCGATTTTGAGCGGCTCGATGGCGTGGATTGCGTGTCCTGCTTTTTAACTGGAGAAGATGTCCTGGGGTGACTCTGTGATGGCTGAAGTAGAGGAATTTGTATATAAACTATATAAGATTATATCAACGGTGGGATAACTACACGGAAATACACAAGTCGCTTTATGACTGCTGAGATGAGAGACATGCACCTGTGGTAAGCGACCAATGTGATAGGAAAAACCATTTCTAAATAATGGAAATGACGAGTAAGCTGTCTTGACTATACTCACCGAACGTGAACTGCGGTCTTTTTTTGACGGATCTTTCTGGATTTTCTCCCGGATATTCAGTGTGGCCTGATGTAGTCGTCGTATTTCTTGTTGTTGATAAATCATAAAACGTCGTTGAAAACTTGCAGCTCTATTTGCAGCTTTCAAACACTTTATCTCCTCCTGAGAAATGAAACATGAGAACGAATTCAGAACACTTCCAGCGGCACTTCAGTCAGAATAATAGTTTGTTTACGCCGAAACGAAAATCATCATTAATCCAAAATGACATGTCAAATCAAGTTTTGATCAGAAATCAAACCTTCTCTGCTTTATGTTTCATCCTGATTCCTCTTTCCCGCTTTTTTATTGACGGCATCACGTCATCAGATCCTTTATCACGTGATTGTTTCTTCATCTGTTCTAGCCATTGCAGTTCAGCCTTAGTCTTGTCTTTCAGAGACTTCTCTCGTAATCTCAAGATGGCTGCTTGATGTTTCGTTCGTACCTCTTCCTCGTGCACGTATTGTTGGATCATGTCAACGGTGAATTTACCGAAAGAGTCGTCGCTTTCAAATGGCGTACGATGTGATTTCTCCTTGAAGAAATAAGAACCGTGTTTAATTCAGGCTAAGAATGCGGACTATTCCTTGAAGATATTCCTCAATATTATATACACAACTCGTGCGACTGATTAAGGCTCGTAATGTAAAACATTGGTATCAAGTAGATACTCCGCAACATACTCCTGGATGTACATTTTTCAACAATAATTTTCAAGTACCTTTCTTTTTTCTTCACTGAATGAAATATCCTAAATATGGAAAGAGAGAGAGAGAGAGAGAGAGAGAGGTTATTTTTACAAGCTTGCCGCTTTGCACACATTAAAAATGCCAAAACCAGAAATGTCAAACCTTAATTCTATTCATGCTTTTCCTTCGATGTTCTCTCGATGGCAAAAGAAAATTGAAATCGATATCTTCGTCCGTTGGCGGATGTGAAGAATCGTCAAATTGTGAACTATAGTCGAGGATTGATGATACTAGAAACATCAAATAATAATTTAGTCATCATTTACAACGCCACTGTATCATTGCATATTGCAAAAACAAAAGCGTGATGATTTGTTAAACTGGGTTAAGATACAGTAAAAGAACGAAACGATCCGGGAAGATCTTTATATTCATTTGTTTTCAGAATTTCGCTCATGAAGTTCCTACCCGAGCCATGATTTCTTCTTGAGCGTTCCCTTGGTAATGATCCATCTCGTAAGTCAGAATCGTCGTTCACTGTCGTATCATCTTCGTGAATTGTCGTATCCTCTTCGGACACACTTTTCTCTGGGAGATCTTCGGCGATGCTCTCTGCTGTTAATGAGGCATGATCTGTGATTGCTGATTTTACATCGGAACCGTCATTCCTTGCTGTTTGACTAGAAGAGAGATAGTCAACGATAAGACATGTCTTTGTGCCACTTCACTGGCACCACTCCATTATCTAAATACAATAAAGCGTTCTGTAGTCGACACTTGCTAACGTACTAACCTTGCATACGAATCAAACTCGTCGCTTGAGTAACCACCCGCTTGACGTGGTGACGCTACGGAAGATAAACTTTCAAATGATTTTGATTGGTTAGAAATGACATCACGTGTGCGTGTATGCTCATCACCCGTGCGAGTTCGATCATCACTCGTGCTATGTTCGGAATTCATCGCGTGGCCTTCGCTGATACTTGTAGCACGTTCGACAAGTGTCGTAGTTGGTCGTTTTGTCTTGTGCAGACCTTCAACTGCTGCGCTTGTTGTGCTTGTCACGTTTTTACAAAATTCCGCAAGTTGATTAGAGGTGTTAGTTAGGAGATCTGACGTCATCTTTGTTGCCTAGAAATAACAAAGTTTAAAATAGCTTTAAAAAGCATAAATGTACAGATTTCTATATAGCTCGTCAGAAACTCCTTCAATCATAGTAAGTATTCGTGTTGGAAAAAGCCACGCTACCCCCTCTTGTTTCTTCCTACAGGGAAGGAATGCTTTCTGTTGGGTTATTTTCAGTAGTTTCACGACAACGTGAAATGATTACCAATTCGTCATACCTCTTCTATGTACTTCCTGGAATGTTCTGCGTTTGTTTTTATCGCCTCACTTTGGACCTAAGAATTAAATGTACTTTTGCTAAATAAAAGAATACGCAAGGAATTACATTTTTTGAAAACTTTACCTCTGCAAGTCTTTCAGCAGCTGATGAGGCTGCCATTGCCGCTGCCTGTCGAGTCTGGAGTGGAAAAGACGACGTAAAATTACAGTATTTATGACTAGAATAAAAGAATTACGATAGTGTAGCATTCAAACATAGAAATATTTTTCTACCTTCTCTAGCTCTCTGGCAGCCTGGATTGCTTCTTCCTTCGCTTTCAGCCTTAAATGATGCATCTCGTGTTCATGTGTTTGTTGTTTCGCCTGAGAATGTCACAAGGTATGTAAATGTTTCCAGTTTTATTTAAATAAAATAAAAATGAGAAAGAGGAGTGGTACGATTTAGTGGCCCGTGAGCAAATATTAGGTGTGGTTGCGTTGGAGATTAATCAAATCTTGTCAGCGAACTAACGCCTAGTATACGATGATTGACAGTTGTATATTTGTACCTTGAGTATTTGTGCCAATGACACGGTCTCTTGTTGTGCTAATGAAACAGCTCTGGTCCTTTCAATGTCGTTTACTTGACGTACCGAATCCTCGACATTTTCCAATAAATTGATCTCAGCCGTGAGCTTTCGTTGTAAGGAGTCTGGAGAGAGCCTGTTGCCGCCAGTACGGTCCATGGGTCGAGGGATGTAAACCCGACGTCTGATTGGTTCATTTTCCTCCGACGGAGAAATAGAGGGGCTGGACCTAGTACGGTGTTGCTGAAAGAAAAAAAAATCATAGGATTTTGCCGTCGGTAAAAACGACTTTCTGGCTAAGCCTGTATGCTTCTCTGCACTCACCCTAGTTGAAGGAATAACAAAACCATCTTTCTCGTTTGAGCTTAATATGTGGTCATTTTCATGCAATGGCGAGACTCTGTTTCGCTTCTCTCGTTCCGATAACTGTTTCTTTTCAACATCAACTTCTGTGAATAAAACGTTATCTCTTCCTTCTGAAGTCGAACGACCAGAAGTCGAACGACCAGACTTAGTCTTCGTCTCTGTGTTCGTTTTATCGACGTCTTCGTCTGTTTCAAAACATTCTGAGTAGGTTCCAGCTTTTGATGCATCCTAAAAATACAGATTCTATGTTAATACGATACTCTGAAGAAGAGACAAACAAAAGCGAGACCAAAAGAGCATTGAATGAATCTAGAACGTAGTTAACAAGCATAGAAACAAAAAAAAGTAACCCCAAAAGTACACACTTGGAAACAAAAAAAAAACAACCTTCTTTAAATCCCCCTCTGTTGTCACAGAAGAAATGTCGACATCTGTAAAGTCATCGTCATATTCAATATTTTGATCAGGACTTTTCCTTCTGTCGACCTCCAATAAACTGGCAGTCTCAGAGCCTGGCTCATCGTTTAAAATATCTATAAATTTATTTTTTGTGAGTTATTGTCTTTGTGTTCATAATGTCTTAGACAATAACATAACACAATACGAAAGAGAGCAGTTTAAAAACTATAAAATTATAAAAGACGTTCATCTTACCGTCAATTGGTAACGTTGGATGTCGACGAGAAAAAATGTTCATAACACTAAACCTTGAAATGTGACATCAAGAATAAATAGAGGTATAAGTGTCTCGTTGAAAATTATCATATTTTTCCTACAACTATTTCACAAAAGTACCTGTCTCCTCTTGGCTCGTAGTGAACAGTTGGAGCCGTGAGATGAGATGTGGTGATATCTATGCAGAATATACACACGACATTAAAGATCGCACCAAATTGGAAAAAGGTAATAACAGAAAAATACAGCATACCATTACGAAGAAAGTTAGACCGTGTTCTGAGGTCATCCAGTTGGAATTTCCTTTCTTGCTTCGCGGGAGAACGCTGGAAAAATAATATATTTTCCTCAATCGTACGGTGTTTATTTACAGGGTAATCGTCAACCAATGAATAAAAACCAACAACAAACCTTCAGGTCGTTATTCAATGTTTCTGTTCCATAAAACGGCCGAATATTTGTAAACTGGATGGATCCCTCATCAGATGAGCCTTCAGAGAACCGAGGTTCCTCTATGTTCAGTCGGAGAGAAGGTCCTGGGAACAAGCTTGCTTCAACATTACCTTCACGTGACATATCACGAGCATTATTTTCTCCACCTATCGTTTGGGTTGTGTTTCGTCTCGAGTGTTGTGTGGTTTTTCTCTCATTCCATTCATTTCTCTTCCTCACCGTGTGTCCGCGGTATGCTGCTTGAATTGTAGTCGCTGCCGCCGCTCTGGTAGACTTGAAAACAAGAGAGAAATATTTAAACACACCACGAGGAGAAAGAGATTAAAAACTGATAAAGGTATCCAGTGTTATAAAATATCGTTTAAATGAATAAAGAAGTTGAAAAACCTGTTTTTCATTTTCATCGGCCTGTTGTCTGATATTTGCAACGCCTACAAAGATTGATGGATTATTTATGGTTTGGCAAACGATTGTCATTCGTAACGACGGTAGTAACAAGAGTAACAAGAAGTCTAATACAAAATACAAACCTGGTAATATTCCCTGGAATCCAGTCTCCCTGGCTTTCGGTTGTGCTGAAACTTCGACAGCAGGTTGAGAAACAGCTCCTTCCGTACCACCGCTGAGACGTAACGCATGTGTCTGCAGGCGCGACTGAAGGGCGAGCGCCGTAGCCTGGAGAGCAGTGAGCCGCTTGACTCGTTGATCTAATGGAGCCTCACTGGGTTCTGGAGGTAAAACTACAAAAAAAGAATTATTTCATTTAATGTATTGAAATAATTGAAAACAAGTGAAGAAGGCATTTTATGCCTAATTATTAATCCTATATGACCAAAGTTTTTAGTGAACTGTGAGCATTCATAAATTGAATCTTACTTGGTCCTAGCGAACTGTGACGTGATGTTTCTTCTGATGTCTGATTGGTTGATATATCTCCTGTTAATGTGACGTCACCGTCGTCGTCACTGCATGGCTCAGATAACGGTTCATTACTTATGTCATTAATCGCTGGAATTTAAATGAGATTTCGTAAAACATCATAACACGAGTTTTTATTAGGGAACAAATCTAAAATGAACATTATACTATAATAAGATGAGTTGTGAACCTTTGTTTTCCTTGTCTGACTCGTTTTGCGTTGATTTCTGGACAACCTGATTATCCTGGAAGCAAACAGTAAGAAATTTTTTTAAAAAGGAATGACATCTACTGGACCTCTAATAAGAATTAGCCAGAACTCTTTATTTCATTTTTTCTTACGTTTATATATTCTTCATTGTCTTCTTCAGGATCAATTCTTTCCTGTCCTGGTATATTGATGTCAAAATTTCCAAATGAGAAAGTCTTTCCAAGTCGCTTGTCTTTCTTTGCTGGTGCAAAACTCTTCTTCTGCCTCTCGTACAAGTCCTATAAACAAACGTAAAAGTATTTCCTTCAGCAATACGGTCGTACCATTTAAAAGAAACCTTTACGACGTGGCAAGGAATATTTCAGGCACCTTCAAACGTTGTTGTTTCTCTTCTTCTCTTTTCTTTTTCTGAATCTTTTCTTGTTTTTGTTTCTTCTTACGCTCCGCCAGCTGATGGGCCATGTATTTCTTGAAAAATATCATTTTTGATCCAGTGTTAAAATGTTTACACAGTAGGTGATAACAGGATTTATGAAATACAAATATATAAGAAAGTGTAAAAGAAATACGAATACACTGTACTGTACCTGAACTTCGGCCTGGTCGTAATGGCGAGTTTTCCCTTTCGGAAATGTATCTAAATGAAAAATGAAAATGTTTGATGTCACTGGTTATTCATTCCCCTATGAATACATTTTCCCATGAATACATTTCATTTTATAGCTATGAAGTGTATACACTACCTTCGGTTGGTTTTCGAGTCGGTTGTGCTTTCTTCCTTTTTAAAGTGTTCTTTTTTGAAGGGCTACACTTCCGCTCTTCATCACCTTCTAAACAATAAGTATTTTTGCATATCTTCCAGAATAGATTTCCGAGCGTAGCTAAACAAACTAATGTTAAAATAAACCTATCATTCGTAGTCATACCTGAGCTATCCTGTGCAAGATCAGCGAGCATACTTTTTGCTTCTTTAGACAAAATGTCTTTTATATTTTCCTCATCAGAATCTATGCTAACATTTTCTGTTAAGCAAAATCATTTTGTCAGACTCAAAGGAAAGATTTGTTTAGTTGAAGGCAAAAGCGACCAACCTGAAGGTTTATATGTTTCATCTTTAACCTCTGACACATCTTTCTCAGCCTCAAACTTTTCAATTTTTGCATTGAAGCGTTCAATGACATCATCATCTGAAGATAAACGTCCTTCGCTGATTTCATCATCAGATTGCGAACAAACTTGAAATGTTGCATTTTTCCTGTCATTCTTTAATGGACCTGAAAAAAAACATGATGAATGTGATTATGAATTCAGTTCAGAATGTCGTCTTTATAAAAGATGCAGAACCGAAACTAGTTATTTGGCAGCCAGTTTTGCAATTTGCCAACCTTTCTCCGTTCTTTCTGTTGCAGGCCCAGGCAATGTTTTCTTAGTTTCTTTATCAGCTGTTTTGGCTTTTTTAGCGTTTAATAATCGTTTTACATTCGCATGACCATCTCGCCAAGATGTTGTAGTTATAACTTCTTGTTGCCTTTTAGAGCCAATAATTCTCGTCATTTTGCCTAACGATCAATAAGGTCAGAGGGGTTAATGATAGATCAAGCAGAATTTGTAACCAGAAGCAGTTGAGAATGATTAGTGACTATAAAGCTCTCTGGCAGTGAACCTAGCTGTCATAGGAGATTTGAGCTTTGTAGCCTCTGATTAATTTTCACTCTATGAAATTTCCATACCTTTGGCATTTTTTCCCTCCTGTTTTTGATGAGGTTTCAACAACACCTTGTTTTTGGTATCCTTGGGAATTTTTGTTTGAACTGCTTGTTTCTTATTTTCAACCTTTTTCTGCTTTGGTTCTGAGACAGCATTAAAACCTACAAAGAAATCACACATACTGTAAGCAAAAAATGCTAAGTTATCACCTGTTTGTTGGTTTCATTTCTATAACACAGGACAGGCAAATCTTCCATTATATGTACCTTTGTATGTTGGTCCAGATGCAGAAATTGTGCCAACCTTTCTTTTCAGTGGTAAAGAAAACTTTACATCATTCTGGTCACATGGTTCATCTGACATACTCACATGATCATTACTTTCATGTAGTCTTCGACCACCTGGTAATGTGTTTAAAATGGATTATGTTTAATATTTTTGTATTTTTCCTGCCTTGCATTTCTGTAGTGCATACATTTTTATACAACATTGTTTGTCAATAAATAAAGACTTTTGATGAAGAAATGAGCTCACCCAAACCTTTGTCTTTCTGTTTTGAAAGCATTGCCTTTTGTTTTTGAACCTTCTCCTTGATCTTCTGCAGACCAGCTACACAAATAAATGCCAGTTTTTATCAACTAGTAATGTTAATGTGAAATGGATCTGTCTTTTTGTTGATGCATTATGGAAGCATATGCCAGGACATAAACAATTAAGGCTTCATAAATTCAATTACTCAATGTCAAATTCATTTTTACTTTTATACCTTCATTTCTTGCTAAAACTGTCTTGCCATGAAATGATGGTGATGATGTTACACTGAACTGTTGTGATGATGAACTATTGACAGTTGTATTAGCAAATGAGCTATCCTTGCTTGATGGCGGATCATTAAGAACAGTTGGGTGGATTGTGGTTGTCTCAAAATAAGTCGGTCGTTCACTGTGAATATTTCCAGGCTTTGACACACCATATGTGTAACGTGTTGGTGAATAGCCATCTTTTTCTGTTAGGTTAAACAATAACATACGTACCATATGAGAGCAGTAAAATAGGTTTCAATAATGACCCTAATAATGATCAGCAAGTTTGATTTCATTTGATCACATTATATTGAAAACACTAAATAATCTTTTTTTTTCTAATACATTTATAGAACCAAATTATAACAACCCATCTAATTCTTACCTCGATTCAGGTTGGAGTAACCTGCTTTGGGAATAGATGAAATATCTGAAACCTTTGACCAATCAGCCTTAGGTTTCCTTGCCTCCGCTTTTGATGCAGTATTGTCCAAAAGTTGAAAGCGAGTCACTTTTCCAAACTGTTGTTTTTCACTTGAAATTTCTTTTAAAACTTTGCCATCCGAAGAATGAATGTTTTTGGCCACTTTTGGCCATTTTTTTGCAGCTACAACGTCATCTTCTAGTCTGCTTAGCTGAAAGACAGTGTCACATACACATGTAAGACACACGACTGACTATTTAAAAGGTCTATCAAGTTTTCTAAAATATACGGTAGCTATAATTTAACCAGGATATACAAGTTTGATGACACAACAATTGACATTGATATATATGGTATATCATATTGATCAGTGCACAATCATTTTGTCTCTCAGAGATCAACCAAAAATTTGAATTGTAATTACTTACTGATTGTTTAATGTCAGCAATATTATCCCAAGCACTTGATATGCCTAAATTGAAGCAAATATGTTGATCATCACCACGCAACATGAGCTAAGAAGTGGGTATTAGACCATATCAGACAGGATCATGTATTATTTTGAGAAAACTAGAAAGTACCCACTCCTAACTCTAAAATAACTAAATGAAATTTTTTTTGTATAATTTTCAGGCCTCATTCTACCAAATGGCATTGTTAAAACTTAAATTAAATCACAGAAAGAAATAAAAGAATGAAAACTCAGTGCATTGGGGGGATCGAACCCAGCATGATCTGAAGGTGGGACGAGGCCTTGAACAACTCTGCTAACTAGCTCAAGCTTAAGAGAGAGGCACAAAAAACTTATGTACCTTGAAATTTCCAACAAATAACAACATCACACAAAGTCATGATACATAACTAGTATTCTGATATGGTCTAATGCCAAACAGGTCAATAAAGGGGGTTCACATTCAGTCATTGACGGACTGCCTGATGCATAAATATAGTTTGTAGTAAACAATTTGTCCAAATCGGTCTCAAAATCCGTAGTTAACTACAATTTGCGTGACTAAAATTGGCCGCCAAAAAGAATTTAAAAGTTTTATTCAACCAGACAATGATCCATCAACAAAAATCACATAGAATGAAGTCGTGATTGATCATCCATCTGTTTGCAACACTTCTAGACAATTGCATACTAAAGCAAGAGCACGTGATGAATGTAAGGCCAATATAACATGTTACACTCACCAAATACATCAGGCCTAATGTTTCTTCTTACATATATTGTTGGATCCTCAACTCTGCGGACAGTAAATGACATGTTGCTAAATTTAGCATATCAACGGAAACTACCCCAACAAAAGCAAGCGATCGCAAGCACGATACTCAGTCGATTGCAGATATATAGATCGATCCATTCCAGCGAGAATAGAATTGGATAACTCGACTATATTTTCGGTTTTTTAAACGATTTGTAAACACGCCGTTTACGATGAAGACATTTTATAAACAAACGAAAGTTGAATAAATCAATAAAAATATGGCGGGCAATGACCGCTCAGGATTGTGGGTAGACTTGCAATTTTGAATTTTTATCGAAAATGTTAATTTTGAAATGAAATGAAATTTACATTTTTGTTCTTTATAGTTAAGACAACTGCCACAAATTATTTCAATTTTCTCGCAGCCTTTATTTCAGGAATTTTAGTGTAATACCTATTAGGCTATTACCCAATTTTTAGCTTTGCCTAAAAGTTTCCGGGGGGCGAGACGAATGTCTCCAGTCTGCCTGACGACTGACGAGGGAGGCGAGTGCGAGCCACAATCTTGGAAAAAATATTGGGAGACTTTTTTTGAAGTCTAACCAGATTTCCAGTTACGTACAGCAAGTCTACCAATTCTCTCAACCAAAAAGCAAGTTGCCATTAATTTCCCCCCTCCCCCCATTACAATGTTGTTCAGTTTAATGACAATTTGGAAGAGATACAACACTAGTTCAATATTGTAATGGGGGGGGGGGTGAGGGGGGAAACAATATTTAAATTAGAAACGTCTACGTCTTTTTTTCAGGATTGCAGTTAGCGTTAGCGGGTCAGGAGCTAGCCTTTATGGCAGGCAGTCTCTAAAAAGTCAGGGGTATGCTCCCAAAAAAAATTTAGTAATTCACACCCTCAAAACGACGATCCCACCTTTTGATAAACATTTCTTTATCATTTTATTTCTCTGAAATGGTATAGGTTAAGTACATTTATGATTTATATAGTTAAAGTTAGTTTAAGGTGCTAAGTGCTGTGATATGACAGTGATATTATTAACTTACTAAATTTAAAAGCCGTTCAAACGATCCGATTAGAACTTAGAAGCACAAAAGCATTTTGAGAGCAGGTCAGCAGGGGACTGCTCAAAGTTTGAACCAACTTTTTACCTCAACTTAGGTACATGTAAGACCAGAAAGGAAGTAACAAATTTTTCATCTTCTGACCAATCAATTTTTCATCTTCAATTTTTCATCTAATGGCCCTATGTGCAGCATTTCTTTACATGTAATGATATATTGATTGTGATACATCATTTATCGATCATCGGTCTCTGATTTCGAAGGGATGGACGTCATCCTTTTGATAGCCTTTATTCACGTTTTCTTCCTTCAGCTTCGCACTCTCATTTGCCTCGAGTTTAACCTTGCTTACCGTTGTGACTGCAGTAACACTTGAAGTGTGACGGGAGCTCTGCCGCAGATTTTTAAGTTTTCCTGGTATTTTGGGCAACCTGTCCCTAATATCGTCCCATATTCGCCTCAGTCTCTTTTTCATAGCCTCGGACCATGTTTTGGGTTTCTATAAATAAAGATGATTCAAGATGATACAATTATTTGGGTCTAGTTTTAAGTATTTTAGTATGCCTTATCATTTAAACTACAATCTATAGATTTAGTTTATGTACATGATACTATGTACATAGTCTTTTACGGTACATAAGTATTTTTACGGTAGGTTTCTTATACATTCATTTATTCAGAATATTACCCTTGGATCAGTTGGATCGACTTCCCAAAACGAGGCGACACACAATTCTACGGCGATAAGTATCAATCCCAGGCCAATTCCAGCGTACACCACGTACTTTACTCCAATCATATCCTTTAATGTTAACTGACCATTTGAAAGTTCCAGCATCGATAAATCTGGAATGCAGTCGCCTAAAACGAACCAGTGAATTGAAAAGGTGTGGTTGAATGTTGCAATTTGTTTGACATGAAAAGTTACATTATTAGAGAACTGTTTTGAACAATCTACATTCTAAACAACATTGTAAATTCCCTAAGTTTTTAAGTTTCACTACATACCAGTTGGTTTTATTTTATTTCGAACGAATTTTTTTATTTTATTTTATTTTATTTTATTTTATTCACGAACACAATGCAATGGTAATTACACTAGCTGAGGAACCAACCTTTTCTCTTGAACCAGTAATCCTCAAAGTACAGTAAGACTCCTTTTTCACGCAGTTTGAGAATCTCAAGGCTGAACCGGGTTGTGAAAGGAGAATCTTTCTGGAGTGCAAGACCATATCCTGAACAGGAAGATATAAAGATATTGTGTTAATTCCTACATGACTTGATAGCTCTCGTGTACGGCGGGCTTTTACTTGTTTTCTTGAGGGTCGTCAACTCTACTGAGAATCTTTCTTCTCTGAATCGGAATAAACTGATTTATATAAAAGAGTATAAAACTTGTAAAAGAGTAAGAAAGCAGCGACTGCCCAGACACAGCGAGAAACAGAATTTGAAAACATTGCTAGCATTGTTTGCCAGCCGCCTCATACATGCCTCATCTTGCCAAGTGACGCCCGCTTACCAAATTTTCCAAACGTTGATCCCACTGTGAAGACATTACATGGTTTTTTATACATCTCTGCTTCCAATAAGATAGAATCAAAAATAAAGGCAACGTTATCTTCTCGCACTCTTTTAAGTGCTTCATCCTGAGAATTTGCCAAAGTCCCTCGCGACTTCATAAATTGATACATAGCATTATAGGACGGTAGGATGGACTCCTGGAAAAATTCTGCTGCTGGAGAGTTTTTTACTGTACCATAACTTATCTTGGTTTGAGAACCGAGTGCTTCAACGGAGTTGATAGTTAGTTTCATGCGACCAAATGTCAGATATGCAGCAAGATTGGCAGTGTATGTTGCTATCAATATCATTGATGCTGCCCACCAAAATGCTGCCACTGTGCGACCACTGACAGCTCTGTAAAATATTAAGTGTTAAATGTGTTTATGAGCTCTATCAATTCTTGCACTCAGACTGACCCAGTGTAGTAGTTCTTGTATTAGCCCCTCTCGCGTAGTGGCGGCTCAGGTGGAAGATCTTGTCAGTCTAGCTGCATGGTATTTTCTTTAAAGATTTTGTTTTTATATAGTTATTATAAAGATAAGATTAGCGGATAAGCGACTCGCATTCGCAGATTCATCTTTCTGGTTCCTAACCCATCGCTCGTTGACCACATACCTGGGAAGTACATCACCCCCCTGCTGTAGTAAAGCTCCAATAGAAAACCAAACTGAGTTTGTTAGATTTAAATATGTCAGTCCTTCAAGCTCTTCTTCAACCTAAGTAATGAGAAAGCGAAAGAAATGTTTATAGGAAGATGTCTTGTGGGAGAGAAATGTTTATCGGAAGATGCCTTGATGAGTTTTTTTTCTTCCTTTCAGAAAGACACAGCAAGTTTTATTCACCTCCTCTCTGTCACATCCTTCGTCCAGTTCCGCTTGAACCACAGAACCGTAATGTCCATTTGGACTGATCTTATCGAGTAGTAAACTGATAACTGCCACCAAAGCCATGATGCTAAATGCCGTGAACCACACTTCTCTCGATAGTGGGTCCACAAATCCAAAAATATTGGTTTCAGTTTTTTCTGGAATTTGCATGAGAATACTTAGGCCCAAATCCATGTATGGTTTGCTAAAGTCGATAACTTCTGAACGACTTTGACTTATTGTAATTGGTGCTAGGGCCATGTCAAACTTCTAAAATTCATTAAGAAGAAATATGTTTGAGAGACAATGTGTCTTCTTCACTGTCTTGTTGTACCAGAAATATTGTTTACCTTATCCACTAGTTCACCAACCATACCATTCCATCTCTTATTATTGGCGTCATAATTTCCGTACTTCCCATCAGGAACTAACGTTAATGTGTAGTTGAAATGGAGATCTTTTGCAAGACGTTTTAATAGGTCTATGCAATAACCTTCATAAGGATCTGGGTCTGTGGATGACTTTCCTTTCTTCAGTTGAATAAAACCTGGTTCCTGTTGAAACAAGAAAAATTAGACAGAATTTGTGATGCATTCTTTAGTAACTGACTCTCCTGACTGGAATTTGTTTTTTGAAAAGCCATTTTAAAGCATTATTATTCGCTTTTCTTCATCTCACCTACGACGACTGCTGTGGCTAATAATGGGTTGATATTGATATATGAAGTCCTACAGGAGTCCTGGCTGTTTACAACCTTACAACCAGTTTCGCGCGTCTTATGTAAAACGCCAGAATTCAAAACCTTGACTGGTGCAAGTCCAACTCTTCCTTTTCTTGTCATACTTACAATAACGGTAACAAGGTTCAAGGTTGTGTTTCCCAACGTATATGTCGAATCTACAGGAATATCTGTTACTCCGCCAGGCCACATCATTGCTTTTCCGCTAGAATTGATCGCCAAGTTTTGAGATTCTTCCCAATTTCCGATCTATTCAAAATTATTTTTTATATTCTGTTCAATCGTTCATTTGACCGACTACTATACTGTTCTTGCTACTGTTTCAGTCTATTACTGCTTCAAATGTTTGTTAGGGTATCCACCTTCTACCCCCCGGAAGTTTGTTGGTCCTTTCCCATATGTTCATTCATTCATAAGTTCTTTTTTCTTACCTTCGACCATCCGCTACTGTGAAGATTCATAATATGAAATCTGGCAACCCCGGGCGAACCACTGCTTGAAAAATTCAGAAAATGACTCGCTCCATTTGTTTGAACCTAATGAAAACACAGAATTGTCCATGGTCATAACAAACACAGAAATTTAAACCAAGTCTGGTTGATTCTCCTCTGTGAAAGTTGTTTCAGATGTTTTATTAACTTCAGTTTTTTCTTTGCCAAAAAGCAAGTACACCCCTGCATAACTTGGTTAAACGTTGGAAGAATCGTGATTTTGTACAGCAGTGTCTTTTGTACCTTTATTTTATCCTCTTATATTATCGCATTTATTTGCTGTTGCATTATTTTCTTTAAAGAAGCAATGAAATTTATTCGTACCTTTTTCAAGTAATTCATCAACGTATCGCCATGTCCACTCACAATTCTTTCTTCTCCACACGACTCACAAGTTGGAGTCGAGTTTGATAATCTATGCCCAGCTTGGAAAAAATCATGAAGACCTTTTGCAAATGCTAAGACAGAATCAAATCTCTTCGTTGCCGCATAAGACACAGGATTGGTACTAAACCCAGCGTTTTGTAATCCACTTGTTAGCACAGAGGCTAAAGTTCCACCATCGATTGTATCGCGTACTCCAAGAAGGCCGATCAGTTCTTCTGCGATTGGAGACGGTGGATCAAATGTACTGTCCTGTTGGTTGAGTTGTGAAATAATATATTATTGATACGGCAATTATTTCGATTGTTTTTATATCATAAGGAAGCTCTGACTTTAAACCAATAGTTTTCTATACTCAGAATGTGACGTTTTATAGTTACCATGGTAATTAAAAAATGTTGTAGCTACGTGCTGTTTTTGAGAACAAATTATACTCCTCTACATGTTTGGTTTCTAAAGCATTTTTTGTACAAATCATTCAAAAGGAAGGTATAACTTTCATTTGCTTGCAACGGATTCTTATTCAACACTTAATATACATATAAAGACTCAATTAACAGAGTTGAAACATCAATTATAGAAATGCCTAATAATTTATTGAGATCACACACCGTTAAAATCCAAGCCCAATTTTTGATCATCAATAATTCCTTGGCTTGTCTCATGATGACTGGAGTATAAGAGGCACCACAGCTTAGTAAAACTACGTGAACACCTCTCTTTTTTATTCTTGTCAGTTGTGTGCGAACATCTAAGTTGTTGTAATCGTGTATTGCATTGAATTCCTCTATGGCTGCAATAATCCAGTTGTTTTTTATTGCTTTGTTGTAAAAATCAGCCGCAAATCCTCTTGCTAGAAAAAAAATGATTTCAAAGATTTATCATTATTTTGCATTATATCTCTGGATCTATTATGATATTATGACAAGTGACAACGTACCATAGTCTGAATTTGATGTAAGTACAGCGACCCTTTGCCACAAAAAACGCTTAAAAACATCCGTCAAAACCCTGGAATTCATATCATCGGAACTATCCATGCGAAGTAAGAACGGATAGTTTTTATGATCAAACGAGAATGCTGGATTCGTAGCTTGCGAACTGTATAAAGGAATTTTTAGCCCTGTTGTGACTGTCGTGATTGCTTTGATATCTGTGCTTGTTACAGGACCGAACACTGCTGTGACACCGTTTGATATTTGATGACATGCTACAATGAAAAAAGATGGAGATTAATTTTATATAGAAGGGAGAAAATATGAAGTCAGGCAGTTAATAGTGAAGAAAGGGGGCGATGGATGGGAAGAACGAAAAGTTGATTGGTTTAATACATAGCTATTATAATATCCAACATTATCCTCATTCAACCCTAACCTTTCTGTATATTAGATAAAGGATCACGACTGATGGTATTATTGATGATGTACTGAAGTTGTGTTGAAGGTAAGACGCTGCCATCACTGTTCACATGAGCGATTGCAAGTTCGAATGCTTTTCTTTCTGCATCGCCTTCAGATGTTATAGAGAATATTACTCCTAAGAGAAAAAGCTAAACGTTGTAATTTTAGTCAATCAGATCATGCCATGCACAGTTTGGTGATGAAATTGAAGAATGTTCTTCCAATGACACGAACTCCGTTTATAGGGATATAAAAGATATTTCTTAAGAGGAAAATGTTTCCTTTCCGACGACTTACCTATTGTTACATTGGAAGGGACGGAACATTTCATGACAGGGATAATGCATAACAACACAAGCTGGAAACAGCATATCTTCAGAAACAAAGACGATTGACGCAAAAACCACACCGTCATAATACTGAAAAAATGAAATGATTTATCAACTTATTCCGAGCAGATGTTTATTTTAACTGCAATTTTTTGCCTATTTAGAGATAGGTTACGTTATTTGCAGGGGGGAGTTGTACAAATCCAGTATAAATATCTCTCCAACGAGGTTTTTCAGTATTGTGGGTAATATTTCTCTCATTCCTGGATCATATTTGGTTACCAATTGTAATTTTCTCACCTCGTTGATGGAAACTATTTATGAGGCAGGTGTTTTCAAGGTGTTTCATGCAGTTGCCACTAATTTATTTTTTGGTTGTGTCGGCGACGGACGAGAATCGTCTCAGTTTCCGACATAACGACCACAAATGTTAACATCGACCACACACCTTGTTCGAAATCACGCGATTGTAACCCTTGTCACCAAAACATACTGTAAATGTTTTTTTTTATTTTAATTAAATTTTCATGTGTGTGCCGGCTATTATTTCGAAATATTCCATACACTACATGTCCATCCAGGGCGTTTTATATACAATGATATTATACATAAACAACCCGTGCCCATCCGATGAATGAATATTTCGCAGGGATTATCGTCCTTGTGGCATTAAAATGAGGTGCAAAACATTATTGAATTAATTAATGTACATTGTCGCCAGTTCAATTGAATATACGTGTCTCGGCCTAAAACGTTAGGATTCAATAAAGTCTAAATCTCAGTTCGTCTACTCCCAAAAGGCAAAAGTCGGTCCCAGAACGCAATCACCTGCCAAATTTTGTGATATGCGCCTCTTTTTCTTGTACAATTTTACGAATGTGATATACTTTAGTCTTCAACTCCACAAAACAAAAAAAGAAGAGCGCATATTTTGAGCTAAAGCACTGAAAACACTCTCTCATGCACCAAGTATGTATTGATACAAATTAAAGACAATACGTTCATTGAATTGTAAATATCTTAAAGTTATTTCAAGTATAGTTGGAGTTTTCAGCTAAACCTTTCTATCTTTGTCCTTTTAAGTGTCAAACATTTTTATATAATGTCTTGTTGATGAGGGTAAATACGATACTTGAAGTTAAACAGATTCAAACTATTACATCTAGTTTAAGCAATACATTCAGTAATTTCAGTTGACAAGATGAATCATATCTTAGTTATATCCTTTGGCGACTTAAGAATAAAATAAACAGTGTCTTTATTCATCGGTTGCCGGGCATCACTGCCCGTTATTCACTGGATTACCATTATAATACATATTATATAATTATATGATTCGTGTTTCTAATCTCTTGTTTACTCACCTCGAAGAGTTAAGCGGTGTTCAATACACCAAGAACAGTCTGCGTCTTCAAGGTCACGAAACCTGCGAGCGAAATTTCAGACAAAAAATGTTTAAATGTCTGGATGATGTCAATACATGCATGCGTATGTTTTAAGTAACCTGTGATTTCAAAACGTGTGATTGGTTTAGTTACCTGTTCTTTGGTATAAATATTTAATTTTGTTTTTTTTCTTAAGATGTAGATTATTTTAAATATTTTAGTTTCGGAACAACTGTCTCACTAACGTTTGTTTATCCAGCGTACAAAAATGTCAAACTGGATTTTGACTGTTTCTTTTCTGTTTGCTTTTCAAGTTGAAATTTCCAGGACTGTCTTGCCATCAACTATTCGTATTGGTAAGAGATGTATATAATTATATATTCAAAGTATTTTGACTTTATTGAGTATCGATTATTGCTAGGAAACTCACCATGGCCAGCAACCTTAAATAAATTGCAATTAAATCGTATTCACTATTTTAACTAATTTCCTGTCGTAAAAACGTTATTTTCCCAATATTTTCCAGACGATATTAAACGTATTCTCTGCAGTAAGATAAGAGTAGTGACGTAGCAACGGGGGCACCCCGTTATCTTTCAACCTGGAGTTGGGACTTGAGAAATAACGAATTCTGCAGTCTAAATGCAATCTTTCATAGGCATACGGGAGTCGACAGGTCCAGGCTAGATTTTGAAATGTAGACTGACTATCGACTAAAATTGTGCTGACTCTTCTTGAGATTCTCGTATACAAATCCACCATCATCGAACATAGAAGAAGTACGATTAGACAAACTTTAACTTTTTTTTTTTTGTAATTACCCTTAGTATCAGTATCAATATTAATATGTATCCATACGTTATTTTGCAATGTTTGAATCAATGCAAATGTATTTCCCACGAAATGCCACCACCTGTCTTCAAAATAATCCTTCTTGTGTTCCACAGTTGCAATTATTTTTTTATGAATTTTTGCGAGTGATTATTTTTATCTTTAAAAAGTAGCCCACGGCACTACAAGATATAGTGACTAAGATTTTTTTTGATCATTTTGGTACCCAGTCTGGTTTTTGGTTTATATATATTATGCATTATTTAGCGCGGCAGTCTTCTCCTAGACAGTTTGGCGCCAATGGCAATGTTGGTAAGATGGTGGTAATCTTGTCCGTAGTTACGACATATGATTACTAACCACAATAAAAACAAACTACAAACAAAACAGAAATACTGTCGAGATGCAACATTTCAAGGCATGCGCCCTTGCATGCGTGTGGTCAAAGTTGCCCACATTAGCATGTAAACGCTAAAATAATTCACAATTATTTTTTTACAATTATTTTTTTTTATATTACAATTATACTGCATACGACTCTATCATTTAAAAATAATTATAGAAATACTGAAAGAATTGTTTAACTAAAGATTTAAATCACTGTTTACGAATTTAGGTGGTATATTTGACATTGATGATAATGGAAACCAATATTCGGCTTCGGAAATTGCATTCAAGATGGCGATTGCGGAAATAAATGCTGACACAACAATTCTTAACGGCACCACCCTTGAGGGGATCAGCAACACGACTGCGCCCCTGGATGTCAAACAAAGCGTGGACAGCGGTAATATCTTTTTGACTTTCGAATATTTAACATCGACAAGACTTCGAGCGTCATGCCTCTCTTTCGGCCAAAAGCTATCACCAAAAAACTGTATAAAATACAACGTGTTAAGGTTTTGTCTTTTTTGAACCCATTTGTAAACTCGTTGTGACCATGATTGCTCGCATCCATTTAAAATCAACGCAAGTATAGTCCTGTTCTATCTAATGCAGTGAAGACGGTTAACTACATTTGTTCTTCAGGTTTTCAGCTACTGACCCACTCCCTATATTCAAGGCTTACTAACAGTATGAGTCTGGGGTCGGCTATAGACAAAGTAACGTCATTTTAGCGGTCACAAACACTTGCATCACGCTTGCGAGATAGTCGTTGTGATGAGAGAAAAAGATCCCTAATGAACATAAGTCTTCCTAAAAATAATAACAATACATATTTTTTACAGCATGCGACCAAATCAAGCAAAGTGTTGTTGCAATTATCGGTCCTGCTCGTTCTAATGCGGTAAAGGCGGTGAACTATATTAGTTCAGGAATCGATATACCTCAGATTACGTTTGCAGCTACTGACCACTCTCTGTTCGAAGCTTACCAACAATATCCGTTTTTACTACGACTGAGTTCGACTGGCGACAGACAAAGTGACGTCATTATAGCGATAATGGAACACTTTAAATGGGACAAAGCTGTTATGATTACTTCGACTGATGATTATGGTGAGTTTGATTGGGTATAATCAATTAATAATTAAGTAAATTAGGCTTCACTAACCGATCAACAACTTGTTAGATAAAGTAACAAGAAATAAATGTCTTTCAGGTTACACCACCTTGCAACGTCTTCGACATGCTTCATTTCAACGTACCACGATTGATATAGTCAAAACGGAAACCTTCCCTGCCCTCGACGATCCCTCGTTGATTGACTTTACAAGTCCTTTGTTATCCCTGCGTAGCTCCCAGGTACGCCTGGTGATCCTTTGCAGCCCTGGCAAATATGCCAAACGGTTATTGGATGTTGCATATCATCTCGGGATGGTGACACAAGACTGGGTCTGGATCGTCAGTGATGCCATAGCAACCGAAGTATGACGTATTTCATCTTTTTGTCAAATTGTCAAAAAGAACAGAAGTAATCCAACTTCAGGGGCCAGTTGTATAAGAGACTAGTTAACTTTTAACTGCAGTTAAGGACAGAATTGGCCAATAAGAGTTGTGTATTTCTGAGTTAACTAGGATTTAACTATGCAAAATGTAGTTAAGAGTTTTATACAACCGGCCCCAGGTCCCAGGATTACCAATATTCTAAATAACTCATTGTACAATATATTTAATATCAGAAACCTTTTAATATTTATTTTAGATGACTCTTTTCGACCCAGTGACAGAACAACCTGAATATATAATGGGTCTTCTTGGCGTTGAGCCTTCAAGCACAAGAACAGAGAACCAGAGGTCGTTTGAAACAAGGTTCCTGGCAAGAGGTGGAAAAAAGCCTGTGAATGTAAGACTGATGCACTTTTAGAATTCGTATAAATCCCGTGACAAACTGAAACGAATTTATTTTTACCGGATAGCTCAGCTTTTAAACCGTTCTTCTAGGAATCAACGTTTATTTATCTGGTGTGACTACAGAAGAAAACCTAAACTAAAACCCGAAATACTTAACTCTTTCTTTTATATACTCTGTTTTTGTATTTGTCTACTAGTCTTTGTATATGTAATTTCTCTGTACTAATATGTACTTGTCTACACGCTCCTCATGAAAAAACAACTCAATGTTGATTGAGACTGAGCGTGTCTAAATAAAGTTTATGTATGTATGTAAAGTTGTAAACTATACTTTACACTTATACTGCATGGCCAGCTCCCTCTGGTCTAAACTGTTCTTTATATTGGTTAACAAAGAGTCGTATTGTATTTCTTCAGTATTACCCGGGGTATTATACGTAATATGTAATTCTCTATATAGGTGTACGCCTACAAAGTCTACGATGCAGTTTGGACTGTAGCCAAAGCTTTGCACGCCATGGCTGTGAGCAACGAGACACTTACTCAACCTAACCTAACCTGCATACAATGTGATCAAAATAACATCACCAAGTGGACTGATGGAAAATCGTTACTGAGAAGAATGAAATCAGTAAGTTGACTACGGCTGATGAATCAGGATAGAATAGCTCTCTCTATACTGGCCGCTGGTTTTAGTGATATTCGAAATTCAATGCCGAGGTGAATTCTGCTATTGAGACGATCTGTTTGAATTTCTTCTTTCAAGGTTTCTTTTGCTGGCGAACTCAGCACGATTTCATTTACAAGTGAAGGCAGCCTGCAATTTGAAGGATACGACGTGGTCAATCTTAATCATCATGGCTTTGAACGGGTAAATAACTAAATGTATTTATTAGACAAAGAAAAAGATAGTTTTGTCTGGCTTTATCAGGTGCCCGATTAATCGTTTATGTGTGGCCTTATTTTATGTGGATTTTAATATGAATTCATTATGCTATGAATACTTCAATGACAGGTTGGTTATTGGGACAATTCCAATGATTTGACGTTGAACGTGTCTGACATCAGTTGGTTGGGACAATTCGCTGGTCCACCTCAGGCAATGAAAGTGTCAATGAAAAATAAAACGTTCAAAATAGTCACAATTCAGGTAAAGGTTTTGTCATAAAATTAATGCTTCAGTTTCTTCGTTGTCTTTATCTGCCATCTACATCATGCACAGTTTACCTTCTCTAGTCTTTGTTGTCTTAATATAAAAGGTTACGCATACACCTTTTTGTCAAACAGGAGCCGCCGTTTTCCATAAAGGCAGCAGGTAACGCCACTGGCAATGAAGCATGGGATGGATATTGTATGGACTTACTGAATGAACTTGCCCAGAGACTGGAGTTTAATTACGTGCTTCACGGTTCCTACGACGGAAATTTTGGCGGAAAATCTGCTGAGACACAGGAGTGGAATGGAATGGTCAGAGAAATCACGGATGGGGTTAGGATATTTATCATATGATTGAGTATAAGGGGAGGGAAGGTTGGAGGAAGGGAGTGAGTTTAGCCTTCAACACGTAATGCAAAGCTTTTACATGGCATGTTGGAAGCTAAATACTTCACTGTGTTATTTCAATTGTGCTCGTAAAAGAATGAAGGTGATGATGTAAGTAATGAAAGAATGAACGGAGGTGAAAGCGAAGGGGAATGAAAAGAAGAAGTGATAGAGAGAGGAAATGAAGGCATAAGAAGGAGTAAACTGTAGTACATACTTGTTTCAATAAATATTTCTAACATTTCTAGAAAGCTGATATGGCAGTGGCAGCGTTTACAATCAGTTCATTGCGACAAGAAGTTATTGATTTCACGATACCCTACATTGACCTTGGGCTGACGGTTATCATGAAAAAAAAGGAAAGCGAAAAAGGTCTTTTGGCCTTCATGGATCCTTTCACAAATGATGTCTGGTTCCTGTTGTTCTGTAGCACAATGTACGTTGGTTTAGTTCTCACAATATGCAGCAAATTAAGTCCTTACGGATTTTATGGACAAGTCGTGCAGGCAAATGAAAATATGTTGGGTAAGCTTTTGTTTAAGGCTTTCTTGGAGTCGAATTAGTGCATTGATGATGGTCAAGACGATATGATATGCTACGATACATTGCATGCTTAAGAATTACTCGAACCTACTCCGTAGCAATGGACACAAATGCTGTTTTTATGTACTTTTGTGTAATAACCAGTGAATCAGCCGGGGTTTTTAAAATTATAATGGTTTTTCTTACATCTTCCCTCAGGTGAGGATGACATGGATGATCTGGAAGAGAATAAAGATAACATGAATCTTGATGAGGCTGCCTGGTTTTCAATGGGATCTCTTCTTGGGCAGGGCACAGATAACCAACCAAAAGCCATATCAGGTAGTAAATGATCAAACTATAGACCATCTCGAAGATAACCATTTGAATCTATGTGACGAACATTTCTCGATCTATTCGTAGGCAAAGTTATAGCAGCCGTTTGGTGGATGACTGGTACCATATTTGTTGCCACATATACAGCTAATTTAGCAGCATTTTTGACAATCGAAAAATCAGCTATAAACATTCGCTCTTTGGAGAATCTTGTCAATCAGGATGAAATCAAATACGGAACGGTCGTCTCATCACAACCGAGCCAGTTCTTTGAACGCTCAAATATAGCGCTCTATCAAAAAATGTGGTCACACATGCAATCTGAAAGCACTCTTGTGGTATGTAATATGTACAGTTGCGTATATGCCTGGGTAAGTACGGAAACATTAAATATTTTTCATATTCTAGGAAACATCAACCGACGCTCTAGAGAGAGTCCAAGAAGGAGGCTATGCCTTTATCTGGGATTCTGCTGTTCTTGAGTACATTATCAACCAGAAGCCATGCAATACATTTATTTTAAATGACTTGTTCTCACCACTCGGTTACGGCATTGGTTTGCCTTTGAACTCACCTTACAAGGATTTGATATCAAGAGAAATATTGAAATTACGTGAGAGTGGTTTTCTTGATAAACTAAAGAATGAGTGGTTTGTACATAAAGGTGGGACTAATTTACTAAATATCAGTAGGAAAACTGAATATTTAACAGGACGTCAACAATTGTTGCAAGACGAAGATAAACGGCAATAGATATTTTAAATAGATATTTTTTTAACATTAAGGGACTTGTGGAAATAGCAATGTTAAGACACCATCAACAATGGTTACAGTGCAAATTAAAGACGTTATTGGTGTATACATGTTGGTTGCTGGTGGAATCGTGCTTGGGTTTATATTTCTCATATTTGAATGCCTGTACTATTCGAGAAAATTAGTCAAACATCCAGATTCGGTACGTTTTTGTATCTGATTTATTTAATACGTAATCGGAAGACGCCAGATGATGAATCTACCTTCTAATCTATCGTCTACATCTCTAAACTGATTTAAATTGTTTACAGGAGTATTCTACCTACATGGAAGCATTAAAAGCAAGAATAAAATTGATCTGGTCTGACATGAAACTTCGTTGGATATCAACGCGTCCCAGGGCGAATAAATTGTAAACATTTTCAGAACATTTCTGCATTCGTTTATTCACGAGAAAAGCACATCTTTTTGGCACGATCTTTTTAATCACACCGTAGCGTGTTGTTTTTGGTAGGCCATAATTTGTTTTGGCTTCTTTAAATATTTTCTTCTAGGGTTTGCATACATGTTAGTACATATCAACACACTTCAAATTGTTGGGGAAAGCAACAAGTAAACAAGTACTGTAATTATATCTGTAATATATAACCTCACTTTTCAAAGTAACTCTTGTTCTTCTTGTGGGCGACTGCGCAAAATGATCAATTGCGCATGCTCGACAACATTTGTCTGTATTGGGAGGAACATATATATTGCACTATATTCCCTTTATACCATATATTACATAAACGTCAACAAGATTTTTTGACTCGTTTCCTCTTTAATGTTTTGTAAACGTAAATCTCTCGTTTACTGCGGAGGGGGGGGGGCGAAATCCATTAGTTAGAGACGGAATGAAGGGCTCGGTGGCGAACGCCCCCCTGTTATGGCTATTGTGATGTATTGCTCTGCTCATCTGTGTCTGTGGTTGAGAGGGAAATTCAAAATGGCGTGAGCATGCACAATTTTTACAGAAATGGCATAATATATAATGAGAAATGCATAGAACATGAACAGAAAAGTTGAGAGGTTAGTATCACTCATCGCTGTCTGATTTAATTTCATGTTTGACAATGATATAATTATATTTGTTCAAGGAATCGATTTGGTTTTAAACTTTATTCATATTTACAAATATTTTTATCTTCACACTTAGCTGTATCAATAAAACAGTGTATAAAATCCATCCTATTTCTGAAATCGTAATGTCGTTCAGTTTAATATATCTCAGTAGGTATATATAATTCTAAATATCATCGCTGGTATATCACATTGACGACAGAGTTGAACAATTTAGATTAACCAAAGCACAATGTATGAAAAGCTGTAACACGCTTCAATTTTATGGCTGCCTAGGCTACGGCCTCGATTTCTCACGCCTGAAGCCATTTCAGGTCGATTTTTTTACGCAACTTTTCGGTATTCACAGAATACTTGTTGGACGTTTACAACATGAAGATTTTTGTAATCACTATTTTACATGTCCCTTTGTCTTTTATTAACAAATTTTATTTGACATGACAAAAGAAGTCATCTATTGTAGAAATTCATTCTGCATTGTAGACGCGCAAGTGATTATGAGGTTTCTCATGCATAATCTCACATATTTTAAAAACCAAGGCTTAAAATGAATCTCAGAGGGTGTATGGTGAACTCCCTCAAAGTTAAACGTTTCTACCGATAAGACGAATATACATCAAACGATGTCATTGTAGGAGGAGAACGTGTGTTTCCTCTTAAGTATAAAGTGTCAATTCCTCGAGCTTCGTTCTCTACTGTAGAACAATGTCCTTGGTAAGGCCAGAGAGGCGCCCCGTGTACAGTTGGTGCCATGTAGGCGGTGGGTGTTAGTATAGTCGGAGGACCACTCCCCTGAACACTCAGGAAATACCCAGGATTGGGGTACGAGAGACTTGGTCGTGGTGCAATCGGAAGTTGTAAGGTCTTATCGGAATCCAATCGGATCTTTTTCGTATGCAGTCGTGAAGGGTTTTGTGTTTTTCTCCACTTTGCTCTGCGGTTCTGGAACCAGACCTGGTTGAAAGGAATATGATGGTTAGATCAATCACGTTTGGTAAATTACAAATAAGCGATCGAGAAGTCAAGTTATAGATAAAACTGATAATAAAACAAAACCTGCATGTTGACCAAATGCGGTGTTTCAAAGTTATCTTTTAATTTAACATACGTTCAGACTGGAGTAAAAAAATATCGTCTCTTTCCATATAAATAGTATATAAATGCGCTTTTAGACAACTTTGACGAAAGGTTTAATACTAAACAAAGACTTCTCTTTCGTTGGATGTAAATTCATTGTGAAGACTAGAAATCTTTCACGTCTTTTTGAGATACGATCAAGACGTACATACAGTCATAGATATTCCTATAGTAAGAGTCATGCGACTTGAAAGAGAGCAATCAAAGCTTATAAACAAGCATGCACGTTCGTTTGTTACGTTGATGAAATGTCTCGTAGATAACAATTTCCTAACAGCTGCCGTTCAATAACCTTTATTGTTGCAACACAGCAAGAAACTGCATACGATCTACCTTTTAATCTTTCTATTAAAATCAATTTTAAATGTTTATGATTTTTCGTTTATAATACACTGAACAATAATCGTTTCTCACAAACAAAATAAAGTTAAAATGTAATTAGCGTGGTCGTTGTTACATATTCTAGCCCTGAAATAGAATAAATAATTTATGGCAAATGCTAAATTGATTTTTCAATCGAAGTTTGCAGCTCACGCCCACCTGAGGGGAAAAACAACGCTATTTTACAATCTTCAGATTTGATATTCAAAATAATATCAGCGTAGTAAACGTATTAATTCTACAACCAAAAAGATAAACTGTTTAATTATAACCCCGGAATTCCATCTTAGAGAAGTGACGAGCTTTCAAATTGCCAACAAACAAAACATCTTGCAGGAGAATGTATTTTTAAAACAAGACGCAGATTGGAACGCTGTGTTATTTCCAATTTCATTTCAAAGTAATTTAGCTCTTCCTGAAGATGACTTTAAAATAAAGCCAAAAATATACATTCAGTTGTGAATGACATTTGCATTCCCTGGAAATGACTTGCTTATCCGGATTTTTCGTTATACTTCATAATTATGACCTATGCCTATGGCTGTTTTTGTTAAAGAATAGTTACTGTAACTAAAATTCGTTCAGTGTTAAATTGTATTGATTTTTTTCTTTTTATTTATATTCTCGATTCGCTTCAGCACTGACAGTGGCGTATTTGGGTTAGCCTAGTATAGTTGCGCGCAGATCTTGAGGCACGAGTTAAACAGAGTAAATGTATCTACATATAATAGCCCGAAATATATAATGGTGAAAATATTGTTGATTTTGTTTAAGCAAGATTCTGAGAAGATTGTTGCACGTTTAAAGTATAACGTAATAATCTTCCCATGTACGAAAACAGCTGAATATAGGCTGCAGTGGCAAGCCATTTCAGTATCACTACAATAATAATATATTTCTGAAACATAAAGAAACTCAATTTAAGACCAAGCTGTGGAAAAATGAAGCTAAAAGTCAACTATATATTAGAACTATATAAGAAACACGAATCACACAGTAAATATATCGATATTTCGTATTCAGTCGTCATGACCTATGGTATACTGACCTGTATTCGAGCTTCACTGATATTAATTTTTGCAGCTAATTCTTCTCTGAGTGCAATGTCAGGATAATGTTTCTTTTCGAAAACCTTCTCAAGTTCTTCCAACTGACTTTTTGTAAAGGTTGTTCTATTCCTTCGTTGTTTTCTGCGAATGGCAGGATTGTCGTCTGACAGGCACGGTGAACTCTGGTAGGGTCGGTAAAGAACGCTTTTGGTATAAATGTGTTCTACATGAAAGGAAAAAAATAGAACTGATTTAGCTGAGAAATAAAAATATTCAATTCATTGTATGGATGAAGTAGCGATAATCGTAGCTGAACTTCGAAGAAGAATATTTGAAATGGATTGAATAAACTATATCCAGCTTGATTGAAATTTAAATATGAGTTGAACCATTTGGATTGGGAATAATTTTTCTGTTTTTTATCGTTCTGAGACCGGATGTTCTTACTTGTTAACTATACAAAGATCTTAAAGATCAATTATTACAATTCCGTTTGTCTCCTAGCATGCTGACTTCATATATGATTTTTTGAAAAGGTTTATATGTTACTCTAGAATATCCTTGCATGCATGGATGCGTTATTGCGTTTGACTCATTACTCATCGGACTCTTTGTTAAAAAACCTCGGAGCCTTTTTTATCTGTTTCAGTGACATGTCTATAATTATACCAGTTCATTGCATTTCTTTGCTTTAATAGTCGAAATTGAAATTTTCTCTGTAATGAAGTGAGCCTTCATGTGCTCCGACACTTTAGATCTGTTCCGTATCAGGCATACAAATGTGTAAAATGTTAGAAATCTTTGTACATTTTAAGCATAAAGTTTTAAGCAAAACTCTGTATAATCCGAAAATGATGAAAATACTTAGAAACCCTATGATATCAACGCTTTGCTACAGCTACCAGTCTTAACTTTAAGCCACAAACTGTAGAGAGTTTTCGAAGAAGACATTAACTCTATATAAATAAAATACTTGTAACTTACGAGTTGAAGACACAGGATCAATACCCAAGACATCTCCAATATAATGTGATTGGGGTTTAGACATTGTTAAAGGACTTAGACGTGACGGTAGCATTGCGAAGACAATCTAATGTTCACTTTAAACGAAGATGACTTTTAACTGCAGGTATATAGCTTTACTTGAATCTAAAGCAACATGCGCTTTAATCTTGAGCAGCTCGCTTGTACGTTGCACTTTTAGCTAGTGAATTGCTTTTCTAAATGCAAAAAGAGGCGTACCCTCGTCTTATATAGCGCGGCGCGCGCAACTATAGTTGATGTCTGCAGGTGCACGACGCTCCCTATTGCTATTGCTATTGCTATTGGGGTTGTCGAGCGCTGTTTCACACTCCAGTAATCGTGTGTAAATATGAACAATGACATTTTCATTAGAATCTCGTGTAGTAAATGTTAGGTCGAGGCACGCACCTGCAGCTGTATTATAAAGTTATGTTCTTATTGTGTCTAACCATTGGTTTATATATTAAAGAACATTAAAGAATCAGCATAGAATACAATATATAGAGAGAGATAAGTGCCACGGGCTGTTTAATTGATATTTTATGCATGCGTTTAGATATTTTATATAAAATTAGAATTTTTTAAGCTTGAAAATATTAAGTTTTTCGATGAAGAAATTATTAGGTTTTACGAAGAAGCCAAAGATGTTTTCCTTTGTGGAAAAAAACGAACACTGAGTTTGCATGCGGTGCCTGATTCCAACAACCGATATTAGACGATGAGTTTAATTTAGTCAGGATTTTCTCCAGATTATGAAGAACACGGTTATGTTATGATATCAACATACAAAATAATATGGCAACAATAGTAGTCGGAAAGCATATATACAATGAATTAAATCTATATTAAGCTCAATATCAAGTTTAATAAATCGTTTATTACACGAACTGAAAAATGATGTCATTTCGTGGTTCAGTAACGCATCAGGCGCATATAACCTTTTTTATTCCATACAATATTTGACGCATGTCTTGCTATTTTCTGAATTGGCTTATGACATTTTTTACAACACATAAGGCATAGTAAATACAATATCGCAGATGATTGTGAGCTAAGTTCTTTAGCACAACTGATTGCATGCATGAATGCGGTGAGACTCGATCTTCAATTTTGTGTTTCTATGACATTGTTTAGACCTACAAGCGATCGGAACAGACTGGGGCCGTGTATTTTTACGATGGCTGGATAGCGATATATCCAACGAATAGTGATTCTTCAACTATTGCAAAATTGTTTGAAAAGCAGTCTATCTATAAATCTGAAGCGAACAAAGATCAAAGAGAAACCCTAATTTAAGAATACTCATGCAGTTTTAATCTAAGTTTTACGCGCTTACAAAATGCAGGCGATTTTCTCTTCATAAAGATCGAATGCATATAGGAAAACTTTGTTTTGGAGCTGGGAGTTGATTTACGCCATATTCACATTATTGCTAACAACAAGTAACCTTAAGACATGAATTTTTTCCATCTCGACTATATTTATGTTCGTAAAATTTTATTTTATTTGTTTTAACATCCAAATATTCATGAAGAAATTTTTAGTTTATTTGCAGGTATTCAACGTTTAAGTCGTTAAAATTTCAATGACGGCGTCTGTTAACGTGACGGTGGTATTTACGCAGACTTTAATTTGCAACAAATGATCAATATATTGAGACATCAAGGCAAACAATGACGGTCATTTCAATATGACAACACTTCATGTAATATTGAGTGTTTGTTTAGTGCGCGTTATTGCCCAAGTGCAATATATGCCCAAGTTTACTTTTTGATTATAGAGGAAAATTTCTAATAACTTTTTGCATGTTCTTTGCCCACAAGGGTTATTAATACTATATATAGACTGTTTTACAATTGTAAGTTTGCAATGCAGGTCATATAGCGAGTGCTTCTATAGTATATGATCCCAGGTTTTTCCCTACTACTTAGCCCTTGCCAGAGAACATAACTTGGCAAAATATTCAAATCACAGGTTCATATATAATGCACATTTTTGATACAAACTTTCCAGTACATACTTCATCTACTCTATACTTTGTAAAATCGAATTCATCGCCTGAAATGCGTTTTCGGTTTATTAGTTTTTACTTCACACCTGAGTAAGTTTACTAAATAAAAATATAAATTGTTTCTTCTCTGCTGGCGCACCGACAACATATTATGTTGGAAAAAAACATTGTTTTGTTAAAAAATAATGAATTTTGTCACCAAAATGCCGGCAAAGTAAAAAAGTACATCTATATATATATATATATGAAACGGTACATACATTCTGAACATGACGCCATATAGTCATTGCAACGAATGATTTTCAGTGCCTTAAATTAATACTTAATATATCTATGGCTATATGACTTCTGTAGTTAACCGATGACTGCAGGTATTAACGTATAATATAACGTGATTCTAAAACAAGGAAAAAGTTGATAAAATGTCAGCCGTTAGCGAGGATCACAAGGCATAGATCTAGGCTCGCCATATTGCCCATGGTGCATTTTTGGAAGTCCATATTGGCATATATATACATGTATATGTATGTATGTGTCTTTAACCTAAATTTTGTGGTTAGAATTTAGTGGTTAGAAACCTATAAAGATCAAATTTCTCTCTATATCATTACAGATGTATAAATATGTCTTTAATATAAATAGAGTTGTTAAGACCGCGTAAAAACATCTGTCGAAGGCGTTTACAATGACTAAAACGGGCAGCTAATTGTAATAGATGATTCTATAATCAGCAATCAACTCTATAGATTTCAAAAACTCCAATTTTAAACAAAAAAATCCACTCATGTTCTAACATTTTACACAAAAAGGTCAGCAATTAAAGCGAAATGTTTCGTTTAATAAAAGCTGAATGAATAATTTTGGTGTATAAAATTTACAACCAATATATTTTAGTCATATTTATAATATATGTTACTTAGCCTATTGAGTTTTGTGTACCTTTGGGATATATTAATCCGCGGCTATTATTTTTGTTCAGGGGCCGGTTGTATCAAGCCCGTTTAGCTTAAACGGTGGATAAGTCAAAATTAAATAACACTCTTACATCTCTCTTGAATGAGTCAACTTGAATATTATGCACTGAATATGTAGTTGTAAACAGTATCTTTGTATCAAGGTTAAAAACATTTAGTTTGCTTGTTGAATAAAACGATAGACTTGCTTTCTATTTTGAACTTAACCACCGTTTAAGCTAAACGGGCTTGATACAACCGGCCCCAGGACCGTATAATGATGAGATATATGTACCCGAATTGTGTGTGTATATTTGACTTGAATTCCTGGCAAAGAAAAGGATCGTGTTGACATGTGCATGGCGGTAAATGAAAAATAAAAATAACTGCATGGGTCATGCATGCATGTAACAGAACAGACATGCACGAAGGATTTCTTACACTGAAATACTTGCATGCTGTACGCATGTCGTACCGAAAAAGTGAATATAAATGGCTGTTTTATTTCGAGATGTATAATAATTATTTCTTATTTCTTTCGGGATGATTGAGGAATTGTTAGGGAAAGAAATACATCCGAGAATGTATAAAGAGAAAAATGATTCACAATTTCTTTGCGAATATACGATATTTTTCTTCAACCTCTGCCTATAAACAAAGGCATTGCTTTTTGTAAGTCCATTCGTCCGGAAGAAACGCGGTTCAGTAATTTTCAGCGACCTTGTGCTTAGATTCGCAAAAATTATTGAATCAATTTATTAAATATATTCCTCAAAAACGGTTTATATAGTGATCATAACAACATTTATCGGACCAACCGCGGTTTTATAAATGAGTTTTAAAACTGACAAAAATCAATTTCAACTTTTATATTAGATGAGCGCTCATTGCGGGAAGCGATTTTGTACAAGCATGTTGCCGTGATAATGCGAATTTTAGTCCTTGAACTAATATGCTCCTCACTTGAGGTTTTCGGGGTCTTGTGCGAATTTGGATTGATTTAGATCAATCTACTAGATAGTTTATACGCCGGGACTGTTTTAATTTCCATCAAAAGGCAAACAGGAAAAGAAATACCTGATGTTCTGCTACAGATAGCGATATATTATGTCTGGTTTGACTAAACATTATATACTTTAGCTTGCGCGCGCAATTACATCGCAGTGTCATAGACGAATAGGTCAGCATGAGTCTGCTAAATTATATTTTACCCAGCACTATGTGATTGATCTTACAGTGAAAACACCGGTCACACAGTTCTTATCCTTATTGAAATATACGATCTTAGGGCCAAACTAATCAGCGAAACTCATCAGCTCTTTTAACTTGGTAAATCGAGTTAACCTATGCGCCAATCAGAATGCGCGCAAGTGCGTCAGTTCGGGCGGCTGTTTTTACAAGTACATGAGTAAATTGAGTGCAGATGCAATTTTAAAGACTGTTTTTATAAGATGAATATATACTCTTACTTGGGGGCACTAATAATTACAATTTTATTTCCAATCGCCAGAAAATTTTAATCAGAATATAAACCTCAATTAATAGAACAACCGGGAGGACATGCGTTGTTCCGTTTTCAAAACGAACGATTATCGATCGCCCGGATTAAGCTGTCAGTCTCTTGTTGCATTTGCACGAAATATAAGCAATCCTACATGGATATCTCACAGCGGCATACTGCAATGAAGTTTGTGCCGACGACATGAACCGCGTGTAAATGATCACGGAGACGTTTTGATTCATTCGTTTCCAAGGTTTTTTAAATCCATCTAAAAACAAGGATTCCCTCCTTTCAGAATGTCGAGACGAATTGTTCCAGTGCGCCTACAGCCGTAATTTTTTTCTCCTAATTTTAATGAAAAAATAAATTTGCGCGTTATGTTAGGCTTCGTAATACAAGAATTTTCTTTACTTTAATTCTAGTAAATGATTTTAAATTTAAAACGCAAAGAAACGCGGAAGAAATTATTTTCACCGAAATTTTAATACAATTCATATAATTAATCAGCGCCGGTGTTGGTGTGCACGTTGAAATAAGGCGTTCGCGTCATATTGATTGCCTTTCACACCCCGCGATTTAGACTGAATTTAAAAGCAAGCATGATATTGATAGCACCAAATGGCTAAGTGCATTTTTCATTTGGTTAAGTAAGCTAAACGCGCTTTCTAATCATCTACAAAAACTGATTATATCCCAAAAATAACAAGTCTAATAAGATGAGTCGCGCATTTGGGCAAGATTATAAAAATCATAACAAATGAAGATCTGTTGGAAGATTAAATAATATTCGCGAAGGCACTTTAATTTTTAGAATCTAAGATAAGAATCCTAAATATTGCAGAGCCGTGCATGCAGATGAAATGAAAATGATTGCTTGCGTAAGGGACGTTCTAGCTCGTTCTCAAAAACAAAGAACAGATAACTAAGAATGATGTTTTTCGTTTCTTATTCCAAATGAAAAATTAATTTAAACTTCATTACACATAGCATTTATATTAGATAATGGTCGTTCGGTATATAATAATCACTAATTCGTAGACTCGTGAGCCGACACGCGTGAAACACGGCAGTATTGAACGCGTGATCAGTGTCGACTCGAACTTTGTGTGGGGAACATTGACGATTTAGTAAATTATAGAACTTGTACGTGTACACCTATATGGCTATATATACTGATCTACGGCAATAATATTCGCTATTTGGGTCCCTGTTTATTCAAATGAACCACCAGACGCGGCTACCATGGACTGGCACTAGTATACAGCAAAGTTAGTACGTTATTGTGTTTCATACATATACCCTAGTCCAACGAAGTACAGTCGCATTTATTGCAAAATACAACAATGGTACAACGTGCAATACGAGTCAAAGTTCTGACGTTCCCATTCAGACCAGCAGTCAGTATAGAATGCTCACTTCATGGAGTGTTTAATTACTTTATACTTGTCTCTACGTCGTAGCAATGGTACAAAATATCGCCAGGAGCCCTTTCTGAACAACTTTTTATAGAAAACGCGTTAACTAATAACTATAACTATAAAAACATCTGTTAGTATAATACTTTTAACTGAAACTTCGTACACGGTTAAAGCAAAATATAAGCCTCTTATTTCCACGAAAGTACCTCAGAGGTGTAGAAAACACGTTAAATACTTTCTTTTGTTCCTGACTCAAAACTTTCCGGTGTTTTTCGTCCGGGAAATTATAATTTGTCGTTTTGGGGTTATTAATGAATTCCATTGTCCTCATTAAGTATTAATTAGTCAGACAAGCAAGCTTGGCATATGTTTTGCTGTTGAATGAAATCAGTAAAGATTTCTTAAGATATTGTTCTTGCTTAACCAAAATGGAGATATAAGATGTAGATTAATTTTTTAGACCAGTTTATCAAGATATTAATATATTCATAGCTTAGCTTTGATTTTTTCAGTGTAAAGTCGGTTTGTTCAGTTCCGCTTAATTCCAGCCATTACATTATAATACAAATCTTATGAATATCTGGGAAACGAAGCGTTGATTGTTATATCTAACGGCGGACTTATTAAAGTTTGCGTTTCTTATTTGCCGAACCTCATTAAAAACAATTGATAATGAGCAGAAATCCCTCATTATCAGCAGAAATCCCTCATTATCAGCAGAAATTCCTCATTATCTACTCTTTTTAACGCAGCACTAGTTGAGATGCACGAAATTTTAAACAAGCCTAAATGCTAGGTTTATATATTATCACATGGTCAAAATCACTAGAGAGAAGCAATGCATGTGTTTTCAGCTTATATAGTTGTAATTAAATTGCAAATCTTGTACCCGGCCATATTCCTGTCATGCGTCGATTTTCTCATCCATGCCTTTTCCATGGGACAGAACTGAAAGACACACAATGTTTTAACTCTGGAGAGGTTTAGATAGCCGGCCAGTGCAACCCTTACTTACGTTAATTGGTTGTATCCACTCATCTACGAGTTTTGTTATTCCCTAAACTAGACCTCTGCATGTCTGCATGAGAATAACGCTTGAAAACTGATTTCACTAATATATTTGAATTATGACGCTTGTGCGTACGTTCTTTGAAAACATGGCCGCCATGCATCTAATACACAACTATAGTCGCATAACGTTCTTTGCTGGAGGAGCTCTGAAAAGAACAGTTTTGAATCGAGTCCAATTGAATTAGTTTAGAGTTAGGTTTCTTTTTTAAATCAATAAGTGACATCAATATGCTCTGGGTCTTTAGGTCTAGAAAGAATATGCGGCTTAGTCGTTTTGATATCTGTACTATTCTGTACAATAAAGTTATATGATAATAGTGAGGCATTCATTAATCTTAAAATAAAATAATTACTAGATTGCTTAGCGCCATCAACCCCATCTAAATAAACAAGTAATTATAAATTTCAATTGTTCATAGTCATCGCAAAATCTATAGAATCATAATTATAACGAGAACTGATTATGAAACGAACCAAAAACATCTGTTACTAAATATGTAGAAAGACATATAAACTAGTGGATTCAAATAAATTGAACGACATTTTCACCTATTTATTGTAAGGTAATTACTTAAGCAGTTTTGAAAAACTATGGCGAAACAACGCAGTTTTCGTTTGATTTTATTAAACTTCTCAAAGGCTTCTCATTCATTTTCATGCTTTCAGTTTTAGTTGAAATTTTGCTGTGGTAGATTTGTAATGGAGTACTTAATACTACTGACATTACTCAAAAGCTTTATAAGTTTAAACTTTATGTATTTTGTGCATAAACATGCAGGAGACCCAGCAAAACGTCGTTAAATTTCTTCGAGAACATTGAGTTATATTTGGGGGTTAACAGATTTTCCGCAGCGTAGGTGGGGTAAAATGGACTTTCTCGAAAGGTCTAGGGTCACGTCAATTTTTCCACTATCTCATTGAATTAATCACAGTTACAGACAAGATGCACGACAATTCCTGATATAGTTCTATAATAAGACTTGTAATGTTCTGTACTGTTCCTTTCTAACTCCCCGGCACTTCCACTCTGATGAATCAACTCATACCTGATCCAATGTCAGTACACGAAGAAATCTAAGCTGAGATAATTAGCAGGAATCATATTTTAGTAATAAAAATGTGAAACGCTTGTTTTTATAGTTAGCGGTATAGTATCCAAACCCCCAACCCACCACAATAGCGTGATTGGCACGATATTTTAACCATAAATAGCCAAGCCATTATCAGTGCTCATGCTGGGAGAATATAATTTTAGGATATCGTTTACGTACGACTTTGTTTACAGATATAGGACGCAAAGGATGAAGGAACAATGTAACGGTTGAACACACAGCATGAGGTCAATTGCACACGTTTGATGTCATACTGAGCTTAGCTAAGGAGAAAAACAAGTAAAGAAATTAACTTTAAATTAATCATTGAAACAGATTCTATTTCTATGGATGTTTTTTCTCTCTTGAATAGACTCTTGTTAACCGTGTGTCACTATAAGAGGAGACCTAAACTAACTCTGGATAGCTATCAGATGAATTTCCAACCAATCAGCGCTCGGAAATGTTACTTTATATGAAGTTTCAGACTTCCACTAAGAATCATCTTTTGTAAGACCCAGTGTTACTACAAGTGGAAACCTAAACAAAACTGACTTTATTTATACTGGATAGCTCCATCAGTCCTTAACTGTTCTTCCTCGAGGTCCAGAAGGAATCATCTCTTATTGATCCAGTGTTACTACAGGAGGAAACATAAACTAAACTAACTTTATTTATACTGGATTACTCTATCAGTTCTAAACTGTTCTTCCTAGAGATCCAGTAAGGATCATCTCTTATTGATCCAGTGTTACTACAGGAGGAAACATAAACTAAACTAATTTTATTTATACTGGATAACTCTATCAGTTCTAAACTGTTCTTCCTAGAGGTCCAGTAAGGATCATCTCTTATTGATCTAGTGTTACTACAGGAGGAAACATAAACTAAACTAACTTTATTTTACACTTGATAGCTCTATCAGTTTTGAAAATGTCATCTCTTATTGATCGATTCAAAAACGACACATTTTAAATTGAGTTAGCTCTTACATCAAGCGATCGTAATGTGAAATATTTACAAATTAATATAATACATTTAAACTACATATCATTGAAAATATTATCATTGAAAAGTATTTTCAATCAAAGTATTTTTAAAGTGACCAAAACTAACAGCAATCAAGGTGTGATTTAACTTGTCATAATAAGAAGTCAATATCTTACAAAGATTTCAGGCTATATTACAACACTAACAGCAGCGTAGGAAACTGGCACTTTTCGTTCAGATCAAGCTTGCAATTGCTGCAAACCATCACGTTTCGCCAAACAACCTTAGTTACATATAACGCTAGCGTAGCTGACCCCACCTGCATATATTTTACACTGGCTACGCCCCTGATGACTAATAAATAATTCTTGCAGTATCAGTTGAACATTAAATGATTACAGAAAATTAGAAGGTATAACAAATTTTATAAAGCACATTCATTCGTGTTAATGCATTCAGTCTATGTCTTAGAGCTCTTCTCGTCCAGGTGAAAACCTTCGTCACCATATTTTGAAAGAGGCAATGAACGGTCGCCTGGGTTTGTTTCAGGTCTTGAGTCGTTCATTCCCGAGTTTCTTGAGGCTGGAATCATATAAAGTGGTTACAAGGATCGTCAGACGATCTTTTATTTGAATTGTTTGTCTTCTATTATCATCTGAACAACTGGCACTGTTAAACGTAATGTACAGGTGGGTCCAAGGCATCAATTTCGTCCTTACCTTCTAAATTTTGTAGCATACTCTGATACTTTTGTATCACCATAATTGATTTTACATAACCACAACATGAACCAACTCCTAAACAAGGTATTAAACTTTACTTCAGTAATCAAATCATGGGAACAATTTTACTACTGAGGAAAGAAAAATCTACAACAAACCTAAACAAACAAGTGGTATGTATTTAGATCTTTTTTCAAATGTTTTTGTCCACTTTAACATAACATAAGTTGCAGCACTTCCTACAATGCAATAAATTTATGTTTTATGTTTAAATTTGGTAATTTGTGACGCAGCTAGGCTGGCTGGGGCTTAATTAACACATCTCCAATCTTTCAGCATATTAGGCTTGGAGATTAGATAATTTAGATTAGATTAGAAGTTATCGTCACCCAAAAAAGCTGATGATGTTTCTAGGATTGATGATCAAAAAAGATTCAATCTTGTTCCCAGGCCATATCAAGGTATAAATGTATGAGAAAGGATGAGACTGAGCCTAGCCAGGCTTTATACAGCTATAACTATAAAGTTTGAGGTCTATAGTAGATGATTATTATGAGGGTATTACATGTATAAATTTCTCCTTAAAGCAGCTCTTAATTATACATCATTACCAATAACAAAAGCTGACATCCCAGAAATTCTTGCTTGCCTATGGCATGCCTTAATATCTTCATAAGCCTGCAACGAAATGAAAAAAAAGGGTAAAAACCTTGCAACAGACCTACATTTTCCCAAAGCCCAATCATTTACTAGTTGAATTCAATTCACTAGCTGCCACTCCCATTAAGAATTACATTATCTCTGGAGGAAATTAGTCTTGTATTTCAGTTTCAATTAGTTGATTGATAAAAAAGACTTTTCCCAAGGAAAAAGTAGAAAAATAGTCACTGTTGAAGACCCTTGCAGAGAGAGTGAAATCTTAGACTTTGTGCATTCCAATAGGGGTAAAATTGGAAAAGAAGAATTTCTTAAAGTTCACAGTGTTTGTTGGAGGACCCCTGAACAGGGGCATCCTCTAAGGATTATTTAGTGTTGGGGCCCACTCACTCTTTTGCTTCTCCCCAGACAGTTGGGAAATACATAATTACTTTGTAAGATCCTTCCTGGGTTTCATGTGATAGACTAATTCCTTTTCACTAGATCTCTGGAGGTTTGCTAATTCTGGCTTTGTTTTCAATAGGTATTAAGTTGCCTTTTGAGCATATTATCAGTGGTGATAGGTTACTACCTAAGGTTATGGCTTTACAGTAATAGACTACTCTTTTCTTCAGTGGCGGGGCAAGGAAAGGGGCCTGAGATGCTGAGTGGGGAATTTTCATGGTAATTAAATATGCTCTAAATAGGCCACTTAAACTTCTTTGTAAAATATGCTCTTATTGCTCAGGGGCCGGTTGTATGAAAGCCGGATAGCGCCGGATAGGTATTAATTCACCTGCTTTTGGGTATAACTTTGATTAAATGTAAGTATTTCTAAATTGAGGATCCTCTTTAATAATTGTTGGTTCTAAAGCTAAAATTTTATTGCTTTTCAAGCATTTTTAGAACGGTTGAAAAAATCGCTATCCGGCTTTCATACAACCGGCCTCTGGTTTTAATATGTAATGTGCTTTCACTGATCAACATGTAACTTGCACAACCATCCTTCCAACACTGTTCACCATACAAACATTATGACCAGCATACAAGTGATACAGCATAGAACATAGTCAACATAACAACATAATATTCTACTCTGTATTTCTCAATATGGTAGAATAAGATTTGATGTTTTGAACTTAATAACACAAAATAAACAAAATACCGAGTCCTTGCCAAGCCTTCTGTTCAAAATTAAATCCATTTATTCAAAATATCGACTAAATCAACCAGAGAGAAGTTTCATGTTGAAGTTGAACATCTTGAATGTGTTGTTATTTCCAGTACTCCATACTAAATGTCGCGTGAGACACTCTGGGATTCACCTTGTCATGGGAGGTTGTCCGGGATTTCCTGACTGATAATTTCGTTTATAAAGGTATTTCCGGTTTATAAAAAATATCCTATTCCGTTGCGTCATTTTGACGTCATGTTGCCAAAAAATATTGAGACGATTGCACATCCTATTTAGGTATGTTCCAAAGTGATCTGACGCTAATAGTTTTGTGTGAATATGATACACTCATGATAAATTGTATATGTACGTTACTGACCTCTATAATTTGCATCAAGTATCATGATCTATTCTTTATGTAACCCAGATCAGTTTACACCGAGCACCGCCTTCGAATCCCAATTTTAGCAACTGTTCTAATTTTTGGTTAGATCTACTTATAGATTTCTATCGTCAGAAATCTCGTAGTATTGGTACGTTGTCCAGGTTTTATTCATTTATTGTGTGTATGAAACAATATTTCATTACACCCAATGGTTCGCGGCGAATATAAAACCTGAAGAACGCAGAACTGCCGAATTTTGCAGTAGTGTAGCAGCTTGAACAAGGTTGTTTTCTATTGGTTAGAGCTCTAATTGGGTAGCGAAGGTAGCAAGCCAATAGCACGTCCGTATTACATGGAATCTATTATTAACTTTGAAATTATTAATTAAAACTTCCGGTTTATTTTCATCTTGCGTTTATTGCGTTTATGTGGTTTAGGGTCGTTGAAAAACTTAGTGAAATTACAAAACGAAATGAAGCTAGTTCGAAAAGATTAGTGATTGGTGGTTAACATTAATCGCTCTGTGTACATGTCACCTTTATTTTTTGAATTTGGCGAATTTTGCGACTTCTCAAGAGGCATTGAAGTATTGTATTTGTCACTATTTATATTCAAATATTTTGTCACTCTATTATTGTTCGATATAATAGAAAATGTTAATATAAATGCAAAAAAAAATACAGATTGGAGAGTATTACACATGTGGTATTACATTTATTTCGCTTTTTATATGTTTTTTGCAGCTACGCGAGTACAGTGCGCATAATATTCCGTTCGTCACAAGATGATAAGAATAACAACTAAAAACAAGCGATATAAATACAATTACATGTATGTTTAATTAAACAACAACAAAAAGCTATTGGTGGGTTTCACCATACTTCAGAGTGATTTGAGTGGGCAAATGATAGGAAATTGCGTATATTTACTAGGAAACGCAAAGCCAACACATATAGTGAAAAATTATTAAACTCACTCCCAAGGGCGATCCAGGGGCACTTGGTTAAAAAAGAGCAGTTGAAAATATGTATAGGGACGGTTTGATAGCCAAAGCGCGAAGACACGACTAGTGTGGTGTATGTATATTTATGCTACTTTTATTTATATCTTTAAGTAACATCTCTCATAGGTCACATGCACACAAGCTGTTTTAAAGAATCTACCTATACACCCACCTTATAGACTCATCACTTTACACAAGGTATTTTTGATGCCAGAAGCTAATATATGCTGGCGAGAGTAACAACAAAAAGCTTGAGGTGGAGGTCTTGTGATTTGTTTTTTTTTATCTATGACTGATTTACAGTATATTAGAATATGGAAATTTTGTATTAGACATTGCTGAATGTTTGTATGTATTAATTATTAATCATACAATAATATCACATAGTAACAATAAGTTCTGGTTGACAGTGGTTGTATATCACTTTGATTGCAAATATATAACATTTATATATATAATCATTTGTGGTATTAATCTCTGCATGTGAACTGAGATTGACAGGGTTCAATGAAGCAAATTGAAGTTCTTTACTGCTAAGTTGAAATTGGTAGGGACATGGACAACCAAGCGATAAGAATTGATATAAGGCACCAAGTGATATAATTTTGGTGTTTACAAGGCCAGTCATTATTTATAGCAGGAGTGGGCTGAGGAGAAAATATTTTAATTCTCAAAATTTTCCAACCCCACTTTTTATGTGTTGAGAAAAAGTTTACACCACTTCTAGGCAATAAAAAATAGTTACCTTAATTTTATAAGTTTTATTTACAACATGCGCATTATAACATTTGTATAAGCTTTAAATGCTGATTGTGTATGGGGAAGAGCCATGTATGTTGCATCAATGCAAACCATCCATGCATGCAGTCACTTTATAGATAGTGACTTATTAGATTGTACAGTTCATGTTTGGTTTAAAATTTTATGAAGAAAATATTTATATTGTTTTTTTTCTCGCCTCATCTTTCACTTTCTCATATCTTACCCCACCCAATATAATAAAAATTTTTACCCCACATTTTCCCTTCCTCTCCCACCCAGGCTGGTCCCTAATATCAATGGTCTCAAAGTCTCCCAGCCCAAGAGTGTAAATAATATGTTGAATGTTTCAAATAAGCTATTCACATTTAGAGCAATGGGGTTTTATATCTCCCTACAAATCAATAATGTCAAAACATAAGGACTTTCATACTAGGACTGAACAATTACAATAACTGTTCGTAAGAAATAAAAAAACTGTACAATTTTGGCAGCACAACTTAAAGAAGTACAAAAGGGATAAATTTAAATATCATGTAAACAAGTTACTACACACCTTATAATCACCTTTGCTACCTTTGCTACTTTCGATACCTTTGCTACCTTCGATACCTTTGCTACCTTCGATACCTTTGCTACCTTCGATACCTTTGCTACCTTCGATACCTTTGCTACCTTCGATACCTTTGCTACCTTCGATACCTTTGCTACCTTCGATACCTTTGCTACCTTCGATACCTTTGCTACCTTCGATACCTTTGCTACCTTCGATACCTTTGCTACCTTCGATACCTTTGCTACCTTCGATACCTTTGCTACCTTTGATACCTTTGCTACCTTCGATACCTTTGCTACCTTCGATACCTTTGCTACCTTCGATACCTTTGCTACCTTCGATACCTTTGCTACCTTCGATACCTTTGCTACCTTTGATACCTTTGCTACCTTCGATACCTTTGCTACCTTCGATACCTTTGCTACCTTTGATACCTTTGCTACCTTCGATACCTTTGCTACCTTCGATACCTTTGCTACCTTCGATACCTTTGCTACCTTCGATACCTTTGCTACCTTCGATACCTTTGATACCTTTGCTACCTTCGATACCTTTGCTACCTTCGATACCTTTGCTACCTTCGATACCTTTGCTACCTTCGATACCTTTGCTACCTTCGATACCTTTGCTACCTTCGATACTTTTGCTACCATTGATACCTTCGATACCTTTGCTACCTTCGATACCTTTGCTACCTTCGATACCTTTGCTACCATTGATACCTTTGCTACCATTGATACCTTGGATACCTTTGCTACCTTGGATACCTTTGCTACCCTCATTACATATATTGGCAGTGTTTACTGTGGCTGAGTTCATGTTATCTCTCTTTCCACCGGAGACATATGTCCAGCTTGTTCTGTTCTGTTTAGTGATTAGTCAATTTGATTGTAGAAGTTCTTCCTAAAATATTTTCTCGTTTTGCCTGGAGTAACTTAACATTAATTCGTTAAAAAATGTTATTAATAATTAACTTTCTCATCAACCAATCGCAACAGATCTTGTTCGAGCTGCTACATGACCCGAATTTTGTGCGTCCAATACCATGCTACCCGTGAGACATCGCGAGCTCACGACGGATGTTGCAGTTAATTGTTGTTTTAATGTAGTACTAGAAGCATCGAATTCAAACTTTTTGATCTCTAAAACGATCGTAATTGCAATTAGAACATACAAAACGGTAAACAGGTTGATAAAGTTTATGTGAGGATATTTTGGGAGTCAAATCATGGCGTGGGGAACTGAGTTATGGGTCTGTAGAAAATGTTTCCTTTTAGCCTTTTGACAAGTGAGCCAAAGAGTTAATAATCAAATTTATTCTTCTGTTCGACAGGATCGATCTGATGTGGTAGCATACCATACACAGCAGTCTATTGAGTTTATCGAAAAAGTTTCAAAATTTACGAAAGAAAGAGCTCGAATTGAGCAAGATTATGCAAAGGAATTGAGGTGAGAATTGACTAGATGTCTGATTTATTGATCTTGCAGACGGAAATAAGCATGCTATGATTTGCTTTGCTGCTTAAAAACGTTTGGCTCTTTATTGGCTAAAATACTGTAAAATTTATTAGGGAAGAATACAATTTATATAATGTACAATAATTGTACTTTGTTAACCGTAAATCTATTTATAATACTATTCGGTATAATCATACATCGAGGGCAGCATATATTGCTACATATTTTCGTGTATAAAAAGAGTTTGAATGAAAGGGTTTACTGTTTCCTCACTGTTTCATAATTCCGTAGATTCCTGCTTTTATATATACCTAGGTGTTGAAGGTTTTAAGAGTTGTGAAATACGATTTAATTTTTTAAAATTACCGTATTATATTTTTAAAAACCAGTGCATGAAGTTTGTTCACTTGATGACCGGTCGGATAAATGTCAATATACAAAATGAAAATGCTGAATAGTTTTTGTTTCAAATTAGCTTGTTTAAATTTCACAGCTTTCTTAAACAAACACGACAGAGCCTTGGGTTGAAAATGCAATTCTTCTTTGGGTTTAGCGTATTTGTAGAGTCGCAGATGTTGAGCTGAGGGTATACTCACGTCCTCAGCTTCAGTGTCAGTATATAACTTGCATCCATAAAAATATTGAACTAATATTAATTATTTTGTTGTATTGTGTGTTACTAATGTGAATAGTGCACAGTATGGTCATTTGATACTGTTTATTTTTTTAATTTTACTGCAAATCAAAAAATAAAACAAGCCATGGTCAAGTTAAATGTATGATCATCAAATAAAGACAGTTTGAATATAAATTTATGTCATTCTATAGTAATTATACCCAATATTTCTCTTTCAAGTGCAGTTTGGAAAAACATGCCAGAGTGACTTATGAAAGATATTTAAAATAGCACCAGTCCGAAGGATAATTTTTTTTAAAGTACAATTGTTCTCCTCTTAGCCAATCAGCATCAAGAAATTTTTACATATGTATTATGAAATATTGATAGTGAATACCTGATAATTTTGCTTTGCCCACACGTGACACTTTCAAGCACATACATTTTAGACCAATGTGCTTCCAAGTTGAGGTTGTTAGGAGAGGATGCTTGGAGCATTTTCAATGCTAGAGTTGACAGCAGACTAAAACATTCACAGTCATATATGTAGGAAATAGGAATATGGGCCCAAAGGAGAAAACTATAGCTAAGAGGATATTTTGAGAATGTTGGAAAAATGGTTTGCTGCAATTCTGGTTGAAATTGCCTGACTCTTGAATACAAATTATCTGATATGTCACTAATTTTTCTGAGTCTAGAATGCAAACTAGGCCTGCCTTTTGGTGCATGCAATAATTACACTCAGTTAGCATTAGTACTCAATTTATCTAATGTATTTATCATGTGCTTAATCTTGGAAATATTATTTCATTATCATTTATAGAAAGCTATGCAAGTCTTTTCATCCTAAGAAAAAGGAAGAATCCAGGTTTGTATTGATGTCAAAGTTCACATGTTACTAAATTGGTTCTGAAGTGCTGATGTTATGAGGGGGGACAGCCTTCTCCCCTTGGCTACAATATAACAGTATTTTAAATGCACCTTTATAAACCCAGTTCTTGTGGGTTATAATACGTTCCAATATAACCAAGAAGCAGCGTGGCAGCATCTTCCAACAACTTTGCTTTAATTAAATGTGGTATTTATAAGTCATGGTTATAACAACTGCCTAGAAAAGACAAAAACACTTTGACCTAAAGGTCAGGAGAGTTTGTATGAAAGTAATAAGAGAAGAACGGTGTCTGTTGTTATCATGTGTTTTGCCCCCATACAAATAATTCTCCCTATTTACTTTCATTCCAACTCTCCTGACGACGACCCTTAGGTAGAAATGTTGAAAAGTGTTATACCTACCATATTTGCAGTGAAGTGGTTAAAATATCTATAATGTGTGCATCCTCTTTGTGTTAATTTGGCCCAAGGTTAAAAAATTCTATCTACCTCTTTGCCCTAAATTGCCCCTGAACATTATGCTGAGGTTTTTATAACTTTTTTAGCTTATCAGTACATAAAGCATTCCTTGGAATACTGAAGGAGACTGAGGATATTGCAGGGCAACATGAAGTGATCAATGAAGAATTGCAATCCAAAGTTTATAAAGAATTACAAAATCTGCATAATGAAGCTAAACAGGACCGAAAAAAGGTAAAGGCAGTTTTCTGCAATTTATGTAGCTTTATTTTGTGGTTTTTAAACCAGCTCACTTGATTTTGTATTACTTCACAGTTTTTAGATGGTGAGAAGTCTTTACTGCGAAATCTTCAGCATTCTATGAATGCTTTAGACAATGTGAGTTTCAATGTTTTATGTTATACACTAATGAAATGTACCAAATATTAAAAAGGGCATAGGGAAATGTTGAGGATTGGGAGGGCATGTTTAAAAGCACCATTACTCTATTATTGCCGAAAGTGCAATTTAGATATTCAACCCCCCCCCCCCACTGATGTATTATGTCCCACTGACCTGTACAGATGGTGATAGTACCATAAGCTACATTCCTATTGCAAGAACTGTTTGTTGACCATCGTGGCACATGTATATTTTAGGCAAAAAAGGCATATGAAAAATCAAGCAAGGATGCGAATGAAGCTCTCCAAAACTTTCAGAAAACTGACAATGATATGAACATGACAAAATTACAAATTGAAAAGGTATGTCTGTTTCTGTAGTTGATTTTTCTTCAACAATTGCCTAGCCTCCTTTGTTGTGAACTATAAATGAGAACTGAGCTCTTGCAATTGACATGTGTAGCTTTCTGTCATTTCTGCAATAAAATGAAATACAAATCCACTGAGATTGTATGCACAAGGTTTATAATTTTGCCTGTTATTTAAGAATAACAATAAAATTTTCAGGGCTTGTAGTGATTATATAGTTCAAGAGTACTCACTAGTATGATACACCATATTATATTTTTTTAAAAGCCTAATTGTCTTGGTCATTGTAATTTATTTTAATGCATTTTTCTTGTTTATGAACCACATTTAGCTTAGAAGCATTTCAATGGAAAAAGGACAACAATGTGAGGTGGCTAAAGAGGCATATCGTGATCAACTCAATAAGACAAACAATAGCCAGACACTTCATTATTCAACCAACTTTCCTCAAATAAATGATGTAAGTAGTGTATATGAGTAATTCTCCCAGAGAGTACAACAGACATCTGTGGGTTCATATTTTAGTAAGTTGGTGCTAGGAGGTAGCATGTAATACCAAAATAAAGCAATAATCTTTTTATCCAGGCACTTCAGAAAAGCGAGGAAGAAAGAGTGCGAAAATATGGAGTTCTGCTTGCTCAGTATTCTGATGTTCATTGTAAAGTTATTCCAATTATCAACAGATGTTTGGAAGGCATGAAGACGTCAGCGCAAATTGTTAATGGACCTAAGGTAAAGGATTGTTATGTAGTCATGTATTGTAGTATTCCAGTTCCTGTAATCCCATACATCAGGTCTGAATCCTAACCCTCTGCCCTAGGATTCTCAAACTCTGGTTGATGCAAACAAGACAGGTCTTTCACCTCCGAGTGACATACCATTTGAAGAATATGGTAAACCTACGTCACAGCAGCCTGGGACACCTTTGGATAAAAAGAAAACTAAGAAAGCTAAAGCTAAGCCCAAAAATACAAAGGTAAGAATCAATGCGTTAAAATAGTACCTAGTTGGATCCGACAAAATTGGATCATGTCAACAATCTTGCATCACTGTTTGTGCAAGATTACGAGCGCCATATTACAAACAAGCGAACACGACCTGCAAAGTACAAAATTTTCATATTAGTATGTGTGTTAATACGTATATGATAGTAATGTGTGTTGCCCGTCCTCTGCAATATTCTATCAATCCTATGGCTAGGGAAAGCCAATTCCTGAATGTGTTTGAATGAAAGAAAACTTGTAAACGTTGCCACAGACGACAGAGCGAATTCGGCAAACGAACTAGCGTGCATTTTATTTGTCCAAGCTTATCAGAACATGAAATGTCTTAACTTGTTTGCAATAAAAGAATGAAGTAAAATTGTGTTTTATTGTAAAGAGATAACAATACGATATTTTTGTCAGAATGTTGGCGATGGCAATGACTTTCAAAGCCTCAATCCAGGTGAGAAAACACGAATATGTAAGAAAAAGATAGAGGAATACGGCAATGAGTCTGCAACATTGCTATCTGAGAGGCAAGCCTTAGAGAAAATGATGGATGTGTACAGTCAAAACTCTGCGCTTGGTGACCCAGAGAGCATCAAGGGTCAATTAGAGCAAAATGCTCAGAGGCTGGACAAAAGTAACGAAGAACTGCATAAATATCAGGTAATTTTCATCAAACTAATTCAATCTTTGGAATTACCACTTTTCATTGATTTGATTTTAACATCAATGTGGGTCAAATATTTTTATAATATTTTTCCTGACCATCCATATATTTTCAGTGTTATTTGGCAGCTCTAGAAAAATCAGAACCGCCAGCACGTCAACCATTTTACTCAGGTCAACCTGGAGCTGCACAACCTGCTCAGGCAGCTAACGGAGTCCCTCCCCCTCCTGGGGCTGATATTCCCACACCTCCTCCTCCCCCCGGGTCAGCTGTAATTGATCAAGATGACGGGGAGTTTGAAGATGACGTACGATGTTACGTACTCTATGATTTTCAAGGTATAGTCGAAGATGTTTTATTACCTCGTATTCTCTTGTTTAACCGTTCCAGTTCTTTAGGGATTTTAATTGATTGATAATATGAACAAATTGATACACTTTAGGCACAAATGATGGTGAGATCACAGTATCCGCAGGTGAGGAGCTTATTGTGTTAGAGAGAGACAATGACAACACTGGTTGGACACAGGTATTGAAGGGTGAAGACGAAGGTTATGTACCTACAGCATATATCCAACTATCCGAATAAGTATTAGTGACTCATTAAGAAATTAAGGAATATCTATATAGATGACATGATTACGTGGCGTCATGTTCCCGACACGGCAAATTTTATTCAATTTGAACACCAGAGTTAGAATATAGTCTAATTGCTTGACACGATGATAACTAGGAGGGATTTCTATGGCATTCTGAGCATCTCCCAAGTGCGATCTTTAAAACCTGTTTCTTTATTCGCAAAACTCTGGTGCTTTTGTCAAATGCTAAATAGAAATTATCTGACGACTATTTTCCTAAACAATTTCGTTGATGCTAATAGAATATCTAATTGAGGCGAAATCTGGGAAAATAAATATGATTGTTTAAATATATTTAAAAAGCTGCATTTTATGTAAAAATTCGCTTCTGAATAGCTATGCTGCTTTATAAATGGAAAGAATATAAAATTTGATTTGTGAGGAATATTTCGTGGTATGTCTTATTTTGATGAAGAATATCCTGGCTAGGAGATTCGTTGAACGAGTAATGGTACCATAAACTCATTACGTATGTTTCTTTATCCGACACAATCCAATCCTGACAATATGGAATATTTGTACCTTAACACTGCCAGGCACTGGTATCCAAAGTGCTAAATGGTTTTAACAGTACTGGTGAAAACAATTTATATGATGAAGTTCTATGTATGTATGTGCATGTATGTATTGCTTGATATCCACGGGAGGTGTGTTTATTGTCATCATATGCATTTTAACAGAAATTTACTTCGACGAGGGTTGTGATAACCCCCTCCCCCATTCCTAATTAATCTTTCGTATCCCTAGCTATACCTTTTATACCCTAGTCGCCTTATGACCTTTTGTACGCAATGGAGATCCGAAATTTTATGACAAAATTTTCGACTGCCCATACAGTGTTGAAGTTGAGATAAACATATTCTCTCTTTGCACCATTAGTGTTGTATAAATAGGAACAAGTTTCACTCCCACAGTTTTAAACCGCATGAGTCGTGGGTTTTATACTCAGTTTCATGCGGATCTTGAACACTAATCCCTCCCACGAGGAACTGCACTGTATCGTGGGCTAAATTTCTGGTTCAAGAAGGAAAAAAGAGCTCTGAAACAAAAGTAAAATGTGTGGAAAACCGGCTTCAGGACCAAGAGAAATATTTTTCAACCCACCTACGTTCTTCTATGTTGAGTAATCCACGTCGTTGACATCTGACCCCGTGACTTGGGTAGTGCCAGTGGCCCAATCAGGCTCGGATTAATGAAATTTTTTTCCTAAAGCTATCATCACCCCGGTTGATTATCAGTTTTTGCATTGAACTCAAACTGTGTTTCCGCGGGGGGTTACTTAGGTTTGGTTTCCTTCATCTGCGTTGATTATTTCCTAATATCAGCATAATCTGCGCTCTGTTCCGTTCTTATTTTAGACAATAAGAGATTGCGCGTTGTTTATCATCTAAAATTGGCAGCCAGGGAAGAGAGATACCATCCAGCGTCTGGTGCTTGACTGGTCGTTTAGTAAAGGCTACATTGCCATATATTACCTCGGATATTACCTAAAGTAACTGATCTTAAGGTTAGTTTATATTGATATTTAATATTCGGCTTGTTTTGACTCCTTTTATTTTGTTTACTATAAATTCATTCGCAACAGTTGCGTCTAACTTTCCTGGGCCTGTGCGGGTAGTGAAGCCGCAATATATGATAATACGCAAGTCATTCGATTTATAAAGAAGCGCTGTAAGTTTTCTTGTTTAGTAAACAAATAGTTGATTATATATTTGCGACATGCATAATATGGCTCATATTCAAGTTTTATGTTATATTTATTAATGAAGCGGGAAAATGTCGTGGAGTTTGATTCATATTCCTTTAGTGAAAAATGCGATAAATTAATAGAATCCTGCGAATATTTCGCATTCATTCACAATTTAGGACAATTATTCAAATAAATCTGTTAATTAATCGTCATGTTTAAGGTCTTTAAACAATTCACTTCTTTTATGCAAACGGTGCACAAACGTGTTGAAAATATCTCGTTTCCTGCAGGCCAAGTTCAACTATGTATTTGCGGTAAAAGTATCATTCCAAAATTCTATTATGTTCTTTGCGGTTTCATCAGCGTTTATCTTACGACTTACGAGAAATTGATACGGTTGAGGGAAATGTCTGACCGACCTTTTTGTGGTCAACGATGCTCCATCTATTATACTGTTGTCTTTCATAATTTGAAACCGAAATGCAGTTACGTTATTCTAGAGAGAAATTGCTGTCCAGCTTGCGTGTGTTTAAGCTAATTTGGACAAAAAATAAGTGGCACGCAACTTGCTTGGGCAGCTGTTCTGTAGTTTATTCATCTTTAGATCTTCAGCCAAAAAACGAAAATATTAAATTTAAGGCTGTTGCATGCGCGTTTCCAGCGTATAGGTTAATTGTCAAGTCTTTGTTGAGGTTAAACGTAGTTTGATTATATTTTGCGCTATTTGGGGGGTTATTTCTGAAATATTTAACATATTTAAATGTCATGTATCAATTGTCAGAGCGTTTTAATCGTTTAATGATGTTTTAATACGCCACTTTAGCTCATATAAGGATTGTTTTTTATTGTTTCTGTATCAACGCATACCTATTTTGGGCAAGATATTAAAACTTTACTAGAAAAATCACTTGTAAAATATATAAGGACAAATGTCCGTTTTGATGCATGTGTAACAAACATTTGGATATTGGAATATTGGGCCAAGTCAATGAAACAATTGCTACAAATGGAAATATTGTTTTTACTGTATTTTCTGCGACCGCATATTTTCGGCATGTTTTTTATGAATATTACTCCGGAATTGTAGAGGCGTAGCTTCAATCGCTGGAAGGACCGCAGTTGATTTTCGTTACCATTTCGGTTCTATAACTGATCAATTATTTATTGTAACAACATTTGATAAATAATCTTTCACAAGTCTTGGAAATAACCACAGTGATAGCTATACATATATAACAGCTGCCAATAATGGCAATATCAAAAACATCTGCAGTAAAGCAGGATCTGAGGGTTTGATAACATGTGAATTTTTGACTGATTCAAAAATGATTATGTATTGACTATTTATATCCGGGTTCTACTATGAATCTCAATTGATCATAAGACTTGCAAGATCTTGATATGCGGTGTATGTGACGTCACTCACGCAAAGCTGTGATGTCAAGAATAACATAAGAGGTGTGACATTTTTGATGTAAATATTTATATCAAGTCACGAAAAGTTGATTACAGGAAAGAATTATGCTCATTCATCTCAGCGAGTTTCAAGACACAATTTCAATTATTATCAATTATAAAAATGCCCCTAAATTATAAAATCTTGCTCGTATGCTCTATTATGAGGTAGCCTAAATTTAGCCATAACATTTTCCCTTATAAGTTATATTTTCCCCTTACATTTTATGACATTTTTCCGTTTTTAAAATTGTTGGGCTGGTCTAATGATTTATTAAGTGCGGGTCGAGAAACTACGTGAGGGAACATACAATATTGAACATTGTTGACACCTGCATGAGTCTTGATATTCAAGGTTTTAAGCTGGAGAAAAATCTCGTCTCACCATTTTTGGTAATGAAATATTCTTATATAAGAGCTAAATAGGAATTTAATATATTTGCATGGAAACGGATCATAAGTAATTAATTTAAGCCGAACTTTTAGCATTTTTGGTATAAACATTTGCTATATAAAATTTCTAATTTTCCTTAGACCGTTTAATAATTGTGGTTTCTTAATAAAGATGTCTTTGTGAGCCTTTAGAGTTCAGTCGTTCATTCTGCGGTTAAGGGTTTAGAATATACACGCCAAAACCTATTGTTATACAGTTGTCATTAAAAATAAATTATAGACAAATAGACAATGATAAATGAACGTCAACTCACTCAACTGAAGTCGTGTATACATGCATTGCCATTGTTATATATTTAGTTATGATGTTATATATTAATAAAGTATGGTTAAAATTAGGTTGGAAAATAGAAGAGTTGTTTGTTCAATACGTTTTGAATTTATTCAATATGTTTTTTAAGAGATCGGTTTATATAAGCTCAAATAAGTGCACAAGATATTGAAGACTGATAATATCCAGTCGTTTCAACCTAATAATTAAAGGCTTTGTCTTGCGACATTGTTTTACGTGTATGCTAATATGGAGTATATAACTAATTTCTTCTTAGGTAGAAACGTCCAGAAGTTTTAATATATCAGTTAAGCCAATTATTAAAACGATTTGGATATGCGATTGTGCGACAGTAAAATATTATTTTAACGTAACTAAGTTTTCTTTCCTTCTTCCCACGACCGAAGTTTAAAATGAATATTTGTTTTAAAATTTAACACCACTAATTTATATATACCAATTTATTTTCTTCTATTATTCCAGTCTTGGCGGTAAAATAGTCCTTGACTCATGCAATAGAATGTTCATTTGCATGTAAAGTGGTTCTTATTACCTCATCAAAAATTCATAATTGCATAACGTTCTAAATTTGACTAAATACTACATTAAATACATTATTATATTTCGGCATGCTTACTTTTATATCAATAATACAGTTAAAATACCGGAGAGACGCCAGAAGATTATTTTATTGTTGTATGGCTAGAGTCCATCACATCTCAGATTAAAAGGTTGGTACTTTATGATTGGTTTATATATTAAATATGCTGTATCCACAAAGGCTGACAGACCGTATCGTGGTTGCACGCAAATAATAATTTTAAAAACACACACATATATATGTTGCGATTGTTGTATTAACGTAACACACTGACTCACACACACTCATGACTCTCCTCATTTTCAAAGTCTGAGGTTGTTATCAAGTGGATTCAACAACAACTTCATCATCAAATTGAGGTCTTGAAGTGTAGTCTCGTAGTTATTTGGTAGAAATTTGACAAATAATATACTAGTCATATTCCTAATCATTATATCTCAGCTGCTATATACTGGCAGAAATTATTTAGTCTTAGTACTTAATGCTGTGTTATATTTAACAATCTTAATTGAAACGTTAATGTTATCTTTCAATTTGAGGATTTTTGTAATATTTGGCACGTTGTATAAGAATATCTGTTTTAAATCACGCAATAGCTGTGTCATCCGTAGGATAGGCTTGTCAGAAAATGTACATTACTCAGTCAAGGCGCGTGATTACCAGGTCAAGTAGGCTTAAGATAATTTACGTCTTAATTTATTTATTTAAATGGATGAAATCTACTGATCCTAGGATGAAGAAAAGCCAATAATTAACTCATTCTGAAATGATATTGACTGTATATATTCAAGTACTGCCGGTTGTTCTAGTCATGAGATAGTCATCAGTATAGACAGTAGTGTCGAAAAGCTTCAGGCAAGCCAACCTACACTTGTATCTTCTGTATTCTGTTATACCTGTTTCTTCTTATTGGATAAAACCCAATTTATTTTGTATGTGTTTGTTTTTTAGTGTTTTTAATATTTCTTAGCATTATGAATGTTCTAATCATTTGTGTGTGTAGTTATTTTCTTAGCAGCCGTCTTGATGATGGGAAGAAATAGCCAGCGGAATTGATGCCATATTTTGCCTTGTTGATAATCTTGTGTCTTGTGTATTTTAGAAGTTGAGACACGCTATTAAGATCAACAATGTCTGCTCAATCGTTGGATCAATCCCCCGCGGAAAAGCGGAATTATGTAAAAACCACTGACAGAGGAATTCCTTTTAAGAAGTAAGTGGAATGATTTTTATCCATAATATTTATGCAACGACGAGTTTAGTTTCAATAGTTTAATTTATTCGTATGTGTCATGTTCATTCCTTGATTTCCAGTCTTACACGATCATCATTCCTTGATTTCCTTGATGTTCAGTCTCACACGATCAACGTATATCTTCTTTTTTTATTGACAATATTGTCTTCTGTTTCTTTTCAATATATAAAGGTATTTTTCTGGCCCCGTTTACACTGTACCAGATTCGCTATATTTCTGCCGTTCATGGGTAATGTTTGCCCACACATTAAAGCACTTTGACAGCTTTCGTCGCATGTTATATTTTCAAGTTTAAGCATTCCCATGTCATGACCAGCTAATCCCCCCCCACAAAGCGCGGTCTCTGACTAGCTTTCTCCTTCACAGTAATGGCAATTACACCAGATCTAAAACTCTGGCATCTCAATATTATCTCTGACCAACTCCACTCTATCTCTTCTTATTACGACCATTTCACCTCCGTCTTTTTCTTTTATCTCTGTAATTTCTACAATATCACATCTCATCTCTTCATTCAGTGGCGTGTCTAATCAGCTTTGGCCTTTACTTCATCCCTTCTTAAACACATCTTCTTTTCGTCTCAATCAGTTATTTCTATAGTGTTCCAGTTTGAGTTACTTTATATAAAGTTGATGTTTAATAAGGAACGAAGTTGAATTTAGGGGGAAAGAAGGGATAAAAAGGGAAGGAAACGAGACCTCGTAGACGGAGTGTTAGGGAAAGAGTTTTATAATGTAGGAAAAGGAGTGAAAAGATATATCGTAGTTCTCTCATATGTTTTTGATAATAACTAGATTACTATAATCTCCATCAGTCTCTGTTATCTCCCATGTCTAACATTTCCACAACAAGTTAAACAATTCTATTCACTTTCTTTCAGGATGGCCAAAATGCTGTCTAAGCGTCTAATGAAAACAAAAGAACAAGACTTGCAATTAGACCTTGTCGACCAGGCCTGGTTCCATGGTCGGATGACGTCGGAATACGCCGTCAAGGTCCTTGAAACCGAAGGAGAATTTCTTGTCCGTGAGAATCCTGCAAGGCCTGGAGACTACTTTATCTCCGTCAATGAGAATGGGGTTGTGAAGCACTTTCCCATTCAACGATCAACGACAAAAAATCTCAAGTATAAATATAAACTTAACAAAAGTGGCAGCTTTGAGACTTTGGTGGATCTCGTGGAGTCATTTTATTCTAATAAAAAGCTGGTTACTGATAGTGAGGAAATCCAGTTGCTTGCTCCTGCAAACCGGGACGCAGGTATGCTTTTAGTGCCTGAGTTGAGCCCTAATATCCAGGTGGCGAGTGCGCCCGTATCACCTGCAGGTACCCCACCCATGACACTGAGGCGGGAACGAAATTGCAGTGATCCGAATATTAGTGCTGATCGACTCCGCAGCCATTTTGAAGGTTATGGTCAAAGACCCAGAGCTGAATCACGCTCTTCTCCACCAAGCTTGTATGTCGAGGACTTTGACGTTAATCAAAATGAGGTCATTTACGAGACTGTTAATTTGCCGCCAAAAACACAACAATCCGAACAATCCGCGCTCATGAAAAAGAAACACTCAATACTAAATGAAGTATTTGAAATGTTTCGCAATACATTGTATAAAGAGTTTCGTAAAAACGATTGTCTGACTTTAGCGAAGCACATGACACGACGTGATTTAGAAGTGGTCTGGGGTGAAGGATTTTGCCAAAAAAGTGAAAAAGAGTTGGCTGTGCCCAATGGACTTGAATTGATTTTATTCCCTCAAGGAAGTGAATTAAGACAAAGTATATTGAAAAGGTGGGGTTTGATATTAATAATTAGTTCATCACGCATTATAAGAGCACTTCAAGAGGAACAGGCTTGACTTGACTTCTTTTCACAACCGTCAATATTGGTATCATTTAACTGTCTTTGAACTCTTAGTAAAACCAGGCAATACGCTGAACATAAGCTAAATAATATAATATACAAACTAACCAGAGTAGTGTGAACTATTCTGACACTATTTGACAATACCACTGTCTGATATTTCTTCCAGATATTCGACCGTTATAACTTGGGTCAGCTCGATGGTCATCGCAGCTGGTGGGAAGGAAGAAAGAGTCGATATCCTTACCATGTTCATTGGTATTGCGCACGCTCTGTTTAGTTCTCTTGGCAACCTAAATGGATTTATGGCCGTGATGGAAGGACTGGAGTCTGCACAGGTAAAATGACGGGAAATTTTAACATAAGTGGGGGTATAGGCTTTAGTTATTTGAAAGCTAAACTCCAGCAAAAAATATTCTCTTATGATCCAGTCTTCAATACAGAGAAGGATAATTTCTTTTTTCATCCAGTGTTATCTAGAATATGGAAAATCACACGTTTACATTTTTTAGGTTAGACGTTTAAAACTGACATGGAAAAAATTGGAAGAAAGTCATCCTAAACTATCAATCGTCTATCACAACACGCTAAAGTCCGTTTACGCTATCCTCAACTCACAAGGCACGCATCCCTCCCCAGGTAAAGTCAAACCAAGTCTGCCTTACGTTGCCCATGTTGTAAAGTGTCTTGAAGTTGGTCCAACACCAGTAGAACAAACTTTGAATGGGGTGACAGAATTGGATGAGCTTGAAGTTATGTGTAACCATTTGAGCAGTGCCAGAGATTATGGATGTAATGTACACAGTTACAGACGGCAAGCTGTAGGATTTGTAAGGAACATGTGGGATGATACGGAACTTGAGAGGTATTTTATGGACACAGTTAACGTATCGCGCGCTGTAGGTCTGGGATTTAGTGAAGCTGACTCACCAGTCAAAATGGATGGTTTGCTAACATTGATGTCAGAACATATCGAACCAAATTCTTCTTAAAATATCTAAACATCTTTGATTTAATTACTCGCGTGATTAAAGCGATGAAGAATCAATGCATGATTAAGGAATAAGATAGAATTTTGATCTGGGCAAGAGGAATGTAATCTAACAGAACCTCTGGCATCTTAGAATGAGAAAACCTGCAAAGTTCGGGTTGGAAAATGTTGTTACAAAATGTATATTTACAGTATTTACGGGTGGAAAAGACTTACGCACGACTCAGAACAAAATTTACGAACTTTGCAGGACTATATTTTCCACATTTCACTACATTTTGCAACCAAACTTTTCAGTTTTACTCATTCTAACTCTTTCTAAAAGTGTTGTTGGAGTGATGACCTATAGATCAAGATTTAGTCAGGAACTAAAACCATCCAATAAAAGACACTATAACTATATATTATCTATACTTATCTATATTATGAAAAATATTTACAAAACCCATTTAACCTTCATATAAAATAGAATTATTTATAGAAGTATTTACAGCTTTTAGTAAGTCATGCTTGAGTCGGCTCATTAAGTTGTCTATTTCATGATGGTATTTCAGTGTACCTGATTGAAAGATTGTTTTGATGTACTTTATTCATGAAATTTTTTTGATTGAAAGTGGTCTCTGACTTAAGAGGTCGATGTATTAAGGAATTATACACAGAAAGCCTCCTCAGTAAGAGTTACTTAGGAAACAAGGAACCGGGAGTCATGAGACAGGGTTGACCTCCTTATTTAGAAATCTCATAAAGCCCTTTTTACAAAGCACTCAATTCTTTCATACGGCAGTGACTGCATGCTTGAAAAACGCTGCTAATACAAATCAAGGTATCTGCACATAGGGTACAAATAAACAAATAATTGAATTTTACGTTAGAGGTAATGCAAGTTCTTTAGCCCTACGTTCTCAAAGAAAATTCCTAACAAAGGTAAAAAGTATAATACTTGGCTCCAAAACGAAAGTATCGACAGTCAATATCGGCCACTTCTGATTTATTTTGCTTCTTTTTCTCTTTGACTGAACTGTTTACTTTATCAGTCTTCACACAGTCTTTTGCAGTCGTAGCAGTAAAAAGCGTCGTGTTTTGTCCTTAGCAAGATTATAATATACAAGGTCTACGTGGTGCAAGCCATGCAGACTCCAGTCTTGGGTTCATTATTCACGAAGGCGGAAGTAGTAGACAGCTCTAACCTCTAACGTTAGGTGCCATGAAAATACTTAATATTAAGTTATTTACTAACGACTTTTATTTTAGTTTTTAGTTTATTACCTAAATTATAAACGAAGGTCTTAGCTGGTAAATGAAATCTTTGGCTACCGTTGATGACTACTACAGTTACGGAAAGAACTTCCGTTTGGAGGGCTGTTCTTTGAGATGAAAGATTTAGATTCAGGACGGGAATGTCGAGGACGTCGGAAAATTGCATGTCCCAGTTACAGGTGTTTTCTTGCAGTATAGTATCAAGAATTTCCAGCCATGTTTTCATTTTGGGATCAGATTTGGTAAAGACACATTAGTGTTTCCATGTAGAACCATTTTCCAGGTTTTTTCCACATTTATTGTCATACGATTTACCTATCTACCTACCTACCTACCTACCTACCTACCTGCCTACCGACCTACCTAACTACCTACCTACCTGCCTACCTACTTACCTACATACCTACCTACCTACCCACCTACCTAACTACCTACCTACTTAGTACTTACCTACCTACCTACCTACCTACCTACCTACCCACCTACCTAACTACCTACCTACCTACCTACCTACCTATACGATACAAAATACGTCAGTCTTTCCTTTCTTCTTCCTAGAGGCGTAACTCTTGGGGATGTGTGGGTTATGACACTCCCAGTAGCCGCTAAAGGTTTTTAACGAACAAGCAAACAAAGCAAGAACTTAAATGTTTTTGAGTCGTGACACTCGAACCTTGTACGACATACTATTGTTTGGTAGGATGGGCTGTCATCTCATGACAGGAAAACTAATTTTGTTTTTCCGAGAGTCAATAATATTTACTTTACACGTCATGTTATGTGACATTTTCCCCATGTTATTTCCTCATCAATATTGACCTTCATTATCCATGATGTAAGATATAAAACAAATAATTCGAAAGAAGGTCACGCTCTGGAAGATCAACATGCAACTGAACCGAGTCTCCAATATCACTCCCAGTTACGTGCTCTGTCTGAAGTGCTGAATCTTAAATTCTTAATTACTAATCTTGTGCATTCTGTTGCTGTTGTAGCAGTTAAAGTGTCGTGTGTCGTCGTGCAAAGATATACAAAATCTACACAAGTGGTATTTTTCATGAGGTATTTCATGAGATATTTATTATACTGGGTGACTTTTATCTTGGATTTTAGGCCCGTTTCAGACGTTGCACTTTTAAGAGTTCATTCGATTCAGACATGAAAAGTTCGATGTTTGAAACGGGCCTTAATTAGTTTTGAATCTTTAACATAGCTTATTATTTTTGAACCTTTAACACAGATGGCTGTTGGCTGTGGTTAAAATCATTGTCCATAGACGTACCGTAAGTTGTTTGAACTGGTAGCTGCATGAGGTGGTTTTGCCTCACTCACTACCGCCCGGAGTGTCGCAAAGTGTCGCAAAAAAAGCCACAATAGCCGTCACATGTGTTAGACACTTAGAATTCCTGTACCCAATTACCCCAACACAAAGCTAAAATTTAACACTTTGGAATTTCGATACGCAATGTCCGTAGCTATATATATACAAAATATAGAATTTACTACTACTATATTGATATTTCCCGATCACCGAAATTATAGTGCCTTCATCGAGTGATTTGTAGTGATCGCTTATGTTAGAGAAATGGCCTGTTGAGATCTATCGAAAATTTCACCTTGATTCACTGGAAGGGGCTCAACGTTGGTGATTTTGATCATTAGTGAGCTTAAGCAAGTGACGTTTTTGACAACACATACGTTGACCGGAAGTAAAGTTCTTGTTTTTCATCAATTACAATCCTCGTCCCAGTCTTTTGACGTTACCCATGCCGTTTGTATTTTCAAAACGTCACTTGCTTAAGCTCATGCAGTATTTTTGATTTTTGACCATGCATGAGCATGAAAATACTGGTAATTATCATTACTGGTAATTAATGTTTTGTGTGACGTGAAATCGGGAGGAGGTTGGAAGAACAATCTCTCGAACCCAGAATCATATAGTGATATGGGAATAATAGGTCATTTTAGAATTTAGAGAAATTATAATTGCTGCTTTAATAATTTACAGCAAAGATAAGCAAAGCGGAGATGCCATACAGATTGTCGTCTTCTGTTATTCCAGCATTGCCAGTGCCGAGATACGCGAATGATTTGCAATGAAAAATTAAGGAAGGTTCGGGTTCATTTTGTTCGATAGTATCGTGGAAGATTAGAGGAGTTTCCTAAAAACATTTTAAGCATGAGAATTTTCTAAACCATTTTAAATTTGCGTCAACGAAATGTTATGGATAAACCATTGAACGTAACTGAGCCATAGACTCTAGTCAGATTATAGGTTGCGAGTTGCATTGAAATGCTTTTGAGGTATTGAAACAATTCGTCATGAAACCAGGACTATTTTATTCACACATTTCAATACCTCAAAGTCCCTTCATGCTTCCTTTTAAACCTGGCTTTCATCACTTGCAGACACTCGGCGATGCCCTGCGATCCATTGTCGACGACTAATATTTACACACAGAAGTTATGGTGTGTTTTTCAAAGAACTTGTATAATTGTATTTCTGTACGTTCAAATCAATTACACTACAAATATCTTATTTTATATTTTAGGTGAGAAAAATGAGCAAGATTTGTGAAACTTATGCATTGGTTTGTCTTCTTATCTTAACCAGCATTTCAACTTCAATCAGCGAAGGTATATATGACCATTATAAGCGGACCTGTTTTTTATATGCAACTTGCAATACAATTCTACCTTTGATGGATGGACATTTGCCAACTACGGAACTTTTGTGTTTATTAAGCCCAGTTCTTATATGTTGCCATTCATCGGTGCCATTCAGTCACTACTATGGCCGCTTAATATATGCTAAACCTGCTACAACCAATTCCTATTCAAAACAATCCAATAAAACAGGTTTTTTATAACAAAATCTTAGGTGTGAGAGACTGTTCATGAAAATCTAAGTATTTATGATTTGTTTGTTAGCCGCGTTTTTTTTTGTTCTTTTAGTATGTGGGCGTCTCCTCATTTCTTTAGCGTGTTTAATTATTTTACTATAAAAATGCTTTCAACGCAATAAAACCACTGCTTTCTATTGAAAAATGTTTTCTATTTCTCAAATAGAATGTGTAGGTCCTCTTGGTATGAGTGATGGTAGAATCAAAGACTCGCAAATCACAGAGTCTAGTGTTATGAAAGGAACTCCAACTCCAGCAAATGGTAAACAGGCTCGTCTACGCCAGAATGTTAAACCCTGGGGTGCTTGGTGTCCAGACTACACTGGAGGATCAAGCACTGAAAGGAATTACGACCAGTATATTGAGATTGATTTACGAAATCTGACGACGATTACCAGAATTGCAACGCAAGGACGAGAGTTGAGTGCTGGAGCTGCATATGCTGAGGATTATAAAATATCCTACAGTAATTATGGTGAAAAATGGGATTATTATAGAGAGACGCCTTCAAACGACGTCAAGGTACTGTATGTTTGATATAAATGTGATATATGTACGCCCCTCTAAAAGACTTGGATAGGAGCTGCGATCACATGTAACGTTTTTGAAAGTAATTCTACACGTGTTTAATAGTTTGCACTTAGTTTCTGCCAAAGTTTCTGTGATCACAGCTGGAATTTTCAAACTGTCGCGTTTTTTTTGCACATATACGTACTAAACGTAAAAATTTAAAACCTTCTAAGTTGTTGTATGATTAATTTTATGTTAGAAAATACCACACGAAATCATCAACAGAACCCAACCCAATGCACCTATTCGATCGTTGATTTCATAAGTATCATTTAAATGTTTTTAAACTTTTACGTGCATATAGTGTACGTCCAAAAAACGCGACAGCGAAAAACAGCTCTTAGACTATGTACACACGGTAACGTTTTCACATTTTCATATCAAACACCGTCAATTTACAATAGAAGTTGCACCTAATTTAATATATTAGGCAAATTTATCTTTGAATTGTGTGGACAGGGCATCTGAACAATAAAATAGACAAAAACGATTTTGAAAACGCACGAAAACGACGCTCCTGGGCACATAGCCTTAGTATCAACATTTGAATTATGAAAAAGCACATAATAATCTCTTAAAGACACCTAAGTTGATGTTTATCGTCACAGTAAAGGTATGAGGTGTCCAACTGGGAGGTCTCTAAACAGCTTTTAACGGTGCACTTTTACACATTTTTCAGATATTTAGAGGAAACACAAATGTGAAGGGTGTTGTTAGACACGAACTAAAACCTTCAATTATGGCGAGGTTCATCAGGGTTCATCCAGGCTATAAGAGGAATTTCAGAGTCTGTATGAGGCTGGAACTGTATGGCTGTACAGTTGAAAAAGGTTAGTTGATGAAGTTTTGTATAGGCGAAGAAAATAGATGAAGTGGTAGAAACATTACATTGCACTGTACATTGTATAATTATGTGATCTGTCATGAATATGTTTTATCGCTTCCCTTCATATCTAAAAGATACCTTGTCATGACGAGCTCTGTTTTCTTTTAATGAGGAATAAACCGCCTTATTTTCTGTTTTAGTTATTATTTCCTACTCAATGCCAGTTGGACAGAAAACCAGGAATGAAAAATATAACTATTTTGACTCGTCTTATAATGGAGTTATTTCAAATGGTTTTTACCAAGGTGGCACTGGAATACTCACAGATGGCCGATTTGCTTCAGTTAACTCGAAAGATTCGGGTGGTGAAGGTTGGGTGGGATGGTCTAGTGTGAACACTTCGTTACCATACATTGAAATTATATTTCAATTTTCTGGCGTGAGGAAGTTCAAGGATGTTACACTGACTGTTAATGTTGACAGGGCACGTAGTAATGCTGTATTCAACAAATCACGGATATTCTTTGCTTCAACTGAAGGCAGTTTCTCGAAAACATTTCTTCAATATTGTCCAAAAGATTTTCCAGCCAAGAATGGTCCATACAATGCAAATGTGACTTTGTCACTTTGTGGAAATACTGGAAGTTTTGTAAAGATGCAGTTATACTTCAGAAGGAAATGGTTGCTAATCACTGAGATCAGTTTTAATTCAGGTATTTGTTACTTTATTCAGTTGTTGTTTAACTATGGAAGATTTTCACTTGAAACAAAAAACTCTGCCTCAAAGCCCCCAACTGACACAAATTGACGCATAATGAACCATTACTTCCACAAAAAGTTTGCTTGTTACAACGTGTAGTTATAGTTTGTTTGTAATTTATCCTGTGACTGTGTTTACACCTGATTTCATCCACCGCAACTCTGCTGTTTTCATCTTAAATTATAGGATTGCTTTGAATAGATTGAATTTATTAACAAACTATTTTGGCTCTGCAGTTATATACAGTATATTAGGTTCAGTTTTCTGAACCCGTAATTTGTTCAGAAAAAAGGACATATTGCCTAACTTTAACTCAATTTAATATATTTATTAAAATTATTCTACTTTTAGTGGATTCCTAATTATCGTATTCTATTAAATTATTGATCATGAATTATAGATAGTACGGACAACAAGAGCCAAGTAAACGATTGCTCAAAGTCACCTTCAACAACATGTTCTGTCAACAGTCCACCCTCCGTGATTGGTCTCTCAACAACTGAAGCACCTGAGCCTGGATGTAAATGTTAGTAGCTTTATTGTCAAGCTTGATTGTATTTGTAGTCAAATAAAGTCATGATAGGTGATGTATGATGTATGCATGATAGATCGTACGCATAGTACTGTATATAGTAGCGGGTATAGCAAGGGTATGCACCGTAGAGGACCATACACTATGCGATTTGTCATTTTCGATTCTTTCCCTGGCGTATGTGAACGTGCAAACACACATACAAAGATATCATTTCAAATTTCTCCCTGAAAGGAAAGAAAGAAGATTGTGGCATAAGCCTTCTTTTGCATTCGTCAGAATGATAATTGCATACAACTTTTCGTGTAGTCTGAATAGGCCTTAATATGTTATTAGTAATGTATGGTGGTATATATGTAGTTGTAGGGGATGTATGGTGGTAGAAAGGTAGTTGTAGGGGTTGTATGGAGGTAGAAAGGTAGTTGTAGTGGATGTATGGTGGTAGGAAGGTAGTTGTAGGAGATGTATGGTGTAGCAACGGATGTATTAAGGTAAGTCAGTGATGGTGTTGATGACAGTGAGGTTATTAATAATTGATTGATATAGTGAAGTCTGGTGATTGTTTGGTTAATACAGGTGACAGCTCTATACTGCTGTTTAAGAGAATATTTGTAATTTTATCAGAAAGCATTTCTGAGAATGATTTTGCACGCTCACTGTTGTGCCTACCTGGATGTCTGTTTATTTATTGACCTGTGAGAGGTCAACCAAAATATTATAAGAGGCACTTAAGGGGCAATACACTTATATCCTACAACACAAATATCCTCTACTGAACTATTTGAGAAGAAATAATTTCAAAATTATTCCCGAGATATTTAATGCAGTAAGAATATTTATGCATCATTTGTTTTTCTTCAGCTTGTTCGACCAGTGTACCAACACATAAACATGAAGCTGGTAAGTTTGTTGATTTACGTTAGATGCATGATGTTTAACTTGTTCTATACGAAACTTGAGAAGATGGTCAAAGATGGTCAGATGGTTCGTAAGTCAAACACCAAACAGCAGTGTCGATCTTTCTTGCTAAAATTTTTTGCATAAGTTTGCATGAATTTCTTTAAAGTTGATTTTTCACATTTGCTGTTTGACTTAGCTGTTTGACTTCACACGATCCAATTTTGTTGCATTTTGTTGGCGAAAAAGATTTGTGAATTCTCATCACAATTGTTGTAAATTGTTGCATTATTAATCAATGTGTAATTTATAATGTGACGAAGTTTATTACATATAAAAATAATTTTATATATTATACAATGTGATAATATATTTCGACTTACACTGTACGTTCTCTACTTTTCAAATGACTACAATTATAGAAACAAAAACTCTTGCAATTGTCTTGGTGATTGTTGGCGTAATTCTTTTCATCGTCACTGCTGTTGTTACAATATTTTTACTTCACAAAAGACGACGTCAGGCTGGGAAATCAGTCGACGAAGTTGAAATGCAATCACGACCAGAAACAGTGCAAAGTAATCAGGTTTGTGCAGCAGGATTCATGCAGCAGGATTTGATTAGAAAAAGAAACTTTTTGTAGCTCTCTCAGGGAAACTGTTTTATTTAAAAGTTAAAACTTAATGTCGTTCTCTTAAGAGTAACTTCAGCCTAAGTGTTCTACTTCTACTTGTGAGGAGAGTACCCAGGGTATGAGGCTTCATTTTCATTGTGTAAATATAGGGAGGAAAAAACGAGCTTTTATGGAAGGCGTTTGTACCCAACCACCTGCATTGCTTGAGCTGTCTGATAAAATCAAACAATTTATGATATAACCCAATGTCATCCGCTCATTTTTTGAATGTGTCATTGCTTATATAAAACAGGAATCAGAAAACGTATTACCAGCTAAAGTGGGAGCAACACGAAGTAAACACGATTATGCGGTTGTACCAGATAATGATGGTCCTGGGTCATATGAAGAAGTCCAAATCTTGCAACCTTCGATTTACGCTGAGCTTGACAAGAACAGACGAGAAACAAATGATGATAACAACTACCAGAAATTATTGAAGAATGAATCGGATTACGTAATACCAAATGAGGGACAAACTGGGACATACGAAGAAGTTAAAAAGAAAAATTCTTCTTCTTTTTACACAGCTTTAGACAACACAAAACGTGACCATGAAGATGACGACTCTTACCAAAAGTTGACTCCTTTTAGCTTGCAATAGACTGATTACTGATTTGGTGACGCAGGAAAATATAGTATACTTTTGTATTGTAACGACCCTGTAACTATAATTTAGTTACAAACTTCCGGCCGTAATACAAGATTATACAAAAATTCGCATGGCTATATTTTCCGTAATTTAAAACAATTCGCAGCAACACTGGATGTTGTAAACTGGTGGTTGTGTGATAATGTTCACAGCGTCCGATGGCATTGATGGCATCTACAACAGATGGCTGTTGAGTGTTGACGTCTATCGACGTTCCGAAATTAAGTTGTTTTTTCTAGTACTCTTAGCTATTAACGCCTTTGACTCACGTTCAGGCCATTTATCATTGACCCAGAAAGATATTTTTTTCAAATTTATATGTATTTAGGGGATCGACAAAAACTGTAAACAATAGCTGGCTGTCATGCAGCAAATACCTAAAGCTGAAATTTTACGCTGGAGATTTGCAATATCCCATGAAAAATTTGTATAAATCGCCGCTTGAGGCAAATATTTGTTGGGTTCATTTTGTTCAAGCGGGTATCTTGAAAGATGAAAGCCGTAAACCATTGAAGATTTTGGTAAAAACACTTTCAAGGCCATGGCTGAGTATACCAAATTTCGGTACGTATTTCGGTCGTCGAGTATACCATATTCAATTTAGTCCAGCTAGATATGTCATTTTACCATGCCTATGATGTTATTGTAATAAACGGAAAATAATTATTTATACGCACAAATAGTAACGAGGGTTTTGCACGTGATTGACACACGGAGACGATAATACTTCGCACAATGCACCATTGACAATCCACAATGCACAATGATCCACTGTGATCGAAAAGTATATTTAGTTAATCTGATTTGGTTGATGGTAGTAAAGTTAAGTGACATGGTTTGAGAACGCACATCAGTAAAATGTAAACAAAGAAACTAAACCGACTCGTTGTTGCATCTTATTCTCGAGCTGTTCCCCCTTCGACCCCGACGATCTCACCTTAGAATTGGTAAAGGACATATTATACACAAAAAGGGGCCGTTTAACATTATACTTTCGTTCACCTTGTCTATAGGAGCTGAAGATATTTTACTACTTAAATTGTAGTTTTCATGAAAAGGTTTATACTTAAGTTTTTGTTTTATTTAAGTTTCCTACAGATTTATTTTGATAAATCGCGTTTTAGCTTCCACTTGCGAGGAGGCACTTTGTCTCAACGGCAAAGAAGTATCTGCATGGTATTCTTTTGTTGTTTAACTAGGGATGAAGGACAGACTTTTATGGTAGTCATATGTATACCCAGCCTTGAGCTGCATGAGCACCTATATTCCTCAGCTGTTTGATAGAGTTGAACTGAATTCCTTTCTGTACGTGTCTGAGATAAATGATCAAGCAATTTATAATTAGTGTTATCCACTCATTTCTCGTGTTCTTACAAATAAAACAGCCACCAGAAAACGTATAACCAGCTTATGTAGGAACAACACGAGATGAAGAAGATTATGTTATGAAACATATATAATGATGGTCCTGAGTCATATGAAGGAGTCCAAATCTTGCAACCTTCGATCTACGCTGAGCTTGACAAGAACAAACAAGAAACAACTGATGATAACAACTACCAGAAATTATTGAAGAATGGGTCGTATTACGTAATACCAAATGAGGGACAAACTGAGACATATAGTAATAAGAAAAACTTAAAAGGCTCCGAGAAATTCACCTTGTAAACTAAAGATAAGTTTTAGAGAAGATAAACTATTTACAAGTTTTGTTTTGCCCCGATATGACTCCCTCGTGTTTCCCAATGCTTTAAGACACTGCTGCCATTATTCATATAAATAAACTGGGAAAATGTGTACCTAAAAATCCTTTACCCAAGGAAAATTATTGTTTTTCCATAACATGAAGTCTCGACTAGTTACGATTACAAAACGTGACCACGAAGATAATAGGGCCCTGCATGTTTACGTTTAATATACCGGATTCGCATTGTCACGATATTAAAACTAGCCATGTCAAAGGAAGTTTCACTCCTAAAAGTATGATAATATGATTGCTTTAACATAATCTGCCATATGAAATAGTTCTGGGCACAGAAATACTAAACAACTTAAACGGATGTCGTGACCATGTGTATTTGGTATAATGTACACGGGAGTGTATAAGAGTCTCTGTGTCAAGTAGACCAAATATGGCATTTGTCTACTTGACTCGGCTTGACTACAAATCTGACCTTGCATGACACATCTCACTGATATTTGATGATACCCCGGAGAGGAAAAAGTGGGTGGGTGATAAAGAAAATGATGTTTCCCCGTCACACTAGTGAGAAAGTTCATCTGCACTTATGGCATAATAACCACAACCTATTAAGAAAGACTCCCAAAGACATCACCTTGTAAACTCGAGATAAGACGTAGAAAGACAAGATGACCCTATTTGGACCCTATTTCCAAGTCAAGTTCAAACCAGAATAAATCGAGAACAGCATTAAAAAGATTTACATTACTATAGTTTAAAAATGAACATAATGAACCAATAATGTGTGAGATGTTCGTAAACAATTCGTCGTATTTCAACGTTCACATCACACCTTTAAAAGCCCACGTTCAGCTTACGTTTGTAGAACTGTAGCCGAAATTTAGCAATTCGACGTTATATGGTCAATAACTAGCCCAGACTTCGTTGACTAAGTGATGAGTTTATCGGTGCATGGTAGTCGTTATCACGCACGTTGCTATTTTAAAATTCAAAAACAAGAGTGAAGAAAAAACATTAAAATTAAACTGAGATTATTAATTGAACGTGTTTCTTAGAATTTTATATACAATAAGGGTAATTCTTGTTTTCCGTAAAATGCTTCGACCAGCCACGATTATACATATCAGGCGTAGGCGGCGTTTCACGAACGTTAAGTGTGAAAACAATGTTTGAAAAAGTCATTTCCCGAAAGGCCCACACAAACAGGACGCGAATTGGCAACGCGGCGCGAATTTTCAACGTTTTATATTTTTCAAAAGCAAATAAATTTTAACTTATCAAAATTTTCTTGTAGATTGCATTAAAATAATAAATTTTGATTGGTCTAGCGTCCATAGATTCCAAATTTTCATCCCAGAATTTAATTTATATGCTTCTGAAAACTGAAAATTCGCGCCGCGTTGCCGCTTCGCGTCCGGTCTGTGTCGGCCTTAATGCTCTCAACCTTTTTTATGTTTGGCGTGGAGGTCGATGAACAATAGTCTGTCTTTGGAAAACCCACTGCCTCAAAAAAGCTTCAATGGATTATGTAAGGGTTTTTCCTATTGAATTTAGTCGGTACATGTTCCTCAAACAGTCGGTTGACATTTGACAGGATCGTAGATCCCCACTGAAAACGGCCCTAACAGAAAGCACTATTATGCCGCGTGCGTCAGATATCTTTGTCAACCAGGCAAGCAGGTTGAATAAGAGCACTTCTTTCCAAAACCGTCAATATTGGTATCATTCAACTGTTTTTGAACTTTTAGTAAAACCAGGCAATCCGCTGAATATAAGCTAAATAATACATACAAACTAGCCAGAGTAGTGTGAATTATTCTGACACTATTTGACAATACCACTGTCTGATATTTCTTCTAGATATTCGACCATTATAACTTGGGTCAGCTCGATGGTCATCGCAGCTGGTGAGAAGGAAGAAAGAGTCGATATCCTTACCATGTTCATTGGTATTGCGCACGCTCTGTTTAGTTCCCTTGGCAACCTAAATGGATTTATGGCCGTGATGGAAGGACTGGAGTCTGCTCAGGTAAAATGACGGGAAATTTTGAGATAATTGGGGGTATAGGCTGTAGTTATTTGAAAGCAAACTCCAGTATAAAATATTCTCTTATATGATCCAGTCTTCAATACAGAGAGGGATAATTTCTTTTTTCATCCAGTGTTATCTAGAATAATGGAAAATCACACGTTTACATTTTTTAGGTTAGACGTTTAAAACTGACATGGAAAAAATTGGAAGAAAGTCATCCTAAACTATCAAACTATCCTCAACTCACAAGGTACGCATCCCTCCCCAGGTAAAGTCAAACCAAGTCTGCCTTACGTTGCCCATGTTGTGAAGTGTCTTGAAGTTGGTCCAACACCAGTAGAATAAACTTTGAATGGGGTGACAGAATTGGATGAGCTTGAAGTTATGTGTAACCATTTGAGCAGTGCCAGAGCTTATGGATGTAATGTACACAGCTACAGACGGCAAGCTGTAGGTTTTGTAAGGAACATGTGGGATGATACGGAACTTGAGAGGTATTTTATGGACACAGTTAACGTATCGCGCGCTGTAGGTCTGGGATTTAGTGAAGCCGATTCACCAGTCAAAATGGATGGTTTGCTAACATTGATGTCGGAACATATCGAACCAAATTCTTCTTAAAATATCCAAACATCTTTGATTTAATTACTCGCGTGATTAAAGCGATGAAGCATCAATGATTAAGGAATAAAACAGAATTTTGATCTGGGCAAGAGGAATGTAATCTAACAGAACCTCTGGAATCTTAGAATGAGAAAAACTGCAAAGTTCGGGTTGGAAAATGTTGTTACAAAATGTGGATTTACAGCATTTACGGGTGGAAAAGACTCACGCACAGCTTAGAACAAAATTTACGAACTTTGCAGGATTATATTTTCCACATTTCACTACATTTTGCAACCAAACTTTTCAGTTTTACTCATTCTAACTCTTTCTAAAAGTGTTGTTGGAGAGATGACCTATAGATCAAGATTTAGTCAGGAACTAAAACCATCCAATAAAAGACACTATAACTATATATTATCTATACTTATCTATATTATAAAAAATATTTACAAAACCCAAGCGAACAAAGCAAGAACTTAAATGTTTTTGAGTCGTGACACTCGAACCTTGTACGACATACTATTGTTTGGTAGGATGGGCTTTAACCTCATGACAGGAAAACTAATTTTGTGATTCCGAGAGTCATAATATTTACTTTACACGTCATGTTATGTGAAATTTTCCCCATGTTATTTCCTC